AGACGGCTGGTAATCAAACACCTGTTTCAGTGAGCTGGGGAGCTGGGGGGGGACTACATGCTTCATGACAGCAGCCACTGCCTCCTCAAAGTTCTCTTCTCCTCCCTCTGGGATGTCTCTCCTCATGGCGTCGGATACGGCGTTCCGGAATGCCACCTTTTCGGAGTAGTTTGCCGGGTAGGCGCCATCATGACCCTGCTTCCAGAGGTCCAGATAGTATAGTAGAATGACAACGAGGGGTAAGTGGCCATGTAGATGGTTGTCAAGGTTGTCAATGTCCCGCGTCATTTCCTTGGTGAAGTCCAAGAGCGCCGGCCAGGGGCTAAGAAGCCGAAGATCAGCGGTTGCTGTATCATCGGGATGTGTGTCGACAATTGGAAAGGCCCCATGCAGGTTGACACTGAAGTAGGAATAAAATCCGGCTGAGTGAACAGCAACAAGGGGAGTTTGATGCTGACGAGAATATTCCTGGAGGATGCTGAGACGCTCCGGCTGGATAGGCAGGGCATACAGGATCATTGTAAATGGTGTCTGAGTTGCCTCGAACAACTGCTCGAGTCTTTGGTCATCCTGCTCAAATGCATGTCAGACACTTTCCTTGAAAGTAGCACGTGGAGACGAGAACAAAAGACGTACTGAGTTCTTGGGCCACCAGCTTCCATTGACCTCTGGATTCAGTTCCACCAGAAATTCTGTGCAACATTGGGCCCTTGACTTTCCCTTGGAGCTCTCATCAAGAAAGAAATTAACACCCAGGTCCTCGTCATGGACTATGGCATCATCCGCAATGGTGAAGCTTCCGATCCCTGTGGCATTGTATACGTATGTCAGCCTTGTGAAGCTCAGCTGTGGGAGGGGTAGAAATTAGGTATATCAAACCTGGCAGGACAAGATTTTTGAGGGTTTCCACACCCACGGTTCCGGACCCAGAGTTCAGAAGAAGGATGTTTGAAGATTCGAGAGCAGCTTGGCCTGAAGCAGCCCAGAGTCTCAACTGGCGATCATACTTCCTCTCCTTCTCAGAGGGTCCTTGAAGCACGGGCGGGGTCTGAACAAGGATCTCAGTCATCTTCACTATTGTTCAGGTACAAGTAACAGAGTTCAGGTCAATATGTGTTTGTTCATATACGCAGGCCCGGCCTTGGATATCTCGGAGACGACGAAGCAAGGCCCAGTCACGGCTTGATGCTGCTTGCGATGGGATCTCCTTGGTGGTGAGTGGGGTTGGTAGGGGAGCTTAGGCAGCGGCAATAAGCATGATTGGAGCCTGCCTGAGGGAGCTTCAGCGGGACGGCCAGCTCATAGCACAGACCCACGACGTCTCACAAGTGAGCTCACAGCCAGCCAGCCAATTCGCCAATGGCTCTGGAATAGCCGGACGCGCTCAAATGGCAAGCGAAAACAAGGCTACAACAGATGTTTCAACAAATTATCACCGCCAACGGTCTGCTCGACCACATCATCCTCACCTTCCTCGAGAGCTTACACCCTAATCGGGTTAGGTAAGCCACCTGGAGGCCATGCAGCCAATAAGGAAGCTACGGGTCAGCGTGGTCACGTGTCAGCGTGTGTGCCGCTCTTGCGAGTTCCACAATTAGGCGTGGAACACGCTCCTGTGATTGGCCATGTGAGCTCAACCGACCCCATTCTCACAGGCGAATGCGACGGACGCTCTTGATCTAAAGCGAATGCGATTTGCTGCTGACCCAATAGTCGCGAAAATTCACCAACAGACAATGGATGGACCTCCATTGATTTCTCACTGCACGCGCAGGTGAGAATCCCCTGAATAACGCTAAGCATCTCAGCCCTGCCAATATGGGTGAAATTCGTCCCAAAAGAGACTGCCATTCGAGCAGAGCATGCATTCCGCCGCCTGCCCGCCCGGACTCGCATGCTGGGTGGAGGAGACGTAATTATACGATATCTAAAGAAAGGAAATCTGACACTATTCCCTCCTTCCCGTCGGTGCAACTTTGCCTTCCGTGTTGAAAAACCTTGTCAACCCTTTGTGTCCTTGGCCCAGTCCGTCCCTGCATCAATAGCACTAACGAATCACTCGTGAACTTACGCTGGTGAAAAGCAGTCACCCATCACACTACGATTCACTCTTCCTAGGCCAGTATTTAACATCGCCCAAAGTCCCTTTGTTATCTTCCTTTGTATTCCTCTCGTACACCTTCTTCTGCTCTTCACTTCCCTCCTGTCAATTCCTGCCGGCGACCTACTGTCACCCCGCCTCCGCATTCCGAGTTCCTTGGCGCTGTACTACTTCCCGTCGCCTAAGATCCGAGATCCACCCTCACCTTTGAGTCCACGATATACAGAACCTTTAAAGCTAGACATCATGTTGGATCCTCCTGAAACTTCAAGCCAGTCTGCCCAAGAGGCGGAAAAGACAGCAGCCGATGGTCGTGTGGAATCTCGTGGGATAGCAGACGATGAATTCCGCTACGCCACGATACCTGTCAAGAGGTTCTGGTTCCTCACCCTTGGGTACGTGTTATCAAATGCCTTTATCCTGATTAATTGATTATTCATCATGTCAGTCTGATTATCGTCTACTAATGATCTCTTAGCGTTACCCTCGGTCTATTTCTTGCCATGGCAGACACCTCTATCGTCGCCACCAGCATGTACACGATAGGTGTGGACTTTCAATCTTCAGATCAAATCAACTGGATTGCATTGGCCTATACTCTGGCATATATTGGCTGTGCCGTCACCTTTGCCAGAATCTCTGATATCATGGGCCGGAGAGATGCCTTCTTAGTGGCCTATGTGATCTTCTTCGGGTTCTCTTTGGCCTGTGGGTTCGCCAAAAACGTAAACCAAATGATTGTATTTCGAGTCTTCCAGGGCATTGGAGGTTCAGGTCTCAACTCCTTAGCCTTGATCATGCTCCCAGAGCTTGCTCCTCCGCATCTCTTACAGTACATTGGCGCCGTCATTGGTTTAGTCATCGCCATGTCTGGCGTGCTGGGACCGGTCTTGGGTGGTATCCTAACACATTACGCGGATTGGAGATGGATTTTCTGGATCAAGTACGCATCTGCTTTCGAAATGCTTTGCCCTGCTTATTATTCGTATACTTACCTTTCACAGCGCGCCTATTGGGCTCGTTTCCCTTGTAATCTTCTTTCTAGCCTGGCCGAAGAAAGAGTCTCTTCCAACTTATGAAGTGCGGAAGTGGACAAGTTTCGACGTCCTCGGCTCATTCCTCACCCTTGCAGCCCCAACTCTGGTCGTTTTCTCCTTCCAACACGCCGGCGAGAAAAAGACTCCCAACTGGGGTCACGCCGATTTTCTGGCCCCTCTCATCGTCGGAATCGCCCTCTTCTTCTGCCTGGTTTTCTGGGAACGCTATCTAGGCAACCGCGCTAACAACCGCTTTGCTCTGGCTTTCCCAGTTGAGCTCTTCAAGAACCGACACTATGCCGCCGGTGCGTTTTCATCCCTGGTCCTCGGCTTCCCTTACTTTATTATCGTCTTTTCCTTCCCGCTCCGGACTCAAATCGTTAGCGGAAAAGATGCCCTCATTGCAGGTGTAATGTTGCTACCGATGTTGGGATCAACCGCCGTCGGCACACTGGCCGCCGGCAGGCTTAGCTCAAACACGAATCGTATATTCGAGACCTTGTTTGCTGGAGCATGTTTGCTTACGCTGGGCTGCGGACTTTTATCTACTGTCAAGGGATCCGGAGACGACAGCAAAGCCCTGGGCTTCCTCGTCTTTGCTGGCTTGGGTTTTGGATTTACAGCCAGTGCCTCCTCTATGCTTGCAAATGTCGAGGCCCCAGTTCGGGACTTTGGTAGGTTTTATCCCAATTCCGCAACATGCAATACCTCAAAAGGTGGAATTCTAACAAGTTGATTGACAGCACCCGCCCAAGGCATCGTCTCCCAGCTCCGCATCCTAGGTGGTAGTCTTGGGATTTCCGCGTCCACGCTGTTGCTCCAAAATGAAATTAGGGAGCGTCTAGCAGGGCTCTTGACTGCAGAGCAGCTTCAAACCCTCGGGCATGTTGGTACCCCATTGACTGAAATTCAGCAGGAAGCCCTTGAGCTGGCTTATTCGAACATGTTCCGCAACGGGATGTTGGTAGCAGCAGGTGTTGGAGGCCTGGGAATCCTGACCACACTTGCGGCTTTTAGACGCGAGCGCAAGAACTTCCAAGAACAGCGCCAAGAGCGAGTGGATGAAGAGAGGGAGCGGCGGACAGCCGAGAGACTTGCCTCACAGCAAGCAGCTCCCACTTCTGCCTAAGCCCAATGCATTTCACGGCGTTCGTTTTTTGTTCTGCATATGATGATGATTAATTGGGCCTAAGCATAATAGAGCTCCTTTGATAATAGATATAGGTCAAGCCATTGCATGAGTTAGCCGGCAGGTTTTAGCAACTTTGTACTAGGATAATGAGATGGTCTGAGCAAGATCCCTCTGCAGTTCTCAGTGACCGTGAAAATGGCCAGATCCTACCTTATCTAGGTAACAAACTTGGTGGGTGGCTGAGACCTGGCATTATTATGCACCGGTCGGGCTGTCGCCGAGCTCTCGGAGTCTCCCCGCTTTCCCGGCGAGCAATTGAGTGCTTTTGGTGGATCTCGGCCGATTATCGTGCCTGGCTGGTCGGGATGCCCTTCCTTGCTACAATATCGAGATAAAGCAGACACTTACGCGGGGGTATAGGCAAGGCTGCTGCAAGACGCCCGCCGTCCTGATCCAATACACGCAGCCGGCCATCCATTATCATCCTCATCCATCCTCCTCATCCAGCACCAGGTCGATCCACTGCGGTCAATTCTAACTCCGCATTGGCTTCTACTCGTACGCCCCTCATCACATCATCCGCTACTGCCTCAGTCTAATCACAAACCCCCATCACCGGTCCCTCATGCCGTTCCTCACCAAGTCGGCCGCAGCTCTCCGCTCCCTCCTCCGTCCAAACCTCCTCCCCTTCAGACCGCATCCCATCCCGTCCTTCTTCTTCGCCCGCACAATGGCCACCGCAGCAGCAGCCAAGCGCCTCTCCGGCAAGACCATCCTCATCACCGGCGCCTCCTCCGGCATCGGCCGCTCGACCGCCCTCGAGTTCGCCCGCACCAGCCCCCAGAGCCTGCGTCTCATCCTCACCGCCCGCCGCGAGGACGCGCTCAGGGAGCTCCGGGACCAGATCCGGAGTGAGGTAGGCGAAGGCGTAGAGGTCTTGCCGGTCAAGCTCGATGTGTCTGATGCCGATGCCGTGAGGGGGTTCGTGGGGGAGCTACCTGAGGAGTGGAGGGATATCAATGTTCTTGTGAACAATGCGTGAGTTTTCTTATCATTGGATTTTTAATTTTTTTGTTTATTGAAATATTGCAAAGAAACAAAAAGAGCAGTTAACTGACAAAATGTAGTGGTCTCGTCAGGGGTGTCGACCGAGCTCCCGACATCAAGGAAGACGACATCAACGTCATGTTCGCGACCAACGTCACCGGCCTCATCAACATGACTCAGGCCATTCTGCCCATCTTCCTCAAGCGCCCTAACGGCGGCCAGGGCGACATCATCAACATCTCCTCTATTGCCGGTTTGTCGTTCTCTCCCCCCACTTACACGAAAGCCATGAAGAGTGAGACTGACGGTGCCAAAAACAAAAGGACGTGAGTCCTACCCCGGCGGCTCCATCTACTGCGCGTCCAAGGCCGCTGTCAAGAGCTTCACCGATAGCTTGCGGAAAGAGCTCATTGCGTCGCGCGTCCGTGTCATCTCCGTCGATCCTGGACAAGTCGAGACTGTAAGTTCACGCGAAACTTGCCGCACCATCTCTGATATAACCATGTACACACCCGGGTCTGTACAAGTTCTCCCTTTTAACATCATCCTCTACAGGAATTCTCCGTGGTTCGATTCTATGGTGACAAGTCCAAGGCCGATGCCGTGTATGCGTGAGTACATAACTAGCCTCACGGCAAGAACCAAAGCTGATTCTCTCTTAGCGGATGCACTCCTCTCACCCCCAATGACATCGCCGAGGTCATCGTGTTCACAGCTACTCGCCCAGAGAATGTTGTTGTCGCCGACTCCCTCATCTTCCCCAACCACCAGGTAAGATTGAAACGGCCTCTCTTGTAAGCCATTAACTGACAGGACTCTGTAGGCATCTGCTACAATCATGCACCGTAAGGCAGCATAACTCTTGGGTCAATTCCCCGTGAACATGTAGAATAGACAAGCATATACTAGTCAAGCAGTTTCAAGGCAACTGGAGGGATATAATCAAGTACGAGAAAATAATAATAAATTGATACCATTACTCAAAACTAAGGAAACTTTTCCACAGAGATGTTCGAAAATTTCTCTTGCCCCCAACCCATACACCCGAAGGCAGCAGTCAAGAAGACCGGAGTCAGGAGCCTTCTAAGATCGATAAAACTTAATATACCAACGTTCCGTTCAGAATCCATTCTGGGTTGAATTGAATCCTGGCCATCACAAGGACAGCAACCGCTGGGTAAGAGAGAACACGGTGAGGCCAAGGCCTCAATATACATCACAACATAATAACAAAACATGTCACACCGAAAAGAGGGACAAAGCAACAGAAGACAGGACTTTTCGATGTCATTCGAAGTCTCCTACCTCAAGGCAGTTTTTGCATACATTCTTGCTCGGGCTTGTTTTGTTCAAATTCCCGTCCTGTTTCAACTCGCCTAACGCCACGCTCGTAGCAAATTTCAAAATCAAATATTGTATCAAATGGTTGGATGAGATAGCAAAGGCTATCTGGAGAATAGCAGCAGTAACACATATTCCTCGACAAGCCGGGCGGCTAGTCAGAGTAGTGCTGGAAGAGAGGCGAGAGCGACTCTCCAAAGTGGTTGCGGCGAATGGCTTCAGACAGCATAAACGACAGGTCTAGGATCACAAGCTTGTTGGTAAACTTGGCCCTCTGCTCGTTGATGGGGAAACTGTTGGTGACTACAATCTTGTTAATATATTCGCATGACTGAAGCTGCTCCAGGCAGTCATCGCCAAAGACACCGTGTGTTGCAATGCAGTACACCTTCTTGGCACCACCTCTCTTCACGACAGTCTCGGCGGCAGCAATCCAAGATGCTGGCTTGTCGATCATATCATCGACAATGAACACTGTTCGACCTCGAACATCGCCCACGAGAGTAATCATGTGCTCGAACTGAGGATCTTCGAGATGGCTGTCCTCATCGTCTGAGCTATGAGCTGCATCACCAGATCCACCCAGTGACTGGCCTCCAGGTGCATACACAGACGATGTCATGGCATCGTCGTCATAGACGCTATTGGCCGCCGTCGAACGCTCTGGAGAAGGGAAGTCATCATCGACAACGTGACCCTGGACCAAGCGAGTGTGAATCACCTCGCTTGGGCGTCGATCATCGAATGAAGATGGAGTACCATTTGAAGATTCTCGCTCCGCCAGAGACAAGGATGAGTGGTTGTCGTTGCGCTTAATCGGAATGCCAAGACCACCAAGTTGTGTCGGTGAGCCATTGGAGTCGGCGATCACACGAGAGGTAGGGGTCGAAGCCTTGACGGGAGTCGTGGGTTCTTCGGCAAGCTCATCCTCATCCTTATTGGTCTTTGAGAGGCTGCTACCGGCAGCTTCAGTTTCCTGTGGCCTGTGATATCCAGCAGCATCAAAGTGTGGCAAGATCAGGCTGTTTGACAAGTTGGACCGTTTCCGATCCGTTGTGACCATGCCAAAATTCAGCTTCAAGGCATCGGCCAAAGATGTTACTCGCTTGGTACCGCCTGCATTCTTGGAAACAACCACAGCATCTCTCCAATTATCCACGTTTCGGCGGATCCATTTGGCGATGATGGGCTCGGCGTGGAGGTTATCAACCGGGCACCGGAAGAAGCCCTGCATTTGTGAGGCATGAAGATCGACGGTGATGACGTGCTTAACGCCAGCCACCCCGAGGAGATTGGCCAGCATCCGCGCAGTGATTGCGCCGCGGTGCGCCTTCTTCTTCGATTGCCGGCTGTAGGGGAAGTAAGGGAGGACAGCTAATCAAGTTGTGAGCTTGATTCAGCGACGGCAATGGTCGTTTCAGGAAGAGGTCTAACCTGTCACTTTGTTCGCGGAGCCGCCCTTGCAGGCACTGATCATGATCAGAAGCTCCATGATCGAGTCGTTGATCCTGGAGCTGCCGGACTGGACGACGAAAACGTCCTTCTCACGGACGCTGGTCAGGATTCTGACGCTGGTCTCGCCCTTCACACGAAGCCAAGTCAGCCAATCTTTGTCGCGCAAGCAAAGCGACGGAAATCAACAAGGCTCAGGTACAAGGAGAATCGGCAGCAGCAGGGGCAAAGCGACATTGGAATCTCACATTTGCGAATTGGGTCAGTTCAGCCTCGCCAGGCTGCATGCCCAGGTTCTCGCAGATTTGGCCAGTGAGAACGGGAACAGAGTTCCCGGCAAAGATGAGAGTGTTGCGCATGGTGACTTCGGCTCGCCGTCAATTAACCCACGACAAGAGGGCAAAGACTTGGTCGAGGGGAAGAGTGGTGCAGTGCAGAGAAGAGGAAGGAAGGCGAAGTCGTGGAGGGATGGAGCAAAGCTTTATTATTTTTCTTCGAGGTCCCTTGCTCCTGCCAATAACCACGGTTGATGGCTGGAGGGTGGAGCCGGGCTGATACAGTGCTTGTTCTGTAATGAAACAGTATGTGGCATCGATGTCTCTTTCGTTTGCACGCGCTTAGCGTGGCTGCACAGTCCATGCACTGTGCATCGGAAAGACAAGCGGGTGCATCCAATGGCGTCAGTGGGGAAGTAACCGGGAAGCAGCTTATCGGGCGCTGGTCAGAAATTTCTCAGCGGGCCGGTGAGTCCAGGGCAAGCAAGCGCCCACAGCAAGCACAGGCTTTCTTCGCTTAGAGTGTCGCTTGGGATCGACTGTACCACCAACCTGAGAATCATTTAGGCCATAATACAATCCAATTCCTTATTTCCCCGTTCCCTAGTTGTGTCCCAGCAAGCACAAACCGCCTCGTCCGGGGGTTCGGGAAATTCTGACCCCCACCAACTCCAGGCCCGTGCCATCACGATGGGCATCACAGGCCTTACAGCTACCCTACAGCCATATGGCGTGTCTGGGGTTCTCACAGATCAGCATGTCGTCATTGATGGCCCGGCGCTGGCCTACACCATTCTCTCTATTTGTAGATCTAATGGGATATCTCAGCCCTCGTATGATCTTCTAGGCCGAGCTGTAATCCAATGGCTCGATGTTCTCGCTCTACAGGTTAAGGAAATGTAAGAATGGCCAACTTGTTAATTAAAAGTCAGATCACGACAAGCGACTTTGGTTCCATTTGACTGATAGCTTCTTCCCAGTGATGCCATCTATTTTGACGCCTATCTGCCTGTTGGAAAACGCGATGTCCGTATGGACAGGTCGGCAAAGCTCTTTATTCAGCTCATGCAATTCTGCAACAACTCCCCCAAAGGTTGCGACAGCAAACACTTGTATGGCACAGCCGAACACAATCTTGACCTCTTCACAACCAAACAGCCAAGCAACCATAAACAACTTGTACCACCGAGCTTCCTTGTCCCCGCCATCATTGACGCACTTGGCCAATGCCCCAGGTACCGTCACCTTGTGAGCCTCGTGCCAGGCGAGGCGGATGCCTTCTGTGCCCAGCACCTTGCCGCGCATGGGGGGATTGTCCTCACCTCGGACTCGGATTTGCTGGTCCATGATCTCGGCCAAGGGAGAGTCGTCTTTTTCCGCGACATTCACGCTAGTGCCACAGATACTTGGAAATGCCTTGTCTATGACTCAAAAAAGATATGCGAGAGGCTGGGCCTGAAGCCCTCAGGTGGAAACATCTGTAGGTTTGGATATGAGGTCTATCGTGATCCACATGCCAGCATCTCTCAGCTTGTTCAAAACTGCTCCTCCCTGATCCCTGACGAGGCCGAGTATAACAGGTTCTGCCAGCAATATCTGCAGCATGAACTGGCCAACTTGCCCGTCACAACCCAAGGAGAAACCGTGCAATTGCGCAACCTCGACCCGAGAATATCAGAACTGGTTCTGCAACTTGGAAACCCCACAGAGGACATTCCGGCCGATTCAAGCTCAGAAAGCCGCATATTCCTTCCTGTATTGATAGAAAACCCCCTACGAGGGAGCGCGTGGGAACCATGTACTCCCATTCGACAGCTCGCATACTCCATATACAGGTGGCTAGTCCCAGGCTCCAACTCAACAGTTCATGAGTATAGAAGGGTCCAGAATGTGGGCCACAAAGGCAGAGAAGTCAGCGTGCTTTCTCGGCAAGAAGCCATAGAGCTGCTTCAAAGCCTTCTGCAGACTTTGCAGCGGACACAAGATCTCGTCGATGGGGTTGACAACATCTCCTGCTGGACACTTCTCTGCATGGCGTTGAATATAAAAGAATGTCAGGAACAAGAGAAGCAATCACATGTTCTCCAGATCTTGACGCAATCGTCAGAAAATGCCAAGCCTGCCTCCAACCCTAAAATTCCTTGGGACACCATTCACATTACGGCTCATTTACAGGCTTCTCTATACTCTTTCAGAATACTAGAGCAAATCTTATCCCTTGTGCCGGACGGTGCGTGGATTCATTTGCCAACAGAAGCAAGGGAGCTCCATGAGGCTCTCAAACCCCTTCCTGGGTTTACAGAATTTCCATCAGTGAAACGAACGGAGGAACTGCTGCGACAGAAGCTAGTACTCGAAATTTTGGATTTACTGCGGAATTTTATTGATATCCCTATCAGAAAAGTCAAAGAGAAGAAGTCACGAATGAAGAGGAAGAAAGAGAATAAAGGCAACGGTCCACCGACAAAACGGTTTGCAATACCAAAGGTCGGAGCGGGAGGAAGCATCTTCAGCTTACTTGCGGATGAAGAATGAGAAAAGATAGAATTAAGATATAGATATGATTTGAAAGCCAAGACGGCGGCTGGCGATCCTAGACATAGAGGCCATTCGTAACATCCCGAAATACACACGATTCCCTGACATCAGCCATATCCTTCATAAACCATCAGTTCATAACACGTCCAAACTCTCTTCATCATTCAGGTTGCCCTCAAACATGGGTTACAACTATTCTTTAATTCACTTTTGATCTTCAAATATTCCAGGACCATGGATGTCAAGCATGACATCTGAAAGTGAAACTGCAGCCCCCTCTTGTGGTTGCTGCTGCTGTGGCTGCTGCTGCTCATCTTGGCAGTCTAGCAAGAGGTCTTCATTGACTGCCCCGGATCCAGATTGCTTGATTATCCGCCATGCCCGCCGGAACTCATCACGAATGGATACGATGCCGTTATGTGTGACGGTCCGAGCAACATTATGATCGAGCTCAAACGGGTCTTCAATGGCAAAGAGGTACCGAAGGCGTACCTCCTTGAAGTCCCCGGCCTTTCCACGGGGCTTTGCTGATTGGGTCTCAGTATCTGTTGCGGGCTGAGGCGACTTCAGCTCTGTAGTCTGGGCGGCGTCGCCCTGTGGCTCGTAGATTGTCTTGGCCCCAGTCCATCCTTTTTCCTGTTTCGAAACGAGTCCCCCAGGTGTACGAATGCTGAGAACATCTCGTCCCCAGTCAAAACCTTTGCCTTGTCTGTTGCTAAGGAAGTTGTTCTGGGCATAATATTCAAAGAAGCCTCGCAAGAGACTGCCGATTGACTCAGTGTTCCTATTTAGCTGATTCAGAGAAGCCAAGTGCATAATTTCTTCTTCGTTGCGCCAAAAATTAACACGGTAACCGCAAAGTGTAGTACTTTTCTCGATATCAGCTGGTGATATGCCAGGTGGTGGAGGTGGGGCAAGCTGCTGTAGATTGGGGCACACAAAGGGCTGCACCACATTAACGAGATAGTGTAACACCATGAGAACGTAGCCATAGCTGCTCAAAGTGCCTCGATAACCTGAATTGATACCCCTCATCTTGGCCCAGTGCTTCACAAATAGCACCATTGGTCGCACCCTCGGGTCAGTGAGCGAATAACAGCGTAGAAGAATGGTATTCTGTAGTGCGAGCAGAGCCGAGAAGTTGATATCACACTGAACACCGCATCCAGAGCTTGGAAACTCTAATTGGTCCTTGTACTTTTGATTCTGCTGATTGCGAGTCAATGCGTGCGGATCCGTCACGGCTCTCACCCGGGAGACCAGTGCTGATATCTTTGGTGCGGCGGGATCATCAATGTGACCATCAGCTGTGATTTGTGGCGGTGTCCGAAGTATCTTGATATACTCTTGGATATCAGCAACATTTTCCGATTTGTAAACACCCTTCTCCAGAGTCCTGGCTAATTCGCGAGCTAGGGCGAGGGCCTTGTGCCTGCGGGAAACTGTATCGAGACTCCATTTCTGCGACGCTCTCTCATACTCGGCCTCGAGGGCGAGCCGAATCTCATGCGTCGAGATGCCAGAAATATAGTGCCCAACTGTGGCTCGTTCGAGGCTTTTAGCGTTCCGACCGGGTTCCTTTACGAGTTCATCAAGGGCGCTGGAAGCCCGAATGTGGTATGATGTGGGTGTTTCACCGGGCCCCTGCTCCAGCAGAATGATCCGGCTGAAGGGGACCTTTCTCAGTCTTTCCAAGGCATTCTGGACCTCCCTGGTGTATTGCACAGGGTCGACACCATAGTCAGTTCGGTACTGTAACTCTGACCAGGCCATCATTGTTTGGTCGGTCTGGAATTGGCGAATATCAACCCCGGATTTCTCACAGAGGCGATTGAGGTCAAGCAGAAACTGCTCTCCCTCGATCTGACACGATACTGCCTTCATGGAGTGTCGGTCTGGTTGATTGTGCCCAGATTTGAATTGAAGAGATGGATAACTTTGGAGTCTTTGTCGCAGCTCCGAGTCAGAAAGACCACGCACAAAAGCTGCACAGACCCTGCTTAAAACATCCCATTCGTGGTCGGAGAAATTATACGAGGTTGCTCCACGAACGTCACGCCCACCAGCCTTGCGTAACACATGCTTTGCAAGAGTCGAGTACGCCGAGATGCTGGCTTTAGGTCCTTGCCTGAGGTAAAATCGCTGCGGCTCTCCACCGTGGGGAGAGGGAATCTCGAACTCGTCAGATTTTAAGATGGCATTGTCTGCTCTGGGAGACTCTGCGACCGGTTCCTCATGTTCCTCTGTCGCTGGATTACCGGGAGTTTCGGGTTCTACTTCATCCTCCTCTTGTCCGTCGTGGATATCATGAAGTCCATCCTCCCAGGCTTTGCGGTACGCAGATAAGTCATCATACAATTGCTGTGAAGGTTTTTCACAGAGCTTGATGATAGGTACACGTGTACGACTCAGTAGTCGAGCACCCAATCCAGCATCCAGAAGTGCCTTCTCAATGAGGCGAGGAATAGGGGATTCTTTGGCATCTGGCGGAATCCCCGAGCATGGAGAGAGAAGAGCCAAATCCATATCTGACGCCTTGGTTGCGAATCCGGAGGCCAGACTACCAAAACATTTGAGCTCAACTGAGGGAGACGGAAAGTCCCATCGCTGGGCAAGTGTTTGCTCATGCTGTGTTATAACATCCCTGATGATACTCTCAATTCTCATTCGGAACGCTTCTTTCTCAGAAATCTCGGCTCGCTCGATTTCTGAACCAGAGACGACCTGGAAGCTAAGTTGCTCCAAAAAGGCCGATTGATTCACAATCTCTTCAGGACGGAAGACTAGCCTGCGAGGCTGCTGAGATGGGCTGGAATGAGAGCCGCGCCAGCTGGAAGGCGATTGCTGCCCAAAAGATCCCCGCTGCGTACGTTTATTATGGGGAGAGTAGTAACCAGAAGAAGACTGGTTATTGTGAGGGCCATGACCATGCGCATAGGGCTTCGATGGCATGGTGTTGTTATGAAAATGGTTTGCATTTCCATGCTGGTGCGAGTCTGTTTGCCTGGGGTCAGGGCCTTGGTTACGCCACCTCTGACCTCCTGGACCAGAATTACCACGACCATGTCTCTGGCTTTCGGGAGATGCTGGAGCCCGGGGGTCAATTGGGATATTGAACTGGGAATTCATCTGACGCCGCTGTGCTTGGTTCGGCCTCTTTTTGGCTTTATGGTGGTCATTCACATCACCTGGGTTGGCAGTTGGCTGGGAGGCTGCGGGCTCTTGCGTAGATTGGCTACCTGGCGGTCCATTTGTGAGAATCAGATTCCGCAATTGGTCTTCGAGGCCTGGGCCTGATCGTCCCGTGGAAGAGGTGGGAACAGTATCCATGGTTGCGTTTTGAAGCCGAGCTGACGAGGCAGAGAGCTGTTGGTGAGTTGACAGGTTGGGAGGACTCAATATACTTTGCTTGTTGGTTGATTGGTTTTGGTTTTATTACATGGTTTTACCCGGCAGGCAATATGAAGTGGGTTATTTCCCTTTTTTTTCTTTTTTTCTCCCTTTCGGGTGGCGTATGTTGTGTGAGAAAATGTATTCCACAGACTCTTGTATTGGAAGCTGAAAGCTTGAGTGATAGCTGCTCTGAAGTACTCTTACATGAATCCGGCGACCAAGGAGCACCGTGAGACTCTTGGAGGGGATGCAAAGGGGTATTCGGCATGCGCGATCTGATGGACGGACAGGCGTATGGGTTGATTGTAATGGTGTTGTTGTCTGAGGGAGAATGGGCAGAGAATCTCAGGTTGTTGTGGCTCTGAAAGAAAGCAGTAGCACGCTGATTCGACAGGCGTGTTCGCTATGTTCCAGCCGAAAAGCCTAATCAGGCATGGTGCCCCTCTTTGACCCAGTGGGCAGACTGAGCTGCAGCAGGAGGAGAACTTTCGTCAGATTGAGCGAGTCGCTTTTGTGCGTCTGGGGTGGATCCTTGCGCCTGATGTAATGCGTTGCTCATCCCCCCCGTAGTATGTAGTATTGAGCTGCGAGTCGTGGCGGAAGAGAGTTGCCAGCGCTCGCTCTACCTGCACATCTACAGCAATGGCCAAGGCCTGCTGTCTGCTAACCGGTACGCTGCCAGGCGAAACATGACTGTGCTCCATTTAGCCATCTAGGGTAGGTAGGCAGGTATGTACCTCGATACCGATCCTCGATCATCGGCAGGTACCTCGACAGAATGAAGCATCATGTACTATTGCAAAAGCGTTTATTTGCTGCTCATTTGAGGATTGCAAGGGGCATGTTGATTAAAACTCTGATTAGAAAGGGCTTGTACCTCAAAGATAAAATCACAATAGAAGAACAATGCTCGGTGACAAGGTCAGCATTGGACCTGTGCTACCTCGAGATTCGTGTTCGCCAAGTACCTCAATACAGTATGCCGGGTTAATGAGTGACCAGGTAGCTCCTCCCCACTTTAATTCTCCCTGCCTCACCCAACGCCTTTCTCCGTCATATCTATTTCTGGGCTAGAAGAGTGTCGGCACTGCTGCTGTTTGTTCCATCCTCCATCCATCCATCGTGCCTTTGTCCACGTCTCTTGGTTCTCTCCTCTGTTGGCACTCGAGGCCCTTATGCAGCTGCCTGATTGAGCACTTCGGTCGAGCACTTCTGTGCCTACTTCTAGCTCTGCTGACGTAAAGAAACCTTGCCGGGCTTTGCGCCGCGCTGCTGGTCTGCCTCGCGAGCCCCGTGAAGTTGACCCAACGTAGTAGTGTCGCGCCAGGCTTCGACTCAACAACCTGCCTCTCAGTCCCAGCACGCCTGCGGCCATTGACGAAGACTCCGACCAGTCATATCAATATATATATGCACATCCACCCCATCGCTTCGCTGCGATGAGCGCTCCACCGCCCGGAAGGCCAAACGGCGCCCCAAGGCCTCCCATGCAGAAGGCAAACCCATTGCGCCCTATGCGAAGGAAGCCAGCGAATCCTATGGTAGCCCCACGGCGCGGACCGAATGCTGCTCCTCCTCCTCCTGCTCCGAAATCGAATGCCCAGAATGGCGCGCAAAAGAGTCTTGCTCAGCGACGCCTAGCAAACGATGGTTGGATGGACCCAAAGCCCGAAGGAGCCCAAGACATCCCCATCTTGACGACGAAGAAGGAGCTTTTACAAGGGATGCGCTTTCACCTCATGAAATTTGCCCAATCCAAGATGGGTGACAAGCCTGTTGATCCAACCGACCAGAATGAGTTTGCGCGCCCAGTCACGCTTCAACGCCGAGACGCCCGACAGCCGCCAGCTGGCCGAGCTATCCGTACTGACGAGCCCGAGGCTCCTCCGGTTGACGAGTCTGAAAGGGAGCGGATGGCTCAGATGAAGGCGGATAAGGAAGCACAACGAGCGATTGACCAGGCCAAGATCGCCCCAGTAGCCAAAGACCCCAACCCAAAACCGAAAAAGAAGCAAAAGGAGGAAAAGACCATGTTTCATCGGACACACAAGACCGAGGCAGCCAAGAAGGAGTCTGACCTGAGATATGAAGAGGCCCTTCCTTGGCATCTGGAGGATGCGGATGGCAAGAATGTGTGGGTGGGCAACTACGTGGCTGCGCTCTCTGAGAGCACGGTTGCTTTCAGGATTGATGGACATTATTTTCGAATGCTACCCTTGGAAAAGTGGTACAAATTCTCGTCCAAGCCTCCTTTCCAACCCTTCACGATCGACCAGGCCGAGGCCTTCATGAACCGTAAAGTCGACGTTGGACGATGGGTGATGAAGAATGAGGATCAGAAAGCACAGGCTGCCGACATGGAGGCCACCCGCCGAATGCTATATGGTAAAGGTACCATGGTCAAGACAGAGAGTTCCACTTTCAGGAATGCAACGAGACAAGAAAAGCTCGAACATGACGAATTGGATGTATCTGGAGATGAGTTCCAGGATGACGATGATAATGTCAACTTCGAAAGGAACGATGATGAAGATACCAAGGAATCGAAAGACCGGATCCGTCGTGAGCAGCTTGGTGCTAATCTTTGGGGTGATGGCGATGAGCAGGAGGTTGACAGGGATCTGAAGGATCAGTTGCGGGAAGAGCTGGAGAGGAAGAAGTATGGTAAAACTACCAAGAAGGCTCTCATCAAGCGCGATAGGGAAGATGTTTATGAGAGTGAGAACTCAGAGGAGAACCCCTGGGATAGTTCGGTTAGTGCTATTTCTACATTCTGGCGAGAGACAGGGCTAACATTCCATACCTTAGTCTGCTGACGAATCATCTGATGATGAGGAAGAAGTAAAGGAGGAGGAAGACCAAGCAGATGGAAAGGGTACGAACGACAGCAAGGATCAAGACAAAGACAAAGATGGCAAGAGCGGCACACAAGGCAAGCCGAAACCTGACCCGGCAAAGAGCAAAAGCCTGAAAAGAGCAGGCTCCCCGACCCTTTCAGAATCTAGTGGAAACGAATCGTCGAGGAAGAAGATCAAGAAGACGGCCACTCCGGCTGGTGGAAGTCGCGCGGGAACACCCATGCACATGCGCAAGCTGAAGACCGGTGGCGCTGGCTCTGGTAGCGACGGAGAGGCGACCGCAGGTGAGATGTCTGACGGTGCTGGTGCCAAGATCAAGAAGAAGAAGATTAAGGTCATTGGAAGCGGCCAGGGATCCCCATCAGCGTCTCGGGCGGGTAGTCCCAACCCTGGACAAGGAAGTAAGTACAGCAGTAAGAAGCTCCTGTTGAACTGTGCTAACAGCGCCTTCTCAGGTGCATCCCCTGTGTCATCAGCAGGTAAGGGAATCGAGGCATGGGAAATCGTGGAAAAGATCCCCCCCGAGGGAATCACTATTGGCGAACTGATCAAGCCATTCCTTGGGCGGATTGGAGACAAGCCTGGCCAGATGTTGAAGAAAGACTGGATCGACCTAGTCAAGGTGACATGCGACTATGGACCGGACAAGCGACTCCGTCGTAGAAATAGGTAGCTGCTCTGTCAACTTGGCAGTCCTAGACCAGGCATCGTTTGACGATATCTGGAACTGCCTACTTTAGGTGCTTTGAAATAGAGTTCTGAATATTGTCGACATCGGCAAGATTCTAGACAGAAGGATTGCCCATAGCGAGGACCTTTGGGAGAAAAGGTCATAGCGAATCACTTAAGAAACAGAAAACATAATCTGCTAGCGTTGAGGAAGCTCATTTTTATAAACCGAGTTGGGAGCAGTCTGGGACTATTTGCGGAATAAGTAATAATTACACACACTTGGGTGTTTTAAGGGTATCTCCAATGAAAACATATATCATATTGCGCCGCTTATTCGTCCATTTGCCATGAATACTCCAGCCCCTTGTTCATCTCACGCCTATTGATTGCCCTGAATCTCTCGGCCTCGAAGCCATTGCTTCGGTCGACCCCATCCCACCGGTAACCGGGCTTGATCCCGTACCGGTTTGGAGGTGCGCCCCCTTGGTAAATGGGTCGGTGTTTTGACTTGCCCTTGGGCTTGGTGCTCTTCTTCTCTGTCATGAATTGCATCATGGGGTCGTTCCACCTTTCCTGCTCCTTGAGCTCGTCATTCATCTCCTTATCGTCGGCCCTCCTTGCGAAAGCCATAGTCTTTGCGTCCTCCAGCTGCTCCCTCCTTTTTCTTGCTGCTTCTAGCTGGACGTCACCCTTCAAGTCTTCCAAGGCTTGACGTTCCTTCTCCTCCGCTTCCACGGCTGCTCGACGCGCCTCTGCACGCTTCATGGAGATGTCTATTCTTCGGCCCGTCGCGTCACGATAGACTGTTTCCGCCTCTTTGCCGTTCTTTTGGTGGCGCTCGAACTCTTCTCGCTCCTCGCGCTGACGTCGCTTAAGCTGTGCTGAGACGGCGGCGCCGCTCTGCAGCCCTGCGTGTGTCCCGTCGCTCATCTTGACCACGCTCGAGTCATCCACCACGGGCATCTCGTCTTCTTTCTCGCGCGCGGCGTCCTGTTCTGCCGCAGCAGCCGCGAGAATGGCATCGGCCTCCGCGCTGTCGTCCTTGCTTGCCTCGCCATTATCGCCCACGGCCTTCCAGTTGCTCTTTTTGGCTTTGCGAAACTCCGAGCTTCTCCCTGTTACAGTCACGGGGCCATCGGCGTCGTCGTCTTGGGCAGCACCTGATTTGCTGCCCCATGATCCATCGTCGTCGTCGGTGATCAGCAGCCCGGACGCGGCTGGTGCCTGCTTGCGCTTGCGCTTCTTGCTGGGCTTGGTGTCTGCAACGAGATATCGCGAGGCGAGGTAGTTTGTGAGATCTTCGGGCATGACGAATCTAATTTACTTGTTTGAGTTTCGTATTGCTGGAATGGCTTGGGAAAAGTTGCCTTCGCAAACCAAAAGTTTCACATGCACGAAGCCTGGGCCATGTCTCTGCTATGCAGATAGCCGGATCGTAAAGTGCCTTGATGGGCCCCGATACTACGATGTGGGGCTAACCGCTGTCAAGCGACGGCGTTGGGCGACTTCAAGAGTCCGAATGGTGATCCCCCCCATCGCCCGTCACGCCCGAGGTTCGCTTTGTTTGGTTTGAGGAGTCTTTGAACCCCCCTCCAATGCTGAGATACGAGCCCTGAAGGAACATGCGGATCCGGAGTTCTACCCAGCCTTTCGGGATCACGCAGATTACGCTTTGCGCGCCTCATGCACCCTACGAGGTAGCGACCATTCCTTAAAACCAACCATTGAAGAGCCCAGCGAAGGCTTAGCAGAGACAAGACGAACTCTCCCGGCCGCAATCCCCGAGCAAGCCGCATTCATGACACAGCCTCTCAGCGATGACGCCCCGCCGACGGAACCGATCCAGGCGCTCCCAGCCCCGGCCTCGGCCGCCGCCATCAAGCTGCCCAGCATGGCGCACTCGCTGACCGGCGACCCGCTCTCCATGTCCGACTCGGAAACGACCATTGCGTTCAGGCGGAACCACCCGTCGGCTGCGTCTCTGTATGCGTCCACGCTGTCCCCGCCGGGATCGAGGCCAATGTCCCCCGCGGGGCACGGGTCGCCGTCACGAGTGCTCTCCTCTACCATCTTCGGACCCCCCTCGGGCAGGTCGCTACCTGACGTCAACATTGGCGAGAACCCCGGTGATCCGGTCAACCTCATGCTCAAGGCGTTTGTCCCCCATGTCGCCATCTACGCTTCCGATGACGTGGAGGAGCTTGCCGCGAAGAAGGGTTTCCAGCAGGGCTTCTGGGAGCTCTTAAGACCGTTTGGTGAGCGAATCCAGGGTAAGGTGTCGGTTCGGGATAGCAACGGGGTGAGCAAGATAGCGGAGGAGTTCTCCCTCCGATTCACCAAGTTTGGTGAGAACGTGGACCAGCCGGGGACGAGGACAAGGACGCCCAGCTTGATGCAGGGTGGCTTTGGTGACGGCAAGAACGGAGAGAAGCAGGGACCGGCCCTCACGCGGGATCAAAAGGCACTGGTGGATGTCGAGTCGGTTGTCAGCCGTCATTTATCATTTGCCGAGGAGTCATTTCTTAGCTCACCTTTTCACGCCGCTCTGTCCTCTACTCAAGGACTAGACACCGAGGCTACGTCTCCATACTATGCGCTCTATTTACGGCGGCTTCTCTCAGCGATGCCTATTGCTCCGCATGAGACCTTCACTCACCCCGTGGCTTGCATTGTCGCTGTTACAGCCGGTTCGGAGGACTCGGTGGGAGAACTGCGTCGGATATACAACGAAACCAGCACAGGGCCCAAGAAGCTCCCTCCGTGGGTCGACGGTGACTACCTACGATTTTATGTGCTAGTTCACGACGAAGAAAATGACGATATTACTCGGTCGATGGCCCTCTATGAGCAGATGAGGCGGCATTTTGGACAAGATTGCCATCTTCTGCGACTGCGTAGTAGTCAAAGTGCAGAGACGGACGACGATAGCATCCCGATCCCGCGAAGCGACTGGATGCCGGCAGAGGAAGAGCTGGCAGAAATCCGCCGCAGCGAGAATGAGGAAGACTTCGAAGACCCCTTACGATATATATTTGAATCTGATGCTACTGCCATCAGGACATTTGTTCGCGAGTTGGTCACGTTGTCCCTCTTGCCCAAAATGGAGCGCAACGTCTCTATCTGGAATGACCAGGTCGCCTCACGTAGGAGGGGTCTGGCCGGTCGATTTATGAATCTATCCAGGAAGTGGGCCAGCTTTGGTGGCAACTCTCGGTCCTCGATCAACGTAGGAGGCACCGACAATTATGATATGTCGGGATTCTATAGGGCGGAGGCGCCGGAGGCCATCATGAGGAAATTGGCAGACTACGCGTTCATGCTACGGGATTGGAGGCTGGCATACTCGACTTATGACCTGTTGCGGGCGGACTTTGCCGATGCAAAGGCCTGGAAATACCAGGCTGCTGCGAATGAGATGGCGGCGCTCAGTCTCCTGATGATCCCGCACCAGCTCACATCCAAAGCCAGAGCGGAAACCGTGGACCAGATGCTAGAATCTGCAGTGTATTCATACCACACGCGCTGCAGTTCGCCCTACGGCGCGATACGAAGCTTGATCCTCGGCATCGAGCTTCTGAGAATCAGGGGAGGAAACAACATCGACGATGCGGGCAGGTGGGGTACACGGCTGCTCGACCTGAAGATTCTCGGCCCCATCGGAGAAGCCTTGGCCAAGGAGCGTTTAGCAATCGCGTATTCTTGTAAAGAAGGTGTCGGCAGCTGGCACTGGGGGGCCCGCAGCCGCAAGTCTGCAATGTGGAGTGCCCTCGCCGCGGAGGCATGGGTCAAGCAGGCAAAGTATATCCCCGGGCAGCGATGCATAAACCACGCACGGAACATCTACTCGGCGAATCCCCCCAAGACGGGCATATCGGGATATACCGAGGCGAACCAGTTCGTCACCTCTCTTGCGCGCACCATCGCGGAGCAGCTCGACCTTGTAGACGACGATCTGGACGATGCGAGTGACGAGGACCTGGATGACGAAATAGACGAGGAGAGCGAGGCTCTGACGGATATGAGACGGAGGCGGCCGAGCAATGGCAGGCCACAGAGCGTTATCGAGACGGCGCCTCTGCGGGACGACGGGACGGGAGAGAATGGCAAGGCAGGGTTTTGATAAGAGTTGGGAGCGACTCGAATTACGAATAGATGGCGTACAGGGGCATCATGGCTGTAAAATACAAAGTATATTAATCTACTACCACTTTGTTTCTTCACATGATGCCGATGAGAAGCTATGCTTCCTGTATGGTTGTGCCGGCTTGATTACGCTATGCACTTGAGGAGCGCCGCGAAACGACAACTTACAAATATCTGCATGTAATGTCTCGACTTGACAGCTCGTTACGGTAGATTTTATGAGCAATGATGAAATATATGGATTGGCTTGCCAGCGTATAAGTGGCTTTCGAATATATATAATCAGTAATTCCAAACAAGGGTATGCACTGGCTCGAGAATGAATGTCCATGCATATGAGGTGGTGAATATTACTTATCACCAGGCAGGTATCAAACGCGGGAACCCTTAGTCGCACGAAGTTGAAGAGCCAACCTCCTGGTCGGAGCTGGAGTTCTGCTTGATACTAGGTATGCAATAATAAGCAGACCAAGGGAAGATTCCAGTTGAGCAATCCCAGTTAAATTGGATAGGTACCAAGCAAGTGGGTGAAATAAAACATGGCACACCAAAGCTCATTTCACGTACAGCAGGGACCTTACTTTTAACTAAACACAATAGCAAAAGAGATTCAGCGCTGAACTGTCTAAATGTGCCATGCTTTATGTCAGTCGCTTGCCAAGGTACTCTCCATGGCTTTGTTCTTTGGTGAGGTTATGATTGGGTTGAATGATGGACAATGGTGGGGTGTTGGATGGCGCTGATAAGCACAAGCACAACGGATAAGGCCGCCAACGTCACTCGGCATCTAACGTTAGCCTCTGCCTCTTGGTCCGCGTGCGCGCCCTCGTGTGCCAGGAAACAATAGCATCTAATTCTCGGCGTTTTTGTTTTTCATCCTAACTTGATACCCATTCATCGACAGTTTTTACCCTGATCAACCCGAAAACACACCGAAATATTTGATTCAGGGCTTGGCTGCCCCATTTTCGCCTGCATCATGGGCGAGCTTGCCGACTATCTTAACCAGCACGACAGCAACTTCCGCAAGTATGCAACAGTCCCCTACAATGGAACCCGAGCTGGTTGTTTTCTCTACTATGCTAACGCGGCGTGGACAGGTCACGGCTCCCTGCATTATACTCAGACTTCAGACCACAGCGAACACTGAACCCCGATGGGTACCAGGCCAACATCTCGGCATGGAACCAAGCCCTATCCCACCTTGCCTCGCAGGGCATCCTCTCTAAATACAGCACCGAATCCAGCCCCCTGATACTCAAGATCGATAACTCGATCCTACGCCATTTCGAGAGCAGACAGTACGGCCAGCCGCTGGCGCTGGGGACCGTCGTGCGAGAGGCGGTCGCGGCCAAGAACCTTGTCCCCCTCAACGACTTCCTCAAGGCCCAGACAAACATATACCAGCGCGGCTGGGGAGAGCTCCCCTGGACCGTGGTGGGGTGGACGCTGCGCCAGCTGGGCATGGTCGATCCTTCGAGGGGGGAGGATACGCTGCCAACAGGCCGGTACGTGGCGATGCAGAACCTCGAGTCGGCGGCTGCGGAGCTGAGCGAGAGGATGGCGGGGAAGACGTCCATCTTCGATCGCGTCTTCACCAAGACCCAGTTCGAAGCCACATTCGCCACGGAGCTCGTCCCCGGCCAGCGGCTGTCGGAGCAGGACATCGACGTGCTCCTGAGGTTCCTCGCTCGGGAGAAGCAGACGGTCGAGTACGATGGTCAGACGGTGCGCATCAAGGGCGGCGGCGATGGAGATAGGAAGCTGACGGAGGAGGACGCCACCGTCGCATCGATCAAGGAGCTCACGGCCAATCTCAAGCACCAGATTTCCCTCCTCAATACACGGGTCGAGGAGCTGGAGCAGACCGCCAGGTCTGCCGTCATGCGCAAGCACAAGATATCCGCGCTCGCTGCCCTAAAATCAAAGAAGATCGCCGAGGCGTCTCTGGCGTCGCGGTACACCACCCTGAACCAGCTCGAGGAGGTGGCGAACAAGATCCAGCAAGCCGCCGATCAGGTGCAGCTCCTGAAAGTGATGGAGTCTTCCGCCAGCGTTCTGAAGACTCTCAACGCGGCGACAGGAGGCGTTGAGAAGGTGGACAGCGTCATGGACCGGCTGAGGGAGCAGATGGGCACGGCAGACGAGGTGGCGGCCATTCTTGCCGAGTCTGTCGGTGCCCCCATCGACGAGGCCGAGATCGACGAGGAGCTGGAGGCGCTGGAAGAGCTGGAGAAGGAGAAGGAGGCGGCGGCGAAGCGCGCCAAGGAGGAAGCGCAACGCCAGAAGGAGGAGGCCGAGGCGCTCGAGAAGCTGGAGAAGCTTCCCGAGGTGCCTGTGGCAGACGAGCCAGCGAGGGAGAAGGCACAAACGCCCACTTCAGAGACAGGCATTGCGAACCTGTCAATCGAGAATCAACCAGAGAAGGAAGCAGAATTGTTGGCCAACTAGTCGATGCGATGGTATAAAGCTATCTACTATTCTCTATTGGTGGCTAATTATGTGGAGTTATAAGACTTGGGCGGCCTTTTTCATGGCCATTACAAAGGCATACCGTTGTTTGGTGTGATACTTTTAGACGTTAATCATGGATACATGTAGTTTGAACGGACGATAGGGTCCTGGGACATTGTCGATGTTAATTGCGGGTAGATTAAGTATTTGCTTCCCCAGAAGAATGTTCAGATACCTGCTGGACATTTGGTACCAATATACTTGTACTTGTACTGTTGCTTCCTTCTATCAGCCCAGGGATCCCTCCTGATCCAGTGGGTAATTTATTTTCATTGGTGTCGAGCGTCTGTAGATGTACAGAGCTAGGAGTCACATCTATTACTGCTTCGGCAATTTCTTGAGGTATGCTGTCCTTTGGGGGAGGGGCTTCAAGACTCTCATCCGTCTTCGGTTTTTGTTTGGTTTCCATACGTGACTTTCTTGCATTAGCAATCAAATCCTGGAATGAGTCATTATGTCGTGTGGCCCAGGCGGCACCGTCGAAATCTTTGTCCTTGATTAGAGCGGCATTCTGAGCTGCCCGGCCTGTGGTTGGCGCACGACTTCCCTGCGTCTTCTCCCACGTATCAAGTTCCTGTAACAGCTGCATACGATTCTTTGGTCGTGCCGCATCGCAGTTGGCGTTCCACAGCGTCACCCATTCCCTATGTCGTTTCTCGAGAATTTGTCGGGGTCCGTGGTTGGGTATCTTTAGGTCGCCCAATTTCTTGCGCAATGCATTTTCCTTGAACAAGCCGTAACTCAGACCCGGTAGCCTTTCGTAGGTTGTGTTATGTGTCCGCCCTGTAGCGCCCAGCTGCGTCGTATTTGTGCTTTCTTTCTTCGTTGAAGGTCCAGTACACGACTCTATATGCCCGAAAACCTGCCACTCCTTCATCCGTTTCTGGCACATGGGACAGGCAACCAAGCCATCGGCTTTCAACAGTTAGCTTCGGGGTAACCAAGTCTATACTCAAGTAATGATATTTCTTACCAGGTTCAGGGACGAACTCATCCTCTTCCGTGTCGCTAGCTGGCACAACCTCCTCTTCTTCAACCTCTGGTGCTACCGCATATGATACTGGCTGCTTGTTTCGACTTAACCTCGCCGACGACCGCAGCCTCTTCGCATCAGGCGCAGGCTCTGACTGTGACCCGTCCTCGCCGTCTCTCGTTTTCCTCTTCGGCGACCGGGGTGGTGGCGGGTCGGGTTTCCGTTGCGCAAGCTCCAGTACGGCAGACCGCGCCGCCTTGAAAGATTCCACCGCCTCCTCCACGGACCAGTTGCTGCGGAGCTTGACCTCCTGCTCTCCCGCACGGCACACTGGACACTTGCTGTCGTTGGACAGGGCTCTCCGAATACACAGCGAGCAGAACGTGTGTGAGCAGGTTGTGATCATGGGCGTTTCGTAGAAGTCCTTGCAGACTTGGCAGCGGAGTGATGCCTCGACTCGCGCCAGCGCAGGTAATGACGTCGAAAGCCAGTCCGTCGAGTCGGCTACATCGTTCTCGGGCATTGTGGCGAAGGAATGGGCGGTTGGGCTGGTTGGGCGGGTGATAAGAATGAACAAAGCCTCAAAATGCTATCGATTCGGTTCCGAATTAATTCCCAGGGTTAGAGGTACGCCGTCGGAGTGTGAAGCCTACACTCAGACCAACGGAGACGCGGTGGACGCGCTGCGAGTGCGCTTCGGCCCCATCAATTAAAATTCTGGATGAGACTCGATAAGAGGTTAGACCTGTTTGATGAATAATTGGCTGGTTGAGCAGGCAGGACCATGCACTTAGTGGGGCCCACTTGCCAATCAGTGGCCAGCTAATTAATCTTGCACGTGAGACCGCGTTGCTGGTTCGCGTCGTGCTGGAACCTCGATGCTGAAAGGGCTTCATTCAACATTCAGGCCAGAATTTGGGAAGATTCTAAGGGGGAATTTGAAGATACCCAAAATAATACTCAAGTAATATTCGGATAGGAGTATCCATATTACCAGTTGAAAAATGGACGAGTACAAGAAGTTTCTAGCCGATCGGCTTCTCAGCGATGAGCAACCAGTGAGCAGAGCTCATCCCAGCCCAATATAGATACCAGCTAACCAGAGCCCAGATCACATATAGACTTCTCAGCAGAGCGCTCGGGATACACGTCAACACGGCAAAAGAGTAAGAAAACTCATGGCCCGACTCACTTGTTTATCAATGACTTATGGCGGAATTATAGAATGCTGTACGACTATCATACCTATCAAAATGGTATCAAGGCAGAGTCGATCCATGCTACCTATGTAGTGTATGGTACCAAGACCCAGAACAACACTGCTGAAGATGGGGATGTCGAGATGAGCAGCTCAATGCCTGAGCATGAACCTCTTTCCGAAACAGTTCCCACGACGACCTTGGCCCTGATCCGCCAGGAGAATCTAGAAGGTACTGAAACACTTAACCGGCCCTCTTCAATGAACTAAATGCTAACAAGAAGGAAATTCAGCTGCCCTAGCAGAGTACCAGGAGGTTGTGTCAATACATGTGTATAGTCTCGCCCCCGGCCCTCAGCGGGACGTATCTCTTCTCTATGATGTGGCCAAATCACTGGCCGAGTACACTTCAAAAGAAGACCCCCTGACGGCTGGCGAGAAGTACGGAACAATCAGGAATTTGAATGTGAGGCGGAGGGACCGTCAAGCACGCCCCAAGCCAGGCTCCTCCACCACCAGTCAACCCGCCAAGGCTCAACCCCCCAAAGCCCAGCCAATTGTTCCTGTCAAATCCGAGCCAGCTGCCACCAAGAAGCCATCACCATTCGAAGTTGCAGCGGCGGCAGCCAAGCTCAAGAAGCAGCCCAGCTCACAAACGCCGTCATCTTCTGAGACGCCGACCTCCAGTGCCACGAAACCAACTCCGGCATTGAAACGAGGGGGGTCTGGAAGTATTATGCAATCATTTGCCAAAGCGAAGCCTCCCAAGCCAAAGCCGGAGCCGAAAAAGGAGGAGGACACCGAGATGGCGCTCTCGGACGACGGAGAGGCTGACGACGAGGACATTGCGAAAGAAAAGGCCGAGTACAAGGACTCGGACGCTGTGAGGAAGTCGAGGAAGCAGCGGGAGGAAGAACTGAGGCGGATGATGGAGGACGATGACGAGGAGGAGAAATCCGAGGAGGAGAAGTCCGAGGAGGAGCCTGCCGATGAGGAGATGGAAGAGGCACCCGAACCGGAGCCTGAGCCAGAGGAAGAACCGAAGGAGAAGGAGGAAGAACCGGCCGAAACCACCACCACGACCACCAATGGCCGGAGAAGGGGAAGAAGAAAGGTCATGACGAAGGAGCGCGTCATGGATGAGCAAGGCTACCTTGGTAAGAGATATTCACAGCTTCATCTTGGGAACTCTACTAACAAGCATCAGTTACGATACAAAAGCCCGGCTGGGAGTCATTTTCAGAAGACGAAGCTCCTCCGCCCAAGAAACCCGCAATCGCCTCATCCAATTCGTCTACTCCCACCTCATCGGCAGGGAAAGCCAAGAAGCCCACCGGAAAGGGCGCACAGGGGAACATTATGTCCTTCTTCGCCAAGAAGTCATAGCATTAGTTTAGAAGCCCATTGTGAGAAATCCATCATAATTCTATTATAATCCTTTTTAGTCGCCCTTACTTGAAAGAATCTACAACACGACCCTGGTCTTGTGCTGTCTTGTCTCCCGTAGCTCTATAATGCTCTGGATTTGCCTTTATCCTTTGAAGCAGTGCGCCTAGCCTCTCCACCCCGTCGACAATGTCATGCTCTTCCAGCCAGGCAAATGTGAGCCGTATCTCATTATCGAACCTGACCGAGTCGTCCCCCTTGACCGCAAACATGTTGCCTCCTCCAATAATCATGTTCTCTTCCTCTTGCGCAGCTTTGCTGATCACATCAGACGACACACCGAGATTATGGGCGATCCAGACAAAATAGCCTCCGTAGATGTCCGCGCCCAGTAAACTACTATGCCGTACCTCTGCACCGAGCGGCACAAGGTGTTGGCGGAGCGTATCCAGCATCAGCTTGTGCCTCCTCTGCAAGCTCGGCCGGATCACCTGGTCAATGTGCTTCTGCAGCTCACCGCTGTGCACCAAATCGCTCAGCATCGCGGCACACAGCTGGCTCGGGGCGCCGCCGCTCTTCGAACTGGCCGTCTGGGCCAGACCGAACGCGAATGCCCTCGTGCCCTCGGCCCATCCTGTGCGCACACCCGGACCGGCGATCTTGCTAAATGAGCCGTTACTGACGACGTTCCCGAATCCGCCCTCCGGGATCCCCAGCGCCTGATCAATATCGGATAACCGGGGGAGATACGCCTCAGGTGGCATCTCGGCTGGCCAGACACCGGGCTCCGAGGGGATGCGCCACTGGAGGAAATCGTAGACGTCGTCTGCGATGATGAGAGCGTCGTACTTGCGGGCCAGCCGCACGAGGCCCTCGCGCCTCTTGAGGGACATTGTCTTGCCCGATGGGTTGCCGCAGCTCGGAACGGCGTAAATGACGTGCCTGTACAGCTTCCTCAGCGGACCGGGGTTCTTGTACGGCTGCATTTCTGGATATTAGCAAACCGAAGACTCTTGATCTACACATGAGGAAAATAGGCCAATCCTCACCTCGCCTTGATCTCCCTTCTTGTTCTCCAATTCCTCGAACGCTTTCAGCTTGGCCTCGAGAACCTCAACATCAATGCCGTCCTCGTCCTCCGGCGCCGCATACAACCTGCCTCTGAACCCCGAATCCTCGAAGATGGGACAGGCGAGGTGGAAGACGGGCGCCACGAGCCACACGGCCCTGGTGAACACGGGGTCCGTGTAGCTCTGCAGGACATTCGCGACGTTCTGGCTCGCCCCTCCGGTGATGCATATCCTCTCCGGGTCGGGATCCACGCTGTAGTGCCTCCCGAGCCAGGCAGCCAGGCCCTCGCGCAGAGGTCTGTAGCCCTCGTCCGGGCCGTACTGGAGAGCGGGCACGAAGACCGTGGGGTTGGTCAGGAGTCGCTGGGCGGCGCCGGCGAGCAGATGTGCGGGGAGGAGTGAGGGGGACGGCCAGCCGCGGAGGAAGTTGATTGCGTGCTTGGCCATGTTGATGTTGATGTGGATTGAATGGAGGGGCTCAACAGTCATAGCACTGGAATCTGGAAATAGCTCGCCTTTCATAAGGATGACTGTCGGATTGTGAGCTGGTTTGAGGTGTGGAAAGAGGCCGTCGCCGGAAGGTTACACAAAGCGGGAAGGCTGCGACCGGCCGCAGGAAAGAGCTACTTTGTTGCTGGTATGGACTCAAATATACATTATTAATCGGGCAATTGTCCGCGATTGACAACTGTGGGTTCAACACAGGATGGGCCCGGGTGACACTTGTTGACGCAAAGTATGGCACTTCAACTGGGCAGGTAATCCAATAATCGCAATCGCCCGGCTATGAAATGAAGCACGCAATCGCATACCCAACGCAGATCCAAAATCATGCCGGCTCAGCGGCAAGGCCCAATATCATATCCCGCCATGTACGCCACTGAATACTCCAGATACTCCAAGATCCCGTCTCTAGAAAAGCAATTTTACATTGAATCTCCTGATCAAACCTCGTATGGTTTGGCACCCTCGCCGAATATCAAATGAGGCTTTCGCTTTGCCAAGTCCAGGATGGTGACAGCAAAAACACCATTCGCCCATGCAAACCAACTCCGGGTGTATTGGCTTGCACGGTCTACGTCGATACTCTCATGCACAAGACCAAGCTTCGCTGAGTTCAAGACCAAATCAAGACAGTCCTTGATCTCTTCGTCATCGTCCGACGTTTGTGCTTGGATTAGAAGACTCATCGGCCATGCGTTTCTCAACCCAATGTGTGGGCCTACGTGCTGTCAGTACAGTTTGCAATCAGGATGATTAGTGGGAAGAACGAACCTCCAATTCCTCTAAAGTCCCTTCCCTCCAGATAGTATGGGTTGCCTTGTTTCTCGAGGATCATCTTTCTTGTGTTCTGGTATACTGGATCATCAGCGTCGCAAAAGCCCATAACTGGCAGCGCAAGCAGAGAGGGGTAGTTGGCATCATCCATCATAATGGAGGAGCCGTAGCCATCCACCTCGTAAGCAAACACATCGCCGTATTTCTTATGCTTGACGATGCCGTGTTCCATAACACCATCTCGTAGCTGCGTGCTCCATTTCTCGAGCTCGGCGCTCAGGGCGGACTTGCCCGCCTTCTTAAGCACCTTGGACGCACGAGAGAGCTCAACGGACATCATGGCATTGGCTGGTATGAAGAACCCTAGAATCGTGGCATCATCGCTAGGCCTGAAGGCTGAGCGGACAAGCCCCGTCCCACTGTTCAAAGGGTTGCCGAGTCCCTGTAGGCTTAGGGTTTCTGTCCCTATGTTCGTGTTTCTTTGGAAAGTGTATTCGTTCCTAAGGTATTTCCCCGTTTTTGGATCAAATGCGGGCTGGGACTGCTGCTCTAGAACTTGGAGCAACGTCTTGACGGCTAGTAGCCACCGTTGGTTGACGAAATCAGTCGACCCAGTGTGGTCGTAGAAATCATTGGCCAGCGCAAGGAAATGGCCCAGTGAGTCAAGCTCATACTTGCATTCAAAGACAAAATTCTGCTCATAAGCGGGATGGACCTTGTCGTCCTGGCCATTCGAAGCAATAGGTAGGTTACTAATTGGTGGAGGTTGGAAAGCGTTGCAGTACGGCGACTCAATCACATACTCGGACTGAGTATTGATGGCCCCTAGAAGTAATTGGAAGATTGCAGGGTCCTTCTGAGCCAATGTCTGGTATGGCCGTAGTTGATTGGTAGAGTCTCGCAGCCATTCGGCGATGATGTCTCCGGTGATGATGAACGACTGAGGCCCCTTCCACGCGCCATCCTCCCCAAAGCTCTTCAGTCCCCCGAAGCGGAAGAATCCGGTACTCTTGCCATCGGTGTGAAATTTGACAGTCGTATCGGTCGTGGAAGGGAAGGCATTCTCGAACAGTCGGGCCAGGTCGCGGTCCTGAATGCGCGAGGTGACTTCGTCAATGACCCTCTCGATCTCATCGGAGTGGAAGGTTCGGCATCGTGGATCGGGGCGCTGGAACGGTAGGCCAAGGGGTCCGGTGCTCAGAGGCCGACTGGACGCAATTAGCTGAGCTCATCATCGTCTGAGCTTGGAGAGAAGGGGCCATACTGTGGATATGCAGCGTACTGAGCATAGTCGGGGCATGCTTCCTTGACACGGCTCAATGGATCCTGTTGGCCTGCAACACTGGGCAGCCATGCTGGGCCAAAGGCTACCAGCAGGTTAGCTGCCAGCATTCGCAAAGACATATTCGGGTGATTGGCATGCGCAAGACTGCCTGCCTACGTGGCCCAGTTAGATGTAGTTGCAAGCAGTGCGAAACAAGTCGCAGCACAGGGGACGGAATATCCTAGTGGGGCACGGCGTAAGAAGCTCCTGCTTTCCCCAGGTTTTAGTTCATCCACCTGATACCGTAATGGCTTGCCTTGGATTCCTAGTCCGAACCTTGAACCGCTTGAACGCCGTAGAAGTAGTCTCACTTTCGAACATGTTGATTTTAAGGGCTATCCTAGGTCTTACAAAAGAAAAACACAGGCTAACGCTAAGTACAGGAGCAAATGTAAATATATACAGTCCTAGATAAATTATTTAAGTGGGTATAGGTTGTAATGGCGTGGGGTTAAATAACTACCAGCCCCAAGTTCTGCTGGAAGCTGTAAACACCGGCGGCTTCCATTGTATCCTTTCTGGGTCAATAACCCGCCTCTTCTTCGTCAATTGCTTCTCTCTCTGCTTAATGAGCTTTTCTGGGATAATGATTTTGTGGTCGCTCTTGTGATAAACTTGCATCTTCAAGGCTTGAAGCGTATGCTCGACATCTTGTGTTGTCATGGCAAGCGCTGTCGAGATAGCCTCAATTGTCGCTTTCTCTTCTCGCTCATTGTATCCCATCAGAAGCTCGATAATGTTCTCCGACCAGAATTGACGATAACTGAGAAGACCTAAATCTGACAAGGGCTTCTCTGGCGAGCCGAGCTTCCCCTCGATCCTTGAAAGTTCGTAGGAAAACTGAATCAGGAGTCGACCGAAACCCTTTCGCTGGTATTGCGGTAGCGTCAAAATACAGGCTACGTTATATCCATCTGCACTCTCTTTCTCTTTTGAGAAATACCCCACGAGATGGAATCCCTTGTCGCTCCTGATTGTCATGACGTAGAACAGGAAAGGGTCGACATCATAATAGAGTGTCTTATGATCCAGGAACATTTTTGACAATAAGCAGAGGTTCCGGCACCATGTGCGCTGTCTCCTTCCGTCAATCTCGAAGAAGGAAATGTATTCGTCCCGGTAGATCTCGTTTCCAGGAGGATGTTGAAGAGTGCACTTCTTGCGATGTCTCACAAAGGAAAACTCGTCGCCATAATAACCCAGGCAAAACTCGCAGATGTAGATAACATCTTCTAAGCTGAACACCTCTGGATATGGCGAGAAATACCAAGGGAAGAGGTCGTTCTTCCCGAATTGGACCTTGGAAATATTTCTGATTCTCGAGACCTCGGTGGGGTTTTGAGTCATTGAGCCGGACGTCCTTAGCTTCTCAATTTCGTCTTCGCGACTGAATCCGTGACCATCCTTCTTCTCTTGCGACTCCTTGTCGTCAATGTCCATTTCCTCGCCCAGCCCGGGCGTCGCACTAGCTTCCACACTATCTGTTGTCTGAGTTTCGCCTTCTGGTCCGATCGATGCCGACTTTCGCTGCTCCTGTGACTCGACGAACTCTATAGCTCAATGGTTAGGTACCAGATCTGACTTATACGATGGGAGCGAGAGAAGGTTCATACCTGTCCATGGATGCGGTGTGCTGGCTTCCGACACTGCGGATTGTTCTCGCTTAGTTGTAGGGCGCTTCTGCGCCTTCTTCGAGACCAGAGTCTTCTTGTTTGCCGGTGGCGCCTTCTTCTTTTGCTCCTTGGGCTTGTCCTTCTCTGGATTCGGCCATTCTACGTCTTGATTGAAATCGATTCGTGCCACGGGTACCCATTCATCCAGACGCTTGTTGAAGTTATCGAAATTACAATAGAACTGCTTCCCACTCTTGGTTGTCTTGATGCTAAGAATTTCGGCGCGTCGAGGCTTGCCGTCTTTCTCGACCCAGGCGATGCAGCCGGAGATGATGGTGTCGGGTGTCGCGGGGCCCTTTTTTTTGGGCGCATCCGATCCGACGGTGGCCTCTCCACCTGGAGTGCTTACAGCCATGATGGAAAGCCGTTGCGCGTGGAAGTTGTTGATGGATTTTACTGATGGGGTGCTTTCAGAATGACCGGAGACGGAATGTCTGAATGTTGAACGTTTTGGAGGGGCGGCAGAATCTTATCGAAGTCTCCAGAGATATCTTATCGCAAAGGCGGTGAGATTATTTCAGCGACTGATCTAAGCCCCTTTAGGCTTAGCATTTCTGCCTACTTTAAGAAATTCCATGTTGGCGTACTAAGATCATGAGAATAATCCCCCAGTGTCAATAGGCCGACGAGAATTTCATCCTCCAGATTCAAGAAATGTCTTGGTAATAATTATTTCAAATTATGGCAGAACTATCCTCGAATTGGAAGAAGCTGCAAGCTAAATTGAAAACTGAGTCTGCCGCCAAGCCCTCTCTGAAGCGAAAGCCGACAGAATCAACACAATCAGCCCCCAAAAGAGCAAAGAAAGCCCAAGCAACAGCTCAGAAATCATCCAAAAAACTAGTACCCAAAACCAAAAACAAAGCAAACCGTAATCATCAGCCCATGGGTGCAGTTCAAAGCACCAGGATTGAGCAAGAGCCAAAACTTGGCGTATCTCCCTCCCTGGCACTATGGGCTGCGGACAACGACATATCCGCTGAGGCGTTGGCTGAGGCGTATGACCTCGGGGTCAAAGGCCATTCCATGATGGCCCCCGGTACAAAGGATAGGGTTAATCACGGTCTTACGGAAGGGGTCGACATAGGCAAATACGTTGCCCTTGATTGCGAAATGGTAGGAGTCGGCCCTGGAGGCTATGAGTCTGCCTTGGCACGTGTTAGTATCGTCGACTTCCATGGCAAGCAAGTATATGATTCATACGTCAAGCCAAAGGAGAGGGTTACGAACTGGAGGACCGAGGTAAGCGGCATCAGCACGAAGGAGATGAGATTCGCACGGGACTTCGAGGAAGTTCAGAAAGATGTCGACGCTATTCTTCAAAACCGCATACTGGTTGGTCATGATATCAAGCACGACCTTGAGGCTCTTAAACTACCTCATCCACCACGAGACATTAGGGATACTGCCAAATACCCGCCTTTCAGAAAATACGGCAATGGGAGAAAACCTTCCCTACGAAACTTGGCCCAGGAAATCTTAAGCATAGAGATTCAAAGCGGTGCACATTCAAGTGTTGAAGATGCTCGAGTCGCCATGCTTCTGTTCCGTAAACACAAACCTGGGTTTGATGTCGATCATGCAAACCGGTATCCGACAGTTCAGAAAGGGAAAGGAGGCACCGGAGCAAAAGGGAAAAGGCCAAAATCCAAGCGGAAAGCATGAGACTGTCATATTGCCGAAAGGCTATACACCGCCGTGCGGCCTTGTCAAGAAAGAGATGAGCCATCTAACTTCCAACTATGTCGGATGATAAATAGACTGGCTTATGCCATCGGTTTTTGAATGTTGAGTCATACCATATATACCCACGATATTACAACAAATCTATCAAATAATAATGTTTTCCCCGTTTCAACTACCGGTTGAAGGAGCTCATGCTTATTCCGGGCGGTGGAATGTCAATACATTCCCTGTCATCAAATTAGCTGGGAATTGACCCCAAGAATCCACCGCAGCTACATATACATCACTCTTTGATTTTCTGGAAGAAAGCCGTTGCTCGTGAATCCAACTTCGGATATCTGGACAGGGAGAAGAAATCCAACCAAAACTCATTGGCTTCTTTAAACTGTGGCATATACTCTTGTAGTAGAGTCTTCCAATCTTTGTCCTCCTGTCCCAGGCCTACACTAGCCGAGGTAAATTCCCACCACACGGGAAAATAACCACCTGTCTCCCAATCGATAATGCCGGTGAGATTACCCTTATCAACCATAATATTAACATTTGTCAAATCCCCATGTGTGAATGTATAGGGAGTTGCGGCTGGCATCATCGTCTGAAGACGTTGAGGAGCCTTTTTAGGAACATTCACAAGTGCCTTGTCCAGTTCAGCCCAGAGTTCTTGATCGCTACTAAAAGGACCATGAGGTGCGGTCGGGCCTGCTAGGAACAAGAAGGTGGAATACACAGTTTCTCCCGTGAGGCTTTGAATCCGCGGCGAGTGGAGCTTTCGAAGCTCCGTGATGTAGTCGGCGGTCTGCTTTGCAATACGGCGCCTCTGATCAGGGGACAATCTTGACCAAGCGATATTTAGAGTTTCGCCAGTCAGCTTCTCATTGATGATGAAATGACGCGAATTCTCGGACCAATCCTTTATAACAGTGGAACAGGAAGGTTGGTGTGCTGCTTCAGAAACCTCAGGTTCCCGGCCTCGTAGTTGGGGGGTGCAATGGAACGCTCCTTGATTACAAGTCACTGCCTGCAAAGCAGTCCTAAGGGCAAGCGAAGCTGCATAGGGGAGTCAGCGCGAATAGGATCTAACTTACCTTCTCGAGGCTGCTCGAAGCAGCAGCTGTTGATCGCATTTATCGTTATCGCGGTAAATAGGATCTGGCTAACCTGCTCGAAGCAGCCCGAGGCTACGGCTATTGATTGCATTCACAAGGGCCGGGGTGGATAGGATCGAGGGGGGGTCTGACTTACCTGCTCAAGGCTGCGGCTGTTGATCGTACTCATTAGTATCGCAGCAGATAAGATCGGGATTATCTGCTTGAGGCTGCAGCTGTTGATTGTATTCGCCGGGATCGCGGTCAGCGGGATCAAGAAAGGGCATGGCTTACCTGCTTAAGGCTGCAGCTGCTGATGCTATTCGCGAGAGTCAGTATAGATAGGATTAGACCTACCTGCTTGAGGCCGCTTAAGGCTATAGCTATTAATTGTATTAGCCTGGATTATGGTTAGTAAGATTGAGGAAGGTTCTGATTTACCTGCCTATAGCTGCGACTCTTGATTGTATTTATCTAGATCGTGGTCAGCGGATTAAGGAGGGGTCTAACTCACCTGCTCAGGCTGCAGCTGTTAATAACAACATACGCGCGTATGTAGCCAACGATAGTAACTAGGTACGAAGTTACGAAGTCACTCAGACTAATAGACAGTTGATATATCAAAATTAACCAATTACCAGTCAGTGTCGCGAAACATATAACTGCAAAACATCCCATTATAGACGCGAATCTAGAAGCTGCACTCCGGCTACTACCTTCATACATCATCAAGCTTCGCTTGATCATTGTGAGCCTACTGACCAAGCCCCCCTTAGTTACAGGGCGGCTCAAGGTCCTCCCCATGGCCATCCCAGACCACCTGATCACGGCCGAGTCTGTGGAAAATTCACCAACCTACATAATTTTCAACTGGCCACAATTCGTTCAAATAGCTTCTAATAATAGGGAATTTAGTGCCATTCTCACCGGAAATCAACAGAGAGGTTAAGAATTAAGTTCTGAGCTCCGTGCAGTTATTTTGGCTGTAATTAATACGGGCGAAAGCAAGGCAGACGTTGCGCGCCAGTTTAACATGTCGCACGCCGTAATCTACAAGACGATTGAACACTTCAACACAATAGCAAACTTTGATACTTTACCTCGCTCAGGACAGCCTAAGAGCCTATCTCCAAGGGAGAAACAAGCCCTCGCGAGCGCTGTACGTACTAACTTTCATACGCCGCGAAAATCGCTAGTTGCAGCCCAGGGGCTCGACATCAGCCCCTCGACAGTCCGCCACGCTTTGAACGAGCAGAACTTGCGCAAATGGAGGGCTAAGAAAACAATTCCTCTCACATAGGAATCGGTCGCTATACGGCTTTCTTTTGTATCAATCAACTTGGAGGAAAAAGGAAGATAAAGTAGTACGGGTTCGTGGCTTTGAAAACCCGGTCTTTTTACTACTGCTAACAGGCTTCTTAGATCATCTATTCTGATAAGTGTACGATCCAGAATACGAGTGCAAATCCTGACCAATAGGTATAGCGATATTCTCATAAAGCTCATGATCCTAAATTCGTCAATTTACAAGATCATAGAAAGCCAGATATCCGTATTATGGTTTGGGCAGCTATCTGGGATACTGGCCGTATGGATTTGGTGATCATAACACGCGATAAGCTCTCAAAGAAGAAGGGATTTACTTCTGCTAGCTATATCAAGGCATTAGAGGAAGGATTGCTTCCAGCCTACGATAGCACGGGTCATTTTCAGCAAGAGAATGCCTCAATTCATCGCTCAGCTGCAACAACAGAATAGCTGTTAAATCACGCGATCAGCGTTATTGACTGGCCACCTCACAGCCCGGATCTCAACCCGATAGAGCATGTGTGGGCTATATTGAAAAGAAGGCTATATAAGATGTTCCCTCATCTCTCCAATTTACATGCAAATAAGCTTAATATAGCGGAATTCAAAGAATGCCTTTATAAAGCGTAGCAGTCTCTTGATCAGGCTAAGATTCGGAGCCTGATCCTCTCAGTACCGCGCCGGCTCGAAGCTTACTATACTGCAAAAGGCTGGTATACAAGGTTTTAAAATTCAGACTTATAGCTACCGATAGATACCTATTTTATTAATAAATTCTTATGTAATCGTATGTATCTTGCGGTTTGAAATGTCATGTTGAATGTGACGGATAACCCAATTGGGGGTGGTGTCACGAACTTTTGGAAGCCCACTTTAGCCCTCTGATAGCCTTGCCAGTACTGTCCACAACCCCCTGTTGCGCGCGATGGTAATAACCACCACTTTTCCCACCCAGCGACAAAACCTACCGACGCCAGGCCCGACTAACTCTGAACCTAAACTCCGATCGAAATTAATAGAATTAAACAGATAGAAAAATCTCAAACTATAACAAATCTGTGCCGCGCTCGCGGAAGTAAATTGATGTTAATTTAAAGTTATTTTCTATCTGTTTAATTCTACTGATTTCGATCGGAGTTTGGGTTCAGGATACAGATGCCAAAAATGCTTATAATGGCTGCTCCTCGCCAGCCTTCCCCCACGGCCACGCTCCAACTCTTGCACTCACTGAGATTTTATCCTTCAACCAGCACCAGCAGCAGCATCCCCTCAATTACATTCGCCATTACGAGACGAGCTCTTTATACGCGCTCGACCAGCTTTGCGACCAGACACAGTGCACCTACACGCACAGCTACGTCATTCGCATCACCCCGCCATCGGCCTGCAGCACCTTCAAACCCATCCTCACTCTCACCCCGCGCCATGTCGTCTACCGCCTCCCTGGTAGAGTCCGCCAAGAAGGCTGCCGCCTTTCAGGCCGTCGACGAGCATCTACTCCCCGAGCACCGCTTCATCGGCATCGGCTCCGGCAGCACTGTCGTCTACGTCGTCGACGCCATCGTCGCCAAGGGCCCCGACTTCTACGGCCCCATGACCTTCATCCCCACTGGCAGCCAGTCCAAGGGCCTCATCCGGGCCGCGGGTCTCAACCTCTCCAACCTCGACGAGCGGCCCGTCGTGGATGGCCAGAGCGTCGCCCTGGACGTGGCCTTTGACGGCGCCGACGAGGTCGACGAGGACCTGAACCTGATCAAGGGCGGCGGCGCCTGTCTCTTCCAGGAGAAGCTCGTTGCTATCGCGGCTAAGAAGTTCGTCGCCGTGGCCGGTACGTTCCAACCCTCTACTCTCGCACATAAGTGAATCTTGAAACTAACTCGCAGCTGTTAAAGACTACCGCAAGCAGTCCCCCCGCCTGTGCACAAAGTGGCTCACCATCCCCATCGAGGTCCTCCCCCTCTCCGCGCCCGACGTCCTCACCCGCCTGCGGGCCATGGGCTCGCCCAACCCGGCCGTCCGCTCCGGCCTGCCCAGCAAGGCCGGCGAGTGCGTGACGGACAACGGCATGTGGATCATCGACGCGCCCTTCCCGCCCTTGCTACTCACCAAGGACCTCAGCCCCTCCGAGGAAGGGGCGGGCAAGAACGCCGGCAAGTGGGAGGTGAGCAGGCTCGCCCAGGAGCTGCTCAAGGTTCCCGGGATCGTTGAGATTGGGCTCTTCCACGGGTTCAACGGAAACCAGGCCGTCTCTTTGGGCCAGGTGGGACAGGCGCAGAAGCCCGTGGCGGCGTACTTTGGCACGGCTGATGGGTCTGTCGATGTGCAGCTTGCGATATAGGAGATTTTCTATTTTTCACTTGGGTTTCTGTGATAGGATTACAGGTGAAAAGTATACTTATCTGTATTAATATACTTTGTGCAGAATTATAATAATCCCTATTTGATCATAGCTGTACTACCAGCCACGATCAAGATTCTAATAATAACTCCCAAAAACGTATCGATTCTCTATAGCTACCTATTTCCATTCTCCCTAGGGCTGATAATTGATTAATTGCATCCCAAGACTCTTAATGAGGCAATCCCGTATTAACATGCATGTACATATTCAATAGACCATGTAAGGGCAACACATCGAAATCACCCGAGACTTGTTAAACTTGCAAGGAAACGCAAAGTCTACCGAACCCATGACTCTCACCAGGATAGCGAAGATATGTCGATTTCTTCCGTCATTGACTCTTGCTGTTGGTCGGCCCATATCTGCCGCCTCTCAATCACCTGCCTTTCTACTGTCTCCCTAAAACTCAACCACCATCGCAGCCCGAAAACACTTACCTGAGACCTTTGTATGTATGTGCTTTAGATGCGGAGAGGAAATCAGAGCTGGTTGGACGCCCCAGTACTAGTTGTCCACCGTTCTGCATCTTCCTGACCTGGGAGGGATCTAGGTTAAGCTTGTGGTATTCGCTGGTCGTCACACGACCCAACTACTAATCGTGGCGAACGGCCCTATCCCGTTTCCATTATTCTCACTCAGCTCAATACCTCCATTTAGACCAGGCCGAGATTTGGAAGGGTAAACTGAATAAGGGGGACGTCATCACGGTAGTTTCAACCAATCATAGAGAAGCGAAAGCTAAGGTTGCATCTTTCACCGGGCATCAAACTTGCCCCCGTCGGATCTCTCATCTATGTCCTCAGACCCGTTTCTTGTGGCTACCTTGAAGACAAGCCTCCCTCAGCCACGATCCTGCCGATCTCTCGACGTAGATCTCCCAAACGACCAGAGATCACCCTTCTTAAGGTCATCGATGAAATTACCGCCATGGTTATGAACGATTCTGGAGTCAGAGTCTCACGCTCTGCGGCTACCATGTCTGCCTCCACCAGATCCCGGTCCTGGCAGAGTCGCAGTCAAAATCACGGTTAAGGTATGCCGATACCGACCGGAGTGAATTCTTGCCTTCTAAAGGCCAGGAGACCGAAGGCGAGCTGGATGAGGATGAATCAGCTCGTAGTCCACGGGATCAAAGTATATTACGCGCGTCAACTCTTTACGCGTCAAGCTCCATTAATTAACCGATTTCTGCTGCGATTGTCAGTGCCATGAGGTGCACACTAGGCAGGCATAAACTTACCTATGTGTGCCGAGGTGGCTGTGTACCAGTGTGGTACAGGAGTCATCGGAGTTCACATACCCGTCGGTGACTGCGGCGACGGTTGTGAGACCCTCGAGGCCCAGTGCTATTACTATCATGCAGAAGCATGTGCGCGGAGAGAAGGAAGTTTTGGCTTTGAAGGACCTAACACTGGCATATACTGGCATCGTGTACGCGTCTCGTAACGCCTGCGTCGAGCCGGTCCTCTTTCTCAGACCCCGTCAACGGCTCGGCCGGTTCCCCCTGGGCGTGCCAGTCATTCGCTACAATGTCTCTGCGAGGCATAGCATAAAGTGCCAATAAGCCGCGAGGAGGCAGCACTTGTAAAACAACCACTTGCTCTTATGCTACGATCTCGTCGACTCTGATCTTGAGACTCGTTCACCTATCAGGGCTATTCCCGGAGGCAACCGTGGCAGCTGGGGTGGACAGAATGGTCTTAAGAGGCTACGAGATATTGAAGCCCGTGGCTCCCCTGTACCAGGTGTACAGTCGACTGATTAGGCTTACGAGCGAGTAGTGCCGGTTAAGCTTCTCGATTTGCCTTGTGTTGTTGGCGAAGGAATTTGGCTCAACTCGTCGAGATCCATAGGGCAGGCGAATATCGGGAGCCGACGGCTGGCGTGATGCCAGCCATATGCGCACTGTGAGCTGGTGCGGGAGAGTCGCGAAGACATGGGTTGCGACGTAGCCCTTGGCCTGCCAGGCCGTCCACCAATTTTCGAAGGATTTTGCGTCGAGACCCTGCGCCATCTCGAAGGCTGGGCCATCTCGCGATCATACATAGCGTGAGTGAGCTTGACATGGCTGTAATATCGGCATGCCGCTTGCCGGTCTGTAGACCAGCTGCACCCACTGCAGGGCCTGTCACTCCCCATATAAGCATGCGCTATGACAGTGTAAGTGCTAGGCATGTAAGAGAATCACTAGTCACTGAGCAGAAACGAAATTATTCGATGAGTGTCCCAGGGTCTGGCTTCGTGGGTCGATATCGTTGGTGGTGGTCAGCTCCCTTGTCCCCCCACCAAGCCCCTCAACGCGTCGCGTCTGGTCACGCGCCTCGGACGCGTAAATTAGTTTCAATCAATCCACCCAAATTTCTCGACCCGACCTGCCTCCACTCTAGAAGATCATCCCAACCCAGTAATACCGATTGATTATACCTTTTTCGTGGTGAATTATCAAGCCTAGAGAATAAGACATCTTTCACTCCCACATTCACTCTAGCTACGAGACCACCAAGATGGCTGCCTCAAGCGAAGCCGGCTTCCCAATGTCGGATGCCCTCTCTCGAGGAGGAGCTACCCCCAGGCGAGGGTTTCCATCCTCATCATCAGCTAGACCCCGCGGGCCGCCGTCAGAGAATACCGGTGCTGCGAGTGAGTTTGACGGAGATGGATTTGCAGACGATCAGGTTCCCCGTAGTTCAAGGATACCTGACGCTGCCAATATTCCTAAGATCGACGACAGGATTGGCATGATTGTCCAGGAGCATTTCGAGCAATTCCTTGAAGGGTATGACACTCCCCCCGGGCTATCTTCTCAATTGTCTTCCTGACATTGTACAAGTTTCGCTGAAGACCCTCTCTCGTCTGGCGCACCGACATCGAGCGCCGTTACCACCGATAAGTACTACATTGCCCAGATTAGGGGCATGCGAACATATCAACTCTCAACCATATACGTTGACTACAAGCACCTGGTATCATGGCAAAGTGGCAGTTTGGCCGATGGTGTTATCAACCAGTACTACCGCTTCATCCCATTCATCACAGGTGCTTTGCACAACATGATCGCCAAGTATGAGCCCCAATACTTCCGCGAGCATCGCCAGCCCACTGCTTCCACCCTGGCTACATCTGCCGCGAGCAACCTCGGATCTGCGAGCCAGTCCGAGCCCTCCCAACGCAAAAACGAACACCAGCAGACGGACAAGCTCTTCTCCGTGGCATTCTACAACTTGCCACTCGTCTCAAGAGTCCGTAGCCTCCGTTCATCCCACATTGGCCAGCTCCTCTCTATCTCAGGCACAGTCACGAGAACATCCGAAGTCAGGCCAGAACTTTCGCTTGCAACCTTTGTCTGCGAAGCTTGCCGAACCGTTGTACCCAACGTGGAGCAGACCTTTAGATATTCTGAACCAACGCAATGCCCTAACCAAACCTGCCAGAACCGATTTGCCTGGCAACTCGATATCCGACACAGCACATTTGTGGATTGGCAGAAAGTCCGAATTCAGGAGAATAGCTCCGAAATTCCAACTGGCAGCATGCCCCGAACGATGGACGTCATCCTGCGAGGTGAGATTGTCGATAGAGCAAAGGCCGGAGAGAAGTGCATCTTCACTGGAAGTTTAATTGTGGTCCCTGATGTGAGCCAGCTCGGTCTGCCTGGAAACAAAGTCACCTCAGTCCGTGATGATCGACGAGGAGATGATGCAGGAGGCAGCGGTATCACGGGTCTGAAGGCTCTGGGTGTCCGTGATCTCACTTACCGACTTGCGTTCCTTGCTTGCATGGTGTCCCCAGACACATCTGGCTCTGGCCAGTCTGGCGCTGATACCGCAGCCGAGATCATCAATGCCATGACCCAGAGCAACGCTACTGAGACTGAGCAATCTGCGGAAGAAGCACAAGCAACTGTCTTGTCAAGCATGAACAACGCTGAAATTGACGATCTGAGAGCCATGGTGCACGGCGATCGAATCTACTCTCGACTTGTCAACTCGATGGCCCCAATGGTGTACGGACACGAGTACGTAAAAAAGGGTATTCTGCTCCAGCTTCTGTCTGGTGTGCACAAGACAACTCCTGAGGGGATGCAGCTTCGTGGGGATATCAACATTTGCATCGTCGGCGACCCCTCCACCTCAAAGTCACAGTTCCTGAAGTACGTGTGCTCATTCGCGCCTCGTGCCGTCTACACCAGTGGTAAAGCTTCATCCGCCGCCGGTCTCACTGCCGCTGTAGTCAAGGACGAAGAGACGGGTGAATTTACAATCGAGGCTGGTGCCCTCATGTTGGCTGACAACGGCATCTGCGCCATTGATGAGTTCGACAAGATGGATATTGCAGACCAGGTTGCCATCCACGAAGCCATGGAACAGCAGACCATATCTATCGCCAAGGCAGGTATTCAGGCCACACTGAATGCACGCACCAGTATCCTCGCAGCAGCGAACCCCGTTGGCGGTCGATATAACCGCAAGACCAGTCTCCGCGCCAACATTAACATGTCAGCGCCCATCATGTCCCGTTTCGATCTCTTCTTCGTCGTCCTCGACGAGTGCAACGAGCAAAGCGATCGCCATCTGGCCGAGCACATTGTTGGTATCCATCAACTCAGAGACGCGGCCGTCGAGCCCGAGTTCAGTACGGAACAGCTCCAGCGCTACATTCGCTTCGCCAAGACCTTCAAGCCCGAATTCACCCCCGAGGCCAAGGAGGTCCTTGTGCAGAAGTACAAGGAGCTGCGCGCCGACGACGCACAGGGCGGCGTTGGCAAGAACTCGTACCGCATCACTGTCCGACAACTCGAAAGTATGATCCGTCTATCCGAGGCCATCGCCAAGGTCAACTGTACCGAGGAGATCAGCCCCGAAATGGTCGTCGAGGCATACACTCTTCTGCGCTCCAGCATCATCTCCGTCGAGCACGACGATGTCGAGATGGACGGTGACGAGGAAGATACTCAGGAAGAAGCCGAGGCTCTGCGTCGCGTTGCCGAGGAGAACAGCGCCGCGGCAGATCAAGAGGGTGAAGAGTCCCAGGGAAAGAAGAAGCAGAAGATCACATACGACAAGTATATCAAGATGGTCAACGCATTCGTTCAGCACATCAAGAATGACGAGACGGCCAGCGGTGACGGTATCGAGGGCGGAGAGCTCATCAATCGCTATCTGGAAGAAGTGGAGGAAGAACTGGAGAACGAGGAGAGTTACGAGATGGAGAAGACACTGGCCAACATGGTTCTCAAGAGAATGGTCAAGGTACGTAATGATAGAAATCCATCGCAGCCCCCAGTCGCCGGCTCCTCTTGCCAAATCGACGGACACTAACCTCGCAATCTACAGGACAAGATTCTTATGGCCCTTCGCGGAGAAGGTTTAATGAGCGACGACACCGCAGGCGAGGGATCGTCTGCCGCAGCAGCTAACATCATTTATGTCCTGCACCCCAACTGCGCAGTTGAAGAATTCTAAGCGAACTGTGTGTGTTATTGGCGAGTGTCAATTTATCTCGCAAGGGCATCCAACCCCGAGCGAAGATTGTTCTATGATAATGCATCCACGGTGTATGATGAATGTCAACTGTCTGGTAGAGTGGGGAGAAGGGTTCAGGGAGTCTGGAGTTCAACCAAGCATATGGCGGGCTTTTCCATTTTCTTATAAACCCAAAATTGCAGAGTTTGCAATAAATGGTTTTCCGTTTTTGCCATCTCTGATTGTTTATTTTTCTCGTTTTCGATATAGAACAACATCTAATCAAAAGAAACGTGTAACCCTCAGAGTCCAAATATTCGAAACGATAAGCCAGGGCGCAGAAATCATGTTGGCCAATATAACACACGCAACCACTGCAGGCTTCACAACCTTATTTCAGCGCTTAGAGTATAATAATATACATCTATTCATCGTCCAACGGTGTCAAGTGGGTGACACTGGAAATGGCACACCTAAGCACTCCCTTAGTACATGCTTGAGCTATCAAGCTTTATAGCTACCTATAGAAATACTGAAATAAGATTAAAGGAATAGAATATTCAGATCTAGATATTAATATTCTCTAATATCTATTCAGAATAATCTACTTATTTAGATACTTAGATAATTATTCGGTAAATTTTAGGTGATTATTTAGGTCTTCATTTGGGTGCGCCATCTCCTGTGTCACCCACTTGGGCGTGCATGAAAAGGTAGAGGAGGCGCCTCTTTGGCGGATCCTTAATAAGACGTTAGTAGTAGCTCACATAATGAAAACTCTTGATGAGTCACCGTGGGATATCAAGGATTAAGAGGGTCAGGCAGCACTTAATCTTTAGGTTCTCTACGATCAACTCAGTTTTCACGATCAACGGACTTTGGTTTTCGGACATTTCAATGTTTTATATTTGATTAATAACATTTCAGTCAGGCGTGGTTCTGCGAATGTGATTATGTAGCATCCAGGTTACTCCCGTCTCAAGGCTCCAGCCCCAATAGCTTCGTTGTTCCCCCATCAGTCCATCCTATCCATATTCAGACGCCTGGGGTGAAGTAAACGGTAACATGCCGCGGGGATTTATTTCGGTGGGCGACTGAGTTCCATATAATCTCAGGCCGCTGGGCTAGTGAGAGGGAATGGCTTATTGAAAACTCTTCACTTTCGAATCCCATCCACAGTGAAAGAATCGAGTCAAGTCGAGGGAGTATAAATGTCGCGAGAATAGTAATGAAACAAGGAATCGAGTTAACAAGAAGAAAGGTTCAGAAACATATTATGAGTTTCTGGTCGGTTGTTCTCCAGGGTTATCGCCCGGAGATTATAAACACGTTGCGTTGCTTGTGTTGGGGAAGACAATATGTCGCCAGATCGCAAAGCACTGCATACTGTATGCGGTATCTCCGTAGTACAGATATGAAACGTGATTCGGGCATCCATCTTTTTTTCTGGTTTGGCTGCGAGATTAATTACAGCATGCAGGTCGTACCAGGTTTCTGATTGCTCTATGCCTGCGCTGAGGACTTAGGTGAGGAATGGGGAGGTGTTGATCGGGCCCAGTTGTCCGATCGTCGACCTCGGTAGCTACTTCGCCCTCCTCGGCCAGAATGGTTCGAGCTGGTTTCTCTGTCATCTTGACTAGAGTTATCCCTTCGGTTTCCACGGTGGCCCCCGCGGCTTCTTGAGCCACGTCCATGACCGCCGCGACCTCCACGGGTAGCAGAGAAAGGAAGAACCACAGTTCTGGATTCCGACATTCCTGGGAAGTAAATATGCATAGCGTTGCCATTGCCCGCCACTTCAGCTGAGAAATAGAGCGGCTCTGCGCCCGTCGCATGGACCAAAAATCGCTTTGGTAGAGGCTTTGTCTGGGATTCGGCCGGATGCCAAGCTGCCTCTGGGGCCTTGTGAGGAACCCGTACTTGAGGCAGAGACCCGATTTCAGGCTCATCGAAGCACTCCTCGGCCATTGGCTTGGAGATTGCATTCCTAATAACATCCATGACAGAGGTGTGTGTGCGACCAGGCAGTGAAACAGTAGCCGTATCTGGTTGGATGACGTGGTCCAGAGCGCTCTTACTGGCAGCGTCCACGACCAGCGATTTCTGAGGGTGACTCGGAGGATGGTTCGGGGGATGGCTTGGCATATGGTGTTGGTGCTTCCCGTCGCTGAAGAGGTTATCGAATTTCTTCTGCCAATCCCTCTCCAACACATCTCCAGCCCGGCGAGCAGGCGGCAAGGACTGCGGGGGTGCTCGTGTGCTGTCCCTAAATGGAGCCGGTGTCGCCCAGGCGAAATTCGACCGCTGTGGTTGCTGCTGGGCCTGGCTTGATTGGGCAGAAGGAGGAAGTTTCACAATGGGCTGTGGTTTGGGCAAGGAAACGTGAGGGTGCATCACATTGCCTTCATACGCCGGGTGGTCATCCGTGGTTGGGGGAGGAGGCGAGGGCGATTGAGGCCGCGAGCTGTGAGCAGTGGCTTGCCCCTCCAACCGCACATCTTTGGCGGGAAAGAAACGCGAGGATCGCAACTGAGATTGTGTTCCCGGAGATGGGTGTGGCAGGACTAAATTGCCCGTAGTGCCGATCACTCCTGCATGAGAGGCAACCGAGCCTTCCTTCGGAGGAACGTCCCCAGGCGCTTGCCAAGGACCCTTGTGGGAAGCGTTGGGATCGGTTGCACTCATTGTCTGCCGTGTCCCGTCGCCTGGGACATTAACAGGACGCCATGTCTCCTTGATAACAGGCTGAACATCTTCGGCAGTCATTCCACGCTCGGCTAGCTTGCGATCACGTTCGGCTCGATCAGCAAGTCTCGCTGCGTTGATTGCCTTGTCACCCTCAGCAACAGAGGCAACCCACTTTGAAGCCAGGTCAGACACGGGTTGCACAAAACGAGAAGGCCTGGACCCGATTGGTGCAGGAGGCTGCTTTGATCGAGATTGCGACGGACTTGTTGGTCCAGGAGGAGCGATGGGCGAAGGACCTTTTCCAATTGGCGCAGATGCCCCGGATGAATTGAGCGCTCGACCAAGTTCCGGGTCAAACGTCCCATTACCGAGTCCTCGGTCATTGTTTGGAGATCCCCAAACGTTTCTCGTCTGGGGTTGCGAGCCTGGGGCCCATGGGGTAAACCGATCAGTCCGCGTCCTAGAACCGGTCCAAATGTCCGGTTTTGTCTCTTGGTCGGAAGCAGGCCTCTTAGAAGCTGCCTCTGGCGTCACGGCTGTATTCAAAGGTGCCGCAGCAGGACTGGACTCGCCGGGAGCTTGGGTAGCTTCCTCAGACTTGGCGGTGGGTGGCTGAATAGGTCCTGCAGAAGTCTCAGACTGTTCACGCTGTTGGATCTGTGTAGGCTTTGGTCCGTCACTTCCTGTCTGAGGCTCGACCTTGTCGCTTTTCTTTGGTGGGGGAGGACCCATTGCTTCCAACTTCTTCTGGATACGTTCTCGCTTAGCGGCCTCCTCGGCTGCTTCCTGCTCCATGCGGCGCTTGCGGGCGAGCTCATTACGCTCTCTCATGAGCTTTTTCTGATATTCTATCTCATCTACACCCTGCTGGGCCGGTTGCTGTGCAGGCATTGCGCCAGGCCCTGTAGGGCCAGCTTGTTGGAGATGTGCGAAGTTGGGTCTAGGCGAAACTTGCGGCCCCCATGAGCCTTGGGACGTTTGGTATCGGGCAGGCATCGCAGCGGGCGAGACTGGGCTGTCAGCTGAACCCGCTTGAGAAGGTCTCCGGACTTCTAGGTGCTCGTGACCTGGCATGTGGGCTTCATTGCCCTTGCCCATCCGATAGAACGAACCACTCCCACCGCTGATGTTGGAAGAAGCCCGGCGTCGACCAAAATGCCCATCTTGCGATTGCCTATAGGTCTGAAAGGAGCTGGATGGCTCCGCGGGTTGGTCACCTTGTACGGGACGTTGCAGCAGTGCCGGGTGCTTGGATTGTGAACCCCGTCGTTCAGCCACAGGCTCATACCGTCCAGATTGAGAGTTGAACAACTCCCGGTTGGCATGGACAGAACCATCTCTCCATGTCGGCCGACTAAAATCATCTGCAGCCATCTCCTTTGGCGGCAACCCAGATGGAGGGCCACCTTTATGGGATATCGAATCCTTAAGCTGTCCGCGCGGTCCTGGCTCAGCTACTAAAGGAGACGCCTTCTCAACGGGCGGTAGGGTAGCCCAGGGGGACTGCTTAGGCTGCAGAGGGGCAGGTGGCTTTGCCACTAGAGTTGGCTTCTCCTGGGGCGACGCCTTAAGTTTCAATCCCCGACCGGAAGCTAGCCCAGAAGGCTTCGGAAGTGGTGAGCTCGTAGCGGGGGGAGGCGCAGGAGATGGTGCTTTCTCGGGGACAAGGCTCTTCGGCGGCACTGGAGCTGGTCCATTTTCGGCAACAGTGGGATTAGGAGGGGGGTGTTCCTCCGGGTGTGGAAGCGTAGTTTTGGTTCCGTCAGTCCAAGTGATCGCTTCAGGAGCCCAATCGTCGTCGTCATCGTCTAGATCTGCCCATTTACTCTGGCCCTGAATATCATCTTCCTCAAGGCGACTAGCCACGTGGATTCCATATTTCTTGAGCTCTTCATCTGTGAGTTTCTTTGGGTCGGCAACCGGAACGGCTACAGGAAAGGTAGGTCAGTACAAGTGAGTGGTCAAACGATACTGGTGACACCTACGTCTGTTCTTATTCCAAACGGCGCTTGCGTCTGGTGCAGATGCCGGTTTCCCCCCATTAACTAGAGATGATAATCTCGACCCTGCCCCCGGCGCAGTTTTCGCAATCAGCCGTGGCTTCGAGCTGCTCGGTGTTGAGGCTCCTGGTGGAGGGGTGCTCGAGCTCGGTCGGGAGATGTCGCCTGCTTTCGCCGTAGCCCCAGGGGTGGTCACCTTGGACGCGAGGAACTTCTTGTTGACTGATACTGCCTTGAATGTTGCCGGCTTCTTGATAGATGAGCCCGCCCGGTTGTGGCCCTTCTCATCATCCTTGCCCTGCCTAGATCCATCAGCTCGCGAGGCTTCGGTGTCGGAACCTCCGCTAACACTGGCTTCGGTGGGAGCTGAAGAGTCTTCGATGTTCGTAATGTGCTTGTTCTCGATATCTCCGTAGTTGGCCGTGCCATTTACAATCGGTGCATCGAGGTCGACATCGTGAGAAGCGGCGGCCTGTGTGTGCGTTGCGTCAGCGGGGAACCCTGCAAAAAAAAGAATGAAAAGCCTTGTCTGCTAGTCTCCAAGGGTTCGGGGGCCGCTCCGCAAGAAGCGCAAGGAAAAAGTGACTCACAAAGCGAGGTTCAGACGAGGCAACAGGAACATCGGCAGGGCTATCGATGGTGGGCGCAGTGGCCATCATACGTCGTGGAGCGGCACCTCTGGTGATGCGATCACGGCTGCGTGACGGTTCAGCGCCGAAAATTTGGTTGCGAACGCGCTTTGTTGACGAGCCGGCCTTGATCACCAACGCTATTGTCCGTGGAGCAAGCTGGCGACAAGCAGAGGCTTGAGAGGTAATAAACGTGGCTATTAATGCGAACAAAGATCGATCTGAAGAGTAAGAGTAAGGAATCAAGAGCTGAAGTGGGTAAAGGCCTCGGAAGGCTCGCCGCGAAGGGATACTCGATTAATATGGTCGGGAAAGGGTCGGCTTCTGGGTGACTGTGGCCGAGAGAAGAGGAGGTGTTGGAGATTGCGGCTGCAATATGTGAGGTGAGGTTGGAAAGTGGATGGGTAACACCTGAGTTTGGCTACTGGTAAGGCGCTGAATCTTGAGAGCTACAGCGCACCTGATTTCGGCCTAGCGCCACCAAAACGCTCACGATTGCAAAGCAATACCAAGGTAAAGAAACTCCGAATGAATGGATATTGCCCACTATGTGAACATATGCACAGAGATATTATCTACCTACCTAGTTGTCTCATTCAAATGGGCGAGAGAATTTGCCTGCATGATTCCAATAGCCGTTTGCCGAACTTAATTGGCTGGGGGCTACGTATTGCTTTTTTTTTTCTCCTCTTGGCTCCCCCCCCATTCAGCAGAACTAATAATAAGATGGAAATTGATTGAATCGGATCTGTGCAAGGTGCTTGGCTGGCCTTGGAGAGCGCTGCTGCCCTGGGAAGCGCTGTACCTGCTTATGGCGTACCTCTGTTACCCGGCGTGCCCCAGTGCGGTTTAGCGCATTCGGTGTCCCGATCTCTTCAGTCTGTTCACTGCCGCTGGCGAGTTCTCGAGCATGGCATTACGCCCTTCATTCACATCACACATGACTCACTAACCCTTCAGTCTGGGTTCTGCCTGAAGTAACTCGGCACTGGGATGGCAAGCGCACTTGTTTGGGGACTGCAATCCATGCTACAGCCCCCTTAAGCACCGCTGCTAGTGAAGGAACCACATTCAAACACATCATCCCCTGAAACAGACACTGAACAAGCAAAGCGCACAGGCAAGTGACACCTGACGCATCTCAGACCTTCACGACAAGTTCACGTGATCATGGTGCAGAAGGAGTCTTATAGGTGTAGGTGCACAAAAGAGATATTTTGCAATGCTCAGTGACACTTCCTAGAGGTTATGTACAGTACACAGCCCTTCATGAGGGGTAAGAATCCATTCCAGCTTGTCACTTTTTAGTGAGCATTGTTCTTGTGGTGGCCTGGTTCCTTGTTAGTCTTGTAACTCTTTGAGATAACAGCATCCCTGTGAGGGGTGTTACTTACGGAGATGGAAGTAGTAGTTCTGGAGGTAACCGATACCAATGAGGAAGGCCAGAACGTGGATGATGGCTATTTCGCAACATGTCAATCTTCAACTTCCCAGCAGACAGCAAGTATGGTAGAGGGCAGACGTACGCGTGACGGAGGCGTTCTTGCCGAAGTAACGGGCCTGGTAGCGACCGAGGAGACCCTTGGCCTTGACTTCGGGGGCGGCACCACGGGGGAGCTTCTCGTAGAAGCTGACGACTCTCTGCATGCGCAGGGCGTCGGGTGCAGCGCCAATGGCCTATCGATTACCCAAGGTGTCAGCTCGTTTGTTCGTGCGGATAGTCCATTCACTTGTCGTGGTCCCGATTAAGCCGGTCGGTGGGAGAGCCCGTCGCGAGACTCTGCTATCGGCGCGGGGCAATTGATCATGGCGAGTGCATGCGGAGAAGTGATTTGTCTCGTACCTTAGGAGAGGCGATCTGTGTCGAGGACAAAATGTTAGCTTGGTCCCTTGTTCCGAGCCTTGCTCGTGGAATAGCCGAAGACTGACCTTGGGAGGGATGAGCGTGGAGAGCGCTCGGCGGGTGACGAAGCTCATGATGCCGGTGGTTCGGGAAGAATTCACTCGTGAAAATTAAGACTCCGTAGTTTGCGTCGTTCCGTCGAGACGCTCAATTGCAAGCTGTTTTGTCGAGGAGGATAATGCTTAGAGGCGGATCTCCAAGGTCCAGCCGAAAAGCGCTCGTTTGTTTTCGGGAAAATCTTCGCTCCGTACCAGCCAATCAACGGCCCCCACTTTCTCGCTGGTAATCACCTCGACCTCAAACATCGCAACCTCAGTTACGTCTTGACCATCAAATCGCCCGCTCAAGACGCATACCTCGAGCCATGGCCTCTGTTCGATCGGCAAACGCCCTGCGGCTCCTCAAGGGAGCGGCTGCTTCTCGCGCCACTCTCGCCTCCGCCCCCAAGCGTTTCGAGAGCTCGACCACACCTGCGCCTGTCGAGGTCCCGGCCACTCCCTCGGACGCCAACCAGCCCGACTACAGCATCCGTCCGGACAAGGCGACCTCGTACGCGCTGTAAATCTCGATCATGACTCGATTGGAAGCTAATCGGGTACATCCTAGAACGTTCACCCCGGTCCCGAAGCGAATTCAGGATGGCAGCGAGGAGGGCATTCTTCCCGCGGCCGTCATCTCCGGTGCTCCTCGTGAGCTCCAAGCCCGTACCGTTCGGTTCGTCTGCACTTCTCTCGGCTGTATTCGATATATAAATTGAACCTTTCTCTAATATTTTCCCAGAATCTACAAGGAATCGAAGGCCGCCACTCAGTCCGGAACCTGGCGAGGCGAGGACTGGCGTATGGATTGGGATATCCTCTCCAAGGGCCACCGATGGGAGAACCCTCTGATGGGATGGCAATCATCTGCAGACTTCATGCAGGGCACTCACCTCAACTTCAAGAGCAAGGAGGATGCGATCCGCTTCGCCAACAAGCAGGGCTACGAGTACTTTGTCCAGGAGCCCAACTCTCGAAAGATCACTCCCAAGGCATATGCCAACAACTTCCTGTATTCGGACAGGAAGCTCAAGCACATTCGAACGAAATAGAAGAGGATCTTGGTAACTGCGGAAGTATTGTACATAAAATTATAGGCAGTTCACACAACTTCAGATGTCTTTTTTTGTTAGATCTCCATTTTCAGTTACAAGCTACAACACCTTCCAATGAACGGCTTCAAATTTGTAGGCGTAATTTCGGTGTCAAATTAACAGACCGTAAAGCATGACATTTCTAATACGCCCATTTAAAACCAAGACGCCCCGAGTGAAACCAATTCCCATAACCAACCGTTACACCATATCCGAACGCCAGCATAAGGTATCCATCATATCATCATTGTCATGCATCCTGAAGCGTAGCTAATTGTTTGCGCTCATACCAAGAAGCGCACGCACGACGGCAATTGCTGTCCACTGATCTCTAGACGAAGACTCTTCTCAGGTCGTAATCATAGGCTCATGGCCATTCTCATGATGTGTTCCATTATCGAAGTGGCGTCCATTCTCCGAGTGGGTAAGGGAGTTGGAGAGCGAATCAGAATCATCTCCATGCAGGCCAATATCAATGTTGTCAGGAAGAGGAACTCCCGAATCTCGAGCTGTGTTCTCGGCCCAGCATCGCATTTTCACAAGATTGCGGATTCCGGCTATAACTCTTCTAGACTGCCTCTCCATGATAGCCCGATTTACTCGATCGGCAGTTTCCCGTCGAATCGAGGGGTCGAGCAGAGCAGCCAATGGAGGTTCAAGAGACTCCTGTGGAATAAGAAGCAGGGCCATTGTCTTTTCTAGGTCCTCCAGGAATTGAGGGTTAACAGGTGCACGAGGACCAAGATGCTCCTGAGCAAATTTTAGGGCTTCTGTGATGTCACCGCCGTCACCATTGCAGACCCTGATGAGTTCAACCAGCTGCAGTCGCAGAAGCGCAAAATGCAACGACTCATCTTCATCAAGAATCTATGTCATACGGTCAGCTTCCTGGTGTCATCAAACAAATTCGAGATGAAGACAAGAAGATAAAATGAGGCAAATATCATAATAAAGTGGTTGTTTCTCATCCAAGGCCCGAAGGGCTCAGCGTGGTGCATGTAAAACTCGTGTTCTAATCATATAGCGGGAGGGAGAAGAGTGAATAAATAATTAAGGCATGCACAACTTACCGCGGGGTCATACTCGTTCAAGGACTCGATAGCGGCTTCGAAATTCCCTATATGAATATAGTGCTGGATCTCTTGCCGTGATCGAATCGACGCATCATCCTGCTGGGGTTGCAGGTTGGCTTCCTTTGAGAACTTGGCAGCAGCCATGGAATAGCCTTCCATGGTCAAGTAGTCCAGGATCAATGCGTTGATGTCACTAGTCCACTGGTTAGCTGGATGTTTCATGCCAGGTGTTCCATAACAAGTGTGAAATTGCATGACATGAATCAGGTAAAAGAAGAAGTGATATCTTTTCTCCGCATCAATTTGCTAGGAGAGATTCCCATTGATATAAAAATCATCATTCAATGTGGAGGGGTGAGGGAGGGAAAACTGGAGATGAGACGGGCACATACCTCTTGGGGCATCGAACATCCTGCACGCGCTGAGTGAACGCATGCTTGCTCGGCGTGGTTGTTGATGTCGAGGACGCCTGGTGTCTATGTTAAAAGACATGCGACATCTGGCTATGGGCCATGACGCACCATTTTGGTGGTGTCCAGTTCCTCTTCTTCTCACTCTTCAGAATCTAAACAGCGCGTAGCAGATGTAAATGTCTGGCAACTGCCGGATATGATCCAGGTATTAACGCATTTGCAATGCGTGCCGCGTGTCACAAGGCTTTGAAGTACACGCACAGCTGACGTGCACAGGGAAAGCAAAGTCGCTTGGAGTCAGAAATTGTGATGAAAAGAAATGAAAGAGCAGAGCTTGCGGCGCGGGAGCTCTAAAGAAGGTACAGAGGCCCACTTACACGGGCCGAAGATTATGCGTCCCACTAGTGAAGCTGACCTTTAGGTGTCACAAGGAGGCTCCTGCGCTATCACCACCTCTCCACCCCAGCTCGGTGCAACGTAGCTCGAGACCAACGTACAACTTACAAGTGGTGCTGTCACAGAAAGCATTGATATTGCCTGATGTCTTCAGCCCCTGTGTTGTTCTCTGCCTAGTGTTTCTCAAGGCCAATGTGTCTGCTAAAGGCTGGCAACCACCTTTCACCGCTACAGCCTTAGTTAGGACACACCTTAGTGCCACCACAAACAGCAGACGGCTGGCCCAGGGAAGACCTAGCCCCATGATCATTCCCCGTGAGCCAGCCTCTTCAGCCAGCCGAGGCGGCCAGCTGGGCTCAGTCGTGTCTATATAACTTAGCCCCAATGCCAGTAGAACGCAATAAACCGACCATCAAGCTTCACAGCCTTCGTGCCGAGAGGGCTTTCACCTGATCCTTCATATGCGCACTTTATTTTACCTGCATCCAGGATCCGGGGTTCGAAATTTTCTCCTTCCATGAAATCGGGCCTGTGTATGCAGCAGCGCAGAACCCTACGCTCGCTATCAGATCCCTCTTTCAAGCGGAGCCGTGGTGATAACAACCCCAGGCGAAACTTCCCACTAAACCTAATCCGAGCAACACAGTCAAGTTCAGCAGAATTCCGCCTACAAGCCGAACCTCTTCGCAAGCCCACCCCATCTGACTCGGCTATTGAATCTTGGCCGCTTGCCGATTGATCTCTGAAGATTAACATCCATCTACCCGTTGGGAGAGTAGCAATGTCCAAGCTCGAGAGCCATGTCACTGTTCAGAAGCGAGCCTACTATTCCCCACCATGGGCGGATGTCAGCATTATTGCCATAGCTGGCAGCTCTGGTTCTGGTAAATCCAGTATCTCCCAGGCGATTGTTAGAAAGCTCAATCTGCCTTGGGTTGTAATTATGTCGATGGCATGGAAATACTTTACCAGCCAGGAGCCCGAGATCTCTAGCTAACAGGAGGTCAGGATTCATTCTACAAAACCTTGACTCCCGCCCAGTCCAAGTTGGCCTTCGCAAATGAATATGATTTCGATTCTCCCGAGGTATAGTCAAATCCCTGATACAAGAGATCTCCTTCAAAGGCCAAACCAAGTAACCAGTCTCAATAGGCTATTGACTTTGACATCCTCGTGGAGCGTCTGAGGGATCTTAAGGCCGGGTAAGGACAAGGCTCCATCTCTCCTCGTCCTTCAGGCAGATCCCAAGGAAGCTAACAGTCAAGTCAAGAAAACGGGCAGAGATCCCCGTCTATTCTTTCTCGAAGCATCAACGGCTGGAAGAGACAACCTCAATCTACTCTCCTCACGTGCTCATTCTTGAGGGCATTTTCGCCTTATATGATCCCAGAGTGTTGGACCTTATTGACATGGGTGTATGGTGCCCGCCTAATCCCCCATGGCTAATCCCTAACTAATATGCTGAATATTTAGATCTATTGTGAGGCCGATGCAGACACTTGTCTTTCTAGGAGAAGTAGGCTTACCTTGCGACAACTCATGATGAAGTGAACAAGCTAGACTGACGTGATTCACTAGTCCTTCGAGACGTCCGTGAGCGTGGCAGAGATGTCGAGGGTTGCATCAAGCAGTGGTTCGGGTTCGTGAAGCCCAACTTTGAGAAGGTGTGTCTGCAATGAATTTTTATTGAGCCTTAAAGCCTTCTAACACCTAGACCCACAGTATGTCGAACCTCAGAGGAAGGTAGCCGATCTCATTGTACCACGAGGTATCGAAAACAGAGTTGCTCTTGGTAAGTCCAGTCCTTCAGACATGGCCACATCTGATTAAATGCTCACGTGAAATAGAAATGATGGTTCAGTATATCGAACGCAAGCTCTTTGAGAAGTCCACGCATCATCGAGAAGCCCTGTCCAAGCTCGAAAGAGAGTGCAAGGAGCAGCCATTATCAGAGCGGGTTGTGGTTGTCAACCCAACACCGCAGCTCAAGTTCATGAATACCATTCTGCAGAACATTGACACTGATGCTGAAGACTTCATCTTCTACTTCGACCGACTAGCCAGTCTGATTATTGAACAGTAAGTATTCACACAAACTTGAGAAACCCTCATTAAATGTATATACCCATTACTAACACGTGAGCACCAGGGCTCTTAACAACGTCCAATTCAAGAGCTGGGACGTTGAAACCCCTCAGGGAAACAAGTACGCTGGTCTCGTATCTAAGGGCGAGGTCAGCGCCGTGATTTGCCTAAGAGGAGGGTCCGCATTCGAAACTGCTCTTCGAAAGACAATTCCGGATTGCAGGACAGGCCGTCTCCTGATCCAGTCCGCCTACTCCACTGGTGAACCAGAGCTTCACTATATTAGACTACCCGAGGACATTCACCAGCACGAGAGTGTATTGCTTCTGGATACTCAGATGGCTAGCGGAGGTGCTGCCCTCATGGCAGTTCAGGTCCTCGTGGATCACGGTGTCGCGCTTGACCGGATTGTCATTGCTACTTATTCGGCCGGCAGGGTTGGCTTGCACCGTTTGACCACTGTCTTCCCAGAAGTCACCGTTGTGGTCTGCAACATTCTAGACACTCAAGAACCGCGCTGGGTTGAGCAGAAGTATTTCAGATGCTAGATCTTTTCTTTGTACACAGCACAGGAAGGCGTTTCCGTATTTGTATAAACATGAATGCATATGGCGTTTTGTTGACTTGTGTCTTAACTGATAGCCCTCCCATACAGTTGACAATCACCCTCCTTCTGCGCAGGTTCATCCCCAATCGATCCATGATTTATGAAGCCTTACATGAAGGTGTATACTCAGGTCTGTTACGGCTGTTTCTAAGTGGCGTTGCATCTCATGTCACCACCCTGATTGGTAGGTATCGAGGATGCCAGCTCGACTGAACAACTTGCGGTTCATTACAGGTTGGTAATATCCCAGCTGCCTTCTCCTTGTATCCGCAAGCTGAACCGCTCATATTGTATTGGTCATACGCAGGGCTTCAAGGGTGCCCCTTGACGCTGGATGGTGTTTTCTCTTTTTCAGTATTCGAGTGTCTGCTCACTTCGCTTCGGCGGGAGTGTCCTCTTCGTAGGAGTGGATCTAATATGCGTCAGTTCTGTATTTCCTCTATTATATCGATCATCTTACCCGCTCCGAAGCTTCAACCCACTCTTCCAAGCTTCTCACATAGGTATCATCGGCGGCATTTGTGACATTCTCATGACCCCATACCATGATCTCGTCGAACTCCGCGAGCGCTTTCATTTTATCCACCGGGGGAGCATCATCGTCATCTTCCTTCTCCAGATCGATCGGCGCGTAGGGATCCGTTGGCTGAGGTACTGCCACTTGTCGTTCTGCCACGATGCCTCTGAATTGGCTTGGTAACGGAACAGCCTTCGCGTGGAGCTTGCGACCTCGAAAATATGCTTCTTTTTTCCCTTCTGGATTATGTGTTAGAATTCCCAGGCATTTCGCACAAGATGGATTCATTCCTACCCTCAGTATCAGTGGGCGTCCAGAATGAATCTATGGGATCAATAGATCCGTCGTGGTGCACGCGACATGGCAGCAAGTGAGCGGTCGACTTGACTTCGCCTGACTTGGTCAAGTTTTCAATCTCCAGCATTGGTTGCGACATGGTGTATTTGGGGCTTGATATAGAAGCTGTGAGGAATTGATGTAATTCGTATTAATTTGTGTTGCACGATGATGTCAAATGCTGTTGCGAGACGCGGTTTGGGATCACTAAAAATACGCGTTTCTTATAAGGTGAGAGCGCGTAAATGGGTTTTGGCTACAGGGATTATTCAAGGTGATGAACCAATCAATTACCGTACAGAGCATTAGTACCACGGGTACCCTTTGTTAGTACAGCCAGCCCAAGACACTGAATCTTTTGGTTAAGTTCTAACAGCTACTACTCACGTGAACCCTCTTCCCTTTTCCTCTGCAAGCTCAGAGTCAAGGTACTGATTATTTTACCACATCATAGGTAGATCCAGCCATCCTGTTGACTGCGTAGAGTGAATGTAGCCGAGAAAGCCCTATTATATCTCCTCCTTTTGGCAACGCACCCACTCAGGATCGTCCTGAAAAGGCACATGGAATGTTCTCTGCTCACTGGAGCTCTTGTTCACGCGCGTCTCCCAATAGAACGTGAGGTCCCGACTTTCGGCCTGCTCTCCAAGATACTTTCGAAGATACTGGTGGAATGGATAGGAGTTCGCCATCCATATCTCCCCATCTCTTTCAGGGCGGTAGTCGCAAGCATTATCGCATGCTTTCGACATGATTGAATCGACCAAGTCCCGAAATTCGCTGCAGGCAGCAATCATCTCACAAACTGGGTTGAAATTCCCGGGCGTCGTGTCTTTGACTCTCTTCGGATACTCGAAGCTGTCGGTTTGTATATTGATCAACTCCAGCTCCACCTGCTCGACTCCATGCTCAATATCCTCAGCAACTTTGTTCAGTTGATCGCAAACCCGAGCAAAGTTCTGGAAGACCGTATTTTGAATACTGCCACCATCCTCTAGCGATTCGTAGTTGTCAAGGAATCTACCGATGGCGGTTTTGGCCTCAGAAAGCGTATCCTCGCGGATATTTTGCAGGTGCAGCGCTTGAGTTTTCTCTTCTCCATTCCCAACAACAGCGATCACCATGTCGTGACGATGCATCAGTAAGTCGGGGGCACCGTCGCCTACTAAGCATACAGCGCTTTTGAATGGTTCCGCCCCATTATCGTGATAAGCAAGCTGTCCCTCTGCCATGGTTCTCTGGTAACAAAGAGCGTATTGTGGTTCAAGTAACGCTGAATCTAGGACAGTCCTATGCCAGTTTAATAGATATGTTGTAAGTTACATGCTCATGATCCTGCATCGGTTTCAGCTGAAAGCTGGGTTTATATAAGTCGGTAGCTCTCTTTGAATTAGCAGGGGAGAAAGAAAGAGGTGGCTTTCTCGCCAAGGATGGACAACAAAGTGAGTTTCTCCCCATGAGACTTTGTGCTGAAGAGGAACAAATAACAAAGCTTGTGTACGAAAGTAAATACTGAACGAACTATAAGCTAGTTACAAAGGTTTGTGCGAAGAGAACAACTGCAACGCATAGTGCGTCCCTCAACATGGACAACAGTTGTCCTGCGTCGCTAGTAGTCTTCGACCCTGGGTCACAAAGGATGCTAATGAATCTATGAAATTTGATAAGGTCATGATACAATCGGGGGGGGATCCTCAATTCTAAAAGGTGTTCAAAAGTAAAATACACGGCTGGTGAGCCAAGTCACATTACAAATCAAACTCATCAATCCGAACTACTCTAGCTAAAACAAAACACCCTATCCAACCAACTCAAACTCTACATCCGTAGATATGATATACAAAGACAGCTTTCATTCCATTCGTCCCCATTGTTAAGGTCAAAAAAGACCTCCCTGGGATCTGAGGCTTCTTCGCCATTCCGAAGGCATTTCTGGGACGTCGTCATATCCTTGAGGAAGCCATCTTCTTAGTGATGGTGGCCACGGGCGCCGGCAGAGCCTGAGCCGCCTCCTCGACGGACTTCGAGGCCTCGTGTGCGATGGCGGTGGCTAAAAGCACCACCGGAACCGCCGCCACGGCCACCACCACCACCACCTCCCCTGTGGACCTCGAGGTCTCGTGTGCGATGGCGGTGGCTGAAAGCACCACCAGAACCGCCGCCTCCTCCCCGGCGGACTTCGAGGTCCCGTGGGGGGTGGCGTCGACGGCCACCGTATCTTGAGCTGGCTCTGGTGTATACTTCAAGATCGTCACGAGCCTCGAGATCAACATCCTCGTCCCGAACTTCGAGCTCTTCATCTTCATCTCGGACTTCAAGATCCAAATCCTCGTCTCGCTCTTCAAGATCAAGATCCCAGTTGAGGTCACGGGTTTCGAGATCAAGATCATCTCTGGCCACAAGGTTGAGGCCGTTGTTGGTTTCATCGATCTCCAGGGCGAGTCCTCGGCTGGCGAGTCCAAGCCAGAGCATGGTAGCCAGGCTGAGATGCTTGACGGCGACCATTTTGAATAGAATAGGAAGAAATTAAAAATTCGGGAAATAGAGAGAAACTATGTAGTAGAAAGAAAATTGGCTTCAAAGATAAAGGCAGACCAGCTCTTGGAAGAAGTAGATTGCCAGTGTGGTTGTATTTAGTGCTGTTTGTTAATGAAAAAGCAATTAGAAGCCTAAGGAGAGAAACTTGGGCCTTATATACATCCATGTGAGGCCATCCAACGAGTATCAAATGTCTGCGAGGTTGAGAATCTGCTAAATTTAGCCGTCAGCTCAATAACAGAAAGGAACAAGCTTTGGATGTCTCGAGGATGGACATCCATCTTGCTCGCAACTATTGGCCGGGGCTGCATAGAGGATCCCCCCATACCGAACGACATGTGGTAGTGTCGTAGATATATTAACCTCACTCCATCTACACTGATTAATAAACCAAACACCACTTGAATAACTTATACCGGAGGTCAGTGATGTGATGGGCCTCAATGGGTAGGCTACATTAACATTGAACGCCCTTCATCCAAAGTGCTGTTTGAATGCCAACCTTAAAACATAAGGCCATACATTATGTCCGATGTTGTTGTAAATCTCGTAGTATCAACAGCCGGCAGTCAAAACTGGCCCGGTACCACATGGCCCTTCTAGATTAATAGCGATTTCACGGGTCTGGCTCATACATTATTTGCCGTCATCAGCAGGTCGTGGCAGCTAACCGTACAGTCATGCTATTGTTTGATCTGTGGATTCATGCACAATTGCCATTAATATCTTGTCGCCCAAACATGCGATCCACCAACTGGAGATTTCCCAAAGAGGCATCACCGAGACTTAAGTAGAACAATACCGCACATGGGTGTGGCTACTTGCTCGCAGAGCCACGAGTTTATCTATCGCAGGATATGTATCTTTGGCCGTCCTGTGCATTATGCCAAGTTACGGGAGTTCAGATCGGGGGATTTTGTCGCCTTGGCATGCAGTCGCCTACCGCCAAACACTATATAATTGAATCCGCTACAGGGACTCAGTTGACGTAGAAAATGGGAGAACCCTAAGAAATTGCATATGGCATTGTGAAGCCCCTTCTACCTGTTGCTGTAAATTCACTCTTGAACGGAATAGTGCTGAATCCTACACTAGCGTTAGTCAATTCTCTACATTCACAGTTTTGGCTTGTTCCAGGAGATCGTAGCTCCCGCTCAAGAACTAAATCGAGCGCTTTCCAGTTCTTACCAATACCCTTGCTGGGTCCATCAACTATGTGTTTGTATATTACGATTGGATTGCGCATCCAGAGCTTTGGGGGGCAATTAGTCAATCGTCCCCCCTGAGGAGAATGGAAACAGCTATGAAGAATCGATCCTCCATTGGGAGTTATCGTTGGTTGGTTATAGCTGGTAGCTCGATCAAATAGAAATTGTCTAATAATTCTGTGCAAATTTTATCAATGTAGATTAGTGTGTTGTCTTCTTACCGCACTACCCGCCGATACTAAGACATCATCTTGGGGAATTGTGGAAATTATTATAGCTCGTACATGTTGTGTGCGTGATTTCCTTGAAGATGCGAACTTACGTGATGCAGGACACGATCTGCTATATCGAGTTGAATAATGAGGAACAGCGTACTGCTTTGGCTATTGAGGGCAGAGTAGTTTCGAATCTCGAATTAACCATCCGAAGCGAGTCATCTCTCAACATGTTCCAATTTGATTTGAATTAAATAGGGTTGGATGGCCATCAAGCGTGAAGCCTTGGTGATGCTAAATGTGATACAGGGTAGGCATTATCCTGACACTGAATACCACCAACAAATGAAACCCGCAAATGAGTCTGCGAGTAGTATTGTCAGCTTATATAGGAGACGATACGCTAAGATTGCCAATTTGCGTACATGGTTCTATGCTGCCGAAGTACTCTACTTGAATTGCTATGTCATTTCTCTCAACTGGTTGGCAACTGCGATTCGATATCTCCTCGCTATCTTAGTCAACTTGTTCCCGTCGCGGCAACTCGGAAGCGAAGCGCCGAGGCGAGGCCGCGAGCGAATGAAGTGATGTCATGGTGCTAGTCATAACACTAGACCAGGAGCTCCAGCTTTGTCAAGCATTATCACTCCATTACCCAATCGCTGGAAGCATCGGATGCGAAGCCCTTCAGATCCCATGAGCTTTCGGTCCTTTTGGCCTCCAGTCGTAGAGCGAGGCATTTCCTCTGCTTCCATGGACATTGATTGATTGATATTCGAGCATCCCCCGAGCCCAGCTCCTGCAACTGGCCGAGCTGCCATTCCTTCACCCACAGCGCGGCAATTGACGATGATGTCGGCTTCTCTCCAACCACGCGCTCGCTTGATCGCTGCCGGTCTGCGATCCGCGCCTAGGGCCTGCGCAAACCCCAGGGCGATTGTTTTGCATCATTCGCGGACGTTATTCAATTCTCATCGACCTGGCGCAGCTTCCAGATTGAAGCGCAGCTCGCTTCCAGCCAATTTCTTCGTCCGCGCGATATCTGGAAAGCCCCTCCAACAAAGCAACTCGTACCTCCTCAATTTCTGCTTCAGAGCCGCAGCATGGCTTGGTGCCTCGCTCACAGTCATTGGAGTCAGCGTCGTTGCCTTCTTTATCTATGATGCGTCCACCTACAAGGAGGAAGCTACCCACAGCGATATCAATCTCTCGGAGCTAGCTCTGCAGCCCCGCCGCGGCGGGCCCAAGAACCTGCCGATCGCCGAAGTCTTCATTGGCGACGACGACACTGAGGAGACCCGGGCGATGAAAGAGAAGCCCCGGCTGGTCGTCCTCGGAGGCGGCTGGGGTGGCGTTGCGCTCCTCAAAGATTTGAACCCCGACGAATACCACATCACCGTCATTTCGCCCACCAACTATTTTCTCTTTACGCCCATGCTACCGTCTGCTACCGTTGGAACCCTGGAGCTGCGATCTCTCGTTGAGCCTATTCGACGCATCCTCCACAGGTGTCGAGGTCATTTCATCCGCGCACAGGCCGAAGATGTTGAATTCTCCCACAAACTTGTCGAGGTGTCGCAGCGGGACTTGAATGGGCAGGAAGTACGCTTTTACGTTCCCTACGATAAGCTGGTCATTGCTGTGGGCTCCACCACGAACCCCCACGGCGTCAAAGGTTTGGAAAACGCCTTCTTTCTGAAGAACGTTGATGACGCGAGAAAGATCCGTAACCGAGTGATCCAAAATTTCGAACTCGCTTGCTTGCCAACTACCTCAGACGAGGAACGAAAACGCCTTCTCTCATTTGTCGTCAGTGGTGGAGGACCGACTGGTGTTGAGTTCGCAGCGGAACTATATGATCTCCTGAATGAGGACCTCTCGCGACACTTCCCCCGCCTTCTTCGAAATGAGATTTCCGTGCATATCATCCAGAGCCGGAGCCATATCCTGAACACTTACGACGAGGCGGTGTCCAAGTATGCTGAGGAGCGGTTTAATCGTGATCAGGTTGACGTGCTGACCAACTCACGAGTGAAGGAGGTTAAGGAAGACAAGATTATCTTTTCTCAGAAATTGGAGGACGGGTCGGTTGTGACGAAGGAGCTTCCTACTGGATTTTGTTTGTGGTCTACCGGCGTATCGCCAACCGCATTCAGCACAACTTTGTCGAAGAAGTTGGGTGACGCGCAGACCAATCGACATGCCTTGGAAACCGACACCCATCTCCGTCTGAACGGTGCCCCGTTGGGTGATGTTTATGCCATTGGAGACTGCTCGACTGTTCAAAATAACGTTGCTAATCACATTATTACATTCCTCCGCACTCTCGCATGGAAGCAAGGCAAGGACCCCGAGACCATTCAGCTTCACTTTAGCGACTGGCGATACGTTGCCCAGGATGTGAGGAAACGTTTCCCCCAGGCAAATGAGCATCTTAAGCGCTTGGATAAGTTGTTTGAAGAATTTGATAAAGATAAATCTGGCACTCTTGACTTTGGCGAGCTGCGAGAGCTCCTCGGTCAGATTGACAAAAAGTTGACATCCCTTCCCGCTACTGCCCAGAGAGCTCATCAGCAAGGCCAGTACTTGGCTCACAAGTTCAACAAGATGGCACGACTGTCGCAAGGTCTACTGGCCAATGATGTCAAAGATGGCGATTTGGACGCCGCGGCGTACAAGGCATTTGAGTATCATCATCTTGGTAGCCTGGCATACATTGGCAATTCTGCTGTTTTCGACTTGGGCGAAGGCTGGAATATTTCTGGTGGTCTTTGGGCAGTCTACACATGGCGATCTGTTTACTTCGCCCAGAGCGTGAGCTTTAGGACCAGAATGCTCATGGCCATGGATTGGGCAAAACGTGGTCTTTTTGGCCGAGGTGAGCACATTAATAATTTGATCTCTAATTTTGTGATCGGAACTAACTTCCCAAAAGATTTAATTAGCTTTTAAGCCGATATACCAAGGCAGCGCTTTTCGTATACTGCGATCATCACCTAATATAGAGTTACGACATGAAAGGATGTATTCATAAGAGCCTAGTTTTGAAATTTTGCTTTGTTTTTGAGTCATGGAAAAAGGGAGAGACAACGAGCATTAAACTGATATTCATATGCAATAAACCAAACTCAGATGCTGGCTGTCTAAATGACAAAATCCTTGTGCGTCCACTTCTCTGTGACTTTCCTCCTGGCTTGCTTCTTGAAGGGAATATGTCTCCTGGCTTCCACCTTGCCTCTGACCAGCATACTCCGGTATCGATCCTTTAGCAGGTTGCCCTCCGGCTTTAATAATCTCAGGGAGTCCTGCAACTCGTCTGGTAGTACCAATTCTAAGTCCTTCTCTGGAAGTTTGAACTTTCCAATCTGCTTCCTTCTGAGTTTCTGGTCGTTGATCTCGCTCTCACCAGAGTCTGAAGCCTGCTCCTTTTCTTGAAGAATGAGAGCCCTGGTGTTTTCTCTGTCCTGGACTTCCTCGGCAATTTCTTTGATCCGTTGTTCCTGTATGCGCTTGGCTTTCATTTCGGCCTTGTGCTTGGCCAGGCGTTCGTCCTCCTTTCTGCGCTTGATTCTGTTCCGTTGAGCCTGGGTCTTGCGTTGAGGGCGTTTCGCGGAGATAGCGTTGTCTTCAACACCACTCTGGAAGCCCTCCCACTCTGAGTCTTCCTCCCATTCTGACAGGTTTGCACGTGCTTCGGCGGCTTCGGCCTCGGCGGCAGACCGCGCGCTGGCTTCTTGCTTGAGGCGCTCAGCCTCTTCGTCAGCAAGTCGCTTGGTTTCGGCATCGACTGCCTTGTTGCTCTCCGCCGTATACCTTTCCTCGTACTCGGAGAACAGAGGGTTGTAGCTGTAGCCGCCAGTGGGCCTCTGCACGGCGGGCACCTCCTTACCGCTCGCAACAAGTGAAATGGGCTTTTGCTTCATCGACTTGGGCACCTTCGCTTCGACCTTGGGGGGGATGAATTCCTGGTTCTTCTTTTCTTCGACAGGGGCATCCCAGAGATCGTATGTTGCATCCTTCAGCTGGAGAGTGCTCTCATGCTCGCCATCGGCCACCTTCTTGAGTCGAGCGAGTTCCTTGTGAGAGACCCAATCGGTGCGCTGGCGCTTGACGGGCAGGACGCCATCGGTTGTCTTGGCACTGGGGCGTTTGCGCATCGACACGGCAGGGACGGAGGATCGCTGAGCGAGGATTTCGTCCGCCTTCAGTCCCTTCTTGACGTGCTTGGGGAATTTCTTGGGGATCGCCGCATCGCCAGTCAAGTCGAGGGTGAAGAGTTCCGCGGATTCTTTCTCCCTGATTACGCCACTGTAGATATTGAGTTAGAGAACCATAAGACGTGACAGCCCGGGCGTCGAGAAGCCTTACCCGCTAATGATTTGTTCATTCAATTCCTCGAGACCCTCCTCAACCTCCGTAACATCCACGTTTTTTCTCCATGCCTTCTTTCCCTTTCGCGACGGCTGATTGAAAGTCTTGGGGGCATCAACGGCCCCCGAGACAGATGACTTGACCACAGGCATCTTGGCGACTTTCAATTCAAAAGACCCTGAAAATGGTCCAAGGATGGATGCTCAACTTTGCATGTGGTGGGGGACTTGTTCAATTCTTCCAATTTTTTAGTGGAGATTTCAGCCTCTCCGTTATCTGAGCATCCACTTTCCTTATCGATAACAACCAATCCGTATGTGGTTGATTACGGAGATGACCGTATTGATCTAGCATTCCGTTTTGTTGTGCAGCCACGTGCAAGCTATTACCGTTCGTTGAGCACCTTCCAGAGACGTGAAGCGTCACCGAGTTAATCTCCTTTCCTGGACCGATTGATGTTGGATCATCTACCATACACTCCAAAAAGGTGCCTGGGATACAACGTCTCTCTCCATTCGAATATAGATAACGGCGACCTTTTTTTGATCACCGATTTGACCGAATCCCAACCCCTTTACTCTCAGCATTCTACTTCTTATCCCAGGGGCTATTAAAGGTTAGCTGTCAAGATGGCGCAGGCAGGATCGTACAACAACCCCTTGAAGAAATTCAAGTAAGTTCAAGCTCCCTGACCATCTAGGCCATTGGTACTGACCGGCAATTCTTAGGCTGGTATTTTTGGGCGAGCAGAGTGGTATGTGATATTTAATTTACGACCTGGCGCAAAGCACATGCTGATTGCAACCTGCAGTGGGGAAGACATCTCTCATCACGCGGTTCATGTACGACTCCTTCGACAACACGTATCAGGCTACGATCGGTATCGATTTCCTCTCAAAGGTTGACCCAGCACCAGACCGCGATTCGATATTCAGGGGGCTAACTACGGAGCAGACTATGTACCTGGAGGACAGAACAGTACGATTACAGCTATGGGATACCGCAGGCCAGGAACGATTCAGAAGTCTGATTCCATCATACATTCGAGATTCCAGTGTGGCGGTTGTGGTGTATGATATTTCCAGTATGCAAGAGCTCCGAGATGCTACGCCCGATTTGCGTTATCTAACACCATTCTAGACGCAAAGTCCTTCCAGAACACCAAGAAGTGGATCGACGACGTCCGAGCCGAGCGAGGAAACGATGTGATCATTGTTCTGGTTGGCAACAAGACGGATTTGAATGAGAAGCGAGAGGTTACGACGCAGCAAGGAGAGGACGAGGCCAAGAAGAACAACTTGATGTTTGTGGAGACAAGCGCGAAGCTTGGCCACAATGTTAAGAATCTGTTCAAGAGGATAGCACAGGCGTTGCCCGGAATGGAGGGCTCTGATGCAGCAGCTCAAGCATCAAGCCAGAGTAAGTCCCCCCTTTGTCATCCCGGATTCATTATGTGGCAGCCGAAATTGCTCACGCTTGCATAGTGATTGATGTCAAAACAAACAACACGCCTGCCAACCAGGAGGGTTGCGCTTGTTGAAGTTGGTTGGCACTGTTGCGCCGACGCATAACGCATTTATACGGAACAGACATGATACAACAAGTAATGGGGGCTCATGTCCTTAGTAGGATATCCAGCATAGCGGGAGGGCTGATCATGGGACTTGTATAATACGGTCAAAAGAAGAAACGAGACTACGATCGCTACATACTATTTGTTCAAGAACACCTGAATCTCAAGCTGCGACCCAAATGACCGGGCTTTCGGTTTTTAATACAAGCCGATCAATCGACATGGATTGTAGCCTTGCTGACTGCACGTGATGATTCTTACGTTATGGGCGTACGTATCCGTATTCTACGGTGATTTTAAGGTGACCGGTACCTCCGGGTCGAGGTGGGGCTCGTTTAATCAGGCGAGGAGAGCCAAGGATCAATTTCCGACGTCACCAATGCAGGATTTCTTTGTCGCGTGCTGCCTTTAACCCCCGAATTCCCTCCTAGCTGTGGTCTCACTCGTTACTATACCTTCTGAACCAAGACCTGGAACCATATCTGCCAGCATGTCACGATTCACCAGCCTGTATTTGAGGGTTCCTCGCCCCAAGGTAAGTATTTAACGCACTAACGACCCAAATCATGCCATCGAGGACTCGGCCGCTGACATGCCGTTCAATATAGACGCTCTTTGGCTTCATTAGCCTGCAGACGGCGACGGAGCTGATTTCGCTCGCTCTGGTGTTCAACAAAGTGACTGGATTCTACGGATTGCTGGCAATTCTTACGGGCTTCCAGCTGTCGCTCTTGCAATTTACGACCTACCTCTATTCGATTGCCGTCCTGGTCGCACTCGCTTTTCTCATCCCGCACATCCGAAAACAGAGCCCATTTGAATGTCTGATGCTGGCGTGGATTTACATCCTCGATACGATCATCAACACCTTCGATACTGCCGCCTTTGGCCTCGAGTGGTACTTTGCTACGGGAGCTTCGGATACCGCGGATAACGTCAACGACATTGTTGCGGAGGGTATTGAGACATTGAAGGAGCAGACCGCCCTTCATGGCGCCGCTGTTCCCCACGAGACGGCTGCCAGCATGGTCCTGATCATCCTCCTCACCTTGATCCGAGTTTACTTCTGCGTGGTGATCATGTCGTACGCTCAGCAGGTGCTGCAGAAATACATGCAGCTGATGATCCTGGAGGCTGGACCTGATGTGATGGTGGACGACAAGGATGGCCCATTTGCCGCCGAACTTCCAGATGGCGAGGGACGACGAGGCGCTCTTGGCAGAATGATGGTTTCGATCGGCAGGGGATACTGGCTTGACAGCAAGCAGCACGACGAGGGATGGGCCGGGGAGAGAGTTCCTAAGGCTGGCCCTTCGTCGTATACTGAAGATGTCTGATGTGACTTGAGAGCTAGATGTTGGGAGAATTGGGGGTTTGGGGACGTTGAAAGTGGCTTTTTTGGGGTCTTTTTTTATGCACTGCGATGAATTTGGGTAGGGAGCCGTTTTTTCGACCACAGGGACTTATGCATAATTCAGCCAATACATAGACTATATTAGAATAATATATAGCAATGTTGACATCCTATTATACCGAAGCCCAGGGACCTGGACCCTTACTCAGCAGTTTGGTACACACTGGAGCATCCAACGCCGGGACAGCCCCGAAGCGAAACGCCGAAACCCCATCGCCTTCGTGTTGCTTGCTAATGATGTATCCAGTCATGCCACAACTCGGGGACGGTTGATTTGTCCCTGGCGGTCAACAGGCCAATCATGCGGGCATCGGAATGCGTGCAGTGGATCCGGTAGTTGAATGGTGCCATCACCGGCCTGTCGGGACACAGGCCTTTGAACAGCTCCGGCAGTCGGATCAACCACGGCCGAATGCAGTGCGCAAGCCATCGGTGACCTCCCCGTGGCCAGCGCTGTGCTGCAGCGGCGCATAGGGCCTGTAGGGACCCTGTGGGGTTGTCCAAGCGACCCTACCGGCTGCGACCTGCGAATCCGGCGGCAGCAATTCGTAATGGGGGCAGGAGCGTCCTCGCCGAGGCCTTCCCAGACGTTGCCAGCGCTAGGTCGATCACGCAATCCCTCCTCCTCCAGCCTACCACGCAGCTTGGAATTGGTTTGCGGGGGCCCTTCTAAACTTTGATTTTTTCCCGCTCCAGGTCCTGGTGAGGGTCCAGATGTGATTATGTGGAGTAGATTCCGCCATCTGGAAGGCATTTTTCTCTAATTCCCTCCTCGCTCTGGTCGCCGTGAGCCGTCGACGTGCTGGCGAAAGACTGCTGACCCAGGCACCGGCCCGAGAGCAGCCAGCGGAGCCCTTTATAATACCAACTTCTCGTCTGGAGGCACGCTTCCCATCATGTCTTTCTTCTTCCGATCCAGCTCCGTGAGTGACGGCAAGATGGAGACTGCTGCTTCACACAAGGTTGTCACGCCTGAAGAGGCTGGTAAGTACTGCTTGATCACTTGCATTCTCCCTCACTTACACGCATCTGAACTCCGGCACATGCTGCTGATGCCCCTCCAAAAAAAACCCCTCCAAAAATTTCCAGCGCAGTCGGAGCTACCGCAAGCCAGGACGGCCACTTCGTCAGCATGCGGGAAATCCGAATTGCTCAGCACCCTCGCCTGCCAGAACCCTACCAATCCGTTTCCAGTTCAAACATGTCCAATGGAAGTCAATTCGATGCTAATTGGGTCTGTGTATAGTGTCAAGAATCGCATACCTCGCTAGCGATGTCGTCGTCTCTGTCCAGCCCTCGCTGGCTGCCGATTCGGCCTTCTCCTCACACCTGAAGCGTTATGCCGGCCGCAATGACCAGGGCATCGTCGCCGCAAATGGGGTCCCGGAGATCCAATCTGTTCGGCACAACGCCGACCCTCTCCTCTCCGTCTACGCCCCCATTCGCTCAGGCAAGCTCGTCTCCGTGACGACGCCTGCCTCTATTCTCATCCCTTCAATCTCTCACCTCTACAAGCTGGCCAACTACCCTGTTGTGCTCCATGTTTCTCTCGAACCCCGAAAGCACGCCGACTACTCCGTCATCACCTCCATTAGGAACTCGGGATGGACCTTCCTGCACTCCGAGACCCTGCAGGAGTCCCAGGATATGGCTATTTCTGCCCATGCGCTCGCCATTCGTACAGGCAAGGGTGTAATTCACTTCTTTGCTCCCGAGACCTCGGCTCAGGATGCTTCGATTTCTATCGAGGACGTCGAGGCTGTCAGATCCGTCATCGACATTGAGAGTGTACGGAGATTCCAGGCCGCTAACATCGCCACTTCTGGAATCTATGCCGACGATGGCCACTCGGCCGTTCTGTCCGCAAACCCCGAGCCTCCAGTCAGCACCGAGGCTTCCAAGGCTTCCGGCCTCCAGGTCCCTGCCAGCGCTGTGGCTTCCAAGGTTGCTTCTGCTGGAACCTCAGTCAAGTCTAGCCAGGTGAGCGAGTCAGGCGAGTCACAACCCGGCTCTGCTGCCACTACTGTCGAATTTGCCCCTCCCCAGGTTACATCTCAGGACATCTACGACACTGCCTCGAGCATCTGGAGCCAGCTTCACGCTGCTGTTGGTCGATCATACAGCGCCTTTGAGTACTCTGGACCTGCTGATGCTGCCAACTGCCTTTTTATCTTTGGCACTGATGTTGGGACTTTCGGTGAAGCCCTTGATAACGCCAAGGGTGACGAGGTCTTCGCCAAGGCTGGTATCCTGACCCCTCGACTCTACAGGCCCTGGATTGGCACCAACTTCGTTGAGTCCCTGCCCCAGTCTGTCAAGAGGATTGCCGTTTTGGAGCAGATCCGCCGCAAGACCACCAAGTGGGGACCTCTCTTGATCGATGTCCTGACCTCTATTAAGAGCGGCCCTGGTGGCGTTGAGCACATTGTTGGCTACCAGTTGGGCTATGTTGACCCTGCAGTCATTGACCAAGCTCTGCGAGGTATCTTCCAGAACTTGACCTCGGACAAGCCCATCCAGAACCTCGAGGTTGGCGTCAGGGAGGCTCCTGAAGAGAAGACTGAGTACGGTGTTGAGGTTCCCGCTCTTGAGACCGCATACACTAAGATTTTGGACCAGCTCTTCGGCAGTAGGACCTACGTCGCAAACGCTCTGAAGTCGCAGAACGCTGGAATCTCGGCAACAGTCGCAGCCAGCCCCGAATTTGGTTTCGGTTCCCTGTTGGCTCGCAAGGAGCTCCGCTCCCGATTCGTTTCTGAGGCCAAGGCCGCCGCTACCAGCAAGGAATTCATCACTGATGCTCCCTCCAAGTTCCTGGCACGCTGGGCCGTGAATGCTGATGATGCCTCCAAGTCAACTGAAGTCGCTGACGATGTCATCGCCCGTCTTCAGACCGACGGTTCGCCCCTGGCCCAGAAGCTCCTTGCCAACAAGAGCCTGTTCCGTAAGGAGTCGCTCTGGCTGACTGGTTCCGATGCTTGGGCCTACGATCTTGGAAACTCCGGTGTCCACCATGTTTTGGCTTCCGGAGAGAACGTCAACATGCTCATCATCGACTCTACCCCCTACTCCCAGAAGGCCGCCGCCGATGCCGAGCGCCGTAAGAAGGACATTGGCTTGTATGCCATGAACTTCGGCAATGTCTATGTTGCCTCTACTGCCGTCTACAGCTCGTACACCCAAGTTCTCCAGGCCTTGATGGAGGCCGACAAGTTCAACGGTCCCTCAGTCGTCATGGCTTACCTACCATACTTTGGAGAGAGTGACTCTCCCCTTACCGTTCTTCAGGAGACCAAGAAGGCCGTCGACGCCGGTTACTGGCCCCTGTACCGATGGAACCCCGAGAACGAGAAGAAGGGCGAGCCCAACTTCTCTCTCGACTCTGAGCTGATCAAGCAGGAACTCAAGACATTCCTTGCCAGAGACAACCAGCTCACTCAACTGATGAAGAAGGAGCCTCAGTTTGCTGCCAGTTTGGCCCAGGACTTCGGAACTGAAGTCCGAGCTCAGCAGAAGCGCAAAGCCAAGGATGCATACGCCCAGCTGCTCGAAGGCCTCCTGGGTGCTCCTCTGACCATCCTGTTCGCCTCTGACAACGGTAACGCTACCAACGTTGCCAAGCGTCTCGGCAACCGGGGACGTGCTCGTGGCCTCAAGACTACTGTCTTGGCTATGGAGGACTATCCTCTTGAGGACCTTCCCTCCGAGGAGAACATTGTCTTTATCACCTCCACTGCTGGTCAGGGTGAGTTCCCCCAGAACGGTCTGCCATTCTGGGATGCAATCAAGGACAGCACCGATCTTGATCTCGCTACCGTGAACTACTCCATCTTCGGTCTGGGTGACAGCCACTACTGGCCTCGCAAGGAAGATAAGATCTTCTACAACAAGCCCGCCAAGGATCTGGACCGCCTTTTGACTAATCTCGGCGGTAAGCACCTGGCCGATGTAGGCCTTGGTGATGACCAGGATCCCGATGGTTACCAGACCGGCTATGCTGACTGGGAGCCCAAGATCTGGCAAGCCCTTGGCGTGGACAACGTCGATGGTCTTCCTGATGAGCCTCCCCCAATCACCAACGAGGATATCAAGTTGGCCTCCAACTACCTCCGTGGTACCATCGTTGAGGGACTCAACGACCCCACCACTGGCGCCATTTCCGCATCAGACGGCCAGCTCACCAAGTTCCATGGTACCTACATGCAGGATGACCGTGATGTTCGTGATGAGCGTAAGGCCCAGGGCTTGGAGCCCGCTTACTCCTTCATGATTCGATGCCGTCTGCCTAGTGGTGTCTCTACTCCTCTCCAGTGGGTCCAGATGGACGACATCGCCAACACCCTCGGAAACCAGACGATGAAGCTTACTACTCGTCAAACCTTCCAGTTCCACGGTGTGGTCAAGGGCAAGCTCAAGCCTGCCATGCAAGCCATCAACCGTGCTTTGATGACCACCATTGCCGCCTGCGGTGATGTCAACAGAAACGTCATGTGCAGCTCGCTTCCCACACAGTCAAAGTTCCACAGAGAAGTTCACACCGTCTCCCAGAAGATCAGTGACCACCTCTTGCCATCGACCACTGCTTACCACGAAATCTGGCTCACAGATGACGATGACAAGAAGACCCAGATTGCCGGCGACGCTGTCCAGGACTTTGAGCCCCTCTACGGTCCCACCTACCTCCCCAGAAAGTTCAAGATCACCATCGCTGTTCCTCCTCACAATGATACCGATGTGTACGCACATGATATCGGTCTGATTGCTATCAAAGGCGAAGACGGTGGCCTCGCTGGTTTCAACATTCTTGCTGGTGGTGGTATGGGTTCTACTCACAACAACAAGAAGACCTACCCCCAGACCGGTAGAATGTTCGGTTTCGTCTCTGTGGAGGATGCTCACATTGTCTGCGAGAAGATCATGCTTGTCCAGCGCGACCACGGTGACCGTAAGAACCGCAAGCACGCTCGTCTCAAGTACACCATCGACGATATGGGCGTCGACGTGTACAAGGGCAAGGTTGAGGAGCTGTGGGGCAAGCAGTTCGGCGCTCCTCGTGCTTTCGAGTTTAAGAGCAACGTTGACACCTTCGGCTGGGTAAAGGACGAGACCGGCTTGAACCACTTCACCCTGTTCATCGAGAACGGCCGTATTGAAGATACTCCCGATTTCCAGATGAAGACTGGTCTCAGGGAGATTGCCAAGGTCCACAAGGGTGAATTCCGCCTGACCGGTAACCAGCATGTCATCCTCAGCAATGTTGCTGACGAGGACCTCCCCACCATGAAGGAGATGCTGAAGAAGTACAAGCTTGACAACATCTCCTTCTCCGGTCTACGTCTCAGCTCTTCCGCCTGTGTTGCTTTCCCCACTTGCGGTCTTGCCATGGCTGAATCTGAGCGTTACCTGCCAGTCCTCATCTCCAAGCTGGAGTCTTGCCTTGAGGAGAACGGTCTTAGCCAGGACTCCATTGTCATGCGTATGACCGGTTGCCCCAACGGTTGCGCTCGCCCTTGGCTTGCTGAGGTCGCCTTCGTCGGTAAGGCCTTTGGCGCGTACAATATGTACCTCGGTGGTGGCTACCACGGCCACCGGCTGAACAAGCTCTACCGATCCAGTATCAAGGAGGAAGAGATCCTGGAGATCATGAAGCCTCTTCTGAAGCGATACTCGCTCGAGAGAGAGGAGGGGGAGCGCTTTGGCGACTTCTGCATCAGGAGTGGAGTAATCAAGGCCACGACCGATGGCCAGAACTTCCACGACGGGGTAAGTTATCTATTCTAACTCTGTTTCAACGAGCCGAGGGCTAACGATTCAATCTAGGTTGCCGAAGAGGAAGAAGAGGACGAGGAATGAGCATAGCTACGTGATGACGATCATTTCAGGGGTTTCATTTATTCTACAGGCATATCCCATGTTTGGCCGGCGCATTTGGTGGACATATTCCTTGCTCTCTATGTACATATATATAGAATGTTTAAAAGTCACATTTTCTTCTCATCTGAGAATTTTGAATATATTCAGTTGGAAAGAAAGCTGCATTGGTAAACATGATTAACTAGCAGTGTGACTTGCGAAGACCTAAGTCACAAAAACATAAATGAACTGCAGAAGGATAAAGTCATGGCACGTAGAGGCCGACTTTTTCTTTTTCTTTCCCCAGCAATACCGTTGCGTGTTTAGGCCCTATCCGATGATGAAAGGTAGGCAATTAGTTAATGGACATCATTCATGTACGATATTGAGGATATCCAAGAATCATACGTGAACACAACAATCAAATATTTTCATTAAAAATGACCCCATCTACTCATGTTTCCATTCCATGTGACGTGTCAAGCAAAGTCGAATAAAATCCTCTCCTACATGTAAAAGAGTCTGTCTCAAAATGGGGATGGATCGATCCAAAGCCAAAAACTCCCACAAAACGCCCTTTTCCACATGTTGAAAACAATAACTCCTTTCGTGAACCAAGCTCCGGTAGTCATAAGAGCAATCTAAACCGGATCATAGAGCAATCTAGCCTGAATCATTCCGAAATACAAAACCTGTTTCATCGTTTAAATCTACTGGGCACAGAACTACTGATACTGCTGCCCACGCTGCTCATCGTCTCCGTCACCTTGCTGCCCCAACCTCCCATCAATCCTCCCATCCACTTGGGCACGGACAGGCTCATCCTGACGCGGCCTTCGACGATGATGTTGACGACGTTGATGATGGCGAACGTCGTCGAGCCCACCGCGCGGAAGGCGGCGAGACCTGCCACGCTCCAGAGGATAAATCTCAGGTAGTAGTTCTCTCCGATGCCGGTGCTACCGTACGCCTCGGAGACACCCATGGCGAGCAGGCCGTTGGAGACGAGCCAGACCAGCACCACGTACGTCCGCACGCTCTTGTAGTAGTCCTGCTGCATCTGACCCTCGCTAATGGGCGGCTCTGGGACCTCGACACGATCACGCAGGTTCCGCAGAGCCTCGTCGTAGCCAGAGTCAATGTCGAGCTGCTCGCTGGGCATCTCCAGCTCGACCGTCTCACCCTTTCCGACGGCACCACCGAGATCGGTACGGATGACGTTGTCACCCTTCGTACCCCATGTGACATCGTGGGTGTTGCAGAAGGCGTAGACCTGGAGAGAGCAGATGTAGAAGGGCAGGAGGAGGAAATACTGGGCGGACGAGGTGATGAGATGCCAGGGCTCGAGATAGAGCAGAGACATGACGATGTAGAGACCAATCGTCGAGGCGACGGAGACGATGAGGTTGGTGAATACGTTGTTGCCCATGCTGATTTCACCATCTCCAGACGTGAACTGTTTTATCACGATGTAGATGATGGCGAAGGACGTGTAGACCATGATGACACAGTACAGAACCAGACAGGTCAGATAGAGCTTTCTAGCGCCCTGGGGTCTGTTACCAAGCGAGAGAATGAACTGCGTGCTGATGAGGAGGATACAGGTGAACTTGAGGATAATGAAGAAGATGTTGCCCAAGCCGTGGCCAAAGGGATCTATTCTGGCATCGCTGAGACCGCCGGCGACGAAGTAGAAGGTGAGGTAGAAGTTGGCGAGGGAGAAGAATGTGAAGAGGAGCTGGATGAACTGGTAGCCCATCTCGATGAAGAGAAGGGCTTTGCGGGCGATGGTGTGGTCAGTGCCGAGAATCTGTCGGCACTGAACGATGGAGTAGACGGCGGCGAAGAAGGCACCGTTGAGCCATCTTCGACGCTGGGAGATGAATTCAGGAACAGAGTCTGATGATGGTTGTTAGCAAATCTCAATGGTATGTGTCAAAGGGGATGGATTGGTTCACTTACCAGGCACGTCAGTTTCACCCTTGCAGCTCTTCACATACTTCAACACCCATCTCTCATCTCTCTTGGCCACCAACTCCCAGCAGAGGATACGATCCTCGGCAAGGTACATGTTGGCTGTGAACACATCTGCATGCTGTCCATGAAGTGTCTCACCCTTGAAGTACTGACTCAATGGACCATGACCAGTCTCATCATTCTGCAGAGCATGGTAACGGTAGGCACTGAGGGCACCGGGAAGCACAGTAATGTAGCCAAAGACGGACTCGAGGGGTTTATCCAGAATGTTGGACAGCTTGTACTCGAAGTTTTGGGAGGCAACGAGGGGATTGAGGAGGTTGGCGCCCATGCGGCCCTTCATGGCTTTGATTTCACCACAGGCACCGGCGACGTTGGAGTCGGTGTCGAAGGCTTTCCAGAGATGGTACAGCGAGTTGCTGGTTGGACGGGTTCCCACGTCGAGCAGGATACAGACGTTGGGGTTCAGAGCCTTGCCAAACCCGTTGAAGAACCAACGGTGGGAGTTGAGCTTGCGCTGGTTGCGCTCCTTGAGACAGAAGATCATCTGGCAGGGGACAATGCCCTTCTCGGCACCCTTGAACTTGAGGTCAGAGTCGAGGGACACTTGCGTGGTGTACTCGTACACGTGGGCCTGGACAGCTCTGTTGTTGACGAAGTTCTTGGCGATACCGTCCTGGTAGACACCCATGGCGGCGAGAGCATCGAGGGTACGGGGATGGATCTTCTCACGTCCATCCGAGATGATGCATACGACGATCTTCTGCCACCCAGTCTCGCCCCAGGTACGGGACTTGTTGCGGGAGCAGAAGTGGGAGATGTTCTTCATGACGGCGTGCATGGTTCGCGTGAAGCCAATCTCGTCTTCGTTGTACATGGTCACGCAGATGAACAGCTCCGTCTCACGGGTCGTGCGTCCGATGCTCTGACGCAGCTTGTAGCCCTTCTCAACAAAATCATCCGGGTCGCACGTCACAGCTGTGTAGCGCATGTGCGTAAACTCGACCTCGTCGCGGCGAGGCAGGAAACTGTACAGGATGGTTGGGATCTTACACTCGAGGACCAGCTCACCGTTGATCAGCTGGACCTCCTTTCTTGACATCTGGGGTGCGCGTACACCACGACGCTCCTGGGCACCGTCAGGAGCTGGGCCATAGTGCTCGAAATCTGCTGCTGATTTCTCGTCGAAAAATTCGGGGTCGTCCTCGTCGTTGAGAGTCGGGTTGGACGAGGCATATGAAGCGCGGTCCATGGGTATCGGACGGGAGCGGCTGCCCAAGTCTGAATCTGGGCCAAAGACGTCGTCATCGTCATCATCATGGAGTGGAATATTAACAGTGGCATCGGCTCCTAGGTCGCCCCCATGACGGTTGTCTCGGTTGGTTGAGAAAAGGGGAGCCGGGGGCAGAGGACGACGGGGGCTGCCACCATATCTTGACGAAGGGGTTCCAGGTCGTGGGCTGCCATTGAGATCTGAGGGCTCGTATGAGAGGTTGGTAGCAGGTGGGCGTGTGTATTCGGATGAGCGTGAGGAGGGAGTCCAGGGTCTGGTAGGAGAGCCCTCTCGAGCACGACTGGCAAAAGGGACGTATGTCGAGTCTGGATGAGGCATGCTCGGAGCATCGTCTATGATGGACCCTGAGCCGAGGGAGCTGGGGTTGATTGAGCTGATGTATGACGATATGCCTGACATGTTTGATGTCAGGGTACTGGGCTGGTAGCTTCTGCCGCCCTGTGGTCGGGGTCGTTCTCTGTGAGGGAGGTCATGGCCTCGGTTAACATTGTGTCTCTTCATTGTATCGTGGGTGTCTGATGCTGGCACTGCGGCCGTGGTAGGATTGTGACTGGGAACCGCCAGAGGGTCTGGAGGACACCTGCTTGACAGACGCATCTTGCGTCGCTCGCTGGGTCCGTCCGGGATGAAAGGAAGCTCTTCCACGAACTCGGCAAATGCAACGTGGGATGTCTTTGCCCGCTTCTGTAACTTTACAGAAACTTGCCGAGGAAGGAGCTTTTTGAGCGTAGACTTGTTGCTAGTAGTAGAGGAGGTGTTTGTTGAAGGTTGGGGGTCTCCCTGCTGCTTCTTATCTGCTGATGAAGGTACGCTTGCTTTCCCAGCTTGTGGAGATTCAGGAGCAGCAGGAGTTTTGTGGCTTGTGTCTGGGAGCTGTGAGCTGGGCGGGTAGGTTACATACGGAGGAGGTTCATGGTAAGGCTCGTCGACCGAGGTCAACAACCTTACTGCGGCGGGATTGTGGCCAGTGGGTGTGTCTTGGTCGTCGCCGTACATCGGCAGGCTGTAGTCGGGCGGTCTCGATGGACCGTCCATTGTGACTGAGAGTTGGAATGCTGGACTCAATGGCTGGTATGTGCTTAGCTAGACGACGATCCAATTCCTTGGTAAAGGAGGATGGAGATACGACGCAAAGCTACGCAGTTAGCTGCGGAGGATAGGCTGCGTATGTCTTGAGCGGTCTAGTGTGAGCGATTCAAAGAGCGAGACTGAAGTCGCAGCTGAAGATAGGATACGACAGAGTGGATGGATCGAAGCTCAGATAGCTGTTTGGGGTGGGCTAGCTTGACAGTTATTGGATTGCTGACCGCCAGGTGTGTCTTTGGTGGGTGGGGGATGGCATTCATTGATGGAGCTGCCGGACGGGAGCGACGGATCCAAACAATGTGGTTGCGGCGATTGTTGGCCCAGCAACGCAACCAGCTACCCTGTACCTATACGCACCCCAAGGCAGAGGCACCACGACAACACCAGCAATTAATAATTGCTGCTTACCGTTTTTACATGTAGCCCCCAGGGATCATTGTGAAAGCAAGTCAGGTGTCTTTTTTTAATTAAAACGCTTCATTCTAGGAGAATATACATAACAATATGAACAATACATGCAGGCGTTGAGGACTTGTTTTTGGGCAACAACAACAACAACAGAAACAATAGGAATAATATCGATACCAGACGAGTCCACTCGAGGCAGTGTTACCTTGAAGCTTATAACGAGATAGTGGCACCTTGATGCCCCATCGGTAATGATAGTCTTAGGCAAGCAACATAGAGTTTTAAACGAACACGATTCTAAACATGCACCCCACCGGCCTCTCCCAGAGCAACAGGGACTCAGCCCCGAAAGATGGAGACACTCGGGTGTTCTTGGTGGCGCTGTTCCTGGCAACATGTGGAAAACTGACTTTGAAATACTAACTACTCGGTCATATATACGTGTTTGTGATTCTACCAACTGGCGTATACTACATCAGCCATCAGGCGATCGCTATCACGTCCCTCTTAGCTAGGACGGGAGTACGTGTCTGTTGGGTTAACCTAGACTAACCACCATTTGGGGATGGGATTATAATTCCGGACACTTCGGGATAACTCTGCGGAGTATTGTTAAAGGCTATGTTACTTTTACCCATGCTGCACTGTCGAAATCTCACATGATCTACACTCGAACGCCCTCGGGCCCGATCGTTAGGACAGCAGAGACACTACGGTACATGAGCGAACACTTTCAATGCATGACAATAATGAATAAAAACACCTTTTGGTGGGGAATGGACCATCTGTAAAGCCCTCAAGATATGTCCAAGCGAAAATCTTTATTTCTGCTATCTGGGTACATCTGTCTAGCGAATTTCACAACGAGACAATGGATTGAGCCTAGGCGTTGACCAGCAAGGTAGGCATTTCCCCTTTTCATGATATATTCCCCTGATTATAGCCAGAAATGGACTTTACTACATAGCGAAATACGTTTGTTTGCGTTTGCTCATCCGATGATGCCGACACCAGCAGAGGACTTGAGCAGCTCACAGATACAGCTGGCAGGATCGGCTCTGTGAGGACAATCCGTTAGCATGCCGACTTCTAGACCCCTGGGGTTTGTTTTGGGAAGTACTCACGTGTAACTGTATTCAGGCTCGAACGAACCCTCCTGGGTGATCTCGATGTCACTCTCGTTGAAGATGTTGTCGCGGGAGGTGGCATAGCCGTCCTCGTCCGAGTCGAGGTTGGTGACGATGGCACGCTTAACGTTGGTGAAGGAGGTGCTCTCGACGAGCACCTGGGCGCCCATGCGGGAGTTGATTCCCGAGGTGGGGACGTCCTCGTAGCAGCTGGAGTAGAGGTGGAGGGTGCCGAAGCGGATCGAGGGAGTGCGGGAGTTGATGTTGGACCAGTAGTTGTGGTGGTAGGTGGCGTGGAGGGTGCCGGTGTCCTGGCCGCTGTTGCTGTCGGAGTGGCCGATCAGAGAGGCCTTCCACTATGTGAGGTATTAGCATACAATACGATTTACGTCTCATAAGGAGGGAGATGTCTCCGTATGGCTTTACTTACGTGGTCGTGGAAGTGGCACCAGGAGACAGTGACGAAATCCGAAGCACGCTTGATATCGAGCATACCATCGTAGTAGTCCTTATCGCCGGTCAGACCGTCGTTGGAAAAGTCACAGTGGTCAACCCAGATGTAAGTTGATTGCTCAATATCAATGAGATCCTTGCCCTCAGGAGACTGCTTGAAGCTCAGGTTGCGGATGATGACATTGGTGATGCCGCTGAGTCTCAGGCCACTGCCAACGAATCCTGCGTCGGCTCCGACACCAATGATGCTGGTGTCAGAGCTGAGCTTGACGATATCACAGCCGGTGAGTGTGCCAGAGACCTTGATGACGCCGCCGGCAGCAACGGCAGCTGTGAACTCATCGCAGGACGTAACGGTGGTTCCATCGCCAGAACCACCACCGGTAGTACCGCTTCCGAAACCAACCAGTTGGTCGGAAGAGGCTGATCCGCAAGTGCCGGTAGCAACGGGGGTAGAGGAGGAGGAGGTAGGTGTAGCTTGTACGGATGAGCGAATGGAGGAGGGCGTAGCCTGCGCTGATGTAGGTCGAACCGAAGTCACGATGCTTGAGGTTGGGGTTGCCAAACCGGCTGACGAGGTCTTTGATGATTTGGTCTTGGTGGTCTTTGACTTGGAAGTCTGGGAAATGGCAGTGGCACTGGGTGTGGCCTCGATCGAAGTTGTGTCCTCACACTCATCTTCATCTCCGGTATCGTCGTCTCCCTCATCATCAGGGCACTCATCATCAGCACTGCTAGAGGTCTCCTCGCTCTTCAGGCAGTTGGAGTACCATTCATTTTGAACGACACATTCATATCCTATAATGACAAAAGCCCAATAATCAGATACCCTCTTTTAGTTATAAAATGACGTTGCCGACTTACCAGTAACACAGTCGGTCTCGCCGGTCCAGCCGCTTCCACCGCATTGGTACCATGGCTCGACCTGGGCGAGCACCGAGGTAGCGGTGAATGCGAGAATTGCAACAGCAGTCTTCGTGGTCAACATGATGACTTGCCGTTCAAGAGTGAAATTTTAAAAAAAGAATGAAGAAAGAAAGACTGAGCAAGGGGTATATCCAGAAAAGAGGGAAGTTGGTTTGAGCCAAAGCAAAACTCGTTCAAGAGCCTAGGTACCAGCTGAATTATATAGAGTCGCCATATCTCAGAACATTCCAGGCAAAGCCAAGCCATGTAATTACTCGGATCGATTCAGTACATGGCCTGTAACGGGAAGTGCCTGCTGTTTGCAGGGCCTGAGCAGGTTTTGCGAAAATCACCTGGATTGAACGGGGCCAGACAGGGAGCGGAGCATGGCATAGCGGTTATCCGACACAAACATCTCTATCATGACTCATGGGTAATGGGATTGTGTGGATTTTACAGGGGCAACATGATAAAGAGAACTCACCTTAGCACCTTGGCCAATAACATATTACCTCAATCATGACGAGGACTCGGGGTTCATTCATCTATGGTATTTGAGCGGCAATAATGAACGAGACTGAGTAGCTGGAAACTTCTACAATTACTTCTTTCTCGCTGGAAAGCAGGAAGGTACTTGGTGTAAGTGTAACCGCTGCTGACGCTGCCAACCATTGGGGACAAGATGTAAGAGGTCCCTCCATGTGAGTACCATATCTCTTGATACTGGTAGTGGAATCAAGGCATTTCCCATTTCATCCTGAAACATCCAGCCTGGTGGCTCGATATGGCAGCTGACAGGCAAGGATATGCGTGGGTGAGAACGGTTATGTTACAGGTTACAGGTGAGGCTCCACAGGGGGGAACCTTGCCTTGGCTCTTATACCCGTCAAACTCTTGGCCTATGCATGTATTGACCCTCTTGCAATTTGGACAGCTGCGATGAATGATGGCGGTTCGGATCGTCGGATCAATCGGGCCAATACGTCTGTTATTCAACTCTTAGACTTGTTGTGCTACGGCCCAAAGTCTCATGTTTGCAGCATGATAGACCGGGCGTGGAAGATGCCAAGCAAGACTAAACTGTAAAATACTCTAATTCCGAGTTTAATTTCTCCTTCTTTGGCCAGGGAACTCTCGCCGGCGACGCTGAAAAGGATCATTAGGCTTACGCTCACTGGCTCGCTTAACATAGATGATGCCTTTGGGAATACCTGCGTGGAGAGTTACCATGGTGGTTTAACGCTATAGGTAAGAAGCTTACGAAGCTTGCAGGTGATTTCGATGTGATGACGCTCCCATGAAACCCCTGGCAGCGTCGCGGCCCATCCAGTTTAAAATTCTAAACATGGGGCTGACCCCTCTGCCATCCGATGTTCTGGGGAGCAAGGCCAGTCTGAAACAAAGCTATTAAGCCAAGGCTTGATATCGATCTCACGCGCACGGGTTTGGTCTTTCTAGTATGCGACCCCTGTCGTCGTCACACAACCTTTGTATTCCTTGAGCCCGAGGCAGCGAGATTGGAGTCAATCTACGTCGAGGACCATACTTGAGATCATCATTGGCGGAAAAACTACATCGTAGTATGCTTACCTTAGTGGAAGACTTTCATACCTACAAGTGTACGCAGCGGCGCTGCCGGACCCCTCAAATGAAAGTTTTCGGGGCGGGCGGTCGAACTCGGGCGAGCCATATTGAGTAGTTCAATGCCGGTTAGGGCCCTCAAAAGGGAATACATTTTGACCCGTCTTTAGTATTGTATGTATCTGGCCGAAAGGGAGAAACAATTGCGGCGGAATTAATGTCTATGAATGTTTATTCCATTATTGTGGTGGGACAACAAGACGAAATGATGTCAGTTGAGTTTGAAGCCATCACGCCGCCGAACTGTATTACCCTCACCATATGCCGTGGTGAATTTTACGCCTGCATGGCAAAATTGTGATGTATCTATCGTGAGAATCTATATGATAATATTGTCTTTGCCAGACTGCCTGATACGCCCTGCCATGGAGAATGTAGCCTCAAAACACCGAGCCGTTGTAAAGTCTGGGATATGAATCGGATGAAATTCATCTCTTGGGTTAACCTTGAGAGAATCGTGCGATACGTGTATGTAGATTTAACTTCAAGCCCTCTACCAACCACCGAGATATATAAGATGCTCGTAGGCCTACCTCTTCAGTTGCATGCTCTAAGCTAAGCAAGAACATCATGGCGTCGTTATCTGCATCCGGGGAAGCCAGCCCCCAAATTCCCACTGAAACTGCACAAAACGCAATCAACTCAAATCCATTGTCTGGGACAGCTCCCCAAGACGTCCTTGCTGACGTCAACCGATTTGTGGAAGCCAAGGGTCTTAGAGATCACCGTGATGCCTTTCGAAAGGGGGCGCTGCTCGCAAGAGTCCAAAACATCCCAGATGCCTACGAAGACATTGATCTGCTCAGTAATGAAGAGAAAGAGTATATTCGCTACGAAGTCTCCCACAAGTGGAGGTCTTCGCCTCCTCTCCTCTATCTCCTCTGCGCTCTGTGTGCTGGATGTGCCATCGTACAAGGCATGGACCAGACGGTAATCAATGGCGCGCAGGTAAGCTCCCCGAGCATCTTGATACTTCCCTGTTATAATATGTAACACAAATCTAGGCATTCTACTTCAAAGAGTTCGGCATCAAAGATCCCCTGATGCAGGGATTCCTAAACGGCGCCCCCTACGCCTCCGCCGCCCTCCTCGGCTGCTGGCTCAACGCCCCCCTGAACGACAAGTTCGGCCGGCGGGGGACCATCTTCGTCTCCTGCTGCATCGCCGCCCTCACGGGGATCATACAGGCCGCGTCCTCGGGCTGGGTGGACTTCATGATCGGCCGCCTCGTCCTCGGCATCGCCGTCGGCGCCAAGTCGAGCACCACGCCCATCTACGCGGCCGAGTCGGCCCCCAAGGAGGTCCGCGGCGCCCTGACCATGATGTGGCAGATGTGGACCGCCTTTGGAATCATGGTCGGGTACGCGGCCTCCCTCGGGTTCCAGAACTGCGACTTCCTGGGCGAGAACTCGCAGTGGAGGTGGATGATTGGCGTGTCCTCCTTTCCGCCGATTGTTGTGGGCGCGCTGGTCTACTTGCTCCCCGACAGCCCTCGCTGGTATATGGATAAAGGGAATTACAAAAAAGCTTTCGAATCTATGAGAAAGCTACGGAGGCACGATATACAGGCCGCGCGCGACATTTACCTGGCACACACCTATCTGGAAGCTGAGAAGCAGTCAAAGGACGGGAAGAACCTTCTCAAGGAGCTTGCCACCGTTCGTCGGAATTGGAGAGCCGCCCAGTCGGCGTGGTTCTGTATGTTTATGCAGCAATTCTGTGGAGGTATATACGATCCCACCCCCCCTTTTTATGTGTCACTTGGTTACTGACTCGAGTAACAACAGTCAATGTCATCGCCTACTACAGCACCCGGATCTTCACCGACGCAGGCTTCTCACGAGACGTAGCACTGACAGCCTCGTTCGGATGCGGCGTGCTCAACTGGCTCGGAGCGTTGCCCGCCGTCCTGACCATCGACCGCTTCGGCCGCCGCAACCTCCTCCTCGCCACCCTGCCCCTCCTCTCCATCTCCCTGCTATGGACGGCAGGCAGCTTCCAGGTGCAGGACCCTCAACTCCGCACGTCCCTCGTCATCGCGAGCGTGTACGTCTTCATGTTTATCTACTCGCCCGGCCTCGGCCCCGTCCCCTTCACCTACAGCGCCGAGGCCTTCCCGCTGCACATCCGCGCGCTGGGAATGGCCTCGGCCACGGCGGTGACCTGGGCGCTCAACTTCCTCATCAGCTTCTCGTGGCCCAAGATGATGGAGGCCATGACCCCCACGGGGGGGTTCTGCTGGTACGGGGCCTGGAACGCTGTCGGCTTCGTGTTCGCCTACTTCCTCGTCCCCGAGACCAAGGGGCGCACGCTGGAGGAGCTGGACGAGGTCTTTAGCGTGCGGAACAGGGACCACGCGCTTTATTACTGGAGGAGGTTGAAGTATGGGGTGCTGAAGCTCGCGCGTGTGGATGTAGAGCCTGTGCCGCCGCTATACGAGGTCGAAGGGCCGCAGGAACCCAAGCCTAGCAATGCGTGAAATCTCCATATACTTGTTATGGAAATGTTTCCTTGCCTGGATTACAGTTCCGAGGTTGGATACGAATGCTCGAGGTACCATTGCTCCGAGGAGCGTCAGTGGGAGGAGAAGGTTGGGTTCGGCAGTGTTAGCAGAAAATGTATGCAGCCGAGGCACAAGATGTTGCTAATTATGACCCAAGAATCGATCACAATAAAGTTCCGGCCCAAAACCTCCCCAGAAGACAGCCCAATCACGTCTGCCAACTAATATGCTCCTGTCAAAGCCACGAGGCAAATCAGTTCGGCCCGTCTCCTAGTCCTCGAAGGGTCCAATCCTAGTTTCCGCCGGATCAGCGCATGCCCCCAACAAGATTTGCCCAGGGTCTTCAGGCTATTCGTAAGGCTATTTCAGGGTCCGATGTGAGCAAATTGTCAACATCTTTGATGCTTTTCGTAGAAATTGCGGCTGATTTACTTCAGCTTTCGTACATTTCTTTGTAGAGAGACGACTCTCCCGCCATGCCCCATTGATGAAACCTGTATAGTACTCATACGAGGTAATCAGATCAAAGGAGCATTGACGAGAACAAGGAGTCCCAGCCAAGCATGCGCGACGCTCCTAAAGAAATCCTGGAGTCATGGCCGGCGCCAGACCATCAGAACCCGGAGAGGCAGGGTCCAGGACTCCTCATCATACAGCTGATATTCTGTCCGCTGGGAATCATCTCGGTCCTGGCGAGGTTGTATGTGAGGACGGTCATGGTCCGACGAGCCGGGTTGGATGACTGGCTGATGTTCACTGCCATGGTACTTACCCCCTTCCCTTGTTTCCCGAACTGACCGACAGCCAAGCTGAATGGGGATGCGTACTGACGACAAATTAAAGGTCATAGGTGTCGGGGTCACGGTGACAGTGATCCTGGCAACTGAGCTGTACGGATGGAACATCCACGTCTGGGATCTGACTCCATCGCAGGCTACTCTGGGGCGCAAGGCGTCCATCTCCGCGCAAACGCTGTTCGTCATTGGCTCCGGGCTCGTCAAGTCATCTATACTTATTTCGTATTTGCGGATAGCACCACTTGACTCGTGGTTCAGACGACTGACGCAATGCTCGATCCCGCTGGTGGTGACGTTGATCATGGTGTTCTTGATCGCGCTATGGACACAATGCATGTAAGAATCTCGGCTTACCCCTTTATCCCACCCCTTTTTGATGCTAACGCTCGCATACCAGACCTCCAAGCGCGTATTGGGATATGCACAGCGGGGGGAAGTGTATAAAAGAGGGGCCGCCGCTGATGTATGTATCTCCCCTCTTCGTTGTTGTTTGGCTGGTTTCTCGAATCGAATGGAGACGTTGAAATGAAGAGCTGACAAGTATTTTCCCAGAGCACAATCCATTATTGCCGTCCTCGCGGACATCCTCGTCTACGTACTTCCCTTCCCCACGCTGTACCACCTCCGCCTCCCCTTCAGCCAGCGATTCGTCCTCTTGATCATCTTCTCATGTGGCATCATCGTGATCATCGCGGGCTGCATGCGGACCTATTGGGTGATACAAGTGGTGGATGAGACATACGACGTGACTTGGGACGGTTTCCGGATGTGGACATGGACGGCGATCGAGGTGAATCTGGGTGTCATCTGCGGCTGCGTGCCGACTCTGCGGCCACTCTTCAAGAGATCAAATGGCGTTGCGGCGGAGAGGACTCGTAAGGCGAGTGCCGCATCAGGAATGTCTGTCGGGGTTCTGCCACATGAAAGGGGGGTGCGAACCAGAAGAAAGAAGCTATCCTGGCTGGAGAGTCTAGGACAAGATGAGTGCCAAAGCTGTGGAGGGTCGAATTCAGTACTGTGCCAGCAACATGAAGTGGAACTGGACGAGGGAAGGGTGAGCAAAGCGGCTGGTGTGTAAGGGAGATGCGGGTGGGCGTTGATTGGTAATATGGACTAAAGACGAAGCTTGTTGAGTTTTGCCATTAAAGACTGAAGCCTGAAGCCAAATAAATGTCATTTCCGTGTCTCTCCGTGTCAATGATGGTGACAGGCGGTACAGATGTTCAACTTGATGTGCCTACATTGGCCGCAAGAGGAAGCACCAATGGTATACGTCTGGATCTGTTGGTTTCAACTTGCGAGTGGGAACCTTGGCCATGACTTCGACGTGAAGAGGCAGCTCAGGAACTTGGAAACGCTCAGATGAGAAGCTAAGTGAGATCCATACACCGTCCTTGGACAGGCACTCTTTGATACCCTGGGCAAGTTTCAAGATTGCCGAGTCCCCGCCACATGCAACGGCATCCGCAGTGCTCTTGTCAACGACGAGGTCGAATTTTGCGGGGGTCACATTTTGTTCGTTATCCCCAGCAACACCGCCATGAGAGCCGATCATGATGGGCTCATCAACGAGGCGGGTAGCATCAGCGACCACATAGTTCATGCGCACATCACCAAAGGCCTTCTGCTCCAGGTCTCGGCCCCGTTCAGCCGCCAGAGGCTCAAAGTCGAGGTTTGTGACATTCAGCAGTCCGCGGGAACGGAAGTGATTGTGTAGGTCGCTGGTGCCGGAACCAAGATGTAGAATATGGCTTGACAGAGGCTGCCGGGCCAGATGAGGCTCGATGACGGAGATGAACTGTTTAGATGTCACGAGCCACTCGAACGAGGTCTCGGAGGCAAACCGGTCGTGCCAGTAACTCTGCTTCTCGTAGTCGGTGGCCATGTTCAGTCGTCACGGGTGATTACGCTGGTTAGATGGGGAGAGAGGAGATGAAAAATTTGAGCTGTCTCATGGCTCCAGGCTTGGCTGTCCATGCTGCCACTCAACTGGCTGTTGCTGGAGAAGAGGGATCGGCACAGTGGATGGAGACTGTCCAAGAACCAATCCCTGTATTTAGGGCTGCGAAATGATGTTGGTTCTGTTCCTTGTATTAATTAGGTAGTTTATCACAAGTTTTGGGCATCAACAGAGCACCTCGCCAACGACTGTGTAGTCGATGCCACGGATCTGCCTCCATGGAGGAATTAGAGTACGACGATCATGAAGATGAAGGTTTGATCTGGAACAGTCTCTTCCAGCAGGCATTTCAACTTTAAAATGGCAGCCAATCACACAAGCAGCAGCGGGTGAAGCCGCCGGGCTGGAATGATCAACAGGGGACTGACAGCACTGGGAAGGGCCGACAGGGGTTTCCCGGGCAATTCCCCAGCGATGACGACGCTCCCTTTTAGCGCTGGAGTCGGCTTTCAGCGCTTACAGGGCGGTTTCTTTAGTGGTGTGCTGAACACGTCAGCCACTGAGCCGTCCAAGCAGATACGAGACACACATGACACAGCCACAAGTGGACGCGCAGCCTCTTGCCGATTATTCCTTCCTCGTTCTTTGTTGCGTGTGATCGTCTCGGTTGTAATAATAGATCATCCTCTTTCACCTACATACTTCTTTAAGTCTTCTGGTTCGCTTGCGTTGCTTGAGACTTCTTTCTGCCTCGTCAACCAACCCCCAAACACTCGCTCTCAAGCCAGTCACTCGCTCTCGGCTGATCCCGACTCTCGCTCCAGTTACACCCGCCGGAGTTGACGACAGCCGCTCCTCTCTCCATCATCTCATCCGCCATGGCGCCGGCACTTGATGCGGCCTTCGCCCCGCTGGCCACCGTCGCCATCCAGGAGCAGCATCTCCAGTCGCGGGACCTGCAGAATGTCAACCGCACCCAGGCTATTACCCTCGGTGTCATCGCCGCCTACGTGGTCGGCATTGCCATTCTCTGGAACGTCCCGTATCTTCGCATGATCCTCTGGCCTTTCAAGGTAAGCCTCAGATGCATGAGATGACATCACATCATCCAATAACTACGACCCTCGTTGAAGCAATCAAGTACTGACAAGACTATTCAGATGCTCGTCATTGCATTCCACGAGTTTGGACATGCCATCACAGCTATCCTGACCGGCGGCAAGGTCAAGTCTATCAGCCTGGACCCGAATGAGGGCGGCGTCACCCATCTCTCTGGCGGCATCAGCGCCATCACTCTGCCTGCCGGTTACCTAGGCTCATCTCTTATCGGCGCCGTCCTGATTATCTGCGGCTTCAACATCAACGCCAGCAAGATTGTCAGTCTGGCTCTCGGCGTGTGCTTCCTCCTCACTCTGTGGTGGGGCAAGCGTGATTGGCTCACCATTCTCACTATCCTCCTCGCCGTTGGCTTCCTTGTTGGATGCTGGTTCATCAACCACGCCGAGGCCCTCCGTTTCGTCGTGCTCTTCATCGGTGTCATGTCGTCACTCTACAGCATCTGGGATATCTGTGACGATCTGATCCTCCGCAAGGTCAATTCTTCCGACGCCAGTGTCTTCGCCAAGCGCTATGGTGGTTCTTCTCGCTGCTGGGGTGTCATTTGGTCCATCATCTCCGTTTGTTTCATGGCTGTTGGAATTGTTGTCGGCTTGGCTGCTTTCTCTCAGTCTTTTGAACAACAGCGTGAGGATGCTCAGCACTTCATTCCCACCTAGGCGGCCATCATCCTTCGTATTGAACATGCAAAGCATAGCATGCAACTATTTCCATTGATCTATTTATTGGTTTCTTATTTTTACTTTGGAATTTGTGGCTCGTACGGTGCATTATATCTCTTTGGCTTCCCATAGCGACGGGAGGTGGGCTGGAGTATTGGACAAAGTGGCGGGTGAAGGTGTACATTTGTATTGAAAAGCTGGCATGCTGTGGCGGGACCCCATGATGAACGGCTGTCCCATTGATACCCTGGTTAGATGTTAGTTACCTAATGAATATTGATGTTTCTTCTAGGCGCGATGCAGCGTGAACATCGCAAATGACAGGCACTCAGCCACTACAGCATCGCCTTTTACGTCGACCTTAAAACAATAAGCAAGCAGTTTTGACATCAAATGTGCATTTCATATATGTACCCGAGTCCTTCAAAAACTATATACAGGTGAAGAAGAGGGTTTTCTCATAAACGAGCGGAAACATCCAGCGTGTCCGCGTCCCTTCCCGAAGGACGGTCCGGGGGCGATCAAAGCGCCAGCATCATATATACAGAAACTCATCCAGAGTTTGAAATCTCAAATCAGAGTGCGCCAGTCACTTGTTCGAGGAAGCCGCTGTTGGCGTACAGCTGCGACATGTCCCACATCATCACGCCGCCGAAGCTGTCGAACTGCGCCGAGTACTTGATGGCGGCGGAGAGCTGCGCGCCTTCGGCGTACCCGGCCCCGGCGCCCGTGTTGGCGGGGACGCCGAGCATGACCTTGACGTTGGGGTTCTTGCTCGTCTGCCTGGCCCAGGCGTCCCACACGTCGAAGTTGAAGGCGGGCTGGGTGGTCGCGCCCTGAACGAAGCTGGTGACGCCGCAGGCGTTGTTGTAGAACTGGATCATGATGAAGTCGAAGGCGACGCCCCCCGCGAGGGCCTCCTGGTTGGCGACGTCCGGGTAGGGGCACTGGGGCGCGGCGGTGATGTAGTACTTCTTGCCGGTGGACGCCGTGGCGGCGTCCATGAGGCGGCGGAGCTCGACGCCGAAGGGGACCATGTTTCTCGTGGCGGACTCGAAGTCGTAGTCGAAGCCGTCGACGGCGGCGGAGCCGAAGGGACGGAGGACGTTGGCGCGGGTGCTGCTGCTGCTGTTGGAGCCGGTTGGGCCGAACATGGCCCAGAGGTTCTGGGCGGTGGCTACGGCGTCGGTGGACGAGGAGAAGCCGCCACCCGAGTAGGTTGCGCCGCCCAGGGAGAGGATGATGGTCTTGCCTGCGGCCTGGCAGGAGATGATGTCCTCCCTGGAAAGACTGGTTAGCGAAACCTTGCCGGTTGGGTGGTCTGTAAAGGGGGGGACTTACTCGATCTGGGGACAGTCCAGAAGGCTCGGATCTTCAGGGAATGTGGTGCAGTTGTCTCCTGCGTTGGCAAAGTTCATCGCAGGGGGGTTGAGACCGGTCAGGAAGGCGATTGGAATGATCTGCGGTCGTGTCAGTCTTCTACCCCACCATGAACAAGGCGAGCGTTGGCGAATTTACATCAATATCAGTGTCTATGGGCTCTGTTAGCTGGTGTGCGCTTTCAGCAAAAGGCAGTGGGCGAGGGCTATTTACTCTGGCAATAGTAGCTGAGCCGTTCTTGAACATAGGGACCACTGCCCTGGCCGTATGAGTTCTGGCCCCAGTAAACGGCGATGTTCGACTTGGACGTGGAGGAGAAGCCTGCGAGGGCGAGCGGGAGAGCGGCGAGAAGGCCGACGGCCGAAGCTAAAGAGCGAAGAGATCCAGCCATCTTGGGTATAAGGAATGGAAGTTGAGCCAGCAACTGGGTCTTGTTAAGAAAGGAAGGACTGGTTGGTTAGTCGACTGTGTGGATGGGTGGATGGTTCTTCCAAGACAGAATCTTGAGGGATCTCGGATCGTCTTATATGCAAAATCTTAGCCCGCCGCCTCCAGAGGCCATATCATCGACACCCCATGGGACGCTAACATGTAACATGCTCATCCAAGCTAGATGTTACAGAAAGAGGGGAGCTAGGAGCTGGCCACTGTGGTCAGGTGTGAACCTGGCACACCCATCTTCGGCTCAACTTGCCTGGAGGTGTGGGTATGGAGCATCCAGCGCTGGCTTAATCTCGAATTAGGTCTTTGGTGAGCAGGATTGTACGTGGCGAGCAAGTGGAGAGGCGCAACCAAGCTCTGTCCCTCTCTTACACCTGCCCACCCTGCCTAACACAGTCTATCCCAGACATGGCAGAGTGGGGTGATAGGAAAGATATCAGAAGATGGAGTTACGTTGGATCACAACACTGGAGTTAACCTGAGAGCCTTGAGAATACCTTGTGCCATCCCTATTGGAAGTGATCTGCAACTAGGTATGGACATTTGATCGCAAAAGAAGAAGGACAGTGAGGATCGGAAACGTTTAACCCTGCCGAGTTGAGTCGAATGGCGATTCTTGAGCGTTGGGGCGATTCGAATAGTCAATGTCATGCCACAACAAGTACCGAGTATCGAGTTTCGTTTCATCCACATCCCTCATCCTCACCCCAGAATTACCGATATGTACGACATGCCTGGATGAGATCTTGGATCTCAGCTGATCAGATGTAGTGAAAGGGCTTTCTGCTCTTCGGTCGATATCGAATCTCGCAGAATACGGTGACGTACAGTCCCTTGTTGAGCCATAATCCCATGTGTCTCGAAATCGGTGCTGTAACGTGGGAAGGGTAATAACCAACACCCCTTGCCAAAAGACTAAGCTCACTCCACCTCAACCCACCTGGAGGTGGTATGCCGACAAGCCGGTGATTTCATGAGGAGCCTGGTATAGCCCTGCCAGCCCAACGGAGCTGGACCAGAACCCTTGGGAGCTTCCCGGTTCGGCATGATCCGGTGTGGATATGTATATGCGCATAATTCATTACTTGCAATGTTCCGAATGGAAAATAAAGCTCTAAATAGATGAAATCAACGGAGCCCGGAATGTTCGATATTAATTACGGACCGCCCCCAGCTTCACCGCGCTCTGATATGGGAGGGGGCCGTCTCCTTGAAGCTGTAGTTTCCTTCTACCAACCTCGAGACACTTTTAAGCCCCTTGTGCATAATCAGCCAAATACAACTATACCCTTCCTCATACACATGCAAGTAATTAAGGGCTTATCATCAGATGATTCTGCATTACTCCATCTAAGGTGACTTACATGACGAAGATCGACAACATGCGGGCCGCAGAATCCACTCCCATGCCTTGCGACAGGCACCATTTCATCTGAACTTCCATCTTTGTCTCTCCCATATAAATCAATGGCACTCAGTGGTTGGTCCTGCATAGTAATCAGACTAGTCCGCGTACCAAAGGACCGGGGGGCCGTAACGTTGCACTATCACCATCCTATCTGGGTTAACCATCGGGGACCTCAGCCTTTGGGAGCCTCGAGAAATCGAGCCTTGCCAGGTTTCCCCGTTTCAGGTATCTGCTCATTGCTGGAACTTTGGAGCTATTCCTATACCAGACGTGCTTATGTCCAAGGCACGCGGATTCGGCTGGACCCCTACTGATTCGGATCCGCTCGTTTATCTGAAACGGGCAGCTTCCCAGCTCATTCTGTAAGTCCACTCGAAGTCCTATGTAGAACCAATAGTTGCCTCTACTTGCAGGGCTGGCCCATCGCCTTGCCTTGAGCTGACGGGCTTCATGCCTCCACTGTCGCATTTCCAGGTCGGATGAAAAAGCACACGCCTCCCTTCGCCTTGGTCTTATTTTGACATCAAACATCAGAGGAACTTATGGTCTTTCGTCAAAGCGTATACACCCAGCCTTCCACTCCTTCATTGACAGCCTTGCCAGCCCGAATAGCCTTGTTACATCTCCAGAGATGAGAATCTGTGATATTAACGGCAGCTATACTTCCCATGGACAGGGCAAAGGTTGTCCATACTCCGGTCTGTAGAAGCGTTCAGCTAGGTCAATTGTATTCTCGCAACGTTGGAGAGAGGGTATACTGGACTCACTGTGTAATGAGGGCTTTCGCTGGCCATGAATGCCGCTCACGCAATGATGCTACCCACGCCGCCTCCCATCATGCATGTAGCAGCAGAAACAGCCCTTTTGGAATACTACGTGAGGCTGTCCACCTAAAAGGTGAGTACCCCTAGAATTTCATACTGGAAGAAGCCGGTCCCCAGACGAGTCGTCAGCATATCCAACGCACTTTAGGTTTCAACTTTGGGCGGAAAGGAAGTGGCAGACACCTAAGAATGTCCTGAAGTACTGAGCAGCTGGTGCCTTTCTATACGCCGCAAGGAGCACTCCGAAGGCTCCTATTGCCTCGTGCCATTATAATCACCGGCCCTCTCATTGATTTCACACTTGTCGCTTGCCCAGCCCGAATATAGGTAAAAATGACAGTGAATATGACTGAAGGCGCAGTCAAGAGCTGAGCCTTAGTTGTAAAAACCCTATGCCATCGCGAAGGGAGGATGTAAGCGTATGCGGAACCTGATAGAGTCGAGGCCATCAAATTGAAAGTCCAACCTTATAACTTCCAGTCTTTCTGATGATGAAGAACTCCTCCTCCGCGTCGCCACGATCTTGGTTTATGCGGCACATGGCAAACTCCTTTTCTTCGAGCGACAGAAATCATCCGCCCTGGACGGAAAGTTCATAATGATCAGTCCTCAAAGGAGGCATACGCCGCAGATGAGGGCATCCTCTACGACAAATACCCATAGGGGACAAGTAAGCCAGGATCCCAAGACCGTGGTTAGGAGAAGGGGCTCTTGAATATCCGAACATCTCTAGCTATTGGGGCCATGTCGTCCTTTAAGCAGAGCCAAGGCATAAGCGAGTATTCCAGAGAAGCCTCATGCTATAACAGAGAGAATCCAGAATCCTGACACTCGCTTGCTGACTTCACACCTCGTATATCGACAAGTGATGGGATATGTACACCCTATACCGTTGATCAAGTTTCCAGAGAGGCATTTCACGGTAAAGCAGGACTTGTCGGAAGAAAAACAACTTCAAATATTCCTAGAATAGCTCGACACAAGGCCATAGTTCCTCAGTGACGGGTAAAGCCCATGCCAATCAAAATGCCTAAGAGTGACCTCCACGTTGGGCCTGAAGATTTTAAGAGATGCCAAACATATAAGTCCTGTCAAGTCTATTTTTCTGACCTTATTAAGCTCGGCTCTTACGCTTGTATGAGTGAGCATATTTCGTTAGGTCTGCTAGTTTAGCTTTAGGATCCATACACGTAGGCGAAAAGAATACCCTTACAATAATGGTGCATCGGCTACGAACAGCTAGCCCAAGCTCTTCTTGCATCCCTAAATGAGGGCAAGACCTAGGTTTATACGGCCAATGAGAAACACCGAATACAGGACCCCAAGTATTGGTAGCAGGTTCATGTCAACTCGTCGACCGGATCCTAGTGTACGGCAATCAACGAGCGGGCAGCGGTGGTCTTACGGCAACCGAAATACTCATGGCTGGATGATCAGTTCCGTGGTGAGACCATATCTGGTAAGATGGAAATAGAAAATGCAGCTGAAAGTTACGCGTCAAGACCAAATCAGTTGATACAACAAACCACGCCAATACCCGAGCTGGCGAGGGAAGCGTCGTTTTCATTTTCATTATGCATACTTTTACCAGCGGCCTCTCCGTCCTCGACTAAATCCACCTCGTCCTCCACCTCCACCGCCCATATTTTGTTGGTCAAACCCATATCCGCCTTGGTTGCCTCCATATCCACCGGCGCCGAAGTTCTGGCCCTGTCCTCCAGCACTCGCCCCTGCTCCAGAGAACATGGCAGCCATCTGAGCCGGATCCATCTGGTTCCCGTCCATACCCGACGCCATCATCTGCTGCATCATCTGCTGCATCTCCGGGGGCATGCCCTCCATCCCAGGCATGCCTGATACCCCGCCGCCGCCGCCACCTCCTCCTGCTGCTGCGGCATTGCCTCCCATGTTGCCCATGCCTCCCATCATCATCATGCTGTTCATCTCCTCCATCATCTTCTTGCTCGAGTTTGCAAACGCATCAGCGCCGTACTCGCCGCGGACGTTGTCCTGCTTTGCTGCGTAGAGAGCCCAAGTGAACTCGTCGAAGCCGTAGTTGAAATAGTCGCTGATATCGGTACCTGGTTTCCGCCAAGGCTTCTCGTTCTCGGGGAGGTCTGTAACCCAGCATTGTTAGTTTATATTGTACCAAGCTACCACGAAGACCTGCGCGCGATCAACGAACCTTCGTCAATGTTGACATGAGTTATTGGCTTGCCAGCAGCCGGGTATATTGGGTTCGCGTTGATGTCGATTGTGGATTTTGAGGCAGCCTCTGACGTTTTGTCAGCGCTGGGTGTGCCAATGTTGGCGACACTCGACCTGGTCGCGCCCTCCTTCTTGACTGGCGCTGATTTCGCAGATGGGTCGTCTGACGTTGTCCTTTGCGGGATATTTCTTATGTCGCTGTATTTTGATTGTCTATCGCAGGGCGACTGTCAGTAAATTGGTTCAATCGGCGGAGGAGAGTCTGACGACATACGATGGGGGAGCTGCGGTTGTGCCATCTTTTCGTTCTGTAATGATGTCGATGTCCTTCAATTTATAAGTAAATGCACGACATATACCTGAGTTGTTTTAAATACGCACTGAGTCGTCATCTTCGTCCTCATCCATAGCAGCACCCTCGTCCTCTTCTTCGCCTTCCTCAAGCTCGTCGGCTTTCGAAGGAAGGTCCTTATCCTCGGTGGGCACAGTAGGCTCCTCGGGAGCGTAGAAATCGTCGTCGTCCTCGATATCCATGATGTAATTAATCTCGATCCAGCTCTAGAAGTCGTGATTTTTCGCGTTGGCACAATACAGCTAGAGTTATCGTTTTTCTTTGATCTTGGTATGATGCAGTTAGGTGCAAGCTTCCAAGGTGACAGCCGCGCGCCGACATTTCTCCGCTGCGATTGGACAACTCACCGAGGCTCACCGAAGCTGCATCAATCAACCAATAAACAGCAACCGGCATCCAAACAAACCCAGCCAAATTATTTCTTTGTCAAACCTTGAGCTCCACACGCCTGGATCCTCCCCAAAACAGAGTAGCTGGCCCAATCACTGAGACAGTCTAATAAAAGCACCTGTGGTTTTCTTAGCAGGTAGCTCTGCGGTCTGGTTAGCGCCATGTCTTTGGCGCGTTCGGCCAGTGGCCCCGGTGGGCTCACCATCAACACCAACACCGCAAACCTGTAAGTCTTGCCGACCCATCGACAAAACTTCACGCGTGGAGCCAGCCCTGCAGCTACTGACCAAGCACCACCCATTCTTGCAGATCTACACCTTCCACTCAGCCTGCAGCAGGCGGCAGTCTTTTCGGCGGCGCAACAACCAGCACACCTTTAGCGACTACATCGACAGCAGCTGCAGGAGGAAGCACAATGGCTACAGCCGGTGGACTGTTTGGGCAGCCGCCAAAGCCAGCAGGAAGTCTTTTCGGAGGAGCAACGGCGACACCCGCAGCCAGCACTGGGACTGGTAGTCTGTTCGGGCAGCCGCCAAAGCCAGCAGGCAGTCTATTCGGAGGAGCAACGACGACTCCCGCAGCCAACACTGGAACTGGCGGTCTATTTGGAGCAGCATCGACGGCTGCCACGGGCAACACTGGAACTGGCGGTCTGTTCGGAGCAGCAAACCAAACAGCGACACAGCAACCAGCGCAAGCGGCCGCCGGCGGACTCTTTGGTGGTGCAGCTGCCACTACCAACCAGCCCGCACAAGCAACAGGAGGCTTGTTTGGAGGTGCGAATGCTCAGCAACCAACGCAACAGCAACCGGCGGCGACTGGTGGCTTCTTTGGCGCACCCGCGGCTACCAACAACAACCTCTTTGCCCAATCCCAGGCAAAGCCCGCAACGGGCGGGCTATTGTGAGCATATCCTGCACCCATAGCGTTCTCTTAACTACCAAGTTGTGCTAACAGCTATGAACAGCCAAACTCAAGCACAGCCCCAGCAGCAAGCACAACAACCAATCGCGAACCAGTCGACGAATCAGATTTCAGCTGTCCAGATCAACTATGATAACATCCGGCCTCGAACACGATTCGACGACCTCGCAAAACCAATTCAGGACGAAATCGCCCTAATCGACAAGGGAATCACAAGGGTCATTAAGATGAAGGACGAAATCGGCGAATTCATGCCCCAACACGAACGAGACATCGAACAGCTCGGCCGCGACGTCAAGTTTGTGGAATCCAAGTTCCGCACCGTCCAGGTCGCTCTCAACAGCGACATCCAGGCCGTCAAGGTACTCCAGGACATGACGAAGAAGAACATCACCGATGCGCAGCTCTCCTTCAAGGCCACAGACAACCTCAAACTCCCAGCCCACTACCACCAGACTGGTCTCTTCGCCACCCCTGCATCCGCCACCTCGGCCAACAGCCCTGCCGCCAACACAGCCGCCGGTGCCTCTGATACCCACGCCGATGCCCAGGACCTTATCACCTACTTCAACCGCATCTGCGACGACGTGGAGAAGTACAAGCGTCGGATCGATGAGTACCGCGCTGAGATTGAGCGCGACATGCCCGGCGTCGAGAACGGACTGTACGAGCAGATCCGGGCCCTGCGGGATCGCCAGGCCAGCAGCAACGGCGACTCCGGCGTATCAGACCAGCTCGGCCAGATCCTTCTGGCGCTACGCGAGATGGGAACAGCCATTATCAACCAGGCTGGGCAGATTGCCGATACCAGAGAGAGGCTTTCCAGGCTCCAGGCTGGTATCTTAGATTCCGGAGCTTACGGAATGAGCATGGCAGTATAAGGCGTTTTTTCTTTCTTTTGGCAGCTTGAGGTGTATTTGGCAAGAAAAGAAACCATGGAATTTTGTTTAACTCATTTTTAATCTATCTCTCTTTGGTGTAAAGGCATAGAAAACCAGGGGAAACCTGGCCAGCGGAACGATGGAAGGTTGTTTGTTACGACACATGTATTTAGGTAGAATGAGCTGAGCCGACCGTAATCACATATCCTGGGCTTCTCCGGTCGAGCCATCCTATGCTGGGAAGCTTGTCTCCAAACCTCTGAAAGGTGTGCAAAGTGAAGAAGATGTTCTCCGTAAAGTATGTTTTTGTATTTATCATGTTACAGCTCTGGAGAGTTGTGGGTATCAAGCAACCATCGCCGTATCTCTAAATTTGAGTCATTCGCAATGCCCGTTCCTAAATTTTTTTATAACTCCAGACGGTAAATCAGCGTCAAATTAATATGTTCCCTCGCCGTCTCCTCCATCATCGCCATAGTCGTCGCCGTATTCATCACCGTTGTCGAAGTAGTTCTCGGCATCGTAATCACCAGCGTCTTCGTCATCGTACACTTCGTCCTGTTCCTCTTCTTCTCCTTCTCCCTCGAGCTCCTCCTCTTCCCCTTCCTCGTGGGGGATGGCATCCAGCCTCTCGAGTAAGTCTCCCCCTCTTACGCCGTCCTCGCCTTCTTCCCCGTGCGCCACCAAACCAAAGGCCTGCTCTGCGTTTGGAAGGGCGTTCACGCTAGTCAGCTCCAGTTTCCGCTTCTTGCGCTCGCCCTGCGGCTCTATCACGTCGAGTATGTCCTCCGGGAAGAGCTCCCTGCATATCACCCGCCGGGACCAGTCGGGGAGGGCCCGCTCTTCACGCACGAATCGCTGCCCGTAGGTCGGGACGGAGGTGAAGGGGTCCTGCGAGGCGCGGCTCTGCACACCGTAGTGGGCATTGGTCTGCTCTTGGCCATACATCTTCCGAGGCGCAAGGGGATCGCTGTCTAGAGTGCGGCGAGAGGTGTATAATGAGGAGGCGTGGATCTGATGTCGCAACAGGAGGAAGTGCTTGACGGCGTCTTTCTCGAATGGATTCAGTGCCGTGGGAGTCGGGACGGTGTATGGCTGGGATTATACAGGTTAGTTTCGCTTCTCCCGTGTCGCTGCACCAATGCGCCTGGTTCGATCGGACGGGGGAGACTCACAGGGAAGAGCTCGGATGGCCTGGCATCGGGTTCATCGCCATTGTCCCATGACAGGACCGGGCGGCCAGCGCCGCCTCCACCTCTTCCTCCCCTACCACCGCGGCCACCTCCTCGGCCTCCTCGAGACATTCTTGTGGCGACAGCTGCTGTGGGTGCCCGTTGGTGTTGAAGAGTCGCGCAATGGCTGGGGCGAGTGGTGGCAGTCAAGTTGAAGGGTGTGAGTCTGCCCAGTGAATTTTTAGAGCTGCCGTGGGGTTGCGCAGTGGATCGACTGCTCACATCACTGTAAAACGGAATTGTTCCGCTGTGACGCTGCCCCGCTGCATGTCCGTCGCCCGCTGAAACTCTACTGCACTGCACTGAGCAATGCCGCTTGTAGGCTCCAGCGTGCGACGACGATCGCCGGTAGTTACGATAGCTGCTCTGCCTGCTTGGCTATCATATACAAGCACGCCTTCTTCCAGACTCATCGCATAGTCATCGCCGCATTTTCCCTGGTTGGATATTTCACCACAAGTGGCACTGCATCCATCATTTTACAGCGAGGAAGATCATGCCAGAGAGAATAGTGCCACAGCCCACTATGGAGAACGTGCGAATCTCAGGCCTCGAAGAGCTCCAGGCCCATCTCCAAGAGCTCGTCAACGACAGCACACTTCCCTTCAACGAGAAACTCTTCGATGATGTTGAACTCCAGCTCACAGGTACGTTCTTACTTAATTCCCCTCACTCATCTACCAGCCAAACTCCTCCAGATATCTTGACTAATCATCCACAGAGGACAACATCCCACCCCTCCTCCCCAGCTTCCTCCCTCCGCTCACCACAATCCTCAAGTCCACAACCCAAGACCCAACTCCCTGCCTCACCCTGACCATCAAGCTCCTCTCCCCCCTCCCCCTCGCCCGCACACTCACCATCGCCGACCCCCCCTCCCTCATCACCGCCCTCCAGTCCCCCCTCCCAGGCGCCAACCAGCTCGCCCTCGCCATCCTCCACAAGGGCGCCGCCACCCCCAGCGACGCTGCCATCCTCAGCACCCTCCCCGACGTCATCGAGGAGCTCGTCGAGGCATGGCTCTCGACCGACAACGTCTCCGTGGCCGAGAAGGCCGCTAAAGTCCTCGGCGACCTCCTCGAGGTCGACTGCGACGTCGTCGCGCCCCCTCCCCAGCCGCTCGCCCAGGTCACCGACAGCACCACCCAGGAGCTCGTCCGCAGACGCCGCGCTCCCGGCCACGCCCGCCTCTGGGACCTCGTCTTCGGGACACGCCCCATCCTCTCCCTCGTCCCGGAGTACTGCTCGCCCTCGGACGAGCGCACCGTCCGCCAGGTCACCCTCTCCCAGGGCCGTCTTCTCCGTCTGCTCCCGCGCCTGGCGACGCTCAACCTCGCGCCCCTCATCGCCAGGTCTGCGCCTGATCTCTTCGCCGGGGAGAGTCTCCTCTACTGGGCGTCGTTGAAGATGATCGACTACGATGATGTGCTGGTCCACCTCAACCTGGTCGACTTCTTCGAGACGCTGGTCAGCGTGATGCGGGTGGCCGAGACGCGCTCTCCCATCGTGGATGAGGAGCTTGGAGCTTTGATTCGGACAGCTGCCAAGGACGACACTGTGCTTCGGGACGCATTGAGGGGACTGCCGGATCGTACAATCGAGGAGGAGGCAGAGCCGCTGAGAGAGTACATCACGAAGCTTCTTCAGGGTTAACAACTTCAGGCCTAATGAAATGATAAATGATATGAGAAATCAAGTAAGAAGAGGCATAGCATGTACAGTAGACCTACAAGGGATAGGGGAAAATTGTAAGCAAGCCCAGTCTTTTAATGAATAAGAGAAAAAAGGAAGAAATATGTACAGATATAGAAATCATCACCAGCATATTGTAACATTTCCTGATTCGACAGTCCGAATTGAAGAGCAGACAGAGACCAGAACCGACAGAACGAGAGCTTTTTGTAAAACCTAACATGTATATTTCCACACATACGCTGACAGTTTAATCCCCTTGAACACCATAAGAATGCTTTCCGCCATGACGCCCGTTTCTCCCCTGCGAGAGGAACGCCGTCTACAGCATTCTCCGTGCCGCAGCCTCGTGGTGGTCTCCGGAAGTCTCATCCGCATTGCTGACCATGCTCTCCCTTCTCTTGCTGCCGATCTTGGCGAGGCCGTCAATTCCTAAGCCCACCTCTCCAACTCTCCGCAGGACCAGAAGAAGTGCAGAGCGTAGGTCTGGCGTCAGATCCTTACCGAGAAGGTCAACGGTCATCGGGTAGAAGTCGGGAATGCGAGCCTTGAAGGATTCCTCGGGAAACGAAGCATACCCCTCGAGGACGTCAACGACAACAGGCCGCCAGGCTGCAATATTCCTCTGCTGGCTCTCCTCCTCGAGAGCAGTGTACCCGCTGACAATATCCTTGCACAGGGGGACGAGGGCCGCTTCGACGTCGTCACGGCTCTTGCGGCGCTCGGGGTCGTTGTCGGCATACATGCGGAAGAGGATGGAGCAGTAAGTGGCGGCCGAGCCACTCTCCTGCTTGAGGAGATTTGGTGGCTGCTTCATGAACCCTTCGCGCCATAATCGCATTCGGAGCTCCTTGTCGTCATTAAAGCGGCGAGCAAACTGGAAGGAGCGCTTCAGAAGAGACATCAGGCGCAGAAGCTCTAGTGAAGGAATGTGGGCATAGACGGCCTCGTTGCTGAACAGCTCGTTGACTGTCTCGATCATGAGGAGCTGCAGGACGCATCGAGAGATGATGCGGTTGAAGAAGCGTCTTCGGGCAGCCGTAACCACCACAGGCTGCTGCTGGAGGCTGGTATTTGGCTTGAACTCCTCCAGGGTCACTTGTGGCGATTGGGATATCCGGAAATCCTCCTCGTTGACCTTTGATGGAAGTCCGTGGTGCACAGACTCGTTATCAGCATCGGATACGGTGCTGGCATCATCAGCACCATTTGTCTTCGGAGTCTTGCTCTGCTCCTCGGCGACACCCTCAGGCAATGGAGAGCTGGCAGGAGTGACGAACTCAGCTTCTGGTGGAGACAGTGTGGCAGTTGAGTTGATGGCCGCCGCCGTGAACAGCTGGTGGGCTGTGGTACGCTCGAAGAGTTCACAGAAAGCGCCAACAATCTTTGTCCAATGCTGCTTGTTAAATTTGTCGACATTCTTCAAGATCATTTGCTGCAGGCAGTTACTGCCGATGCGAGAAATTGTGTCATTCTCCTGGCAAATACAAAGCGCAAGCAACTCCAAGAATCTATCAAGCATGTACTCTAGGGAGCTAAAGTAATGAGTGAAAAGAGTGATCATGTTGCGCAAGGCCTGAATCATGGTTGTTGAGAGCCAAACTGAGAGCTCTTCGTGATTGAGGGCATTTGTCATTTCAGGGCGAGAACGCAGAACCATGAAGATTGGGTAAAGCTGTTGGCGCCACAAGATGTCCCAGAATTCGGGCGGGAACCCTCCTCCGTACTTGATAAGAGTGTCGAAGAAATACTCCAAGGCATTAGAGCGCACTTCAAGATCCTCTCCAGTCATGAGAACATCATGGAAGGCGAAGAGAACTGGGAACCAGTAACCCTCCTCTACCGAAGTGTTCACCTGAGGTCGTCTAGGGGATGAGCTACTTGACTTGCCGCCAGAGGATTTCCTAGATGGTTGCGGGCTACGCTTTTGGGAAAGAGGACATTCGGGAGTCTTCAGCATAGTAGGAACAATCGACTTCAGCACTTCCAATGCTTGCAAACCCTTCTTCTGGAACTTGAGGTTCTTCGAGAACTCCGTCAAGCAAACAATCAAATCGGTGAAGGCGCCCTGTGAAATGACAACGCCAAATTTGGTTTTATACACCTGATTAACGTTTTCAAAAGCAAGGTTGACGATGGCTTCGTAGGGTTCCCGTGCGGCAACAGTAAAAACTCCGAACATGGTCCTCCATCCCGAGCGGATCATATCTCCTCGGGCTTGGATCATCTGGATCAAGCATTGGAGAATCATGTCCTTGACAGTAGGGTTGTTTGAAGTCGCGAGGATATGTTCAAAAGGCTTCAAGAAGTTCTTTTGAAATTTGAAACCCGCCAGTTCCTCGATTTCCATGAATCGCATCGACAATTGACGGAGCGAGTCCAAAGCAAAGAAGACGATGTTCAAGTTGTTGTGGCAACCAACGCGGTTGAAATGCTCTCCAAAAACCTCCCAGATATTGCTCCATTCAAAACGAATTCTGTTCATGTTGTAGTAACTGATTTCAACAATCTTCTGCAGACTGTATGTGCGAGGGGAATCATTAGAGCCGGACACCTTGATCTCATCCCAGCTCACCTCGGTCAAAGCCTTTGCGAAGAATACCATGGCATCACCAGAAAGGTTTGCGGTATTTGTGAAGATGCGGTCGACACTTCGAATGATCTCATCCGACTTGGTCTCTGAGGCGATTTCGCTAGAGAATCCTCTGGTAACAGTGCTTGCCCTGTGGCGAGACTTGGATCGAGACTGCGTCGATGATCGAGAGTCCGTTGTGTCAGTGCGCTTGAAGCGAGCCTTGGAAACATCCGGGATTGCATTCTCGTCTACACCCTCCGAGATAAGCTGGAGACGATCCAGTTGACTGATGCAAAGAAGAATATCCTTCCAGGATTCTCGCAGGACGTTGCCTTCTGTTGAGCCGAGATCAAGGATGGTCTTCAGAGCCTCAATATTCTTTGCAAGCATCTCCTGGGGGTTGTTCAGGTTGGTAGCATTCTTGAGAGCCGTCATGAAGGCTTCGCGTGGCGTTGAAAGTTCGAAAGCGCATGCAATCTTAGTCGATAGCTTCATACCCTCAAGGCACAGCTTGTTGACCTCAATATTGTGAGCCTTTTGGATCTGGCCAGAAAGGGCTGAGAAAATGCACATCCAAGTCACGTCAAACATGGGACCAACGTGCTTGAAAGAGGTTGCAGGGATGTACTTGACGCCATCCTTTTTGGCATTTCGTCGCTGGGACTTGAAGAGTGTCTTGAACAGAGCTTCGGAACGGAGGGAAATTTCCTCGGACTGTTGGACATACGCCTCCCGCTGCAGGTCACGACCGACACTTGAAAACGCCTGCCCAAGGCCAGCGGCAATGCCTGACGGCTGAGCTGGAGTTGGACCGGCTGCCGCTGCCGCTTCTCGTTCACTTGTGAGAACAATTTCATTGCTCGCGATCTCATCAAAAATACCAATCAGATACTCGTCAGGAAGATCGGCGTTATCGTTAATGCCTCGGTTGTTCTTGATAAAGTCCTCCTTTGTCATCCTTCGAACAACATTCTTACTGTGCTGATCCGTGTTCAGCATGACAACAGAGTAAGCCAAAACGTAAGCCGTGTCGGCGTTGGCGAAGGCCTTCGGGTTGCCAAGAACATATCGCTCTGCGAACTTCAACATGAAGCGATCAATCTTCTGTGCCTCGCCGGGAAGACGGAAAGATTGAAGAAAGTGCCTGAGGGCATCAACAAATCGCCTCTTTGTGAAGTTCATGGAATCCACAAAAGCGTGCATGATATCGATATTCCTCTGATCACCCTCGCCAAGGTATTCTCCGATCTGTTGCTTGTCGAGTTTCTCCTCCGTCAAAAGGAATTGGGCAATTGACTCTGGCGTATCTTGGGAAATGAATCCATCTCGAAGCAAGAGCTTAATGCCCGTTTTCGGCTTGAAGTTGAATTGCCGGATGGCATTGGTGAGTGCCGTTTTCCTAGCCTTCTCCTTCTCGAGGTGATCTGGGTCATCGTCCAAGGTAGGTGTAGATGAGCCCAGAGGCGTAGGACTGGGCTCACTCAACGTCGGATCAAAAGAAGGCCGTAATTCTTCCATGGAAGGATTTGTATCTTCGTTTCTCGACTGCAGAGTATCGGTCTCGGTGTGTAACGGGGCTGACCAATTTACAAGCGATCTCAGAGCCTCAACAAGCGCTTCCAACGAAAGTCGCTTAATTGCGTACTCCTTTGGATAGTCCGGTTCTGTTTCTTGAGTTGGTTGGATGCGCGCGACAGTCAATGATGGCGGCAAGACAGGCTTCAATTGCCACTCGCTGGGAGGTGCAGTTTTGGCTCGTGTCTCCTCATATATTTGCTCATTAGCAGAAGCAATTGTAATCGGAGCAGTAGCAAACTTGGACAGATCTTCGATAATGGTCTGGTAGATGTTATCTACGCCTTGACCACAGTCATAGTTCAAGTAAGTCTCCACGAGTGCCCGCGGGTCGGCGCACATTCGATTCAAAATGGTAACAAAGTAAATCTTCTGTGATAGAGGCCCATTTTTGCGCGAAAGGAGGGCCAAGTAAATCTCATTAAGGATAACCTCAATTTCTTTCTGCAAGAATGTGTCAACGGCTTACGTCTGGGATGACAGAATACCAGAAGAGGGCTTACCTTGAATGAGGGGCGCATGAACTTGAGCATGAGCCAGAAGATTTCGCAACAAACTTCAAACACCCGATCCACCGAACTGGCGCCATTGCGCGTGATGCTCAAACAGAGATAGAACTTGATCGCCTGAAGGAAAGTCGTAGACTCGTTGCTCTTGGAGCTCTTAATAGTACAAATAGGAGAAGTGAAGACCGAAATATTGTTGTTGAGAACGGTGTGGATTAGGTGAAGAGAAATAAGCTTCGAGCGCATAGGCTGGCCACGAATGTCATACAGTTGATCCGGTGGAAGGACCTTGGTTGACAGGTTGCAGAACGATCGGAAGACGAGGTACGCATCACGAATGTAGACCTCATCCTCGGCTTCCAGCGCCTCCAAATCGTCCGGAGCAGGGTGGTCGGGAACTGAGTGCCCGGATACGGAAGCATTGTCGTCCTTGTCCTTGGCAAATCGAAGCCTCGTGACAGTAGTAGGACCGTCTCCCAGATTTGAATCATCGAAACTCTTGCGATGTTCAAGATCCTTCAAAGTGAGTTTTGCCTTGGCACTTCCATTGGTTTCTTTCGACTCTGAGGGCTCGTTATCAGGGGTCTCGGCCGATGGCACATCTGCGTTGGTAAGATCTTGCGCATCGCTCGTGCCATCCTCAGCTTTCTCGTGCTCAATATGCTGGTCCCCCTGGGCCTCGTCGCGATCCTCATGTTCTTCGTCATGGTCCTCGTCATGATCCTCATCGCGATCCGGTGAGTTGGGCGCCTCGCTTGCAGCAGTCAAACGAGTCTCCTTCATATGCAATCGTGTCTTGACTCGCTCGAAAACCGTCCCAACCATCTGCGTCAATGTGCCTTGGGCGACCTGCTGATTGGCTGTGCTCCTGGAGAGCAGGAAAACATTGTACACCTGTCGAACAGCCTTGAGCAGGCCAGCTCCATGAACAACAATCTTATCATTGAGAACTGCCGCCAAGAGGGACTTGACAATTTGGAGCTGGATATCGACAGGGGTGCTCTCGCCTTCGAAACAGTCGCAAATCGTGTCGATAGCTCGTTCAATCAGCGGAGGCGCTTGGTCGACTTCGTCTTCCTCATCTTCTTTGCTAGAGACTGAGAAGTAGGAGTATGAGATAAGTTTCCCGATGCAGTCGAGAGCGCTGGTCGTCAGTTTGGCATCGTTGGATCTGGTTGCGAGCTGGAGGGGCGTGAAGACGATTTCGGGGTTGGGCAGTTTGTCATGCTCCTTTATGGCATCCAAGGCCTTCTTGGAGGAGTCTGCTAATTCTTTGTTCTTTTGCGCTTCCTTGGAAGCTAATATGGCGTCCAAGGCGGACACCACAAACTTGACGGAGCTCATCGGGAGCGGTTGGGATGCTTAAGGGGCCATTCGCAGCTCTCGGAAGCCAGGCGGGAAGGGATGCGCAAGGGGAGCCCACGCCGAAGATGCAGTTCAGCAAGTGCAACAAACACAGCAGGTAGACGAAGGGAGCGGCGTCTGTCAGCAGCGGTCGAAAATATCAAATGGCGACGCAAAAGTTAAAGTGCCCGGATGAGCAGGAGCTTTGCATCAGGGTCGTGGCTCAGATGTGGACAACATTCAGTTCCAGCGCCCAGCTGTTGCCCCAATATTACGCTAGAGCGCTAGGGACGAGGAGCTAGGCGTCCAAATTACAGTGACAGGAGGCTCCTGGTCCGCTTGCGCAGGCCGAATTATGGAGTCGGGAGCCAATAGTGAGAGGATTGGGAGGTGGCTTGGCTGTGGCGGGCCCCTCTTTAGGCTTAGCGTCCTGTAAATCCAGTGCAATCCAGGGGGGGCAATATATCCACTCTGCATCTCATGGATACAGTAATGTAAGTTCCAATCTGCAGCCAGGAGGCAAGAAAGCTACTGTTCTAGTCTCGATAGTGCCAATTGCTGTTATCATTTCTGCTCGTGAAATTATTTGAAGAGAAGTACAAAACAAATTTCGATAGTGTGCCAAAACGCGTGGCTAATTACGCTATAGATAAGTATGAAGCGGTATACCTTTGTTATATGTGCAGCCTAGCACTCAGACGATATGGCGGCTACAGTACCAACACTCTACCGCACCACGAGAAAGAGAAGATCACCCTCAGCTCTTCAAACAAACAACCAAAAATACGACAAAGTGTAAAGCAGCCAATCGCATGTTTAGTGACTTATGTGTTAGCTTTTTGTCAACACCCATTCCTCCTCTAGAAGCAACCACCAGATCCTTCTGACTAAGGCCAAGTTAACGTAATCCTACCCTAGGCATGCATCTCGTCGATCTTCTCAGCAGCCAAAGTTCATCACGAGCCACATGGTCCTATGTATTGCCAACCACTTTTGGTTTATCTACAAGATTGTTTCGACTATATTTGTATGAAACACTGGGGGTCGTCGAGATAGGCGTCAACTCCTGTGGAAGTCATTTGTTCTTGTACGTAACAATTGCTTAAGATGTCCCAAGCGATGGAAGTTGAAGGATTTCGTACATTGAAGTCCGGTTCCTACGCAGGACATAAATAGCACCTTGTCTATTACCATGCATTTAGAGATCCGCTTCAGATGACAACCAATCGATGGACCAATGAATACGAGCTTTGTTGGGTGCGTGTTGCTATGGATCTGCCGTCTACTCTGGTAAGGCAAATGGCACATGCCAAATAAACTATATAAATAGGTGGGTAGCAGGCCCAGCCAACAAATAGATGCGCGACTATTCTGAGAGCTTTTCTACGCCACCAATAATGTAGCCGTTTGATCAAAGGCCCGACCGCCTTGATAAGGTGCGCTGTAAATTATCACCTGATAGCGATTGGGGAGGGGTTTACAGGCGGTATGCTCTGCACCTCGAGGCTCAGCCTCATCCGCGATGAGCAAACTGAAAATGTATCTAACAATGGATGAGATAATCAACCGCATCAATCCAACCGTTGTTCAAACGTTCTACCAATTCCAGAGACCCCATAGTCCAGAATTCGTGCATGCCGGTGTATGAATGGCCGCATGTAAAAGCCTGTGCCAATGATGATCCGACCACCCGAAAGCGGTTTAGCCCACGGAGCTCGATAAACCGACGGAAGAGCTCAACGCAAAAACTGTCCTACAACCCCAAGAATTTCCCATCACGTTGAGCCTCTCCGACCCATCCCCAATTAAAATTCCCGCGCAGCGTCCATCTCCATCCCCCTCTTCGCTCCTTCAACTCCATCCCGCCGGTGTCAATTGCTCTCAGTAGACTCCGTCTGCGAGCAATCGGCAGCTTCTACTCTTCAGAAGTTTCAATACATCCCTGAGGCGGAGCTCATCTCCCCCCCCTCGCTCACAATGCTCAGCGCCGTACTTCGGAGGCAAGCCCTCAAGCCCACCCAGAATGCCCTGCGAGCAGGCTTCAGGGCACATGTAGTCCGCTACTATGCCTCTTTCCCCGACCACCAGGTCGTCAAGATGCCCGCCCTCTCCCCAACCATGCAGGCGGGCAACATTGGCGCTTGGCAGAAGAAGCCTGGTGACAGCATCGCGCCCGGTGATGTTCTTGTTGAGATCGAGACCGACAAGGCCCAAATGGACTTTGAGTTCCAGGAGGAGGGTGTGATCGCCAAGATCCTCAAGGAGTCTGGTGCCAAGGACATTCCTGTTGGCACTGTGAGTTGAGCCCCTTATCCCTCGCTGCCCACTACGTATCAAATTCCCCTCTATCCAAGTTCCTGTTCTGACCTGGATTTGAATATAGCCCATCGCTGTTCTCGTCGAGGAAGGCACCGACGTCACTGCCTTCGAGAAGTTCACTCTCGAGGATGCCGGTGGTGATGCCGCTCCTGCCGCTCCCAAGAAGGAGGAGAAGACTGAGTCCAAGCCCGCTGCCGCTTCCACCCCCGAGCCCGCCCCCGAGCCCGAGCAATACTCTTCCACCGGCCGTCTGCAGACCGCTCTTGACCGTGAGCCCAACGCCACTCCCCAGGCCAAGCGTCTGGCCCGTGAGAGCGGTGTCGCCATCGAAAAGGTCAAGGGCACTGGCAAGGGCGGCAAGATCACCGAGGAGGATGTCAAGAAGGCCGTCAGCGCCCCCTCTTCCGCTGCTGCCCCTGCTGCCGCTTATGAGGATGTCCCCATCTCCGGCATGCGCAAGGTCATTGCCAGCCGCCTCCAGGAGTCTGTCCAGACCAACCCCCACTTCTTCGTTACCAGCTCCCTCTCCGTCACCAAGCTGCTGAAGCTCCGCCAGGCTCTCAATGCCTCTGCTGAGGGCCAGTACAAGCTGTCGGTCAACGACTTCCTGATTAAGGCCATTGCTGCCGCTTCCAAGAAGGTCCCTACCGTCAACTCCAGCTGGCGCGGTGAGTCCATCCGCCAGTTCAGCAACGTCGACGTTTCCGTTGCTGTCTCCACCCCCACCGGCCTGATCACCCCCATTGTCACTGGCGTTGAGGGCCGTGGCCTCGAGTCCATCTCCTCCAAGGTCAAGGAGCTCGCCAAGAAGGCCCGTGATGGCAAGCTCAAGCCCGAGGAGTACCAGGGTGGTACCATCTCCATCTCCAACATGGGCATGAACCCCGCTGTTGACCACTTCACTGCCGTCATCAACCCTCCCCAGGCCGCCATTGTCGCCATCGGCACCACCAAGAAGGTTGCCATCCCCTCCGAGACCGAGGAGTCCGGCGTTGAGTGGGACGACCAGATCACCATCACTGCCAGCTTCGACCACAAGGTCGTTGATGGTGCTGTCGGTGCCGAGTGGGTCCGTGAGCTGAAGAAGGTCGTCGAGAACCCTCTCGAGCTCCTCCTGTAAAATTCGGAAGGCAATCTTCAGGTACTGATGGGCTTACTCCAGGGACAGCACAAGCATGCGCAGGCCTGGCGTCGGGTGGAGGATATTGTTATAGACTGAGGGGACCGTCAGCGACTTGGTTGTCTCAAGAGGGTACGGATGGTGGTGGGAGATTTTCGATATTCTGGCTTTAGCAACCTCGGAAAGGAAGTGCTACAGGCCCAGACATTCGTGTACAATGACTCTTAACTACCTAGTAATGCTGCATTTGGGTGTTTTGGAGAGGATATCTCCAGCTTGTACATTGGATTCTACTTTCTTCAATCTTGCCCTAAAACGAGTAGGATGCATGTTTCACGAAGTGGCTGAAACCCTAGACAGGCATTTCGATTAATTTGACGACGTTTGAAATGAAAGTAGAGAAAAAAATATTAATTCTATCTGGTTCAACAATTTGTTCGTGATGTGTTAGACCACTTCTGTCATTATCATCGCCAACTCTCCCCCATAACTCGCTTCGATTCGTTCTGTACTCCTACCTTACTTCTAACAATAACTCCAATGTTGACCTCTGAGATTCGAGATTTGGTATGGTTGAGCCCGTTATTTTATGCCATCTTGTCCATACGACGCCATACAGCGCTTTTCTCGGCATCTCACTTTTTCGTGTCATGGTGTTTTGCATGGTCAACTGCCCGTGGCTAGAAAATGTCTAGAGTAGGTCTGTTCCATAGGGAGCTCGAGCGCAGGTTCACTCGGAAGAAATGAAGCGATCCCTGTCCAGAGGCGGAGGTTAGAAATATGCGAATCTCTAACCATAATCCGAGCTACGTCATGTCTGGGAGAGTTAACCACGACTTTAATTGGATGCCACATCATGATTGTCTTTCGGGTACTGCAGCAAGCTCCCTAAGCTGTAGAGTCATCTCCTGACTACATCTCATCAAGCTAACACCGTCGGACAACGACGGTTAACGCGATGTGAAGATGAGGTGCGGCAGTCGTTGACGCCTTTGGAGGACCCAAAATAGATTCGCCAATCAAAGGATCGGCACTCGCCCGCCCTCGGCGAATTCGACAATCCGGCCAATGAGCGCACAGTAAATCTCGGTCTTTTCACACCCAACTCGCTGGTGGGGAGTTGGTATACTTTGACGGCTCCCCATGCCTGCCGTCTTGACGGATGCTGTGTTCTTTAATATTCTTGCTCTTGCAAATTTGCCGAGAAGGACTTCAAGATATCCTCCGAGCGGGGCTACACGGGCGAATATCCCTTGTTGCGGCGTTGATTCAAAAGCCCGAAGAGCAAAGCACCTGCCACATCTCTCAGCCCCATCGCCGACTTACACCAGCCACAGCAGCAGTAGAGAGCAGCCATGTCGATGCCGCTGCCTTTGCCTGGTGCTGCACCTCCTGCAGAAGCTGCCTCTAACCTATTCGCACAAGATGAGCATGGCGCGACTCAGGAAGGTGACGTCTCTTTATTGAGTGGAGAGCAGCAGCCGCAGAAGAGACGCCGCCGGCCTGCTCTCGCCTGCGAGCAGTGTCGACGACGCAAGATCAAGTGTGATCGAAATATTCCCTGCAATAACTGCATAAAGTCCAAGATTCCTGCTTGCTCCTATGCCCCAACACACATCCCTGCCTCTCGTTCCAAGAAAAAGACCACCCAAGCTACCTCTTCAGACAATTCGGCGTCTGTAAGGACTATACTGCCGGCTCCTACTATCCCTTCCCAAGAGGAGCTCCATGCAGAAGACCTCTTTGATTTTACTGGATATGGCCAGACTGGGGCCTACAAATCCTCGGACCCTTCTCCACAGCATGTGCCGAGCTCCACTGCAGGCTCGACTTCCAGTGCTCCCAGATCCAATGTTGAGCAGCTCACCCACAGGGTCCATCACCTAGAAGAGAAGCTGGCCAAGGTGGTAACTATATCTAATGAAGATGCAAGCCCGTACAGTTCCTCTCAGCGCGATAGCGAGTCATTGCCTTCCAATGGAACTGTTTCCAAGACCAGATATTTTGGTCGCAGCCACTGGATGAATGGCACTTACACTGTGAGTACCGCGATGAGTTCCCTCTCGCTTGAGTATATTTAGTTGAGTTGATTCGCTAACACATTTTTATTCTCTAGCTCCCATTCGTGCGAGAAATTCGCGACCGTGTCGAGTCAGGCCAGAGTCATGGGCTGGTTCATACCCTCAAAGCATGCAAGGCCATGGGGCGTACTATCAAAGAGCATCGCCAGCAGCCACTCTCTTCGCTCACGCTAGGCAGACTAAATATCAGCCGCGAACTCGCGGACCAGATGGTCGATGCCTACTTCCGCACTTTTGAAGGGGTCTTGCGTATTCTGCACGTACCTACATTCCGTGCCGACTACGAGAGATACTGGCAAGTGCCCGAAATGACCAGTGACTTTTTCGTCATTCAGTTGCAGCTTGTCCTAGCACTAGGTGCCCCTTTCCTCGATGATGTTTTCTCCATGCGTGCTCAGGCTCATCAGTGGATTCACGAGGCCCAACTCTGGCTCATGTTGCCTCCCGAGAAAGCCAGGATGACCATCGCTGGCCTCCAAATCATGTGTTTGGTGACACTTTCCCGCCAGGCCTGCTCTGTGGGACAGGACCTTGTGTGGATATCTGCCGGATCACTGGTAAGGAAAGCCATGCACATGGGCCTTCATCGTGACCCTTCACAGCTGGGAGTCATGACAGTGTACCGGGCAGAGATGCGGCGCCGGTTGTGGGCCACCGTCCTCGAGCTCAACCTCCAATGTGCCTTTGATGCCGGTGGACCTCCCCTCATCTCCTGGAAGGACCACGACGTGCTCCCTCCCGCAAATCTCGACGATGAAGAGCTCACCGACGAAGTCGACGATCCCGAGCACACCCGCCACCCGCCAGAGACGGTCACCGGGATGTCACTCCAGCTGCAACTCTACAAGTCTCTTCCCCTCAGGCTCCGCCTCCTCGAGCATGCCAACGACTTCCGCGCATCCGAGTCCTACGACGACACGCTGCGTTTCAACTCAGAGGTCACCAAGGCATGCCGTTCCTTCTCCAGGAACTTCGCAATGTTCACTAGGAACCAGCAAGTCCAGGCAACGCCCAAGGTCAACAACTTCCATGCATCAATGGCCGAGATGATCCTCTACCGGTGCTTCCACACGCTCCACCAGCCTGTGATTGCCCGCTCGCTCGAGGACCCCAAGTTCTACTTCTCTCGAAAGATATACTTCGACGGAGCCCTTAGGATCATGCACATTTGCGGACTCGCCACCCCTGGAGGCAATGCTACGGGCCCTTCTGCAGCTGATAATAGCGACTTTTACCGCATCATCGTCAATGGAACTGGAATGTTCCGGAACGTCGTGATACAGTCTTTGCCAGCCATTGTCCTCGAGACCATGCACAAGGGAGAGCTGGCCGACCTGAGTTTGGGATACTTGCCTTCCATTGGCGGTGACTTCGACCTCTACGCCATCCTCGAGAGGTTTGTGAACATGAATCTCCGGCGATTGCGGTCAGGAGAGACGAATGTCAAGGGCTACTGCTTCTCAGCCGTCAGCCTGGAACACGTTCGAGCGCTGGCTAAGGGCATGGCCCTCGAAGAGCTCGAGAAGAATCTCACCACGATGGTGAATAAGTATCTGGAGGAGAGCCTGGAGGAGCTGAAGACGGTGGCGCGACGGGAAGGGGTCCCGGTTGACTTCATGGGCGAGCCTGTTCAGATGGCGGAGGCGGAGGCCATGATGGAGGATCAGCAGGGTCTGGACTGGATGGGCGACTGGGCCTGGGACGACGATATGGCGGGTGTGTTGTGGGGGTCTCCTCGGCCGTATCAGGATATGCATCCGCCGGTTTTTGGATGATTTCTCGATGTCATGATTAGACAAAAGTGTGAACTCTTCCTGTTCATTTAGTGTGTATCGGCGTTCTTTTGGAATTTGGATTGTATGAGTACACCGAATAGATATCTAATTCTTCACTCTATAAATCATACACACCTCCTATCTCCTGATGGGCGTCTCCCTCCGATACTGCCAATGGGATGCATCGCGGTAGACCAGCTCGTATCCCAGCAACCCCTCGATCAGAGCTAAAATAACCGGCGGAGACAAGGTTGTGGTTCTGCCATATCTCGGCTCAGTAGACAGGGTGATTGTATCGTACGACATCCCAAAACTGGATGATTGGTGGTTGTTTTCCACCTTTACGGGAACAGCCTGCTTCGAAGTACGTCTTGTTAGTAATGTGACTATGATACTAATTTTGGGTAAATGGGAAACACTCCATACCTGGCCAGACGAAGGCTGCGCCCACTTCTTAAAGTACTCGGCCAAGAAGTCCAGGGTCGAGCCATTACTGCACTGAACCTCCAGACTGTTGTTCCCGAACGCGTGGACGAACAGGTGATAGGGAGGAGCCTGGAGTAGGGTACTAGGCTTGGGGAGGCTCCTGGGATCCGGGAGAGTCTCGCTCACCGGCTTCGGCTTGGGAACGGGAGCAGGTGCGGCGGCGCTGGTGGCGGCAGGATGTTTGGGAGCGGAGACGGCCTCGTAGTCCTCCTCGTCCTCGGGGTCGAGGTCCCCCCGGGCGGATGGGCGCAGCGCCAGCGGCTTGTCCTTCTTGAAGCAGCCGAGGAGCTGGGTCTTGAAGGTGGGGGTGTACTGGTCTGGGCGGGTGACGTTTGACGAGGGGAGGTGGAGCAGGAAGGACCTTTGGGAGTCGGACCATGCTGTGGAGGCATCCCCAGACTTGACCTATACGGAGGGTATGTTAGATGAATGGATTGTGTAGGAGGTGGGAGTGGCATCTTTGATTCAGTGCATGTGACGCTGGAAGAAACAAAGTATACCTCGAGATGAAGCTTCAATGCCGCGCCGTTGTCTTTCACGAGGTCGACGATGGAATCTGCCCATTCCGAGTTCTCCTCGTCATCGAGCAGCTCCGTCAGGGCCTCGACCCAGACCTTGACGAAGTTGATGACCGACTTGGCCAGCTCGCTGTTATCATCATAGTGGGGGCTTAACTCTGTGGTGAGCAGAGGCCAGGCAGGCTCGCATAAGAAATCCAGGCCGAGGATATTCTTGAGGCGGGTGATGGCCTCTTGGACGGGGGAGTCTGGCTTGTCCCAGAGGTCCCGGATGGCGACCTTGACTTTGAGGGGTCTGTGGACGAGGGTTAGCTTGGGAATACCCTCAACTCCTGCAACAGGATATGGCGGTCTCTGCCTACATAGACATGATGGTCGTGGATTGATGCAATGTCCTTCAAGGAGTGCAGGATATGGCGTCGAGGTAAGATGCCCAACCTATGGGATAGAAGCGAGAGCTCTCTTGCGCCCCTTTTCTACTTGCCTGTCCCATTTTCCTTAGAAGCAAATGCACACCATCGACGCCGCCCGCCGCTCCGCCCAATATTCACAAAGCTATCCTGAAAACGCCTCAGCTGGCTCAGCCCCTGGAGACGGTAATTTAAACGATCACTCCCCGCATCTTCGGCTGGTTCCTGCATGGCTAAGCTGCGCTAACTGTTCAGCTCTGTCTAGCGCAAGCGTTTGCGCGCCCCCATTGAGAATAATGCTCCCGCTACGCTCAATGAATGAAGGGGCCAGTCGTAAGGCTGGGATGGCTCGGTTGCATTGTCTACCGCCGAGACGAGCAATAGTTATAAAGCTGACCAGTCTGTCTCTCGTTGAGGCGAATAATCGCTATATCACCAACCAGGTTATCCACTGCTATAATAAGCAATCGCAGCGAAGCTGACCTAGCCGTTACTCATCGCAATAAGCAATAGCTGTAGAACCGATCTAGCTGTCTTCTAACGCAACGAGTATTTACTGTAGCCCTGATCAAACTACGCCTTATCGCGACAAGCGATAGCTGTAAAGCTGACCAGTCTCTCTGCTGTTAAGATAGCTATCGCTATACAGCTGATCTAATTATCTACTACCTAGACGAGGAATTACTATACAGCTGATCTAGTTCTCTATTAATATAACGAGTAATTACTACAAAGCTGACCTAGCTATCTGCTGTTAAAACGAGCAGTTACTATAGCCTTAAACAGCCTGTCTTCCAACATAATAAGTAATTGCTATAAAGCTGATAACCTAGCTATCGGCTATTAAGACGAGCAGTTGCTGCAGCCTTGAACAGCCTGTCTTCCAATGTGACAAGTAATTGGTACGAAGCTGGCCCAGCTGTCGATGTTAAGACAGTCAAAACAACCTCGCTCACGCTTTGGCCAGCCTGCTGACCATTGACATGTAGCAGACAGGCCAGACAGGGCTGCAGCTATCGCTCGTTGCGTCAGAAGACAGCTTAAAAGGTAGCCGCCGACGGCCGTTTGGTATTTCCACCGTCAATCTCTTCTTCAGCCCTAAGTCGGATGCTGCCCTACCTACATGTGATGTGGAGCACAAGAGACAGCACGGCGGCATTGCTTTCACGTCATGGGATCCGTGCAGTAGCCGGGCGCGACTATGGATGAACGTGTAGGGCCTCAGTCGCAATTTCACCACCCAAACGCCCGGTTTTCTGGCATCAATGGCAGGGCGGGATGACTTCTTCACGCGATTCCTTGGCGGCGGCAATTTGGGCTCTTTGGTTGGCAATTCGTAGGAGCCGATGGGAACAGGCACCAAGGCTAGCTGTTTATGGTACTACAGTCGCTCCGCCTAAATTAGCATCAACTAACGCCGAGGTTTTGAACACCGCACTATGGTTCAGAATATGCAGTTGGTTCGACGTTGCAGCATCCTTTGCTATGCACGCTCTTGGCACCAGCTCACAATACGGACATCTCAAACCTTCGGCGTTCTTCTCCGCTGCTCTACCAGCATGAAGCGTCACTAGCGGGCCAACAAGTGTCCCGTTATGGCAAAGACGACCAGTACGGCAGTCCAGCCTGCAAGGATGCCACCCGGTAATCCCACATTCCTGTCTGTCCCGGACCAATTGAGAGCTGCAGCTACAATGTCTGCTACCAACAGACAGTTGCATCGTTGCGGATTCCATGACTGACGCTCTCTGGCGTCGTTGAATCTTGGCGGCGGTAGCGCTGCTAGGCCAATTGGATTCTCCCATAAGCGCTGTTGTAGGTTTGGAAGCCTTGTCAACGAGTGATTGACCATTCCTTTTTCCTGCCAGGTCCTTGGTGTCGCTTGGATCATGGCTTCCTGTATTTTACATATATGAATCTACTTCTCCCGTTTTTAGAATTGACGTTTTTCCTAGCTGCCTACCATACCTCTCTAATTCCACACTTCATCAACGTTTACAGCCTCAAATGCTTACATTCTTTCGCTGGAGATAATTCTGATAAGCAATCGGCGATGTCCAGAAACCTTACAGTTATAAAAGAACTAGGGCTTTGGTGCCCGTACGGCGGTAAACCTTATATTTGCGAGGGGGCCTATTATGAGTTTGTCGGTTGTTGCAAGTATGATCCTTGCGCAGGAAACGACGGGTTCTGTACAGCCGCAAATACCACAACCGCAAATTCAACCTTGGAAGAGCGTCTCGGAATCCGATTAAGCTTCATCTGCCGCAATACCGATTATGCTGCCAAGCTCACCAATACTTGGCCGTACCATGTCGTTTACAACCCGGATGGCAAGAACCTTTCCTGTATTGGAAGTACTCCTAGGGAGAATACTGATGCCAGATGTTTGCCTCCTGATTTAAATTTGCGAGAGGCAATAATGAGCCTTGGTAGCCCCAATGGCACCAACATTACCGAAGAACCGGAGCCTACCCCAAGTCTAGCCTTTGGAGTCACTGATACCCCTGATACACGCAGTGGGCAAACTTGGACTCCTCTAATGAAAAATGACATTGTTGGTCTGTCTATCGGTATCACGGTTTTTGCCTTGATCCTACTTGGATTGCTCGGCAGGTATTTCTGGATCTCTGAATCAAAGAAGTAGTAAGTGGTCCCCGTTTCTCACTGCGACAATCGACGAAAGCATGAGTTCTGACCCTCTCATGCAGCGCAGTCTCTCGAAGGCAGTCTCAGTTGCCCGAAAATTCGCATCAGACCCTGCTTAAAGCTGGTCTCAGACAACATACTACATCTGAAGACCGGTCCAGTACATCTGGGGGAAGCTCTGGAGCCGCCTCTCATCAAGACAGTTCGAATTGGTACGGGGATCGACAGAGACTCAATCAAAAGAACTTCTCTTGGTACACAGAATTGATATGGGATGTTATTTTGACAATAGCTCCCACGTTTTTCATCGGTATGAAGACCCATATCCAACAAATCTTTATAACTGGCATTTACTGAATTTGGTTTGGCAGTTGTCCCCGTTCTGGCTCTGTGCATCAATAATCAACCCATCTCGTCACATGGGGAGACCTTGATGAGCATCAACCGCTTGATTCCCACCATATATCCTATCCTCTTTGCAGCCGTTGCATCTCGTTTCTACAAGAATCTAGGTCGTTTCCACTTGGAACAGCCTGATGGGATAAGCCTCGCTGCTCTGGAACAAATAATGGGTAGCCAAAGCTTTGCTGGCGCCATAGAGCGTCTGCTGTTTGTTCGAACCCAAGTGCCAATTGGTATTCTGATCCTTGTTATTTGGGCAATGTCTCCACTTGGAGGTCAGGGAGGTGCAAGAATGATAAATCATTCCTACAACGAGTATCTATCCTACGGAGGTGTCTCCTACGTTCACCCAAGCTATCAAGTTTCCGGCTATTCGAGTCAAGAGTATGAGATTACGATGCACCTTGGTGTTAACAGCCTGTACTCTTCCTCGCTTCTCTCATCACCAGATCAAAAACTGGCACCACGAGATCTTTGGGAGATGCCCAAAATCCCGCAAAGAGACAAGAGTAAACCAAGAGGAGAGATGCATGAGATCGATAAGCAGGCTCTTGCCCGCGGCGACAGTGAATATTATTCCCTGATTGGAACCAAAATCCAGGGGTTGGACTTCGCAAAACAGAGCAATGCAGTGTTAAACTTTACAGTTGAGACCTCTTATATCGAACTGGACTGTCTCTGTCAGTATCCGGACTTCAACTTGTCTGTTTGGATGGACCACCCACAGGGTGATCCCATGTATGCTACTTTCGGAAAATTGCGAAACAGTGGCAATGATACGAGTGTAGATATCCAATTCTCCGGAGGACTAAACTGGAGGTGGCAGAGAGCTAGCTGGGAGGACACTAACATTTATGTGCCACATTTGGCCTGGTTGAGCTCCAGGAACGAGGACGAGCCCGCTCCTTTGAGCAGGGCTAAAGACAGTCAGATTATGTTCAACTGTTCTATTGACACTGTCACTCTCGAGACGGAGATTTTGTGTGATTTGAACTCCACAAACCCTACTTGCTCTGCCGAACGCCAGCGCCTAGTTGACATTGCGGATCTAAAACTTGACTTATTGATGAGGACGATGAAATCGGTCGGAGCAATGTGGAACCTCATCTCGTGGTGGAAGACTGCCGATGGGGGTTTTAACAACCGTGCATCCTCCCCGACCGAAGTTTACATCGCCGGTGGTTCATCGCCATATGGGACCGATGAGATGTTAAGATGGCTGACCTGGGATGAGAGGCAGGTCTCTCGTCGGATGACTACCGCATTCAACACCTTCCATATGGCAACACTCAACCCAATGAACCATACCGAGATGGCTTTCAGGAAAGACCCTGGACCTCAAAAATACCTTCCACTCTCCCCGAGCACGCCGACCTTTTACAATGAAACTGTAGGGACTGTGACCACGACGGTTGAAGTTTACCGTACAGACAAAGCCTGGACAGCACTTCATCTCGGTACCAGTTTTGTACTCCTGATCTTAGCGGGCTTGGGCTTGGCCCTACGCTTGCTCATCAAAGGACCTGACGTGATTGGGTATGCCAGCTCAATGACACGCGACAATACCTATATTCCGTTATTGCAAGATAGTGGGAGTGTGTTGCATGGTCCGACCAGAGCTAGGCTTCTCAAGGACCTTCGCGTACAGCTGGCTGATGTGCGCCCAGAGAGCAATGCCGGGTACATTGCTTTCAGAGCTGTACCATCGAATCTTCAGAAAGGGGCTGCGATTAAAGATCATGAGCGGCAAAATGACTTGTGGAGGCCGTTTACGGGTGACAGGCGCTATGTATAGATTTAGAGTGATGGAAGGCGATCAAAATTCACATGCTATACTTTCAAAATAGATTTTAATTCTTTAATCGACATATGCCGCTGCATTGAAGAGACGAGAACTCCCTGCCATCTACACCGTCCAAAGTCCCTACCCACACGCCTTATCCCTCATACGAACATGCTTTTTCTTTTGAATTATCAGTTCTTCCCAGCATCCTCCTTCAAACTGACGATTCGGTTCAAGACAATCTTGTCGTCTGTGCTATCCGAGTCGACAGCCTTGTAGCAAAGTTAGTAGGCAATATCTGAGGGCTCTATGGGGGGTTACTTACAAAGTATGCAACACGCATTCCTTGGAACCGGATACTTTCAGGTCCTCCTTTGCCAAGCTCACTCTCGCCAGCTGCCTCAGGCCAAGGTGCTCTTCTCTTAACTTCGTCAAAGCCTGACTCAATTATTGCGTCCGGGTAGATAACCTCGCTCTCAGGGTTGATGTCTTTCAAGAAGCCACCCTCGGCATCATCGGGTTTTTCTGACTTGAAAAGGGGGTTGTGAATGCGTACTTCGGCCTTCTTGGAGCCTTCGGTACCGACCCACTGGATGAAGGTCTTGGGCTTCTTGCCCTCACGGTCGTAAACAGCCCTGATCTCCGTAATCTTGCCAGTTGCCTCATCCTTGGTGAATGAGGTTGCCTTGACAGGGTAGGGCGCATTTAGTAAACCAACAGACTTTCCGGGAGCAAGACGGTAGTAGTCTTTACTATCCACTTCTCGGAAATCTGAGCGGTCAATGTAGACGGTCGGGGTGAAGCGGACAGTATGCGAACCCATCTTGGGGTCCTTAGGGGAAAAGGGAAGCTCAACATCGACAGCTTCAGCATCCTCGATGACAAGTGGTACTGGGTCGAGAATAAGCATCAATCTGGGCACAGTCTTTTCGAGGTACTTTCGGATTGTCTGTTCAAACCGGTGGATCTGAATAGTGGTTGTGCTGGTGGTCACACCAAGCTCATTGACAAAGTCCAGGATAGCACCGGGAGGGACTCCACGACGGCGGATAGCAATCAATGTATACAATCGTGGATCATCCCATCCACGAACATAACCATCTTCAACTAGCTTGAGAATCTTGCGCTTGGATAAAACGGTACCGGTCAAGTTCAATCGGCCGTACTCCCTCTGCATAGGCTCATACACGCCGAGAGATTTGTTTAGCCATTCGTAGGAGACTCTAGAGAGGATGAACTCAGTTGTGCACAAAGAGTGCGTTATCCCTTCGAAGCTATCGCAGAGACAGTGGGTGAAATCATAGGTAGGGTAGATCTTCCAGTCCCAACCAGTTCGGTGGTGAGGAGTGTCTGTCTTAATACGATATGCAGCAAGGTCCCACATCTGAGGGTTCCCATCAGTGATATCTTGCTTCATGCGCAAGAAGACTTCTCGGGGCTTGTATTTGCCATCACGCATATCTCGGAACTTGGTAAGGTTTTCTTCAGGGCTCTGGTCGGCGTGTGCGCATCGGTAGCGTTCGTGGGCACCTTTCTCTCCGCCTCGCTGATCCTTGATCTCGGTGTCTAAAAGTCAAGCCAACGGTTAGGAACAAATTTCAAGCCAAGCGCTGTCGCGTGATACTTACCATTGCAGGAGCAGACATAAGCTTTCCCCTGCTTAATGAGTTCTTCTGCGAGGTCGTACAATTTTTGGAAATTATCACTGGAGTATGTAATCTTGAAAGGCTCGAATCCAAGCCATTGGACAATCTCCTGAATAGCTTCGAAATATCTTTCCTCCTCCTTCTCGGGGTTGGTGTCGTCGTATCTCAGATAGCACACTCCCCCGTGGTACTTGGCGAACCCAAAGTTCACGGCAATAGCCTTCGCATGTCCAATATGAAGATACCCGTTAGGTTCGGGGGGGAATCGAGTGACAACGTCTTTAGACGGTCGCTCCTTGTATACGTCCTCGAGGAAACCGAGCTTGAACATTGCTTGGGGATCAATGGTTGGCTCCTCCGTTTTAGGCTTGGGGGCTGGTCTGTTGGTTTCTGAACCACCAGCTGCGGCTTTCTCTTGACGTGCCTTTTCTTGAGCTGCTTTTTTTGCTCGCTTCTGCTGACGCTTCTTAAGCTCGGCCTTGGAGACCATCTCCCCGGTCTCCTCATCAAGCTGAAGCTTGGGCATCGACTTGGTAATTTCTTCCGCCATCGTGCCGTTTGCGTGCCCGCCGGGTGATATGTTCTAGTTTCAAAAGCCTAAGCAGGGTTTTTGGAGTTTCGTTGACTCAATCGTAAATCGCAGGGTCGCTCGCTATGGCAGTCGATGTTTTTTGTTGATGACTCAAAGGCATCCCACCTTCACCATGCATGAGGGGCAGGGCAGATTCTTAGTAGCCCCGCTCTGATAAGCTCCCGGCCTGATAAGACCATCAGATCGCTGCCAGTCATGGGGAAGCTCCTGGCTTAGCTCAGTTTCCCCTGCTGTGGTACCTACCGGCAAGCGGGTGACATAAGAGATGAGACACCAAATTCTTGTGCCTTCTTTGTAGCCAACAAATGCTGCAATAAAGACACAATAACCCTTAAAAATGTATATTAATCCTTTTATTAGCTTCTAAATAATATTTAAGTCCTTTTTTGGTCTCTTTTAAGGAACTTTAGAATCAAGTTGTGGTGAATATAACACAGAGCCTCTCCAAATATGGACGCTTGAAGTACCGGTTTGGTGTCTCATCTCTTATGTCACCCGCTTGCCGGGTAGCGCTCATAGGTGCAAAGTGCCCCAAAACTCGGATCATATCTCTAACAAATAGTGGTCACAGAAGGCCATCAATCTCAATCCCCATCGCCAGTGACGATGCACATCATCCTGACTCCCCCATACACGTGTATGTATAGTGCATGATTTTGAAGACTCTTTCTCACATATTATAGGTGCAAATTGATTCTTTCGCCCGGGGTACGTCAGCTAGCCAGTCATAGAATACTCGGGTAATGTAAGCAATTCTTTGCCTGCATTGGATGCTGAGTTGTCAAATCAGGGGCGCCAATCTCCCGAGGCTGGCACCTGGAAGGGCAAATTCGCGATCCGCCCAGTTTATGCAACCTCTTTACGTGACCTGTCCGTAATGCAAAGTCCCGTGATGGTATATAATTAGGTAGCATGCAGGGAGTAGGCAACCCCCATGCTTGTCCATTTCGGCGTGTTCAGATTTCAATCCTTCAGCCAGAGACGCGTCCAGGCACAATCGAAACTCATTCCATCTTGAACGTTCAAACATTCATAAGCTCTCACTGAGTAGCATCTGATTTGCTTGTTCCCATAATCGTCGCCTGATGACGACGTCGGAGCTAAAACCAGAATGTCGTTCTCTCTGAACTTGGGAGGGTTCAAGGTGCCCCAATTCAGGGTTTTTGATCACTCCCATGAGAAGGAGCTGCCTCCACCACCTTCCCAACATCTTCACCCTCATCACCCTCCTCACCCTCCTCACCATCAGCACCAACAGCACCACAACCACCCCAAACACCAGCACCACAATCATCAGAAGCAGCAGTCCCACAGTCGGCATAGACAGCAACCGTCTAAAGGTTTCATATATGACCCTGACGGATTTGAAGACAGTGGCGTATTTTCAGATCTAGAAGAACTCCACAATTCCTCCAGAGCTAGCCCTTTTTATCTTCAGGACGACGAGCTCTCCGACAACAGTAGTCTTTTTGAGGACAGCTCACTTCTCGACGACACCTTCATCTTCTCACATCGCCCCAAAATGGCTACTAAATCTCTAGCAGACATTCTTACCGTCACTCAACTCTATGCGGTGTCAGAGCTCAAGGCCGCTGCAACAGCTAGTCGCTACTCCGCTTCGCGTTCCATCAATGACCGCGTGGGTCTCACCAAAGGAGATATCACGAGACTGTCGCTGGACGCCATTGTCAACGCCGCCAACACAACTCTTCTTGGTGGGGGCGGCGTCGATGGCGCTATTCACAGAGCAGCAGGCCCAGAGCTCCTTGAGGAATGCGAAGCCCTCCAAGGCTGTCGCACAGGTCAGGCCAAGATCACAGAGGGGTATCGTCTTCCCGCGAAGCACGTGATCCACACAGTTGGCCCCGTGTACAACGTGCTGGATCCGAAGCACAGCGCCAGGTTACTACGAAGCTGTTACGAGGAGAGTTTGAAGCTTGCAGTCAGGGAGGGTATTAAAACGATTGGCTTCAGTGGGATAAGCACAGGTGTATATGGCTACCCGAGCCGGGATGCCGCTGAGGTAGCTTGCGATACCGTCAGGAGGCTCCTCGCCGCTGAGGCAAGCAGTTTGACGAGGGTTGTGTTTGTTGCGTTTGATGAGAAGGACATGGCAGCGTATCGCGAGGCCATCCCGTAAGTCCACCCCCCCTTCTTTCTCCCGTCTTTCCTCTTTTTACACCGTCTACAATTGAGATGAACCTCACTGACCACGGACTTGCCACTAGAAAATATTTCCCTGATACCCCGGCCCCAGAGGCCAGTTCCCATTAAAATTGGTAGTTGTCACAGTTAGCAACGGCCAACAAAGTTTACAAGGTTTCCTACCTTGTTTCCTTGACTGGCCTAGATAGATAGCTGCCTGCATTTGCGATTCTCAGTTATAACTACTGTTTTCGCTCTTCTTTTTTTTAATTCCCTTCAAATCTGGGTCAATTGTGTTAAGCCATAGAGCCAAACTGAGCAAAATACGGATGAGAGTTCGAACACAAATTTAAAAACAGTGGAAGATGCTAGACCCGACAACCTAACACAATGAATTATATATAGTAACCAGGAAGGCTTGGTTCACAAAAATACGCTCTGTCCACCTTGCCTCCTAGTTATGATCTCCGGAGCTCGAACCCGTATTATCATTATCAACACTTTGCTTGGGTTGCGCACGTCCGGCATTGATAGCTTCAGAAAGCATAGACTTCAGAGCGTCAATCTCGGCGCGTAGCTTTCGGACCTCAACGATGGCAGGCTCTTCTTCAACATTTGGCTTAACAGCCTCGCAAGTCTTGGCCCAGCCCTCTGACTCAAAGTCTAATTCATTAGCCATCTGCTCCCACTCCTCTTCAACGTCGTCATCTTCCTCGCCTCTCGCCCTATTACGGCGTATTTGCCCCGCTTTGCGAATCTCGAAGAAGGCAGCAACAAGTAGGAGAGGAGAGTAGATGATCCCCATGACAACATCGTTGATCGTTTCGTAAGTTTTCTTGGGCATCCACCACTCAAAAAGGCCAGATATGAAGATTTCAATTAAATTGAACGGCGCAATGTAAACATTCTCATCAGGGGCGCGTACGAATTGCATCGTCTTTTGGGCGAGAAGGGCGAGGTATTCGTCGTCGGCATTTTCGTATATGTCTTCGTAAGCTGAATTATATAGCGCAATCAAGATGTTGAGGAGAATAATCTTTCCAGAGGGAAAAAGTGATTAGTTTTTTATGTGCCGAGGTTTGGAAGGTACGTTGGATGTATCTCACCATGACAATGAACGTAAAGCAGTAATGTAAGATCAAACCAAAAGGATGTCCAAATTGTTCGAATCCTTCGAATTCTGGGCTTTGCAAAATTGCTTTGAGCATCGCCTGGAGTATGAACCAAACGTCGTCCGCAACAAGGTCGTCAGCCAGATCAAGGCCGATAAAAGCCTGCAAGAATCCTATGTTGATGATGATAAGCAATGCGAAGAATATCACGGACTCTTTCATCATCACTTTCAGTACAACGAGCATGGCCCCAAAGAACCGGAAGCTGTCGAGGTAAAGCAAGAGCCGAGACCAAAACAATGGTGCGACAAAGGAGAGTACGTTGTAACTCAATTGGCTCCATTCCCTGCGTGCATCCGAGTGTTCAGGATGTGTAAGGCCTATGATACGGAGCACGAAGGATGCCGTTAAAAACGAGTATAAGAGGCCATTGAGAGCGTTCCAGAATCCAAGAATGTGATAACCTGCCTTGTACAATTTCATGGTCTCGTCGCATATGAAGCCCACTGTAAAGACATACATCAGAATCTCGGCGCCATCAAAAACTCCCGAGGCATTGACCGAGTTGATAGAGATAGTATAGAGACCAAGGTAGATGATTGACAAGAGCATCTGTGCTGCGTTCTGGTACATCGGGGCTCGCATTCGATCGGGATCCATGTGAACGAAGAAATTCGGGTTGGCCTTATCCTTGTAGTCAATGAAAACCGAAGGGTTATCTTCATCCTGCACCAGCCATCCTCTCCAAAGGTAGCTGATACATTTTTGGTATCCAGAAGACCCAATGACTCGAACGTCGTGCAAGTCGACGGCTTTCTCAATCACGTTGAGCGGATGCGTCGGCTCGCGGTCGGAGAGATAGGAATATCGTTGCAGAAGGACTGAATGGAGCAGGTACCTTATGTTCTCCTCGTTCTCGATACTAAATAAACAAGTTAGGAAAATGAACTTGGAGGTTGGGTCAGCGGTCATTACATTGCCTTGGCGATCACACCGCAAGCCGTAGCCCGTAATTTATGCAGGTCGGCATCCCATAACTCGGTGATGGATTCGTGCTTGAACCATTGCTTGTTCACGAGCAGGCAGAAAACCTAAGTGTTGCGTGTCAGGGTATTAGAAACTCAAGGGTTAGAATCTGGCATACAACACAAGATTTGTACTCTTCTCCGCCGGCCTCTTTGGCGGCCTTGATCACCTTTTTGGTGACGATTCGGCTATGCGGTCGCGTGATTTTAGATTCTTCCAATTCGCAGGATATGCATTCTTGAATTAAGTGTCGCAGCCGAAGGCAAATCCTCGTCACCTCAAGAGGGGGGATTGGAACTCCAATGGACTCATCCCGGTGACCGTCAAGTACTACGGAGAAATCAGCATACGTTGAAGTGTCAATCTATGCTCGTGACGACGATGGACACTCGCGCCACGGTAGAGTAAGGACCTACGGGTTTCTTCTTCATGGAGCCAATGATGGCGGCTTGTGTTCCGGTGTCCTTCCTGAGGGTGGCGATCCCAGCCGAGGAGGCGATCGAGCGCGGTCCATCTTCCAAAATTGGCCATTGGGCGTGGCTTTGGCACGGCTTCGCGATTCGGGAATGAGGAAATGTAGATTGAGAGGACTCCAGGCTCGGTGGTACGAAGCGCGCCAGACCCGAGAGCAATTGTATGGTCAAAAGGTGCTGCGAAAGAGGGGTCACTGGTTGTAGGATGCGGCGGTGATGCGCCTTCTTGCTTAGACAAGCTTCAGAGCTCACCCCATGACGTCGTTAAGTAACGGTTTAGGTTAGCCACCGTTCCCGCGTTTCAGCCCCGTCAATACCCAGGACAAAACGGACTGTTATCATGGCTTGTTATTCCATGAATTATTTCTGCATTAGAAAAATGGCGCCACTCGTCTAGCCATTTATGAACTTACACTGATCCTACTAGAGGAAATCCCGACGGTACTCTCTTTTAGGACGTGCTGTTGTCATGATCCTCGTACCGTAATCAAGGGGCCTCCCAAATCGGAAGTTGTGGAGCACTTTGTGCGAGATGCCAATCCAGTCGGCCATCTTCATAAAAACGATGTCCGTAGATGTAGGTGGCCAACCCAATCACGAAGTTCAATATGGTCCTAATGCAGAGACACGTAGACCGTCAAGGTCGAGCATACCTAGGTGGTGTGTGTGCTTATGTGCTTATGTGTGAGAGGTGTCTGTCCGTCCACGCAGCTAGCTGCAGAGATGTCGTGTACTGAATCGTCACCAGTTGTGTCACTCACAAAAGACCTCTTGTACACCCATTATCTGGTGTGTCAATGTGATGCACATCTTGCAGCTTTATCGGCCGCAGGGACTTGGCCGTTTGGCTCTCGTGTTTCGAGCAGAAGATGTCCATGGATTGTGGTTACCTTGCCCGCAGCGGTGGGAGAGGAAGGGTCGTCCTCTTCCGATCCCTATTACTGTCTGCAGGTTTTCAGCTGGTACTTTCGTCCTCCTAATTTTTGTGCAACTATTTCAATGCAGCTTATTGATGCCCCGAGGTCGCTCAAGAGACGTACCAATTGGAGACCAAGAGGTGGTACAGAAGGATGGCTCCGGTTGCACCTGCCCTCACACCTGCAGCTTGCACCGACCCACTTGCATCACTCAATTGGGAACCGGGCAAACCTTGAGCAGCTTAGTTCCTCGTGTTAGCACCTCTCAGGCCCATCCCCACCAGGGACGGGCCTCCCACTCCACTGTAACCGAACTCTAGCTGGCTGCTGGGGCTTGGGAACTACAGCCTGGCTCACAGTCGGCCCAAGTTGGTGCGGGTGACATTGACGACATTCCGCCAACGGAGCGCCCACACATCTAGCAGTGTAACATCCATATCAATGTCGGGTAATTGCAAGGCGGGCGGACTGGTTGAATGGATGAGGACAGCCGATCCCAATGCATATATTCTGGTTGTATTACAGGGATATGGCCGCAACATTGTCAAAGCCGACCGGCCACATCAATCACGGGGGGTGTTGGTCAAGGTTGCGGGTTTCGAAGCAGCGCCAGTCAATAAAGATTTGCAGCGTTGTTGGTTGAAAGAGTGGCGATGATGCAGAGACATTTGTGGAATTTTGAAATCATTGGCCAGCATATTGCTGGATCGTCTATAGAAATATGGCGGTACCTCTATGGCTATGTGGTCTTGTGAAATCCGCCTGTACACACAGTATGAATCAATCACCCTAGCCCACAGACCCAACTAGTACGAACATGCATGGCAATCACCAACCAACAACAGGACTCGACCATTCAGAATGACTTTGATGCCGCTCCAGCCTGCATGTCTAGGAACAAGCCGCCTTAGTGGAGGTAAGCAGGTTGCTGCCTGCCTGCCCGCCAACTGTCACTTGTCGTTCCAAAGCTCGGCGGCTGCAGTGAGGCTGAAGTAGCGAATAGGCCACCACCAGCTAGCCGCCAACCTGCACCTGCCTGCACCTGCCTCCCTCCTGCCTGACCTACTTGTGTCCTTCCTCCTCGCACCTTCTCACTGTTTCTCAACTTTTCCATTTCACCAAACACTCTTCCTACAAAATCTTCAACTCTCGCCACCTGATTAAAACTTCCCTAGGTACCTACTCTCCAGCACTGCTCTTCACCCCCTCCAATATCGAACAACATTTGCTCTGGCCGAGCAGCCTAGAAGAATAGTTCTCCGTCCTTGCCTTATTATTCTACCCTACTTCTCATCAAATTGGGTTATCTCGCTCAGGTGGATTTTACACACTCAACCTTCTAAGGCCTCAACTCACAGTTTTGAGCGTTATTACCCTGTGCTGTCTATCTCTACCAGGTATGTTTCGTGAATGTATAGTGCCTATTTCACGTGTTTCTCTATGAACTCACCAAATAAATAGCATTTGGATTTGCGACCACTCTTCTGGGTGTTATCGTTAAAGTCCAGAGGCAGAAAGAGATGCAAGCTCGCACTGCGACAAGTTACAACTTACAACCCGAACTTCTTTTCTTGTCCGTGATTATTTTGGCCGCGATCCTTCCTATGCCCGGTAGTAATACTAGGTAGGTAGGCCCAAGATGGATCAGGCAGAGGGTCAAACTACGCGTCACAGCGAAGCAAAGCCTTCCCGACAGGGAGAGGACCTGTGTCACCGATTGTCAGAAGCCAACAAAGTGGCCCATGCTGCTAAGAAAGGCACCTCGAAGAATACGCCTTCATGCGATGGCCGAAGCAACCAAAACGGCACAATTCAGAAGACACCTAAGAAGGTTGCAATCACTACGGACGGACTAAGTGGCGCCAAGGAAGACTCTGATGAATCATCATCGGATGAAGACCTCAATCTTGATGAAGATTCTAGTTCTGATTCTGAAGATGGTGAAGAAAACTCAGTTAAGTCCAAAAGTATGAAGTCCACCAAGTCCTCTAGGCCAAGGAAAAAGAATCGCGATAGACCTAAAAAATCCCGGTCAAAAGCGAAAAGGTCTGCTAAAAAGAAGTATCCAGCTTCGGACTCAGATTCATCGGAATCCTCGGACACCGAATCTGATGAAGGAAGCGATGGAGGACCAAGTGACAAGGCAGATGAATTCAATCTCAAGCAAGAACTCCTTGCTCTGAAGACCCAAATCGCGCTCCTTACCGACCAGCAAGCCTCCCTTCACGGAGGCTTCGGGCATCCCACCAACACCTCATCAAATCCTTATATGACCACCATGCCCGGTGCACCTATGTTGCTGAACAGCCTTCCTACAAGGCCTTCATTAGACCTCTCGGATCTTACTTCCCAAGCAACCAATCGAGGAAAGAAACCGGTCGATCTCGACACTCTTTTGGGGCAGGCTCACATGCGCAAACTGTTGGGCGCCAACGGCTCCGACACCCAGAGAGTCCGGGCAGCCAGTACTGAGAAAATGAAGAAGAAAACGACGATGCGCGCGGAATTCAAGAGAGTTGATTGGGTCTGGGACACCTCGTCCTACCAGTTTAGGCTCCAAGACAGCGCTGAAGTTACGACCGATGCTCAATATGATGAATTTGTTTTTCATGTTCGGCGAATGTTTGATGTGGAAGGCAAGTACAGGAAGACCTGTGTTGACATCAAATCCAAACTCCTACGAGAGTGTTTACACGATGTTATCGGCAATATTCAAGGTGTAAGTCTAGTGGATGAGACGCCGAAGCTGGATCCGAATCTCCTTTTCCTGTAAGTGAAAATCGCCCAGATGTTGAATCACGACGACAGCCCCTCCCCAACTCTTTCCCTTGGTGTTTTGTTTTTAACAACTTTAAGGTATCTTGACGAGCTTCGCGTTCATTTGAAGGCCTTGAAGGATCTAGAGCCAGCTGGAGACACTAAGAAGGTGCGCCAGAAGAATCAAAAACGCCTTGACGACAAGCGGAAACATCTCAAGGTCCTTATCAAGTATCTTGACCATGACTATGCCAGTTTGAAAGCCAGCTTGATTCCGATGCTTCAGAATGGGCTCATAACATTTGAGCTCCTGTGGGCTCTGTGGAAGCCGGGCACGCTTGCCTACAGCCCGACATATGGTAACAGTGACATTCCTCGCGTGTTCAGAGTCGAGGCATCTGAGCGTCATAATTCCCTGACAAAAGGCGAATTTTACTTCATTGACGGCAAGTATTTTGAGTACGACGGAAAACGGTTTGGACTGGGGAACGTATCCGAGGATGTCTTGGAGTTCACTGGAGCTCGGAAGATTACATCTCTCCCATGCTATCCCCTCGCATACTGCGCCAATGAAGTCGCGATTCGGAAAGAGCTTGTCGAGCGTGGAAAGAAATTCGTTGCTCTCAGTGGCATGCACTATCGAGGGTACAATGGAATGGCCTACTTAAAACGCAAAAAGGGGACCGTCCGCTTCAACATTCAGAACAGTCGCATCATGATCGACCCGGCCACCTTTCGGCGCATCAACCCTAACTACTATGTGTCTCACGTGCGACCTCAAGACCACGACATTATCAGCTCCGGTGCCTCAGAGGAAGATGATGACGAGGGTCATGGGTGCAACGACGGTGATTCTTCTGAAAACGGCGACAGCCAAATCAGACATATTACCAAGGTGGTTAAAGACAAAAATGGAGACATTCACATGGTCAGGATGGACAAATCTTCGCTTCCAGGGAAGAGAAGGGAACAAAACCTAGAGGACATACCCGCCAAGAGCGGCGATTCCAAGGACAACGATCATCAGAACAGCACTGCAAGTGAGCCAGCGGAGAAAGCCTCAACAAGCAAGATCGAGGACAAATCCTCGAGCGAGATGCCCAGTAATGTTGAAGATGAGGAAAGTAAAGACCAGGCAGAAACACCCAATGTTACGTTTACGGATGAAGAGTATCTCATTGCCTCTCCACTGGTTTTGGGCTTCTCTTTTGCCGAGAAGCAATGGCTCGAATTCTCAGTTGCGGACGTTCGGGATATACAGTGGAACGACCAAGCGTGGGAGTCACTCGTCCTGGATCCGGAGACGAAGGATCTAATTCGAGCCCTTGTGGAGTCGCGCAAGTTCAACGCGGCAACGAAGATTGATGATGTTATTCAGGGAAAGGGAAAAGGTCTCGTCAGTACGTATGCCATTGGAAGTTGGGATTTCCCGATCCTCTTCTGCGTTCGTTTCCGTGTTTGAGAGAACTGGCCGGTGTTCTGACAATAAGTTCTAGCTGTACTTCACGGTCCACCTGGTGTCGGGAAAACATTAAGTAAGGGTCCCTCATCTTACCATGCATAAAAAAGCTTTCACTAACGGTATCGAACAGCTGCTGAGGGTATCAGCGAGCTTTTAAAGTGCCCTTTGTACATGGCCTCAGCAGGGGAGCTAGGGACTGACTCGAGGTTCCTTGAGCATGAATTGCAAAAGATCCTGGATATTTGTCACACATGGGGTGCAATTTTGCTCCTCGATGAAGCTGATGTCTTCTTGGAAAAGCGGAATATGCAGGATATTCACCGGAACGCTCTTGTGAGCATCTTCCTGCGTCAACTCGAGTACTTCCAAGGCATTCTTTTCCTGACAACCAATCGAGTTGAGGTAAGTACCGCATGGCATGAACCAAGGCATGGTGCTAACATTGTCTCAGACATTTGACGAGGCCTTTCAATCTCGAATCCACATTGCTCTTCGATATGAAAAGCTTGATGTGAAAGCAAAGAAGGCTGTTTTCAAACTGTTCATTGGTCGTGTTCAAGAACATGGGCGGATTGCCATGAAGCCTCTCGAGGATCATGAACTCAACACGCTGGCAAAACACGACCTGAACGGCCGAGAAATCAAGAATGTCGTGGGCTCAGCTCAGGACTTGGCTGCGAATCGCGGCGAAGCACTCAGCATGAAGCATATCAACCAGGTGCTTGAAGTCCATGCCAAGTTTGGTAGAGATCTGAAAGGAGGGACAGGGTTTGAGGACGCGATGAGAAGCTATTTCTAAGCGATTGGTCTACGCTTTGCCAGCCATTCTACGCTCATACGGACTGAACAGGCTACGCTGAAAAGCGCCATGAATAGGAGACTCAGTGGCAGCAATGAAGATATCAATACACACCGCCTTCGGGAACAGAGAGACATGGGTCGACGGGGCTGGGAAGTTGGAGGAGATTTGAGGAGGGAAAACAAGCTTTGCAAGCCGCAATGATCGTCAGCGTAAGGTCGGGTCTACCGAATCGTGGGACCACCTGAAGCCAGTAGTACTGTGCTGGCTTTTCGCGGAACGTGCCTAGCTTCATGGGTTGCTGAGAAGCCGCCTCGTACTCTGTAATTTGAGGAGCTGGGCGTGCAAGGGCCAATTATGGTGGGACTGAAAGGGGTTGCTTGGGAAATTTCGCGGGTGGCAGTGCAGGCGAGACATTGGCGAAGTTGTAAATCCGCGGCCAGGCCTCGATGGTACAATCTGTGTATGTAGGCACAAAACCAGAATGAGTTGCCCATACTGACATGCGCATAGAATTCACATGCAGTCTAGCTCATTGACTCGGTGTTCTTTCCCTCAAAAATGCTATTTTTGTCGTGCAAAACTCATTGTTCTGGCGGAGTGGGCTTCGAGAATCCGTCCGCCGAGCTGACGTGGGACGTGCCGTAATTCTCCTTTGTGTCCCTTTCGAGGTACGTACATGTGATGAGCTACGCAACCACCAGCAGTTATGCAGCCACCTTCCCACATCGAATAGCAGGTTGACACACACACACACAGACCACCAGCCGACCGTCTGTCTCTGGTTCAGGCTGCCTTGGCGGGAGGACCCCTGTGCATGTAATATGGAAGCTCCAGGAATTGCAGGGGTTCCTCACATCGGCAGATTCTCGATCAGTGTGCAAACCAACAGACCCAATGAGGGCCAATTTCCTGGGGCATGCACCATGCGACGCCTCTTTTCTGGCCCGGTGTTGTTGTTATTATTACACCTCATTCCAGACCATGCCCCATTACCATCACCACCAGCTCCTCTTCCGCCGGAATGGACAAGCGAAGGATTTTTTCAGGATGGCATCCATCACGAGGGCCTTTTCCTCTCTCAAGAAGGTCGCGCGTTTCACCTACTTAGAAGCGACCCTCACCACCTATAGAATTTTCACCCGAGTGAGAGGTTTTTCTCTCGTTCTCCAACATCATCGTGGCGAACTATGGTTGGCCAATGTGTACGCAAGCCCGAGGGAATTGCGTGGAAACGGTGTCAAATACACACTACCTCCCGTTCCTCACACAGTGAAAGATCAACTACTTTGCTTTTCCAGCCGGCCTACAGCGGGTCGGCGACAGGCCCTTGAAGCTATTAGTAGGGGATGATTCTCAGGCACAGTCAGGAGGAGATCCATCCCTACTCTTACTCCGAACGGACTAGTCAGCAACCGTGGATATTGTGGCAACCACTACGTTGGGAAAACATGGCATGGCCCCATTTGCTAGAGGGCTCAAGCCAATGAGGCCACGCATGTTCCTGGTCGATCCGTCCAGCTGCTGGTGTGGATATGGTCTAGTGCCCCTGGATTTGTCCCCAATTTTACGGCCCTCTCATGCTTCCATCCGGGACCAGGCCCATCCCTGCCCTGCCATGTATACACGACACGACTCTCCAGCCCACCTACACCACATGTAGCGCTTGGTATGGAGAGGTAGTCATGTATTACTAGTACGACTCTGTCTGGGCCGTGGTGGGTGGGCCAAGACGCATTACTCGTACCCCCAGCCATTCTCTTGCCCGATTGGTGTACCGAGATGCATACTAACATGCCTCCCCTGTTTTCATTTTATTCCCTTCCCCCTTGGCTCTCTCGCTCGATCTCTTTATCAGTCGGCTGCCTGCTCATCATTTCCATTCCTTCAACTTGTCAATTCACCTTGGGATAGCCCTTACACTCCTTGATCAGCATACGCTAGACGTTGCAACACGCTCTTTACACTACGATTTTGGATATCCCCTGTCTTATTACACAAACCACAAGTTCAACAACTAGATCAACTGGTAACACTATGAAGTTCTCCGCCTCCACCATCCTCCTGGCCGCCGCCCTGGGCGTGTCTGCCCATCCCCACGGCGCTGTCCACAACCATGTTCACCGCGATACCAACCTCGAAGTCCGCGACCAGTTTGTCAAGAACGTTAAGCCCACCTCGACCGTCTTCAAGACTGTTACTGTTCCAGCTGTGAACGCTCTTCAGGCACCAACCAGCTCAAGCTCCGCTGATGTTGCCATCGCCGCCAAGACCTCCTCCTCCTCGGCTGCCGCAACGACCACTGCCAGCAGTGGTACTATTGGCGGCAGTGGCAGCTGGACGGATGATTTCTGCACCGGAACCAGCAAGCGTGGTTCCGTAGCCGACAACGCCTATTCTGGAAACACTGGCAGCACCACGTACGGTTGCAACCTCAAGTTTGTTGAGGAGAGCGCCGCCAAGAACTATCAGTACATTACTGTCCTTGAGAACGCCGCCAGCGAGAAGCAAGTTTGTGCATGCTTCCTGAAGGCCGGGGCTGATGGCAATCCCTTCGGGGGATTCTGGAAGGGTAAACAAGCGCTTGACTTTGAGCTCGCCCCTGGTGCCAAGAAGTATCTGGCTGTCCAGGCTGCCACTATCGGTGGCTGCTCTTGCGGCGTCGGTTCCCTCCCTACTACTAATCTTGGCCAGATCGCTGGTACGTGGTTGGAGTTGGAGTACGGCAGCAGTAACAATCCTGGTTTCTCCGGTGCCGATGCCTCTTCGCTGGTTCCCGAGGATTACGGCCTACCCTTCCAGGGCTTGACCATCACCAGTGAGACCCCTGAACTTGTCTCAGGTTACGAGAAGAAGTCGGTCATCTACCCTAACGGTGACGGCTGTAACGCTTTCCCCAAGGGTACCAATGCCAAGGATGGCTTTGGCTTCAACATTGGCAACACACAGAAGGGCGGTGATGCTATCCGTCTGCATGCTAAGTGGGGAACCACTGGCACTCTGGCCGACTGCCCCAATGTCACTGAGGGCAAAGACAATCTCGCGAAGAGCTGGCGCCAGACCCGTGCTTAGGTTGACTGAGCCTCGCTGTGTTACCCAAATATTCTTTTTTTGTTTCTTCTGGACTGCAAAATGCCAGTCCAGAAAAGGAGGCGTGTTCGGCTATGGCCTTATATATATAACAATTCGCATATTTAGTTGGATGGCATTTATATTGGATTTAATATGATTTACATTGCTCTACTACATCTTTATCTCAATTCGTGTGAATACATAACTATGTGCAAAGAATTCCTCCAACAGCTACGTAGCACAACTACGTTGCCCGATGCAGCTGTCTACGACAACGTCGGGTTGAGCGATGGAACTGAAGACCCCGAATTGCCGCGCGATTTTGGTCGAGGCAACAATGGACAATGTTTGGGTCCGGTGCACCAGAAGCATACTCAATTCCGGTCAAGAACCGGCTCAACGGTCACTGGTGTATTGTTCCGGGACCTGTGTGGCGTGAACGTTCAAGCTAGTTTTCAACTTGACGGCGGATTGTTCTCCTCCCATAGCGTTATGGATCGTGACAGCACCATGCGGAGTGTTCCGCTCGAAAGGCTTGTAAGTGAACAAGAACAAACTCTTCACGCAGATTTTTCATGTACGTCTTTACATCTTCAAATTCTACTCGGCTTCTCATGGTTCCAAACCCACCCACCGTATGGAGACCGGGAGACTCCGAGGAAACTAGACTAGAGATCTTCGACCAGGCGGATACACCAGCCAGACCAAAAAGATCGCAAGAAAAAATAGTGAACGCACATGCATATCAAGCGTACGACTGAAGCCCTCACAGTGCGGATCGATCCCTCAAGTTCAACGACGTCGCAACAGAAGATGCCAAGAATGTGTTGGTTGTTGGTCGGGTCGCTCCCACGGGGGCCAATCGTCGGTACGTGCAACCGAACCATTGGGCTGGTAGAAGGGGCACTAAAAGCTGCAATGCATGTCGGGACACATGGCAAAAAACTTGTTGGTTCGCTCAACTACTATTTTTTTTAGGATGTTTCAAGTTTGAGCAAACTAGGCAAGCTGCTCCACTGAGAAGCCACCGACGAGCAAAGACTTGTCATTAGGCACCGAAATGCGCGTTTTTCTTGTCTTACCCTGAAGAGGCACTTGAGAGGTCCCGAGGCCGAGGGCGGAGTCTTGCACATGCGTCCGATGGCAGCCTGGGATATTCGATGGGATTCGATCATCCATCGCATTTTTGACAGATGCTTTAGTCCATCATGACATTCTGCGTATTAGAATTTGTAGTCATTGTATAGATAGTAATTTTTGGTCAGGACGTGGGCTGACTTGCTTCTAAAATGTGTAAATGTGGTAAGGGTACCGGACAAACTCTTTCCCGAGCATAACCACCAAATCGCACAAACCGATCACAAGTGCGGTGTTGGCTATCGTCACAGTTGCGCTACTCATGAATAGACCCAACGGCACTTCTAGGAGAGACGTCGTAGGAAGCTACGGATACCCCGAGTCTGAAGGCCCTTGCTTGTGTGCTCTCTCGATCTTGCTAGGTAGCTGGCTTATCACGGCAATGACGCTGAGTCACAGTTTACTCTCGAGTTCAAGTTCCAGTGCCAGCTCGGTCATGAGTTCAAGTAAGAGTTTAAGCTGGGTTTGATGTTATTTCGGGAGAAAAATAAAACAATCAGAGAATTATTAGAAGTTCCCCGCAACAGTTGGTGTTGCTGGAATATGGCTAGCTCGGACCAGGCCACTGAGACTGGCGATGCACTGCCTTTGCACACTCGAACCGTTGAGGCGGCTCGAGAATGCTTCGAGCTGGGCAATTCTTTGATCCCCGAGATAAACCTCCTGGTATCACGGCTCGAGAAAACTCATAGGCCGTCAACACTTGCGGGTCTAATCACTTGGGTACGGGGCCTTCAGAAAGACCAGAGGTCTCTGCAACGACTTGTGGATGATGAACTCGGCAGCGCAACTGCACTTCCCGAGACTCAGTTGAAAGCGATAGCCAATAAGATACAGGCCAATGTGATTGATGTCAAGCATGCGCATCTCAAATGGTCCATCCTAAAACGCTGCCATTCCTTCCAAGCGTTGAACCAGACATTCCTTTCATCTACCAAGGAGTCGCGGCGAGAGGTGGTGTCCTCCCAAGAATCCATCTCAGGTCGAGAGAAGCAACTCCTTCACCGCACGCTGAAAGAACAGAGCCGTGTTGAAGTGGACGTTGTTGAGCGAGGATCGGAGTGGATCGACATCAAATCTATTAGTCTGGACCGCCTGGCTCGTCAAATGACAGACTCTGGTTGGGGATGGGGAGACCATGAACTTGGAGATGTTCTGGATGAAGAGGACTGGGGTGAAGTGCCCCTTGCCAAGCAGATTAAGCGGCTTGTCGAGGCAGCAAAGCGGAACAGGCACGAGTATCGGATTCCCAGAGTCAGGGTTGTGCTGCCTAGAATACAGGCGGATGCAAACAATGACGTCGCGGTGTTTATAAACCAGCTTCGAAACATTGATTCTCAGGTTGAAGTCATCATCAATGACAGCCAGAGTGATTTTCTCACCAGTGAGCCTCCCCAGCTCGAGTCTGCCATTGAGAATCTCGCGGGAGATGAACTCGCCGGCCTGACACCGATTCTCAACATGGATCACACCATCCTTATAGATCTCATCTCCGACATCACTCATTATAACCTTGAGCCCCAGCCCTGGCAAGCATCGACGACTCAGGCCCAGATCAAGGAAGAGAATCGCCATCCAGATGGGCTTATGGCGCCCACTCTGTATCCATTGCTGCGAGGTCGTAAGCTCATCTGTACCAAGGAAGCAGCTGAGCACTTCCATGAAGTTCTGAGCACCGTCGGTACAAACACCGAAAGACAGCGTGGACACCTCCTCGTACCCAGGGACCCCGAGACACTCGCCCTGTCACCTTCTGACATCCACGCCAAGTTCTCCTCCCTTTCCGTCCGCTCACCTCCTGCCGATCTGCAAATTCCAGTCACAATCCTGTCTGACCCCACTGATTTTCAAGCTGCCGTAAAGGACGGTAGGCTTCCCGAGGTGGCGCTCGACGTTGCTCGCTGCGGCGGGTTCAAGAGTTCCAAGCTGTCCATTTACATGCACGGGTGGGCGGAGGGTATTACGACCATCACGAGTAACAAGGAGATCAGGGGTCACATACGCACGTGGGTTGAGGCGCACCGGCGGACCGAGGACGAGGTTGGACCGAGCATTTATAGGGTCGATGTGACTCGGAACCTGCTCGCTAAGGCCGCTACGCCTCCGGATAGCTGGCCTGATGGGGGTTATGAGAATGGAGATGATGGAAGTAACTGAGGAAGCAACTGAATTTATGAGCGGATACTATTGACGGCATTATGGTGTGCCAGTGAACTATGGAGTTGTGGAATTAACGGCCAACCAGACCTCAATGGTTCGAGACACTGACCACATTGATCGGATCTATCTTATGAACCTGAAATTGTTACAGACCCCAACATTCTGCCCACAAATACCTTTCATTCAGCCTCGCGTTAGTTATTTTGGGTATAGACCTCTACCGTTCCCAAACTAGTCTTTCGTCGGAACAGCCGAACAGGCAAGATCGACTTTCACGCTGGGAGTCGCGGCCGTGGTCGTGGCGGTGTACCGAATGGGAGCAAAGTAGTATATGACCCCCGTGGACCACTCGAGCGCGCACTCGCCGTAGTCCACCGTGCTCGTGGACGTCACGGTGGAAGGGTAGAAGGTCCAGGTTGAGTTGGCAACCACGGCGTCGAGCGCCGTCGCGGAGGTGCACTCTGGCTTGTCGATGCCGGGCGGGGTGACGGTGGTAGGGCCCTCGGGCTCTGTATAGTCGGGCTCGAAGTATGAGATGGGTTTCACGTTTTCATCTAGGGAGGCCTTGGAAGTGATGGTGGGGGACGGTGGGCCGCGGCGGTTCTTGAGAGGGTGTATCTCGGTTTTGAACGTTGTTGACGGGGCGGGGACCGAGCCGCACTCATATTCGGTTGTGACTAACGGGGTGCTGGCGGTCGTGGTTGCGTTGAAGAGCACAACCGGGGGGATACCGAGGGGCACGATCATCGGGACGACGTCTTCGCAGATGCCACAGTCGACGGTGCTCGTGTGGGTAGTGGTAGTCGTGAATATAGTCCTGGTAGGCCCAAAGGTGAATTTCGGCAGGATGGGTAGGACGCTCTGGCATTGAGACGGCTGTAGCTTCTCAACTTGGCCTTTCTTCTCTTGTAGCTCCTCGAGCGCGGCTGGGTCCGAGGCGCGGGCGAGGGAAGCCAGCAGGAGGCTGGCGATGAGAGACTTGGCCATTTCTTCAGTATCGATGATTTCCAGGTAGGTGAGGGATTCTCGATGATATCTTGGACTATGAGGGGGGTCAACGAGGACGAGATGTAACGAGGATGGGTAGAGGAAGTTGAAGGGATGGGGGGGTTCGACGGCAGGAATGTCATGATGGATTCTGTGATTCACTTGGTCGCCTGATGAACGGAAGACATATGGAACAGCGAAAGAATGTGGCTTTATTTACTTTTTTGGTTTGGTGGTCATAAGTTGCCCGAGACATAGGCACCTCATTGTGAGTCAAAACGTGGAGGGCGAGGCGGAAAGTTTTGGGGTTTTACGCTCACAGTAGACCAATGACAGTAGGTGGCAAAAACATGTCTTTTAAGTAGGGGTTCAATCGTTGATATTCTCTTATCCCTAAAGTAATGTAGCTAGATTAAAAGGTTAGATGGCATTGGCTAATATAAAGTGATGGACAGGAGAAATGGGACATCCATTGGAGTAGACGACTTCCTATGATGAATAGAAAAAGCTCAGGAGTATGTATGAGATGGAATAAAGTAGAAATTTACGTAGGTATGATATGTTATCTCGTAAGTAAATGTTAATAATTCTAAATAACATGATAAAACTCTTCGCGGACTCAAAAATAAACAACTTGATGTTTGGGTGTCTCAATTTCAGTGTCACCCACTTCATGTTATTCACGGACTGTTATCAAGGCTGCGATGCACACTCAGCCACAGCCGGCGGGGACGAAACTGGATTCATGGCAAGACGATGCAGATGATAGTCTGAAATGCCAATGATAGGTATTTCTAGTGGTAGGGCGCTGGTCCTCTAAGTTTTTGTAGTGTTTGATGTGAATGTAGGGGGAAGAGTGCTGTGGCATAGTCTCGAATCCTTGCTTGCCCGACGAGAAGATATTTTCTGCCTGCTGCCTACCGTAGATCGCGAATCAATTATACATTGCTTCCTCAGCCAGCTATGCCTAGTTCTTGAAGAACTAACTAAGGTTTAGTCTCAACATGTAAGTGGAGGGGTTACTGGGAGCTGATGTCATCTAGGGCTACATCTTACGACGACATAGTGTATGTACATTGTCGAAAACTCATGAAGTGGGATGAGATGACTTGGATATCTGGGATTTCATGGCTACTCGTTGACGGCTACAGAAAAGTGATCCTGTAGCAAGTGTAAGTGTCTGAAGTGGCTCGTTCATCAGAGTCTTTGTTACAAACGGTCCTTGAGGGAGGTATGTAGCCACAATACCTCCCCTACTTGGTCATAGCAAGGACTACACCAAGTGACAAAGGTATTGCTTACGGAGGGACTTGGAGGGCACATTCCCTGAGTGTGGCATGTGCTCACTTTACAATTACAGTTTAGTCTCCCAGCTATCACTATTACATATCTTGGCCCTCCTCTTTTCTATCGTGTGTGCACATGAAGAAGGGCTAAGGTGATGCAAGTCATGGGAAATACCTAGATGTCGGTGAGCCCCCTGCCTGAGGCGGTCGATTCTGGGGCCCCGCGAAGTTAGAGGCAGGGGGATGCTGAGCAAATCTGTGGCGGGGAAGGCCTGTCTGCGGTAGAAGATATCGCGAAATCAATCGAGGGCCGAGCGAGGGTGGGATTCAGATTCGATGATATTGCCGCCATGATCAAATAAAAAATGTCTGCTTGTGTGCTGCCACTGGACACGGCGATGGCTGCATGTGCTGCTCTCTGTGCTGTTATTCGGTCGGCTGGGCTGGGATATGGGCCACTCACAGACGAGCGTGCTGACAACGTGGCTGGAGGTATAATTGCTTAGACGGCGGGCTGGATTGGTTTCAGCTTTTGCTAAGCAAATCCAATGCTAACGAGCTGGTAGGCTGCTGGTGCTGCAGTGCGGCAAATCCACTCCCAACTGTGGCCCAACCTGGCCTCCACCCCACCTCAGGTTGGTGGTTGGAGGGGTAGATGGACCTCATTTTACTGAGAGGCAAGCTCGCAACCGTTGCTGGGCCAGTGTGAACAATGCCGAGGGAGAGATTTGCCAGATGGACGAGAAGAAACTAGATTGATGGAGGTAGGGATGCGATGCAAGATGTAACCTCTGCTGCCCCATCCACGCATCCTGCAATGCAGACCAGGCCAGCCGTCCAGCGGCATGATGATGCCCGACCAACCTCGACATCCCGGGCTCCATCTAAAAGGACCCTGGGCAAAGACAGCACAAACCTTGCTTTTTGGGGCTGAAGGTAAAAAAATTAGGGGGCAAAATGGCAGTAAGAGGCGGTCCTCCCGCTCTATCTCACATGCTGACTACAGCTGGAGCTCGATGAAGGACGATGGATCATAGATCAGCTTGGAGGGGCAAGGCTCACCTCCGTAGAATCAGCTAGCTTAGTTGCTTGGGCCAACCCGCCAAAATCCGGCACAAAGCAGGCTGGGCCAGCGTTTCTGGTTGCCGCTGGATGGAGCCAAGGAGAAAAAAAATCTGCGCTGTTGCCAGAGGCATCTGGCTTCCGCCCTGCATGAACCGGCCTCACCGCTTTTGCCATCACCCCGTTGGGCCTAGCGCGTGCTGATAAGACGATAAGCCTGAGAAGATAGCCGCCAATGGAGGGGCACTGCCCGTAAGAAAAGTGCGGACCACGGCCCTTTGGTGGTGGGTGGCACCCTGGTTGGCCACTGTGGAGGGGAGCGAAAAAAAAAAAGTTGTGGTGGGAGGCGAGGCACATAAAACTTATCTGCCCGTAGCCCTCCACCCAGGCACTTTTTTTCTCTTTTCCACCTCCCCATCCTCCCTCCCCCTTTCCCATCCTAATCAATCATCGACTTGGTCGTCATCCTCCAGGCGAACCTTCTCGTGGGATTCGAAAGTGTATCATTCTCTTCTTTCTTCCTGGTCGTTGTTCTCGGATTCACTTCCCAGAAACAACCCCGCCACCTCCACCAAAAGGCCACGATAGAACAGAGTCGACTCCTCCATCGTCTCTGTGGGCTTCGCTTGATCCTTTAGACGTTTATTCGTTCTAGGATCTCATTCTTATCTTAATCTCCCGGTCGAACCGTATACCGAAAAAAATAAAAAACCGACAAGATGCCTTCCGAGAACGCTGGTTCCGTCAAGGTCCTTGAGGAGCTCTTCCAGAAGCTCAACGTCTCCAAGGAGGCTTCCGACATCAAGGAGGCTTCTACCGAGATCGCTTCTTTCATCAACGGTCGTATTGAGGACCAGGCCGTCCCCAGCACGTAAGTCTTTTTCCCACCATTTCGATCATCTCCAGGGCTTTGAGAATTTTCTTTTCTATTTGCCTTTTTCCAAGCCCTGGCTATATGGACGCAATCCCTGCAATTTCTGGCAATGTTGAGCTTGCATTGGCCTTGCGCCGCGGCGCTGATTTCCCCTGTCGATATCAGCCCCTCACCATATGCCAGATTAGCACCCGCAAATTTTTTTTTTTGGAGGGGTAGCATTAGTACTGACAGAGTGGGTATTCTAGTTTCGTTGCAAGCCTCCAGAAGTCCCTCTCCAACAAGAAGGATGCTCTCGCCCGTGAGAAGGCTGCCATCGCCATTGAGCAGATTGCCTCCCACGCCGAGGTCTCTGCTTCTGTCGAGCCCTACCTCGTTGTCCTTCTTCCCGCTGCCCTTGCCGCTGTTGGCGACAAGATCACTGCCGTGAAGAATGCCGGCCAGGCTGCCGTCCTCGCCATTGCTGGCGCCATCAACGGCAACGCCTCCAAGGCTGCCCTCCCTCACATCATGGAGTCTCTCCGCAATGCCCAGAAGTGGCCTGAGAAGATGGCTGCTCTTGACTTCATTGATGCCCTCGTCAAGTCCGCCCCTGCTCAGCTCGCTGCCCGTGTCCCCGAACTGATCCCCGTCATCTCTGAGGCTATGTGGGATACCAAGAAGGAGGTCAAGGAGCGTGCCTACAAGACCATGGAGTCGCTCTGCCAGCTCATCGTCAACAGGGATATTGAGCGTTTCATTCCCGAGCTTATCAAGTGTATTGCTAAGCCTGAGAACGTCCCCGAGACCGTCCATCTGCTCGGTGCCACCACCTTCGTTACCGAGGTCCAGGAGCCCACTCTTGCCCTCATGGTTCCTCTTCTGGACCGTGGTCTTGCTGAGCGTGAGACCGCCATCAAGCGAAAGGCTGCTGTCATTGTTGACAACATGTGCAAGCTGGTCGACGACCCCAACATTGTCGCTCCTTTCTTGCCCAAGATGATGCCAGGTCTTACCAAGAACTTCGAAAACTTGGCTGACCCCGAGGCCCGTGAGAAGACCAAGCAGGCTCTCGACACCCTCACCCGTGTCGGTAACATCAAGGATGGTGTCATCCCTGAGGCCCGCAACGACGGTGACCAGAAGGTTGTCCTTGCCAAGCTCAAGGAGATCCTTGCCCCCAAGTACGCCAACTACCTCGAGAAGATGGGCCCCGTTGCCGAGTACATTGCTGCCATTGCTGGTCAGATCGTCGACGAGAAGGAGAAGGAGCCCATTGTCTGGGTCGATACCCTCAAGCCTTACGTCGCTGTCATCACTGGCATCGACAACTCCGAGAGCGTCATCGAGACTCTCCGCAAGAAGGCCTCCCCCGGCGCCCAGGCCGAGGATGAGGTTGAGCCCGATGAGGAGGAGGGTGAGGATCTGTGCAACTGCACCTTCTCCCTTGCCTACGGTGCCAAGATTCTGCTGAACCAGACCCATCTCCGTCTCAAGCGTGGCCAGCGCTACGGTCTTTGCGGTCCCAACGGTTCCGGAAAGTCTACTCTGATGCGTGCCATCAACAACGAGCAGGTCGAGGGTTTCCCCAAGCAGAGCGAAGTCAAGACTGTCTTCGTCGAGCACGACCTGGACTCTGCTGATACCGAGATGACCACCATCGAGTGGACCATGAAGAAGCTCGAGGAGGCTGGTGTCACCACCACCCAGGACGACGTCGTCAAGCAGCTTACCGATTTCGGCTTCACCGAGCAGATGATCACTGGCGAGATTTCCGCTCTTTCCGGTGGTTGGAAGATGAAGCTCGCTTTGTGCCGTGCCGTCTTCGAGGCTCCTGATATCCTGCTTCTGGACGAGCCTACCAACCATTTGGACGTGAAGAACGTCAAGTGGCTCGAGGACTACCTCATCAACTCCCCTTGCACCTCCATCATCGTCTCCCACGACTCTAGCTTCCTCGACAACGTCTGCCAGCACATCGTCCACTACGAGCGCTTCAAGCTCAAGCGTTACAAGGGTAACCTGGCTGAGTTCGTCAAGCGTGTTCCTTCCGCTAGGTCCTACTACGAGCTCGGTGCCTCCGAGATCGAGTTCTCCTTCCCTGAGCCCGGTTTCCTCGAGGGTGTCAAGACCAAGGCCAAGGCCATTCTCCGTGCCACCAAGATGTCCTTCCAGTACCCCGGTACCTCCAAGCCCCAGATCTCCGACATCACCTTCCAGTGCTCTCTCGGTTCCCGTATTGCCGTCATTGGTCCCAACGGTGCCGGTAAGAGTACTCTGATCAACGTTCTTACCGGTGAGCTCATCCCTACCCAGGGTGAGATCTACCAGCACGAGAACATCCGTATCGCCTACATCAAGCAGCACGCTTTCGCCCACATTGACAACCACTTGGACAGCACCCCCTCCGAGTACATCCAGTGGCGTTTCCAGACCGGTGAGGACCGTGAGACCATGGACCGTGCCAACAAGATCATCACCGAGGCCGATGAGAAGGCCATGGACAAGGTCTTCAAGATCGAGGGTACATCCCGTCGTGTCATTGGCATCAACGCCCGTAGAAAGTTCAAGAACTCTTACGAGTACGAGTGCTCTTTCGCCATTGGTGACAACATTGGCATGAAGAACGAGCGCTGGACCCCCATGATGTCTGCTGACAACGTCTGGCTGCCCCGTAACGAGCTGCTCGCCTCTCACCAGAAGATGGTCGCTGATGTCGATATGAAGGAGGCCCTCGCCTCTGGTCAGTTCCGTCCTCTGGTCCGTAAGGAGATTGAGTCTCACTGCGCCAACTTCGGTCTGGACGCCGAGCTCGTCTCTCACTCCCGCATGCGTGGTCTGTCTGGTGGCCAGCGTGTCAAGACTGTCCTTGCCGCTTGCTCGTGGCAGCGACCTCACTTGATCGTCCTTGACGAGCCTACCAACTATCTGGACCGTGACTCCCTCGGTGCCCTGTCCAAGGCCCTGAAGAAGTTCGAGGGTGGTGTCATCATCATCACTCACTCCGCCGAGTTCACCAAGGATCTTACTGAGGAAGTCTGGGCCGTCATGGACGGTAAGATGACTCCTTCCGGACACAACTGGGTGTCCGGCCAGGGCTCTGGCCCCCGTCTCAAGCAGGACGGTGATGACGAGGAGGAGAAGTTCGATGCCATGGGTAACAAGATTGTTACCACCAAGAAGAAGGCCAAGCTGTCCTCTTCCGAGGCCCGTAAGAAGAAGAAGGGTAAGTTGATATATCTATCATGTCTCGCCGTCTGGAATGCAAATGCTAACAATTCTTCACAGAGCGTATGGCCCGCCGCAAGCGTGGTGAGGAGGTGTTCAGTGATGAGGACGAGCTGTAAAGCAACATAAAAACGCACCTTATCATCACCCAACTAGAGAACACGACCATTTAACGACCCCCATCTTCCTTCTTACGATAACCCGATAACCACATTTTCCTTTGTCATCTAATGTGTGAGCAAAAAAGTCTGCACGAATGTTCTTTTGGTCAGGATTACAATTTTTGGACTTGAAATAGAGCGGGCTTTGGTCAAAAAGGGATAAGTGATGGGCTTGGATTGGAGGATCCCTGTTGATCACACCCGTACTGACTAGTGCTTCCTGGAGAGTAGAGTGGAATATAGAACCAAGAACCAGTTAAAAAAAGTATTATGATCAATTCATTTCCCCTGTGCTATGTGACGTTTTCTTTGTGGCTTGTGATATGGCAAATGGAAGTAATACCTGGTTTCGTGTAACCAGGCAAGTGGGTGAGAGGAGAGAGAAATAAGACACATTATGGGAAGAGTAGTTACAAATAAACTACTTTCTACGATGGATAGAGAAATTATAATAATACATGCAGTGTTCTCGTTGATTATGTATTATTAGCACGTAATATCTGATAACACCTTCGCAAACTCGAAAATGAGCAGCTTAATGTTTGAGTGCCTCAATTTTAATGCCACCCACTTGCGTGTAACTGTAGATAATATCAAAACCATACCACTTGCGGTAAATATTGAGCCTCTTCTTGTAGAACCAAGGGAAAGCTCCGATGGAAAGTGGACTCCGTGGGCTCTCTCGCTATCAGTATTACATGAGACTATTTGTACAACCTCTTGGCAGTCCTCGTATACTCACCCGAGGCCAAGATCTCAAAAAGCATCTCACGAACGAGAGAAAAAGTTGGTCCATGGGACTGGGACTGGGGCCAGGATGCCAGGTGGAGATTGGGAACCCAGCAAGAACAGGGGTGCCAACTTTCTCATGGTCCCCCTCTACGGGGCAAACGCGTCGGGATGGATGGTGGGAGACCCTGAAATGAACATTGGGTAGTTTCTCACATGGCAGGTTGCATTGACAATCGGCATTGTCCAGATGCGAAAGTATGGTTACTCTGAACTACCATCTACGGATACATGTCATATGTGGAGCTGAGCACTGGGTTTGCTTCGGGGAGGCGCACGGTAGCCCGACGCCACAAGACCATGAATCGTGGGGAGGGAGAGAAAACGGTTTTCTTTGAAGACCTGGGTTTCTGATGACGCGGATTCAGACACTGTGGGAACGGTGGGAGGACCCAGTGTTGTATTGGACGGGGGGGGGAGGGCAGGTAAAGGATCTCTCTGCATTCTGGCCAGGGCAAGGTAAGCAGTTTTGGGAAAACCGTGGGAGAGCCATCGCCATGGGCTGGAAGTGGCAGTATGAAATGGCAGAGGACATCAACAAGTAATTGCTGGCATGTATCGGCAAGATAGGAATTACTAGGGTGGTAGCATGCACTGTATAGGTCTTGGAGGCAGACACTGAGTCATTAGCTGAGACGGCGCGGTGCAGAGACGGAAGAGGATAGCCTAGGCGATATGTTTACGTTGAACAACGTTGTGGCTCTCTGGTTGGCGTATCGTTGCGTCTCGATGGGAAAAGGGAATTTATTCCAAGTGATGCCCGGATGGCACTCTCTCATTGAGAAGGAGTTGGGCAAGGTCGGCATGATACAAGCATATGGATTTTATCAGCAGCAATATCCCATGGGAAAAGTGGAGATGTTGCCTGGGCGCCCTGTTCTCGAGATTGGAGAAGGGGCACATGCCGGCACCGAGGACAGTCTGACTCTGGTGCTGATGAGCTGAGTCTGTGGTGGTTTAGGATCACGCACATGGCTTTGCCAGAGTGTGGTGTGTGGGCAGACACACCAATGCAGGGCCACCGTACATAGTAAGCCAGCTTTGGAATTTGCCTCGAGTGCAGTTCAGCGTGTAATAGGTCAGAGACGACTATAAACAAAAGAAATGATGTAATTAATACATGGGCCGACTTCTAGTACATCGTCCCTCAGTGGAGGCCTTGGCTCAAGTTGCGATGTTCACAAGCCAGGCTGCCAAAGGAAAGGCAATTTCTCGAGCGTCCCTTGGGGTTAGAGTTGGGCAGGGATCTCAAGGCAAGAAGCAAGTCAGAAACGAGATTTTCAGAACCATGCATGGCTATTCGCCCGAGTGATGGGATGGGGTAAACTCCTGGTCGGGGCTACAGTAGCCCACTGAGCTGAGATCCTTGCGCAATGCAGAGTCAGTCCCCATCGCACAGCCTGTAAAGTGGTCCGATAGGCCTCTCCATAATTCATAACTCATGGCGTGTTTCATAAGCAAATTTCAGCTCTCTGCTCTACACGGCTCCGTGGCCATTGCGGCTGGCTCTCTTCCCGGGCGTCTCTGCTGCCTCTTTGGTCCGGCCGCATCGTCGGGTGCAGGGCGATGGCCCAAGGCTGGTGTCACGCGACAGCAGCGACGGGATGCAGACGGCGAGCCCGAGCCTCCAGCCGCAGTGATGTCATTGTGCCAGCGAGATCTCACCCGCCCCTGTTCGTCCAGAATAGCGCCGCCGACCCAAGGTGAAGGTTGCTGGGCCTTTACTCCGTGGGGATGGGCCAAACCATTAGGTAATTGAGATCATTGGATAGATCTGGGGCGCAGCGTAAGAAATTTTCTTCATTTTCCGTTTCCTCATTACGGCGCAAGTGACTTTGCCGGGCTCGACGCCGGATTCTGTCTCAGTTGCCCGTGATGGCCGTCTTGGGCCGTCTGGCCTGTAGAAAACGGTTTGCTAGCGACGCCCGGGATGCCGCTAACGGCCATAGTGCCAGGCTAACGGACTGCTTACTCGCTGAAAAGGCCGCCTAAATCCTCGCGGGAGCTCACTATTCGGAAGAGCATACATAATAGCACAGGGTAATTTTTTTCCTCAGCCCAGGCTCATTGGTGTAGCTCGATTGAAATCTCATGTGAATAATTCATGGCCATTACGCCGCTATTGATGCGAGTATATTGTCTTGCTGGGTACTAGCAGGGGCTTTTGCGCAGCTCATCAAAGGCATGATGTGAAATGAACCCAATTAGACGTCTGCAAGAGGTTTGTACGACCGAGGGACCCTGGTTTTGGGAGGCGACGTTGTCAGAGGGTTTACGTACACGGTACGGTACGGCGACGGGAGCCAGAGAATCCATTCTGCCCAGCGGCCGAAGCTCACCGACGGAGAGAACGCTAGACAGGTCCGCCCAGCCGTCGTTGGGTGATGGATGGTGGCGCCAACGGAAGCGTCTAAACCGCGCGCATCGACCATGCCGCCTGGCTTCAGAAGTACGGGGACTTTATTATTCTTGCTTGCCCGGCCGTTGTGGTGGCTGTTGATGCTGATGCTCAAGAGGTCCTTGCCCCAGACGAAGGGATTGCACCACTGCCGATCCCTCAGCTAGAAGGGGGGCCGGGGTATTTCCACATAGACGCATGGCCGGAGAATCCTACCAGGCCCCATGCCCGGACGAAGCATGGACTTGTATTTTTGTACATGGCCATCCCAAACGGAGCGCCATGCAGCGAGCGTTCCTACTGGGCGGTCTTATGTGGCTGCCTTCCGCCAAGGCTGCGGGCAGGGAGCCACCTGCACTGTGGACGCCACTGTATTTCCTGGCGCAAGCAGCGGGCAGAGCTAGTGCCTACAGTGCGATTGCTGACGCTCCCTGGCCCGAATCGGGAAGGTCAGCTGCCAAGCATGACATAGGTGGTGTCGGGGAGAAGAAGTGTCTGTCGCGTTCTTTTGTGCGTAGAGTTTCACCGGTCCCGGGCGTTGGCGTGCCGTGTTGATGATCGATGTTTTGTGTGGTGGGAGACGGACGACGAGATGGCTTGCAGCTGGGTGACGATCGCCTGGTTCTTGGTTCAATATGCTTGTCATAGCGCCCGATCCCCGAATATCTTGGTCTAGACTCGAGGGGATGTGGAAATAGGTTCTCCAAATGCATCAGAAGCCATGGAAGATTGAAGGCGCTGTATTGATTCCTGCATGTTGGCGGCGTGGGTCGGCGGGCCCGCTCATTGATCATTGTTGGAGGTCTGAAGTACTTACTATGTGCGTACTGTCGTGTACGAGATGGCTTTTAGCATGCTATTTTCGTGTTGCTAGCAGCTACTGTCAGATGCTGATCACTCGAATGGCGGTCTCGGAGCCCTCACATGGCCAAGAATCCAAGCATGCCAAGTTGAATTAACTGCGGGAGCGTGTCGAAGAGGCTCATGAATCTTCCGTGGAGGGCATTCTAGAAGAAAGGGAAGGCCGGGTACTTCCACGGTGTGCACATAAGCAGCACCTATCATCGATTCTCAGCCCGCCACCCTCGATGCATCTACGTAAGGTGGCACTGTCGGTCTCGTGGGAGGTGCATTATGTGCCCAGAAGGTGTGGATGGTGTGCCTGCCCGGAGTCAGCAGCGAGAGGATAGCGTAGAACAGCGCGTCCGGGCGGCGAGACAGGGCCAGCCGGGTACCCTGCTAACAGCGAGCAGAGGTTTATTCCAGTGGCTTCGTGTTGCGGTGGAACAGGTACCTTGCGCCAAGCCTCAGCGCCCATGGGAGGTGGATGGGGCGAGAGCGCTAGGGCACTAGTGCCATGGGGCCCACTGGAATGGGGAGAGCAACTCAACTCAACTCGCTGTTGCGACAAGGCTTTTGGGGAGGATCCACCGTATCCCGGCCTCAGACATTTGCCGTCCGCCCACGATCGAGGTTAACTGTATGCGACATTTACACCAGCCCGACTCGCAGGATGCGCGTATGTAAGGTTGAGAGGTACTTGCTTGGGGCGGCGGCCATTGAGCCTGGTCCCCACCCTCTCGGGCGAGTTGAAGGTGCGGCTCCTGCACCATTTGTGGCCATCCAATTACCATCATGATGCCTGCCAACTCCACCGTCCCTGCCTACCACCAACAGAGATCGCTGGTCGCACTGCTGCTTCTGCTTGGGTTAAATACTCGACGCGCCCACCTCAGTCTGCGATAGGGCCTTTCCCTTTTCTCTGTTTTCTCTCCCATGAGCCACCTAACCATCTTCCCTTCTGCTCTTTCTTCTCAGTTGGGATACCTTGGCCGATCTCTTCTGATTCATTGAATCTTCCTCCTCCCTCCTCGAATCCTCTGGCTTGGCTTCTGGTAAGCTGATCGACAACCCGAACTCGTCGCCAATTCGTCTCGCCGACGGCCCTCGTTCACCATGGATGAGGAGAAACACGTCAAGGTGGACTCCCCCGGGTCCCCTGACATTGAAGATGTGCATCTGGCCGACAACGCCGACGGTCTGCACCGTCGTCTCAACAACCGTCAGATCCAGCTGATCGCCATTGGTGGTTCCATCGGTACTGCTCTGTTCGTCAGCATTGGCGGCGGTCTCTACAAAGGCGGCCCCGGCAGTCTGTTCCTGGCCTACACCATCTACCCGTGCATTCTCGCTCTCGTCAACAATTCCGTCGCTGAAATGACTGTTCACATGCCTGTGTCTGGTGGCTTCATCCGTCTTGCTGGTCACTGGGTTGATGACGCCTTCGGCTTCATGGCCGGTTGGAACTTCTTCCTATACGAGGCCCTGCTGATCCCCTTTGAAATTACTGCCTTTAGTCTGGTAGCTTCGTACTGGAGCGAAAAGATCCCCGATCCTGGTCCAACTGCTGGTATCTGCCTCGGCATCATCTTGCTCTATGGGTAAGGACTATGTCTCCCAGGGAGAGACAGGCGACCTCCGCCTCGTCCTCTGTTGTGCCAGTGTTCGTGATGGGCGTGTGTGCATGCACTCTTCGCTTTGACCTCATGGAAACTGCCTGCTCTCCCGACCCCCCTTGCTTTCCCCCCTTCTGATTGAAAGATTGCATGCTAAACATTGAATCGTGTGATTGTATAGTCTTTTGAACGTGCTTGCTGTTCGCGGATATGGTGAAGCTGAATTCTGGCTTTCCGGCGGAAAAGTCATCCTGATCTTCATGCTGTTCGCCTTTACTTTCATTACTATGGTTGGCGGCAACCCCCAGAAGTTCGCCTATGGCTTTTACTACTGGCAGAACCCTGGCGCATTCAAGGAGTACCTCGGCTCCGGAGCGCTCGGTCGATTCGAAGGATTCCTCGCTGCTCTGTGGAATGCTAGTTTCGCCGTCGTTGGTCCCGAATACATTTCCATGGTCGCTGCTGAGGCCAAGCGCCCACGCATCTACATCAAGACCGCCTTCAAGACCGTGTACTTCCGTTTCGCCCTCTTTTTCTTCGGTAGTGCTCTGTGCGTTGGAATTGTGCTCCCCCACAACGACGTGAAGCTCGCCGTTGCCAATGGTGCTGAGATCGAGGGTGTTGAAGCCAACACCTCTGGTGCTGGCGCTTCCCCCTACGTTATTGCCATGGGTAACATGGGTATCACGGTGCTGCCCCATATCGTCAACGTTCTCATGTTGACTTCGATCTTCTCTGCCGGCAACACCTACACTTTCTGCGCCACCCGTTCCTTGTATGGTCTGGCTCTCGAGGGCCGTGCCCCCCGCATTCTCCGCTACACCCTGAGCAATGGTGTGCCCATCTGGTGCTTCTGCATTGTCATGATCTTCCCCTTCCTCTCTCTGCTTCAGCTCAACTCCGGCTCCGCCAAGGTTCTCGACTGGCTGGTGGCCCTCATGACTGCTGGTGGTATCATCGACTTCCTTATCATGTCGACCACCTTCCTTTTCTACTGGCGCGCTGTCAAGGCTCAGAACTTTGACCGCAACAAGCTGCACTACAAGGGCTGGTTCCAGCCTTACGGTGCTTGGATCGCGCTTAGTTTCCAGATGCTCCTGGTCATCTTCTACCAGTACGAGGCTTTCAGACCCAAGTTTGATGTCGAGGTTTTCTTCCGTGGTTACTCCATGCAGATCATCGCCATCCTCACATTCAGTGGCTGGAAGCTGTACCACAAGACCAAGTTTGTCAAGCCCGAAGAGTGCGACCTGATCTGGGAGGCTCCTGTCATTGATCGCTACGAAGCCCGGTTCACCACAAAGCCACCTGGCTTCTGGGCTGAGATGCTTCAGCTCATCGGCATTGGCCGCAACAAGTACCCTGAGGAATAAATTCCCCAGCGTCAAACACGGTGATGTGGTGAAGGTGTGAAAGAAATGTCATGGGTGACGATGGTGCTGAATGATGATCTATGTGGTGCTGGTACCCTGATTGTTATGTGTGACCCTTTATTCCGGTCAATGATTGCTACCGTCGACGAGATTTGCAGGCTCTTTCTCCCTGTCTCTTTCCGCTGATCTGACATGTCGCCGTGTCTGTTTCCTTTTTTCTTCTACTATTTAATCATTGCAATTAGACTTGATGGTGCATGGTGGAATGTGGCATATATACCCCGAGTTGGCGAGATGTGGCCTTAAGTGCCGGGTTGCTATTTGAATGAATAATGCACTGGGAGTGAATACCAGCATTGAACTTACAAGAAAGTATGACTCTACGTTTGACATGAATGACGTTGACTTTTTGCATGTTCTGGTAGGTTTGTGTTCTGTTTCTACTGACTAACAGCTACCCTTCGTACTTTTTTGTGCGTGTTGCGAAGTGCTTCTATCGTGATATGATACCATTGCTGTGGGCAAGAAAACATACTCTAATCGCTGAGTATAGTATCTATAAGTGATGGCGGAGAGAGATACACTTCTTCTCCAACACCCCTGCTTATCTCGAGTGCTCATCTAGTGCCTCTACCTTGCATTGATTGATGGGTGATCTTCGACGATCGCTCATGCAATACAACGCTACTTCTCGGGCATGCCGTGACGGCATCCTTATCTGGGTGTTCCTATAGGTACCATCCCATCCCCAACTGTCTCTACGTATTTGTGTTGCTTGTGTGTATGTGTGCACTGTTGGGTGTGTCTTGGTTGAACTGTATTGGCAAACGAATGTTGAGCTCTTCCGGCCAAGATCTGTCTTTGAAAGTTCCCTAGCTTGAAAGTTTGTCAGGCTTTACATACGTTGGCCAGTGGCGGAATTAAATCGTCCTCGTATTCTTCAAGGTTCCATGCCCTTTCCTCAACCTCTAAAACGAAGGCTACCGTCTAATACGGCAGGACAGCTTCTTACATAAGCAGCGACGTCTGCCTGGAGCTGGGCGCTGGAATTAACCCCGCCCCCACCATGAAAGTCGCAAAAAAATTGAGATAAGCCGTTATCGCCAGTCACACCGGACGCCCAAGTTTTGCGCGACCACAAACCCTCGATTCTGTGGCTGGTTTATAGAGGGATTCCTGGGGGGTTTCACTTGGAAAATAAGCCTATTATTTTTATTGGGTTTTTTGTCTGCCAATCTTGGAGAATTCATCCCATTTTCGTGCAACTTGGATATCGCGACCTTGGGTTTTACCTTGTTCCCGCGCGTCATGGCGGCGGACAGCAAATACGAGGAGGCCCTTTTGGCCGTCCTAGCCAGCGGGAGCAAAGCCGAGGCTCCCATAAAGGGACTCATCCAGCAACTAGCCAGCGGGGAAGGCAGAGAGGCGGCCATTGACTCGCCCGTTGAAGATGTGTTTGGTGTTGGAGTATCAGCCCTGGACATCTTCCTACAGGCCAACGTCACGGGTCCCGTCCTCCCCGAAGCCTCGGTGAGGAGCGTCGAGAAGCGCTTCCTGGCGGCATGGGCGACGGAGAAGCAGGGCGCAACGACGCTGGACGACTTGCGCAGGGCTTGTCTGAGGGAGCTCGAGGTTGACGGCGTGTCCCCCTACGCTTACATCCCCCACCTCGAGCTGTTTACCCTCGCAAAGTACATCTTCACCAAGGTCTTGAAGGATTCCGCTCGGGATCTGGAGCTGTCTTCCCCCCGTGGCGGTACTCAGAAATATAGCACCACCTGGATGCGTCTCCGGGTGAACACCTGGCACTATAAGCTCCTCACACAGCCTAGCCTGGGCCCGGGCTCGAACTTTACGAGAAGTTCGCAGTGGAGCGAGGTGCCTACCTTGGCGGGGGCTATTACCGATGGAATTGAGGCTGTGGGCAAGCAGCTTCTCAGCGAGGATGTATGGGCGGCCGAGAGCGAGGGGTGGGCGAAGGAGGATAGGGTCATGTTCCTCGTCGAGGCTGCCAACAACTATATCCTTCTCGGGCGCAATGACCTGGCAAGGGAGACACTGGACAAGGCTTCGAGAGAAAGCGGCCTTCTCTACGAGCTGTCGGGAGCTCTTGGAAAGAGGACGAAGTTCCAGGAGAAGAACATCAGCCAGCTTGTCGTGCTCGCTAAGAGCGCTGCAACGACGGGCGCAGAAAAGGAGGGAGACGTGGCGAAGCCAGAGGATTTGAAACTCAACGATGATACCCTGCTGGAAGAGATCAAGTTCTCAAAGGATGAGAATGGGCAAGAGGCAGAAGAGAAGAAACTACCCTCAGCATTGGCAGATCTCTCCCCCGATGATCAACCACAACTGTCACCTCTTGACCAGATCATTCTGCTTACTGAGGCCACATTGAAAGATGCCTTCTCCCCGGTCGACACCCTAACATCAGAGGAGATTCTCCCGTACGCAGTCAGAGTGTTGGCCGACAAGTCAACCAACTGGCAGATATACACTCAAGCCCTGCTTGTGCGCTCGCGAATCGAGGTCCATCGTAGCAGGACGGTTGAGCGCGGTGTTCTACAACTGCAGGCCGTGGCCGACCAGGTATTAACTGACACTACAGCGTCTTCCTCCACTACTTCATCGGAGGAGGCAGATAAATCGGGAGACGCCCCTGACGTTCCAGCCATCCAAGTCGACAACGTGGATGAACCGACTCCCTCCACCACAATCTCGAAACCAACATCTTTCCTTCCAGCCCCTAAACCCTCCGAATCCGCACCAGCACATATCCGTCTCCAGTATATCCACACCCTTTCTACACCTCCACGCTGGCATCTCGAATCCGAGCTTGCCTACGCCTGGGCTGGTATCGGCTCTCTTGTTTCCGCCCTTGAGATCTTCAAGCGCCTCCGTTTATGGGCCGAAGTTGCCCTCTGCCTTGCCAGCAGTGCAGCCGCAGCCGAGCAGGATGAGGACGGCCGAGGAAGTGGTGGCGAGGAGAAAGCCAAGGGCATCATCCGCTGGCGCCTATTCCACCGCACCGGAGAGACGGCAGAAACCGCGCCCTCCGATGCCGACGAGGAGAAGGACATCGGCGATCCAGTCTATCTGAAAGGCGCCGACTTCTCCGGGCCAGCGAGAAGCCCGCCTCCACCCAACGCCCCGCGCCTCTGGTGTATCCTCGGAGACCTCGAAAGCGACGCATCACACTACGAGCGGGCGTGGGACATCTCCAAGCATCGCTACGCCCGGGCTCAAAAGTCCCTCGGTGAACACTACATCCAGAAGAAAGAATGGGAGAACGCTCAAGAAGCATACAAGAAGGCCACCTCGGTGAACCGTCTCAGCTCCGACATGTGGAGTCGGCTGGGCGACATCTGCCTCCGGCTCGCCAACTTCGAAGACGCCGCCGAGGCCTTCAACAGATCCATCAGCAGCGCCACCGACCTCGGCGGAGGCGAGGGCGCCCGAACCTGGAGCAACCTAGGAAGCGCCCTTTGGAGCCTCTACTGCGAAGTCATCGCCGAGACCAAAGACTCCAAGCCCGAAGAGACGGAAACAGCAGGGAAGAAGCAACTAGCCGACGAAGAGGAAGACGATGACCTCCCCGCCACCTCAAACCCCTCTACAGACGAGAAGACTGTCTCCCGCGACCCCAAGAAACTCCTCGCCCAGGCCTTCGCAGCCTACAAGAGGGGAGCCTCCATCGCCCACGACAACTGGCGCATTTGGGACAACGTCCTCACCCTCTCCTCCCGCATCCGCCCGCCTCCCGTCCCGGACATGATCCTCGCCCTCCGCAACATCCTCCGCATCCGCAAGACCGAGGACGCCGTCGACGCCGACCTCCTCTCCGCCCTCCTCCAGGACGTCGTCCTCTCGAAAGACAAGGACTCGTCCGCCAATCTCATCGACGGCATCTACGAGCCGCCCCGCGGTAGCCCCGAGCGGCTCATCACCCGCCTCCTCGAAGAGGACGTCCTGCCGCTCATCACCCACCGCTCCGAGCTGTGGAGCCTCCTCGCTCGCCTCCGCGCCTGGCGGAGGGACTACGCGGGGGCCATCGACGCCTCGGAGCGCGCCTGGCGCGCGGCCATGGGATCCTCCTCCTCTTCCTCCGGTTTGTCCCCGTCGTCGGCGGGCGTGGACTGGACGACGGACAAGTCGGCCTGGGAGAACGTCGTCGTGCGCACCGACGAGCTGGCCTCGATGCTGGAGAACTGGGGGCCCGACGTCCCCGCCATCGGCGCAAAGTGGAAGGGGAAAGTCCGGAGCGCGGTGAGGAGCGTCATGGGCAAGGGCAGGGAGCACTGGGAGGACAGCGAGGGCTGGAGGACCCTGCAGAATATCATTGACGGGTTGAAGGCAGAGCGGTAGATACCTATACATACATCAAAAGTCTAGAAAACACATCTTTTTTTTACTTTCATCAACATTTGAGATAGGATAGATTGGTCGCAACTAGCATAGAGTAAAGTATTAACTTGGCACAAGTACATCCAATCTGCCACGTCTTCCCGTCCAAACAATTTATCCAGCGTGGCAAGGAATATTGGAACACATGTGCGGCGTCATCTAACAAAGTATCATTTGTCTTGCATCCCGGCAGCTCTCACAGCGGCAGACTTGAGTGAAACGCAACAAGTTATACTGAACAAAAACAATACCCGGGCTGAGTCGTCACACGCTGAAATATACATATGAGTCCCACAACCGGACACATGCACCACCAGCCAGTCCATCCTCGAGGATGATACAAACAAGATGGCAGTTTACATGCCACAAGAAACCCTTTTTTACGTATTCCAACAAAACAGTGCCCTCGCTTTCATGCTTTTATCGCTACTGCCACGCGCAAAACCTCTCACTCAAAAGACCAATAATACAAAAAAATGATACAGTACATGAGCTCAAGATTCGCCAGTACGAAAGTTAGGCTCTCCGCTCCTTCAACGCTTCGAAGGGGAAGCTCCTCTATTTCTTGCCCTTCTTCCTGCTGGGGACAACCTTGAAGCCAGCGGCAGATTGGATATCATCTTTGGGAGCTGTAGGGGTGATGGGCGTGCTGCTCTTCTTCGCAACCTCGCTCCATCCTCCACCGGAGCCTCCGGCCTTCACTTCTGTGATAACAGATGGCTGCTTTTCAGCGACGCCCTTCTCGGCTAGCTTCTTGCGTCGGACGTACTCCTCCGCGAAGTGGCGTCCATCCATTGTGGTCGAGTTGGCATAAACAGCATCGGCAATAAGTCCAGAATCGGCTGGGAAAGCATCAAGAGTGCTAGCGAATGCAGCAACTGAAAAATCATGTCAGTGAAAGGTTCAAGCGAGTGCGCGAATGAAGGCGGAGTCAAACTTACTGTCAGTGACACCTGTAATGCCGCGGGAGAGTTCACGGGTAACCCATTTTCGGAACTCATCCATTGCGGCATTGCTAACGCTGCTGGCGGGACCAGAGCGGGAGATTGACTTGATGACGGTGGCAGCAACCGGAGTCTTGGGACTGTTCACGCTGACGGAACGAGCCTGACCGGTCGGGCCAGCAGGGGACGCCTTAGCTTTCCCACCGGCACCGACGACAGCCCAACCAGCGCCTGGGGGTGTGGAAGCAGCAGCAGGGATAGCAAGCATGGGTGGCTGGCCTGGCTTTCCGGCGAGATTGGCATAGCTCTTGGAGCCCGTAGGCGCAGCCCCAGACTGAACCGCCGCGTCCTTGGCCTTTTGCTTGCGGCGTTCTTCCTCTTGCTGAATTTCGGCAAGTGTCTTCTTACCCGCAGGCGTGCTGACACTGCCCAGGCCCGGAGCGGGAACCTTGACAGCGCCGGGCTTGGCCCAAGGGCTGCTCGTTGCCGCAACTGGAGAAGCAACATGCCCCCAAGTACTAGTCGCAGGCAGGCCAGCTGTGGTAGCAGCTACAGCCTGCTTCTCCTTCTCTCTGAGCAATGCGGCCTCTTGTTCCAGTGCAGCCTTTCTAAGCGCCGCAGCAGCTTCTTCTGCCTTGGCGGCCTTGCGCGCCTCGGCTTCCTGGATTTCCTTCAAGCTGGGGCCCTTGTGAGCGTCATTTCCAGGCTCCTTGGCCCAAGGAGCAAGCGGTGGGGGTGCGTTGCTAGCCTCGTCGTTGGGACTACCAGACTGCGAGCGGCTATACTGCTCTGGAAGATGAGAGCGAGCCCGCTGGGCTGTTGGGGCCGGAAGGGGTGTCGTAGAAGCGGGAGGCGGGAATGGCATGGGCATGTCAACCTCGACAGGAAATTGTGCAGCGGCGACAGCAGCCTGTGTCTTCTGTACCTGTTGAGTAAGAGACAAGGTGAAGTCTTCGTACTTCTTCTTCGTCTTAGTCTTGCGTGTCGGAACTGGTTGCCCTGCTGGTACATCGTTGGTTGCAGAAGCGTTGGCGGTGGGCTCATTTTCAGCCAACTCGTTGGCCACTTCTTGTGCCTGGGCTGCCTGTTCTGCGTCATGCTGAGCCCGCAGGTCTTCAAATTCTTTCAAGCGCTCGCGAAAGCCTTCAGGATCCTCTCCAAGCTGGTCAGTGTCTGGCAGACCGCTACGCAAGTCAACCTCCTGTGCCAAAGCCCCAGGGACTTGGTTCGGGGGTTGACCTGCTTGCAGTGCGGTCATTATCTGACGCTCCGTGGCGGAGAGATGCGCTAACTCATCTCCTGAAGGCTCCTCGTTTCCCGACAACGAGGGACCACCCGGTTGTGACCCCTCAGCAGCTGAGTCGAAGAAGCCGGTAGAATTTGGACCGATAGCACCGATGGCCTGCTGCGGTATCTGGCCGGGCATGCCGATGGGTGAGGTGATGCTGCCGAAGCTTGGCTGGCTCTGCAAGCTATGAGCACTGGAATGGTGTTGCAGACCAGGTTGCTGCTGGCCCTGGAATCTACTCATAGCTTGCTGGCGCATGACAAACTCTCTCTGTTGAGCCATCAGGTACTGTTCCTCCTGCTTACGACGCTCCAAATTGTTTTGCTCCTCCGCTGTCAGGGTTCGTCCGAAGCTGGGGAACACTCCGCTGAGTGGTGGGACGACGCTTCCGGGGGCTGCGCCTGGGAACCCAGACGCTTGCGACGGCGGGCCATGGGGGATACCGACCTGTGGAACCAAGAAGGGCTCACGAGAGTTTCCTATGCGTCGAATGAGCTGCCCTAGTGGTTCGAACTCCGGGTCCTCCACCTTCTTCACTCTTAGGTCAGGCGTGAAGAAGTGAGCCTTGTACCAGTCGTTCATCTCCAGACCGGTGAATGGACCTTGGATCTGACCCTGGGGATCAAGATATACCCACCTCATCCGGTCTGGCATAACCATGGTGCGTGCCTGTGCTGAAGGAGGCTCAATCACGTTCTGGCCAGCACCACCAAAGTTCATGCCTCCACTCACAGGAGTGAAGGATTGCGGAGCTGTGGAAGTGCCGCCGGGCTGAACTGGTTCTGCCGAGCCATACAAGGCCTGGGATCGGGTTGCCTCGCTCGAAGGGAAAAGCTCCTCGAAAACTCCACGATTGGATCGCATCGGGCTCTCCGTGTCTCGGATAGGACCAGGGAAGTTGCTGCGGCCGATGGCACCGAGAGGGTTAGCTTGTCGAAGATCTGGGCCCGAGTCGCCGAGGCCCTCATGCTCATGAGACTGCATCTGCGCTTGCATAGCGGCAGGGAAAAGAGATCCAAGCTTGCTTCCGCGACCGATACTACCAGTGCCGATATTGCCAGCTGGCCCAAAAACGTTATTGAGGTTCCCCAGAGTGGGTGATTGAATATCGTTCATCGAGTTGAAAATGGCTGGTGAGAACGCAGCGCCAGGGAAGTTGGCACGCTCTCGGTCTGGTGTACCGCTGGGGCCAGGCGCTCCCCAGGCTGACATGTGGCTGATAGGGAATCCTTTTGCACTAGATGTTTGACTACGATCAGCCCCTTCAGACCCTGGGCCGAAGCCGCGTTGCTGCAGAGGATTGAAACCAGATGACTGGTCGAGGGGGAAGGGGATGGGCTGTTTCGATCCGCTCGATTCGTCGTCATCCTGATCATGACGTTCAGCTGGAGGGCTACGGTATGGATTTGTCTCGGAAGGGCTCACTGGGTCATTCTCGTCGCCCCCCAGGTTGAGTCCAGCCATACCAAAATCGCCAGTCGAGCCCTTGACAGGCGTGCCTAGGGTTCCGACACGACCAGTCTGCGAAATACTGGCTGCAGTATCTTGAGCACCACCGAGAACAGCACTGCCAGACAGGCCATCTTCACCGAACGGATCCGTGTCGGTTCGTTGCCGAGAACGCCAGGATTGTTGATTCGCAGTTCCCTGGCCCTCGCCCTGTCGGGTTTGTGCGGCTTCAGCTTGATCTTTGGGAATTAGATGCGCGAGACGACTTCCACCTACAGGACCTGCAGCAGGCTTCGTGCCGACAGCAGCGCTTCCTATTGCAAAATTGCCAAAGGATCCGCCACTCGGAGTGGTCGGTGTCGACGCGGACCATATTGAACCCATGCCTGACGTCCCTCCAGTAGTGTTGGCCCGGATTAGATTTCCAAATGGCAGCTTGTTTTGCGGGTCACGAGGGCCCTGATCCTCCGCAGACTCGTCCACCTCCGCCTCCTTTATATCGGTGCTCCTGCGGGAATACCAGAAAGAGTCGTCGCGGTTTCTCGTCGTCGTGGGTGAGTTGAGGCCTCCAGGGCTGAACGGGTTCGAGTCTAGCGTTTCTCGTCTGCGGGTGCCGGGTCGGGTTGCAGATGATGGTGAACTCACGGCGAATGAGTTCCCCGATCCATGCGAAAATGATGGTTTCCGACCATTCACGGCTCCTGGGTTATTCGTGTTGTTGTTCCCCGTGGGGGGTTTGAGAGGCGAATTGATTTCCGTCATAAATGCCTAACGAGCGGTGAGCTTTCGTATCCTACCTGAGATATGGGGGGTGGAGAAGGACACACCTCTTTTTCGTCCGAAGTCAAACCCTGATGTCCCATTGGTGTGCTCTCCCCGTTCACGTCCCAACAGGCACCAGGCTCTTGTGGAACGTGGTTCTCGTTACTCTTCCCCCATGCCCTGACGGCGCCGCCATTCACGTGGCCTGGATTCCAGCCTTGCATGAAGAGGCGCGAGGGGTCCTCGCTGATCCTTTGCGGGCGATACATATCTAGCAGGTCCTCCTTACTATATCGTGCAGGACTCAGTTCTACCGCTGACGGTTCGGCGCTGGGGGGTTGGACAGCGTTGTCTACCGGTGCTGGCGTCTGGGATGATTGGCTGAGCGGTGTGGTCGAGGAACGGCGCAGGGTCAAGGTGCCATTCGCTGAACGTCCATCCCTACGAGACCTGGTGGCCGAAGTCAGCATATATAATTACGGGTGTGCGTGTGCGAGGAATCAACAGAGCAGAGGAAAGACAGGGCACGAGGGTGTAACGCGATGGTAGGCATGGGGGGAGGTGTTCGTGTGTGCGCGCCCATGTACAACTGAGGACGGCAGAAGGTGCGCGACGGGAAGCAGCTCTGTCGGTCGGCGAATGGAAGCATCAAGGCCTCAAAAGGCAGGGCCAAGCTCGCAGAGAGCAACATGGTGACACTCGGGCATGCGTGGGTGTATTTTTAAGGGAGGGCTGTCCAACGTACCAGTCGCCTCCAACTCCTGCCCTACCCGCAACTCTATTGGCGTTCTGGCCAGCTGCAGCTGATGCAAAGCTCGAGGGCAGATTGGTTGGCATTGTGGAATTATATGCTGGATGACACGTCGAGATCGAGGGTCGAGAGGGTTGGTAGCTTCGACTCCGGGGGATGTGGGAGCAGAAGTATCGAGAGCCACCGCGGGGACGGGACGGGTGTGCTGGGCAATGATGTAAAAGGTAAAAGTAGGGTAAGAAGTGGCCAGTAGCGTCGTGCTATGAGAACAGAAAAGATACCGGGGGGTGATTGTATGCTGGATCGCTACCGAGGGCGCGGGATTGCAAGCGGGGGGTGGGTGGTCGAGGTCGTGAAGGCGATGGGAATGCCAATGAAGGGTTTTCGAAATGCTGTCGTGACGTGAGGTCAAGGAACCTGGCTGAAAAATTCACAGAGGGTTTGCTTGAAAAGGGAAAATTAGAGGTCGGAAAGCGTAATCCCAGTCACAGGGCGCCTACTGGCTGGTGGGTGGAGAGAGGTGGATGCCGGGGCTCGACCTAGCCAGCAGCCTGCCCTGCCACCAACAGCCAGTAGCAGCCAGTGCCCGTCAGTACCAGCCCAGTAGCCTCCAGTGGTTCCCACCTCGCCCTAACAACCACCACCGGGTCCCTCGTCGTCGGTACCTGGTCCAGGGCAGTACCTCGTGCCAGCCCTTGTCCGCCCTGCCGGTCAAGTCACTCTTGATGCCAGCACAACACAACACAATTGACACAGGGCGACGGCCAAGGTCCACCACAACAGCCAGCACACAATGCTGAGGTCGCACAACAATAACACGGACCAGAGCTGCCCGGTTCCGCCGAGGATTAGCCTCATCCTGCCGCGCCCCCAAAAGCAGAACACTTTCCTAGCTCCAGAAGTACCGCTGACCCGGGAGTCATTGAGCCATTGTTAGTGAGTCACTCGGCATTTGCTCTGGATCTTATCACCCATGGCTTGATTAATCCAAGACGTGATGTGGCAAGCCGCGGGAGGCGACTCGCGACGAGCCACAGCCACAGCCACCTGCCCTTCTAGTGGCGTTGAAAGTAACACACACAAACATTGCCGCAGAATCCACTTATTCCAGAAAGTGCTCTTGCTCATTTCTGGCTGCTAGCTGCTGGCTGGCTCAACAACACATATTAGTCGCTTATTATCGTGTATGCAATGCAGTTGTTACGATGCAACATTGCCCGAAGCAGGTCGCTAATTCTCGTGCATTTCACCTTTTATGGGGAGCAGAATAGATCGTCCCGGGAACAGAAGACAACAATTAATTCGAGTTGAAACATGACGCAGATAGTCCAACGGTCATCTGTCGATGTTTTACTTCGCCAGGAGCAGAATCAGTCGAGACTTTCACCGGCACAACACTGAAGATTGTAGATTCTATACGTGCATGGATTCATTCAGCTTAAGAGAAACTCAATCTCCTTTTCTGCTTATACTATGGGTATGGACACAACTCGGGAGCAGAGGGCTAAATCTTCCCCAGAATTCCCTCGCACCATATGTAGTCTGGCCTGTCTTGCGCGTTCAGGCTCATTTCCTTCCACGCCATCAATAACTAATGCATTCTAAGTACAACCATCGCACCTCATAGGCAATCTAGCTTGTAGTGATAAACTGGTAATTCAAGAGAAGACTCGATGGGAGGACTTTGTCATCCGTTGAGTGGTAGGCGGGATACGATCGATGCAAAAGCTTCAAACGGATCTCAGTGCCTCATCGAGGGGTGCAATTGCATGCTATTGCAAACGCAATGTCCGGTCTTGATTTCATCCTGTTCGGAAACATCCGGCTCGGGAACACAGCCCAATCTTGCTGCATTAAAAGACCAAAACTCCCTGAAATTGCGTTGTTAAAATAAGTCCAAGACCGAATTATCGTAATAACAGGAGCTAAGGAGAAGGAAAAGGATCCAAAACTCACACGTCTTGAATTGCGTGGCCGAGCACAGCGATGACATTAAGCCAATAACCAAACGTATATAACCATTTGATCTCTCTCGGTGCCACGAAGCCGTTCGCAGAGTCAATGGGTCGGAACTGCCCAACGAAACACGTAACAATGTCGTTGAGAATCCCGAATACGACAGTGATCAGGAGGCACCACGAAAGGGCAAGAATGGCAACCGCACGGTAGTGCAGGGTTTGCGCGTACGTTGGACTGTAGTATTCCACCACAACGGGGCCCAACGTGATGAGACACTTACAAACTACCTACTCAGACGATATATGAGCATGATAAATCAACCTTAACAAAGAGTCGCGGAAAATACGTACGACGGTCATCTCGAAGACCAGGATGTTTTGCTCCCGATAGTATACTGGAAGAATCAGGCCAAGCCCGATAAAGGAGAAGATGTACGAGATAAGTCGGAGGAAATCCATATATGCATAGCCAGAGCGATGAAACAACGTGGAACGCATGGCAGTGCGTGCGCCAGATATGGCGGTGGATCGGCGAAGAATTGGACAAAGATGGCGAGAGCTTGAGCTCTAGTAATGTCGGGTTTGGTTTAGGCAGCGATGTGGCTTGTGATTAAATCTGGTAGCTTGCAAGAGGCGCGCGTCGAGTGGGAAGGTCGACGAGTTCTGGTGGTTGCGAGATCCGGGTGTCGAGTGAGAGAGAAGTGAGAGAGAAAGTCAACGACAGACGGTCGTGGATGGTCTCGAGGATATGTAAGCCTCTTGCTCTGCAGTTTACTGATAGTGCCACTTTCCCATTACAATCCGTATCCGGGAAGCTCCTACCCTCAAGAGTCAAGGTAGGAAGAGCCTAAAGGGAAACTTTACCATCGCATCATTGAGGACTGCAATTGAATTTAAAGTTCTGGCAGAAAGTGCATCTTGAACTTTCGATTCGCCCTATCAGCCGAGCGGACCATCATTTGGTCGCCGAGAATGTCAAACATAAACTTCTTGTTCGACGGCTCGGCAGTAGCATCTAACTGCGCCTCAGGAACCTCCACAGCAACTCGAAATGTAGTCCCTTCTTTGGGAACAACCTTGACGCCCTTTTTCTTCGTGATGATCTCCATGGTAAACTTGCGATCTCTCACAACGATCCCTGCTATGCCCACCCTGCTGGGACATCTGCTCCGAACAACTTCCACGTTGGCTCCATGGAACTCTGCGCTGGCGAGCTTCGCCCCGACATTAGGTCCCACGTTGTACACATCACCCCCCAGGATCTCGCAGATGTAGCCCATCCATAGTTTATTGAGCGGCTCGTAGATTTCGTACTTTTGCCTGTCTCGCGGGATGTCGTAGAAGCCTAGCTTGCGCCGCTCGCGGGAGGACAGGGGTGCGGGCTTCTGCTTCTTCTTGTCCTTGGCCTGCTGCCGAGCTCTCCTGCGAGCTGCTCGCGCATTTGTGACGGAAGGAGGAGGAGATGTCGGGCGGAGGTGGAGAGTGCGATGCTGGATTTTTTCTTTGTAGATGCGATCCACGGAGTCTGGCGAGTGCGCTCGGGCCAAGAGATCCCGGGTGGCTTTTTGTGCGGCGATGGACATTTTAAGTGTGATGGGTGGATTATTCAGAGATCTCGTGACTCTTCCATCAAATTTCGGAGGGTGAAGCAGGCTTCCTTGCTCAGGTTGTCGTGGTGTTCTTGAGAGAGGCCGAAAAGTCGAGGTCGAATTCAATTATTTCTTGCAGGAGCCAGGAACCCACTAAGCCACTGCACCTCTGCCAAGCTCCAGGGCCATCACATGCTAAAGGCAGCCTAACGTAGCGCTCGGTCCATCGGCCCCCCACACGCACTTCTGCGCGACAGTCCAGTGACGCTCTTGGGATCCTCCTCCACAATCTAAGACCCATGCATACTCCAGACAATAATCATTGAATCCCAGAGCACCGCACACTTGTCGGGTTGTACATGGCCGAGGTGATGCAATGCTCTGGAATTCTGATCTATAACAGATGATTAGCTCGCCCTACCGTCCTTGACCTTCTACGAAACGTTTCCAGCCCAAACACGACTGCCGGTCAGCACAATGGCGCAGAGCGACGATCACCCCGACTCGACCACTACCTCGGCACCAGACCTCCAGATTCTCGGCGATGAGGTGACGCTCCAGCCCAGCGGCTTCCTCAGGCCAGACGGGGGCGATAAGCATGGAGAAGAACGGGCGTTGATGAATCAATTTGCCTCCTTTCGCGCCGAACCATTACAGTGAGCGCCCTGGATCCCCAGCTCCCATCGAACGCGTCAACTAATAGGCATGTTTCTGTCAGATTCCTTCGCGAGGTGTCCCTTTACGTATCTGGACAAGGATGGCGCGCCTACGATCGCATCACCGGACAGCCCGTCTTCTACTCGGGCTTCTCGGATAACATGAAGTCCATGGTCCTCGAAACGCCCCTGCTACAGAAGCGCATCGCAGAACTCGCCGATACCCGGGTCCGCGTGGAGGAAAAGGAGGGATTGATCGACGTCAATGCCGACAACTACAAGGCGAAGCGCGCGCAGCGGTGCAGCGAGCTGGAGGCGGCCCTGCTCGAAGTAGCAGAGAAGCTGACGGATGAAATGATCTGCAAGATGGAGAGCAAAACATTCATCCGCGGCGCGTACTATCTCTGCACCCAGCTCCTCACCAGGGCCTACCATCAAGGCATTCACGTGTCGAGCGAGGAAATACTGAGGCTGAAGAAGGTGGCAGAGTACGCCGCCAAGAAGAAGCAGAGCATCGTCTTCCTGCCGAGCCATCGCTCGCACGTTGACTATGTTTCTCTGCAGTTGATATGCTACCGCCTCGGACTTACGCTACCAGTCGTTGTTGCTGGCGACAACCTCAACTTCCCCGTTGTGGGCAGCTTCCTCCAACATGCGGGGGCAATGTGGATCAGGAGGTCTTTTGGTGATGATGCGCTCTACGGCACACTGGTTCAATCGTATATTGACACCTTGCTTCAGGAAGGCTTCAATTTTGAATGCTTCATTGAAGGCGGTCGTTCGCGTACCGGAAAGCTTCTCCCGCCCAAGTTCGGCATCCTGAGCTTTGTCCTAGACAGCATTCTGTCTGGCAGAGTCGAGGATGCGATCATCTGCCCTGTCAGCACGCAGTACGACAAGGTCATTGAAACAGAGGGTTATGTGACTGAACTGCTAGGCGTGCCGAAAAAGAAGGAAAATCTCGCCGACTTTCTGTCCGGCGGCTCCTCGGTTCTCTCTCTCAAGCTTGGCAGAGTTGACGTCCGGTTCAATGAGCCATGGAGCTTGCGAAAATTCATCGATGATCAACTATCCAGGCTACCCGTCGTCCCTGCTGGGCTCGACACCGACCATCACAACCCGCAGGTTAGGAAGGCCCGTGAGAAAATCCTGCGAACTTTGGGATACAAAGTTCTGGGCGACATCAATGAAGTATCTGTCGTCATGCCCACTGCTCTTATCGGCACCGTTCTGCTGACCCTTCGTGGCCGCGGCGTGGGCAAGGCTGAATTGATACGAAGAATTGAGTGGCTCACAGATCGTGTTCGCGCCAAGGGCGGCAGAGTTGCTCACTCGGCCAATGTCCCCTTGTCTGAAGTCATGGAACGTGGTCTCGAGGTTCTTGGAAAGGATCTTGTAGGCGTCGTGGAAGGGCTTCCCGAACCCACCTTTTATGCCGTCGATCGGTTCCAGTTGTCATTCTATCGCAATATGACAATCCATCTATTCATTTACGAGGCTCTCGTCAGTGCTGCTCTGTACACAAAGGTTAAACTCGGAGGCGGCCCGGCAATGCAAAGCATCTCTTACGAGGACCTCAGAGCCCAAGTTCTCTTCCTGTCGTCGCTTTTCCGTGGAGAGTTTATCTTCTCGGGAGAGGGTCTAGAGCGCAACTTGGAGAAGACCCTGCTTGGCTTAGAGACTGACAAAGTCATGCGGCTGGATCGTGATGAGCATGGGAACATCACGACAATCGGACTCTCAGACCAAGAGCGCAGTGTTGGGCGAGAGAATTACGACTTCTACTGCTTCCTGATCTGGCCCTTCATCGAAGCTAGTTGGCTAGCTGCAGTGTCTCTAATCGGATTGACCCCTCCAGAAGGCAAGACCGACATCTGGATCGAATCGAGTAAAGCTCAGGACACAGCACAGACAGTAAGTAATTTGCCTTTCTTTCAATGAATGCTCATATTCTATTGTGCTAACCATTACCTTCACAGCTCGGTAAAACACTCTATCATCAAGGAGATCTGTCCTACTTTGAAGCCGTCAACAAGGAGACTTTGCGTAACTCGTATGTCCGGTTTGAGCAGGAACAGATGGTCCATGTTGTGCGAAGCAAAGACGCCAAGGTCCCTCCCCGTATCCAATTAGATCCTACCTGGCGACCTCCTCGGGACCCTACCACCGGCAAAGTCCAGGCAAGTGGGAAACTCTGGGAGTTTACAGAGAAAATTGCCAGCTCACGCCGTGAGGGCAAGAACCGTCGTGATGGGGCTACGGTTAGCAGCCGGGTGCTCAGGCTCACTGACATCCTGGGCCAGAAAATGTTCGACGAGGCCGAGGCCGGTGAGCGCAGTGGGAAGGGCAAAGCCCCGACCCGGCTCAGCAAGGACGAAGAAGAGACGTTCAGCCGGGCGAAGAGGGAGGCAAGGAGAAGGAGGAAGCTAGAAGCGCGTCCAAACTTGTAAGAAGATTTGTTTTTATTATCTATTTTATCAGCGTAGTCTATATGTAAAAAAAAGCCCTCGATGAAGAACCGGGGAACTCGCTATATCCCAACCCTATATAGTATCATAGCTTTTGTTATCTTTTTGTTTGCTGGGCTTTAGAATGTCTCAATATACGCAGAATATCTTTTCGCAAAGATATGATATTTTATGTCTCTACTCTTTTGAATATTCGGTCTTGGGCTTCAGAATGATGTTATCAATCAGCCGGACAGCCGGGCCGCCTCCGAAGCCGACATCCTCGCCTTCGGCTGCCTTTTCCACGGGAAGCATCTTGATCGCACCGCTCAAGACAGCTCCCTTTTCTGGGTCGACCTGATCCACCTCCATCATGGTCTCAGGGTCAGCCAGCGAGATGTAATCCACCTCGAATAGCGCCCTCTTCTCCTCGGGGAGCTCGTCCTGAGTCGCCCGCACCTCCTCGGCAACGCGCCGTGCCGCCCCCAGCAGCGTCTCACGGTCATACGCCTCGCCATTTTGATAAAGAGCTTCGGCAGCTCTGAGCGACCGGTACAACACCGTGGCGATCTCTCGTCTGCGTGTTCCCAGGTACACATTCCGCGAGCTGAGCGCAAGCCCGTCCTTGGGATCCCTCTCAGTCGGGCACACGACCACCTCGGTCGGAACCATCAGGTCAGTGACCATGCGGCGAATGACGACCGTCTGCTGCACGTCCTTCTGCCCAAAGTACACCCTGGTCGGCTGCACGATGTTGAACAGCTTCATGCACACCGTCGCCACGCCCCGGAAGAAGGTCGGCCGGCTCGCCCCCTCCAGCACCTCCCCCACGGGGGTAATAGTCACGAAGCTCCCCTTGCTGTCCACGTCCTGCCCGGGAAACCCGCTGGGGTACATGTCCCCCGTCGTTGGTGCGAACACGGCCGTCACGTGGCCCAGGTTGCCGCCGTCCTCGGCGAGCTCGCGGTCCAGCCTCGCGAGGATCTTGGAGTCAGCCTCCCACGTCTTGGGGTACGAGTCGAGGTCCTCCGAGCGGCCGAACTGGGCGGGGTTGACGTAGACGCTCACTATTACGTGGTGGTTCTCGCGCGCGGCGGCGCGGATGAGGGCGACGTGGCCGGCGTGGAGGGCGCCCATGGTGGGCACGAGGCCGACGGAGCGCTGGGTCTCGGCATGGGGGCGGCGCCAGCGGCGGACGGAGTCGACGGATCGGAGGACGCGGATGGCAGACGACGGGAGGGTCTCGCGGGATCGCAGGGTGGACTTTGTGCCGCATGCGAAGCGGATCTGGGTCGACGTGGCGAGGAGGGCGCGGAGCTGGTGCCGCTGGGGCAGCGCTGGTCGTGTGAGCTTTCTTGGCAGCATTCTGCTGGTCGGGAGGGGGAAAAGATTATGTGGATTGTTTGGAATGTAGATCAGCAAGGTTTGAGGGGTTTTTGTATGCCCCATGCGGCCATTGTTGAGTCACAATGGCCACGAGGTTTAGAGTGGGAAGTGACCGTTTCTACGGTGCAGTTTTGAGGCCGATGGATAAGATAAATGTTCGGCGTAGGTTATGTCATTCCGGGTTGAGGGTCTAGTACTGCGCTGGCTACCCTAAACATCACAGGTCCAGAAATGCATGATACCAGGCATGCAGTAACTGCATTATAGTAGGCTAGAAAGGAATTTACTTTCACTTCTATCATTAGGCCTGATTGTAATTCGAAGTGGCTTGATTTACTTCTTCACGTGTACTAACTTTTTTATTGTTCGGAAGACTATTGGTAAGTGCAAAAGCGGAAATAAAGTCAAGGCTTATGAAATTAAACATATACCCTTGAGATATTAATGCACGAGGAAGGGCTTTTTTTTTCAATCTAATCTTCTTTTGAAACCCCCTTTGGTTACCTTTCTTGCTCAAATTAAATCCAACTGGATATGACTCTAGAAACAAGTTGAAATGGTTGGATATAGCTGCGAAGTCATCGTAGCTCCACACGGGATTGCCTGGTGGAATTCACTGCCGGAGACCCCACAGCACCTGTACAGTAGTTTTAACACTCGCAGACGAGCTGTTAAACCTCCGAGCCAATACTATACATCTAGTCGGAATGACGAATGCCCCATAGCTACATGATGCGTTTTTAAGGATTTCCTCGTATTGGCTACCGAGCAACGATATATGCCATCTGTAGCCAAATGATACACCAGTGTCTAGGTAGGCTGTTTTGGCCATCTCATAAGAAAGAGAATTCTAGGGGATTAGACATAGTAAATAGAACAAAGAATCCTTGCGAATGCAAGCTAAGGATGAATCTAGGTGCGGCTGCACAAAGTACCGGGCTCTTAGCAATTCTAATGTAGCTGCTTACGTAGAGTGGTTGCCCCAAGTGTGCCTCAACGTTCAAGTCACAGCAATTTCAACCCGCCCGGAGGGGTTGTTAGGCAAGTCGCCTGCAGCATTGATTTATGGGACATTTCGATTTGGCACAGCAATCTTCACCTCTCTAGAAGGCTTGTATGAGATTTCTGAGCAACCACTCTACCCACATTGAGGGGTGCCGCAGCTGACAGCAATCTTGACTTACTCAGAGGGGCTGCTAGGCAAGAGGCGAAATCCTTGTTAGGCAAATAGGGCAGGCCGTTGTTGAGATGGGCCCTGCCAATGATTTGTGGAATGCTACTTGCTGATGTCTCCCGAATTTCCTTGTTCATAGTTTGGAAAGCGCACCAGGAGTGATCCTACTGTACTGATGAGGCAATGGTGTTATCTGCTTAATACATCTAGAGCCCTTTTGTATGAGAGTCTTGGTCTGTAGGGGTATGATATCAATCTGCTCGAATATAAGGCTCGTTGAAGCTCGAGCATAGTGCTGCACTACTTTCGATATTTCCACGAAGTTGTGCCAAGCCCCCAACATCCCACAGCCTATAGATGACGTGTGCCTAGAGGAGGGGGGGGAGGTAGAGTTTGATGACTGATTGGCGAGTGAGTGGCCCGGTTTGCACAGCATTTTTAACCCGGCCCAAGAACTTGTCGAGCCAGCGGTTGCCCGTTGTAAACATAAGCCTTGAACCTGATGGGCATGACAAAGTAGATGGCGGCTTGAAAATGGTGTACAAATTGTTAATCTGCTTCTGCTTCCCATTTCCCAACCTACCTACGCCTACCTACATCGGCAAGCGCACCGTGACCTTATTGCGCTACTTGCTGCACGATTCATCAAGGCACTGATGATGGCTGATCTACGGGCTTATCTACGTGTAAATGTGCCTTACCTACCTAACAGTCAAAGGCGATTTTGGCCGGCACATCAATCGTCCTGGGTGGCTGTGTTGTGTCATCCCCTGCTTGACCATTCTTGGGAGAGGCTAAAAATTGCTGTGCACACAAGGCTAATAGAACACACCTGCCACCTGCAGGAATGACGTTGATTGAGGGTGGAATTTACGTCGCCACGGATGTCATTGGGCATATCAGCAATTTCAACCTCGGCCTTGTTAGGGACATAGCCTTGCATTGTAAGCTCTCTATACGATCACAGATGGGAAAATTATGGTTTCGATATGATTGTAGTGTAGAGTTGTGTCATTAGAAAATCGTACTAATAAATCTAGTCTATCCCAAACCTCTATTCAGTTTATTTCAACCCATTCAGATGCCCAGTCATCATTCACCCATTCTATCCCAACCCATTACCAATTACCTCTATCCCATTTACCAGTAACCAAAAATTTCATATCTCATATCTGATCAACCAGAAACCTGGAGATTCTTATTCCCAATAAGCCGGCTTATGCCATGGCACCGCCACGCTTATCCTGGCTCAGCCTCTGCCACCTGGTACCGAAACCAATTAGCGTGGCGAGACCAGAGCAGGCAATGCACATGGCGAACACGACCTTGAGCCCGGTCATGTAGCCGTCAATGACGTCGTGCTGCTGCTCGCTGGGGAAGACGTTGCGGATCTCGGTCGCGCCGGTGAGGACGAGGAGGGCCTGGTCGACGCCCGGGTTGAGGCTCATGACCTTTGCGATCATCTGGTTGACGAAGGCGGCCTGGGAACCCGAGACGAGGAAGGCGCCGCCTAGCCCTTGGAAGAAGAGGAGCATGCCCGTCGCGGAGGCGAGGTCCTTGGGGTCGACGGTGCCCTGGACGGCGATCATGGGGATCTGGAAGGCGAGCCCCCACCCCGCGCCGGCGAGGATCTGGTACCCGATCCACTGGCCGGTGGAGGAGTTGGTGTCAAGCAGGTAGAGGAGGCCGCTGCCCACGGTGGCCATGACGCCGCCGGCGATGAGGAGCGGCTGGTAGTAGCCGGTGGCGGAGACGAGGGCGCCGCTGGCGATGGTGGAGATGGTGACGGCGATGATCATGGGCAGGTTGCGGACGCCGCTCATGGTGGGGGAGGTGCCGTGGACGGACTGGAAGTAGACGGGGATGTAGTAGATGGCGGCGAAGAAACCACCGGCGAAGACGAAGGCGAAGGCGCTCATGATGTAGTTGGTGCGCTCCTTGGCGAGTCGGGGGGGAACCATGGAGCGCTCGCCCTGGATCCACTGGAGACCAGCCCAGGCGGCGACGATGGCGACGAAGCCGACGAGGAGGCCGACGACGACGGAGGAGTTCCAGGGGTGGGCGACACCGCCGTACTGGACACCGAGGAGGTAGGCAATGACACCGCCCATGACCAGAGCGACACCTGGGAGATCCATCTGGCGAAGCTTCTCGAGGAGGGGAGCCTGCTCAGGGACGGCATGCTTGGGGGTCTGGAAGAAGAGGAGGATGATGCCGGCCGAGACGCCTCCGATGGGGAGGTTGATGTAGAAGCACCATCGCCAGCTGACGTTGTCGGTGAAGGCACCGCCCAGGAGGGGTCCGATGACACTGGCGAAACCGTATGCGGCACCGATGATGCCTGTGAAGGCCGGGCGGTTCTTGGGGGGAGCGGCGAAGGCGATGATGGTGTAGGCTCCCGCGCCGAGACCTGCTGCGCCAAGTCCGGCGATGGCACGGCCGGCAATGAGGGCTTCGGCGGAGGGGGCGGCGCCACAGATGACGGAGCCGAGCTCGAAGATGAAGATGGCGATGAGGAAGGATGTCTTCAGGGGGAAGTACTTGTAGATTTTACCCCCTTTTTATAGGAGTTAGCAAGCTTGGTTTTGTAGATTGGCGGGGTTGAAGCCACTTACATGTAGATTGGAAGGCGCCGACTGTCATGAAGAAGGCGGCTCCATACCAGCCAGCCTTGTCGAGACCCTTGAATTCGTCTGTGATCTTAGGAATGGCGGTTGCAACAATGGTCTTATCAGGGGTTAGCCATGTCGTTGAAGTTCAATGGGTGTAGGGGCGAAACATACCATATCCAGAGAAAGGAGGAAGATACTGAGGACGAGAGCCACGACGATGAAAAACATCTTGATTCCTGTAGGATACTCGATATCATCGGGATTGTTTGAGTCGGCCACATCTTCTTCCTCTTTGGTTGAAGCGGCCCGCTTCTCGTCTGAGGACTCTTCTTCAAGTTCCTTTGCCTGGGGAGCGGCAAGGTGGCTGGCCAGGGTAGATGCCGAGGAGGAGCGAGGATCGGTTTCATTCCCCAGCTCCTTGAGTGGTGCTAGCGTCGACATGTTGTTTGATAAGCTTTTCTGTTGATCTTGATCTTTGCTTTGTGCTGGAGAAGTGGTGATCATGGATTGAATTGCTCTGAGATCTGATGGTCCGGAAACCAGTCTAAGGAGGAACCGGCGGGGATACTTTATATCCTGTGTGCCCTCCACGGGACCGGCCCACGGGAGCCATGTCGAAACATGACGACCATCGTATAGATCGGTAAGGATGATGGATTTCTAATCTTCGGGGACATTGCTTGCGGAGCGCAAAGAGTCAGACACTAGCTAGCTCCAGCATAACGCCGAAGAGGTGCGGATGATGGGCCAGGCAGTTTTCTGCCAAAACGACAAAGAAAAAGAGCCGGGCCCCCTAGTTCAGCATCAATAAACGTGAGTGATGGTGGAATTTGGCTCGACAAGCTACTTGGCCAAAGTCCGTGACTAGGCTTAAGGCCGTGAAAAACGTTTAGGCTAGCGACAGCCGGACCCAGCGCTAGAACAAGATGTGCGGCAGGCTCAGGTTCTGGCCCGGCGACTAATTACAGCAAGTCTCCGCCGAGTGCTGGGGCTTGTTAGGGGGGGCCTGCTCACCATGAGCCATGCGTTGCACATTCTCATTGGCTACCGAACTCCGACCAGGCGAGATCCGGGCTCAGATCTACCACATCTGCTAGGCCCTCCTGGTCTTAGGGCCTGCGCTGATCCGGCACTTTACAGGCAGGACAGTCCTGAACAGCCTTATCACACTCGCTAAAACCCCCAAGTCCGCAATCAATCCGCCGCCAGCTTTACTGAGCGGCCGCTGCTGACATACACCAGGCAAAACTCCGCAGACGCTGCCCAAATGATTGATTCTCGGTGCGCCACATGGAGCTTCCGTCGAGATGATTTCCCACTATCGCATCGCTTGCTGACCAACCCCGGAGATAAAGCAGACGGCCGTCTAGATTGACCTGCGCACGATGGCACACAATGACGGAGACTGTCCTCACAGGGACTAACCACCACCCTCTACGCTATTGTTAAGCCTAATTCGTCATCCTGGGCCGCTATTACTCAACAGAACCTGATGGTTCACCGTGTCTCATCGTTATGCCAATGAGTCATCAGCGGGAATCATCCGCTATTTCGATCTAGTTCCAGAGTGGACTTTACGTGAGCATGTTAGATTGGTGGGACCATAACGCTTGAGCAATTGATCGTTATTCCCATGTCCGTTCGGATCTTATCTTCTTACTTGCCAGAGAGTAGCTCCAACCAATTCGGTCTGCGGAAAATTCATCCGCAGATCCTTTTCTTTGTAGCCGTAGCCTCGCCTGCATTGGTCTGCCCAGAGGGAGACGATTGCGATCGCATCTCTCATGTAAAACTGCAAGATCACATAGGATCCCCATCGGTAATGTTTGCGGCACATTGCATTGTTGGAAATAAATTATCAATACTAGTTCTACATGGTTTGGTTGTGTACTGTATCTTCTTACTCATCTCGCTGATTTTCGTACCCAACACCCCCTGACCTGTAATCACAAAGGATTAAGTCAGGCCAGCACAGATCGTTTTCACACCTGAGCCGCATCAATCCCCGACTTGGTTGCCTTGAGGTATGGAGGCTGCATGCTTGCATGCCAGGAACTGGTACCCTGATGATTGCCCTGTGCCCAACAAACAACCCATAATGTGCACGGCGGAAAAGGAGGCCGGAGATACGATAAAGAGGCATCTTGCCCACTATGGCACCTCGTATGTATTTTGCTCAGGTACTCTAGATCCTTAAATCCGATGCTGTTATCATCACCATGCTGTTTACTCCCTGAAGATGACATGTCATCAGGACGTCTATTTCTCCGCGCCGCTCGTAGCATTAAGTGCTCACAAGGGGGAATTGACAACTGGCCTGCCTACCGCCAATCTTGTATGAATTGGGCTGTTATCGTAGTTCATTCTCCGTGATATTAGCATTTTTCATGGGGAAATTACTGCTTCTTGATTGATTTATCGAGCGTTATAAATTAGTTCTCATTCTCGCTGGCTAAAGATATACCGTAATCTTTGTATTCCAATACCCATCCCTCATCCTGAGCCAAGCGGACATGGTATCTTACCTGATACTCATTGCTCACATGTCCCGGGTACGACTGTTCATCCCATCTGCAACCTAGGTCACGCTTCACGCTCTCCTGGCGAACATAAGTGCCAAGGCGCCCGTGATTGGAATCGCCCCCCTTGGTCACTACTCTGGCATACCTCTTGGAGCCAGTGTCTTTGGTGGAGCCTGTAGACTTGGCCTGGATGGAGCGTACCTGTTTGAGGAATTCATCACAGGCAGCCATGACTTCGGCAATTGGATTGAAGTTGCCGTCCGTCGTGCTTGCTGGTCTCTTAGGATATAGGACGTCATTATATTCAATTTCCGTTAACTCGCTCTGGACATCTTCAACGCAACCCAGAGCCCTTTCAATATGGTCCTTTGAATCCTCGTGAACCTGATCAAACATCTGGAACACTGTGCTAGGGCGACCGTTGTCAAGAGGCTCGAACTGGTCAAAAAAGCTATTGACAGCAGTTTGAGCCTCGGCGAGTGTGGCCTCACGAACATTTTTCAGGTGCAAGACACGAGCAGCAGCTTGATCGCTATTGGACTGCACAACGAGTAACATGTCGCTGGCATATATATGAAGGTTAAACTCCTCGCGATCGCCGGGGACTAGCGACGATGTGGCGCTCGAGAATCCAGCTGCATCGCCATCGTGGGATGCTGCGACCTGATCTGCCATACTTGGGCGTGTGAGGCCTGTATGATGTGAATTTTGGTCAGCCTTGGCCTGCTGCAACGGATGAGGTTGTTGCAATTGAAATGGAAATCAGCTCACTGGCTAGGGTGCTGCTTTGGTCTCTGACTGTTTGTAGATTCTTTGGGTACTGGCAGATGCGTTTGTGCGAGAGGAGGGGTACTGGAAGAACAAGGCTGATTTTGAGAGGGGGAAACGCGGTTAAATACTCTTTACATGTACACACATACGTACATAAATACACCTACATAGTACACTGCTGGAGTCCCAAAAATAGCAACCCACTGGCTCCGCACTCATGCATACAATACGTAGAATGTCAGCTGAGTAGATATGCGAGGATTATGGATTGTACCGGCTTGAAGCTACGAGTCCGTGGCATCTGGGCGTCCCCCGTGAAACCTTCAATGGGAAGAAGCGTGATGCCCAATGTCTCCCCAGAGCGCACCAGGGTTTTGATGACCAGGGTAAACTGATGCAAACACATTTAATTCAGAATAATTTACTATATAATTTGGGCCTCTAATTTTAACTATATCTGGCAGTGATACGCAGGTAGAATAAAGGACGGAACACCTCCGTGGAGACTTATTCTTCTATCTCGCGAGGCTGGGGAGGAGGTTGTTTCTCGACGTGGACCACCTGCATCATCGGGTGATGGAGCTTAGCAAACTCTGAGTTTTGGTCACCAGATTGATGCTCTTTAAAAAGATCAAGCTGTTTATCCCTATATATCGAATTAGCTCTGAGGGTTTTGGGAATGTGGCAGTAGGGTCTTACAAGCTGCCCATCATCTGTTGCATGCTGATTTCCTTGTATTTTCCGGCTCCATGTTTTGCATCAATCTCGGCTTGTGTCATCGGCCGCAGATCATACACCTCACGGTCTATGTTGAGAGGTTAGTCACAGAAACAAGTATGAGAGTAATGGTTCAAATGGTCTTACGGCCTTTGTGCTCATCCCCAAAGGAGACCTTCTCTTGGTGTTTACCAGGACGTTGTCTGGTAGCCTCAGGAAGCACTGCTTCTGGGTGTTTTCCCACATATTTTTGCGTTTGGACAAACGAAGGTTGTTGCCCACTACTATGTGACCAGCCCATTGTGTCAGGATGCCCATTCGTCCTTGAGTATTCTGAAAATGTCGAGGCTGGGCCGTCACCGAATTTTATACCTACCTTGGTAAGCCCTGCTGGCAAGGGCGCTGCTGGATTCGGCCAAACTGCCATATACATCCCGTGTTGAGCCTTGCCTGCATACTCTTCCTTCAATTTCGGTAATGGTTGAGGTTGATTGTTAGAAGGACTTTGACTCGAGGCCGAGTTTGAGCTCGACGAATCAGTCTTTGGACGTTGAGCTCCCGTATTTCCTCCATCGTCAGTTGCTTTTCTCTTTTCTCCTGTTTTAGGGGCATTGCAAGTTGGGTCATTATCAGCGCGACACCCTAACACAGGGGCTCTACTAGGAGAGCCAGATTTTGGCTGTCCAGCCTTGAGAGGGTTGTTGTTTCCCTTAGAAGTATTCTTGTCGCTGGCAGCGCCCTTGCCAGTGGTGGCTTTCCTTTGGGGACCATTCTTTGGATTGTGCTTGGCATTATTCGTGCCCCCATTATTGCTCTTGCCTTTGGATGTACTCTTTCCCTTGGCATGGTTCTTGCCTTTGGATGCATTCTTTCCTTTGGCATGGTTCTTGCCTTTGGATGTATTCTTTCCTTTGGTATTGTGCTTGCCTTTGGATGAATTCCTTCCTTTGGCATGGTTCTTGCCTTTGGATGTAGCTTTTTTGCCAGAAGAAATTTTGGGTCTATTCTCGCCGTTGAGACTTTTCTTCCCCTGAGCTAGATTCTTGCCTTTAGAGACGGCTTTTCTTTGGGGAACACCCTTGGACTGACTCTTGCCCTTGGAAGCAGCTTTTCTCCCAGATGAACCCTTGGATGAATTCTTTCCCTTGGATGAATTCTTGCCCTTGGATGAATTCTTGCCCTTGGATGAATTCTTGCCCTTGGATGAATTCTTGCCCTTGGATGAATTCTTGCCCTTGGATGAATTCTTGCCCTTGGATGTATTCTTGCCCTTGGAAATAGCTTTTCTCCCTGGTGAACCTTTCGAGTTCTTCGTTCCCTTGGCATTATTCTTGCCCTTGGAAATGTTCTTGTTATTAGAGCCTCGCTGTCCCTTAGAAGCAGAGTGGCCCTTGGTATTAGCTTTACCCCTGGCAGCGCCTTTCCCTTTGGAAGCTCCTCTTTGTTTGGAAGCATTCTGGCTTTTGGGAACCTTCTTTCCCTGAGACGTATTTGCCTTTGAAGCGGCCTTCTTTGCTGCCTGCTTTTTGTGCGAAGTTTTACCTCCTTTAGGCGTGGTCTTTTTATGAGCAGCCTTTCCTCGTCCTGACGAAGCTTTCTTCTTGGAGGGAGCTTTCGTAGAGTTGGCTTTCTTGGAAGATGCCTTTTTTGGTCCCGCCTTCTTTGTTGTAGTTTTCTTTGGTGTAGGAGTAGCCTTCTTGGACGCGGTCTTCTTTGATGCATGGGCAGCTTTATTGGAGCCATTCTTCTTGGGGGTAGTCTTCTTGGGTGTAGACTTCTTAGGTGTAGACTTCTTGGGGGTAGACTTCTTGGGGGTAGACTTCTTGGGGGTAGTCTTCCTAACTGGAGTCTTCTTAGGTGCAGTCTTCTTAGGTGTACTCTTCTTGGGTGTAGTCTTCTTGGCTGGAGTCTTCTTGGGTGTTGTCTTCTTGGGTGTTGTCTTCTTGGGTGTTATCTTCTTGCCCGGAGTCTTCTTGGCTGGAGTCTTCTTAGGTGCAGTCTTCTTGGCTGGATTCTTCTTAGGTATAGACTTCTTAGGCGTAGACTTCTTAGCCGGAGTCTTCTTAGGTGTACTCTTCTTTGGTGCAGTCTTCTTAGGTACGGTCTTCTTGGGTGTACTCTTCTTTGGTGCTGCCTTTTTAGGTGTAGACTTCTTGGGTGTAGACTTCTTGGGCATAGACTTCTTAGGTATAGTCTTAGCTGCAGTCTTCTTAGGTACAGTCTTCTTGGGTGTACTCTTCTTTGGTGCTGCCTTTTTAGGTGCTGCCTTCTTCGGTGCGATGGGGGATTTCTTTGGTGCTGCTTTCTTTGGTGCTGCTTTCTTTGGTGCTGCTTTCTTTGGTGCTGCTTTCTTTGGTGCTGCTTTCTTTGGTGCTGCTTTCTTTGGTGCTGCTTTCTTTGGTGCTGCTTTCTTTGGTGCTGCTTTCTTTGGTGCTGCTTTCTTTGGTGCTGCTTTCTTTGGTGCTGCTTTCTTTGGTGCTGCTTTCTTTGGTGCTGCTTTCTTTGGTGCTGCTTTCTTTGGTGCTGCTTTCTTTGGTACCGGGGCGGCTTTCTTGGGGGCAGCTTTTGGCGGAGCCTTTCTTTTGGCGAGAACTTTTCCATTGTAGACGCTGTTCCAGTTGTCCTCGACCGAATAGTTCTCCTGCTTTACCTTGATGATCACCCTGTAATTAATATATGGCTTAATTGAATCTTGTTGGCTGAGTTTGAAAACTCACAGACTCTGTTGTATTATTCGTTCCATGAGTTTGTTGGACGGAGGTTCTAGCGAAAGCCTGTAGCCCCGGTTCGGTCGTTCCAAACTTGTTTGTTGAAAACGTGGTGTCCTGAGATTCTTCCCTAGCTTTAGCCAGAATAGCTAAGCAGGGAATGGTATAGATTATTCTTGGGAGAAGCATTGTGTATTAAGTGATCTGCATGCTCAGCTATGCAGCCATGCGAATTCAGAATCTGGGAAGATTGAGGGAAAATCAAAGTGGAAATTCGATTTGTATGTCAAACAAATTAAAACAAGAGGTAATATGTACAGATGAAAAATGGAAATGAGAAATGAAGAATGAGTTACAGCTTCCTCAACATTGAGCAGATGGTATTTGTTTATATTGATTCTTTATGTGAGCCCCTATTTGAAGATATGAATTTCAGCCTTACGGTCCGCTTCCCATCGCAAGAGCCAGGAGACTGGTGTGGTAAGATGGCAGAAGAAAAAACTCATCACTATACTTAGGCATAACGCCGAAGGTGGGTATCTCGATCAACAGGCAAACACCTAGTGAGTTGCGGCTGAATCTGCACGTCCTAACAGCCCAGGATAAGCTATTCCTTCATGCAAGAAGCTAATAATAGGGAGTATATATAACGTGAGTAATGCAGCCTACTTCTATTTTGTCTGGACCTCTGCTGTTCCATTAGAAACCAAAGAACTTCTGCATATGTCTTACCTCCACTGTGCCGTAAGAAACCAAAGAACTTCTGTACGAAATATTGCCGAATCTACCTGGTGTGGTAAGAAACTCGCAAGGGGCTAAGCTGACATAGGGCGAGGTTACCACGAGAAGCCCACTAGCAATAAATTGGGCTAGCAAGTGTGATGGAATAATCTCTGGCAAGGAATCACGGAATATGTCCAAAAACTTACCCATGATTCGCTGGTAACCGGTACTCCATCCTTTGGCTCCAATAGCAACAAAGCACGGCACACCGTATCTGCATATACATGCCAGTTGAAGGCGCAGACTGGCATTTTTTTGGTACGCCCACCACTAAAAATAAATCGATTCACGTGGTAGCCTTCACATCAATTAAACTCTTCAACCAAATGCAATAATGCCCCCTTTGATAAGCTTTATTTTTACCACCCGAGCTATCACACAGAATCTACACTATTCAAGCCCGCAAGTCTACTATTAACAACGGTTGTGGCTATCTTGTTGATCATTGTACCTGTAACCTAAATCCTAGTGGACGGCGGCCCGCCCCAGCGCGCTAAAGCCTCCAAACATGGCCGCCCGCCAGCATCCTAGCCGGGCCAGGGGTTTTCAGACGAGGTGATTTTCAACATGGGCATGTGCTCGTTGAATCTGAATATAATACTTACCAGTAAGGCTGTTCCTGCTAAAGCCCTGCTGCAACTCTGCTGCAGGGATGGCTTCAGACTGTTAAGGGAATAATGTATTGAGGAAGAAGCGTTTGGTCCCTAAACAACGGTATATGCTCGTCGTTCCTAGGTTGGTAAGGCGCTGTGTTTTGTACCTATCAGGCTTAGGTAAGCCTGCTAGACCACTGTTAGGCCCCTGCTTGAAAACCCCTCACTTGCGTACCTAGGATGGAAGTTAGTATGTAGGTAGGTTCAGATTGGCGATAGCTACGTCGGGCGATAGCCCCGAGGTAGATCGGATCCTTGTGAATCTAGCGACTAAGCATAAGGAGATCCGAACCATCCCGAATGGCTAGATTCACAAGGATCCGATCTATCTCGGTGCTTTCAATTTTTCAGTTTTCACGAGAACCTCTGCAGGAAAGAAGCGTGCAGTTAGGCCGTATTGACTTGGTTGGAAGACGACTAGTGAGGCAAGTTGTGGACTGGTCGCTTTGTGGGGAGGCCTGAAAAGGCTACTAATGACCGCCGCCATTGCGGCATGGAGTAAATACTGGTCAAGCACGAGTTCTGGATGGAGAGACGCGCAAGATTGATTCCCGTCAAGCCTGGGGATGGCGCTCCTAGGTGACATGCAATCGCATCAAGGCTGTTGGTGTTATCTCAGGATGGTGTTTTCAGAGATGGCCAACGAGGCAGATCCCGAGTACTCTCGTGCAGATTTAACCATAGATGTTCCCAACGATGTGAGGCGAAAGTAATGTCTAGAATGATCATCAGAAGGCAGTAATCTGAAGGCATATTGGAACAATTAACCTTTGTTACATAGCCGGATGTGATGTTTTGCACTGCCTTGGGATGATTTCTGGACGGTAACAAAAGCCGGTCATGTCGCCCAGGTCTCCTAAAATTAAGATATGTATATATTGCTGCGGCCTGACCAGAATGATCACAATCATTGGGTCGCGGATATTAAATATGTCAATTGCTGAGCATCTGGTCGTTTTGCGTATTCGGTTGGGCACAGCCATGCTTTAACGCAGCCTTAGTGGAGAAGCGATCTATGAGCCAAGCACAGCCAAGGCTCACAAAGCTGAGATTAATCACACTCGGTAGCCAATAATCCCTCCTGGCACTTGTCATCCTCCAATCAGAAAGGAAATGATTGTCTTGGGCTTTCCTGCTCGATCCTGGGCACGCGACAATGCGGTCGATTAGAGGGGAGGCTATAATACGGCAGGAGAGCCTCGGCAGTGATGCATACGTCATCGTCATTGAATGTCTGAATCACTATATCTGATCGTCTGTCTGCCGCTCATCCTCGACTCAGAGCACTACGCGGAGCATTAAAAGACCATCCTGTTCTCCTGTTCTCCTGTGCTGGAAGAAACCACCACGCACCCTCACAGCCACTGCCATCCAACCCTCTCCTCCATAACCCAAGAGATGGCAACTGAGGACCCCATCCGAAGCGATGGACTGCCGTCCTACGGCGACGTCGCAACCACCGACGCCGCCAACCAAATGCTCCAGCCCACCACGCTCTACGCGGCCTCGCGCTTCATCCACTCCTCGGACCCCCAGGCCGCGCCCCTATACGAGCTCTCCCACTCCGTCGGATTCCTTAGCGACACGGACCGCAAGGTCGTCCTTGAGCGCCTCGAGCACAACGTCCGCAGCGTCGGCGGCATCCCAACCGTCGCCACGCGCAAGCGGTCCCTCTTCCACCTCACCCACCGCACGGCCGCCGAGATGCCCGCGTTCGCCTTCCAGGCCGAGTCGCGCACCCGCCGCACCGCCAGCATGGGCATCGAGAGGGTCTCGCGCTTCGGGCGCAGGTCCGGGTTCAGGGTGTGTCGCGCCTTCTTCAGCGGCACGGGGCCGGGGCGGTACGAAGCCGGGCCCGTCATGTTCTCCGCCGTGCCGCCCACGAGCAGGAAGCAGCAGGACGTCGCGTGGGAGTGGAGCGACGGCGAGGGGGCCCTGCTGGCGCGCGAGGTGCAGGCGGGGGGACTGATGAGTCTGGTCGTGACGGCGGAGATGACGGCCGGTACGAGGGATGCCCTGGTTGCGGCGTGGTTGATGAGGGTTTGGTGGGGGCTTGCTGGCGGGTGATGGCTTTAGGTCGAGGCTCCCGGTGATGATTGCTGGCTTACGAAGAAACGAGAAACGAAAAGTTAAACGACACAAGGCGCAGAAATAGAAATAAAAATCATGATATCCTATAAGTTGGTATGGTCTCGTCAAATTGTCTTTGGGAACTCGCCGGTGTTAATATACGTCCCACAGACTAACTTTGCCATCTTTGGCTCCTCCAGCTACCCAATGTGTAGTTTTGGCCTGTTGTACCCTTTTTTCCTTCACCGTGGGAGTATTCAGTAATTGTATCCGCCTATCCGGATTTTCTGAGCTGGTATTTCCAGCAGTTGTCTCTGGTTTGTCTTTGGGCGTCGTGTCTGAGTCGAGATCAGCAAAGGCGACGGCGTAGCAGCCAACCTTGTGCCACTGCAAAACCGCCAGCTCTTTGAGCGTCTTGCAGGAGTATATGCGGAAATTGCCATCCCAGCCGGCCGTTGCGAATATCTTCCCGTCGGATCGGATCTTGAGGCCCTGCTGGCCAGAGTGTTTTGTGTTCGTCACCTTATGGGGGTGTTCCCAAGCTGTCATCTTGGCCTTGCTCTTGGCTCTGGATTTTCCAGAGCTTCCACCAAGCTGTGATGAAAGAAGAGACGGCCCTGGTGGAGTGTCTGTTGGTAAATCATCGATCTCCTCGATGATTCGGTTGTCCGGGTCGAGCACCGCCATGCCGTCTTGCTGAACGAGAGGGAGTGGGTGTTTGGCGACAATGGCGTCGGCACTGGAGGTTATGAAGTATTTATTGGTAGGGTGAATCGCGAGAGACAGTATTGGTTGGGTATGGGCCTGTGATCTGTATGTCATAGTCCATTCCCCATCAGGGTCGAGTCGATGGACGGATGCGTAGCCGTTCTCGAAGGCAGCGACGAGAAGAAGAGAGTCTTCTAGGTTGGCAAGCGCTACACTCATGGCCATGCCATTATCCTTGCCGGGTTTAACGGTGTGTATGCGTTTCTGGGATGGTAGTTCATATATATCAATCTGAACTAGTCAGCTCTCGTGCATTGTATAGAAAGAGAGGGCGTGATTACTTGTTCAGAAGCGATGGTATTCGGCACTGCAATTAAAATTTCAGAAGCCTCATCCAAGCGGGTAACTGGACTATCGGAGATTGCAGCGGCTGCTCCGAAAGCGCAGAAATTCATTGTGTTCACTTCAAGGAGATGGAGCATCCAGGGCGTCGGCCTTGGAACTGGCGTCTCCTCGAGCGGCAAAGTGGTGCTGAGGCGTTGCTCGTCATCCTCGGTGATTTTCCAAACAATCAGTTTGTGGTCGCGACCGTGTCTATGAAACGTCAGGGAAAAGGAAGCAAAAGACTTAAGGCAACGAGTTTCCTCTCCAAAGGCGCCGTCTTACGTGATGACTTTGTCGTGTCCCCAGCTTCGGATCCCGAGAATGGCATTTTCATGGGCCCTCCAAACCGCCCTGGGTCTCATAATGGTGAGATCCCACAGGACTACAAATCCGTCCGCATCTCCGGTAGCAAGCCGCGAGTTATGCCTCAGGAAGGCAGCGGCATGCACCTGGGCCTTGTGGCCCCGAAGGATGTTCTTCGGGGTGGGAGGATTATGCTCTGCCATGCTCGTGTTGTACAGTATCACCGGCACATGGTGGGCTACTTATAAGAATAGAGTGTTGCTTATCAGTACCAACAGCCCCTCTGCAAAGAACTCTGGTATTGGACTTTGGTGATGACAATAGAATACTTGCTCTTTGGTGATTGTTTGTTTGCATGTCCAGGTGCTTGAAGAGCTGCTCCAGCAATGGCTACCCGGTAGTAGAATCACGTGATAGCAATACTTGTAGTGACCTAACCTCCTTCTCGATTTCGATCTCGTCAATTACCATAATCAACTTGGTCAAGTTAGCAATCTCCGAGTCATCGGAGATACCAAGCGCCAAGCGGTGAAGAGTCGAAGAGAGAGTGGCTGTCACACTTCTTGCCGCCTCATTCTGGCCGAGCAGATCTCTGTGGGCTCGAATATGGTATCACGGCTGCGCCGTCTTGTCTGCACTGCTGCAGCAGCGCAGCGTGTGTAACCACACCCCGGATTCACAGCACCAGGACTGGACCTTTTGAGAGGCATGCATCAGAATGCAATAGTACATGTGGCGAATATCGGCTAAGGGCGTCGTCCGACCGACATACCTGCCTGCTCGCGCACCCTAGGGAGCGCGAACGTATTGGTGCACTTTCCGCAGAGAATACGGCTGAGAACATGCATACGGCTGCTGCAATTTCCATTTTCTCGCAGACGCATGCACCAGGCTCACCGCCTCCTCAGTGGATTTGCACTTTCCATGTACCGAGCCCAGCCAGACTGCGTGATCTTGTCACTCTACAACGCCATGGCCTCCTGACCTACATCAGACACGCATGCGTATTGCCCCTCAAAAGTCTCCGTGTAGCCAACGACTCATGTCCATGCGTTGCGCATGAGGGGTATTTTGCCTCGTGCTCACTTCATAGTACATGTGGCTGCAGGACTCGGTGAGCCCAAGGATGGGTGCTCCGCGTCGAGCGCCACAGAGTTAGGCATCCGTCACCGCGTCATCTCCCAAAGCGTTGATAAGTCCTGGACTTGTGCAAAACAAACGGGATGATTTCCTCTTTCCGTCATGTGGCTCCTTGTGGGCACTGAGCTCTCGGTTTTCCTTTCCGCGGGCGACAACGAGTCAAATACCGAGAGATCATCCCAGCCGTTCCGGCCTCCTGGAAGCTGGGCAAGCTTGCCGATATGGACCGATAGATAATTTGTTATTCATTGCACAGCATCTCGGGGATGCAATTGATGCCATATGTAAATTTCGGGTCCTGTGCGTCCGGTCTACATGTGTGAAAACATACTATGCACAACATTCCGGCTGCATTAGACCCATTCATTTCGTCATCTGACAACTAGGAGAGGAGGAAGAGATAGCGGAGGGGTGGGAGGAACCCAGGTTCTGAGAATAGGCCTCCTACACAGCTGATCCAGTCGGCGATTTGTGGGCGGGAGTGCCTGGTTTGGCCGACGTCCGCTGGAGCAGATTGATCACCAACACACCCACATGCCCAGGAATCCGCTGCTTGGCCCAAACGCAGAAAAGTGGGATTTAGGGCGAGAGAACGAGTCGTTGCCATAAGCTTGACTTTTACGTACGTCGAGGGCACGTTGGACGGCCGACCTGGTGTGGGCCATGGACTCATCTGCAGGACGGCTCTGAGTTTGAGCAACCGCATTAACTCTTGCTGGGCGCAATATTTGCGAGTATCAAGGTTGGTATAACGAATCAGGCGCTATTTGCGGTAGGACCATGCCGTGTGTGGGCTACGATGCCTGGTCCTTCGTGCTTCCGCTCTGTCGAGCGTTGACCAATTCCACGGACGTGGATAAGGGACAACAGGGACCACGCATTACTATGGCCTCTCGATCGCCATCGCCATCTGCCGGAAGCAGGCGGGAGATTTCAGCTCCAGCACAGTCTGCAGCCCTTCTGAACTGGCCTATCAAGTAGAACCCTCGGTAAACCAGCCCCTCGCATCCATCTCGCATCTCCGCCATCCTCGGAGCATTAGTTTTGGCTCCTCTTGCCTCATTCCTGCATCAACCTGGTGTATTTGTGTAACCTGATTGTCCAATTGGAAGTGTACCTGGGCCCTACCAACCCCTTCCGGTTTCTCGTCATGTCAACGCGTGCGGGAGATGCCTGTTGTCGGTCCATATTGCCACAGCGACCTTCCCGACCGAGTACATGGAGCTGCCATGCTTGTCTGCCTCTCTAAGTATGATGTCAAGGAGGGACAAGGCGTCGCCGGGAATCCTGCCTCGGGAGTTCTTTCTATGAAAAACAATTATCCAACATCTGCTGAGGAATAGCAAACTTACTCGAGAAGTCCCACCCTTGCTTCAGTTTGGCCCTACCAGGGACATAGGGCTCATCTTTTGCCAGGTTGAGATCGTACTAGAAGCCGCTCGTTGACTTTGTGACCCCCCATAGATACATGTTCATCATGCATGTGTATGTCCGTTCGGCTGCCAAGTAATTGCCTGCGCTTTGCTTGCTTACACGCCCCTCCCCCGGCCGGCTCAGATTCTGAAACTTCTTACAAGATCTGGGCGCATGTTGCCTGACCTGGATGTCAGATACGCTGAGAGGGACGCGAACCAAGGTACCCTGGTGCGCTCTCGTTCAGATCTCCCCGGGCCAAACGTAACCCAAGCCATTGGCCAGCTCGGGCTTGAACAGAGCTTGCACAGGCTACGCTTTCCTTAAGCTGAAAATGCGCTGAGCACCCGAGTGAGTGCCTGGGTGTCTGATCCTGAGTACTCGTGCGTTTGCCTTCCCCATCATCGTTCGGTGACCCAACCCATCCTACGGCAGATATTCGATCACTATCTGGATCTCATATTTTCCCCATATTCTGGCCACAAGTAGGCGGGCTCTTATTCCTACTGTATCGGCAAGTCTTACATGTTCGTCCTCACCAGGCCGTCCAACCCGCGACTGAAGGTATACGAGCAGCTCCCAAAGTCCCAGGCATAGACAGCGTCCCCCTTGAATGACTGCACCAAGTCTTCATCGCCACACAGCACGCCATCCAACCGGTATTACTGATCATGGTCTAGCTACCATTCCGTGCTGTGCTGTCCCCAAACCGAGCATACAACGACTTCTCACCTTCCCTCGGTAGACTAATCGAGGCGTAGTGTTCGACCTGCCACAAGGTCTCGGAAGTATTGGGGCCTCAGGCGGGCTGGTACCTCGCAACAGAGCGAACCCAGGATGGAGGGATCAGAGCAAGCTGCTCGAGTGGCACCACCGGCGCAGAGGGTACGAACAGGCTGTTTAACATGTCGGAAACGCCACCTGAAATGCGACGAGGCTAAGCCCACGTGCGAGAACTGCCGAAAGGGCAGGCGTGAATGTAAGCGAGGGCTCAGGCTCACTTTTACGAATGTCTTCGTCCTCAGTGAAGGGCTTCTTCCTTGGGTTCTTGGCACACTTGGTAAGTAATGCCCTCTGTTAATCTGAATGCTCATAGTACTGTGAGCTGGTGTTGGGGCAGCATGCTAATAGGGGGTGCGTAGTGGATTTCGTGGACGAGTCTAAGTCTATCGCCGCGGAGTATGAAAAGGGCTTCCTCAAGAAACCTACCCGGGCAGCTGTGTCCAAGGCCGAACGACCACTCCCCAAGAAGAAGGAACCCACCCAACAATGTCAGGCTCGCCGCCCAAAAGGTGCTGTGTACCAGCGAATCCTCCCCGCACCGAAGACTACCCCGGTTGGAGATGGCGAGATAGGCTGCGAGGAGCCATACAAGGATATGAGGAGATCTCAAAAGATCTCAACGCGCCAGTATAAGAAATTGTTGCCGGGGGTTCAGCCCCAGCAGTCGAGTGGGATGAACCAATTCCAACTGTCCGCCCCTATGCCGGGGCAGACAATGGCACAGGCCGGGTCGCTGATGACCACCAAAGGCGAGCGAGCCCCCCAGAATTACGCTCAGGGGGGTGATTTTGGCCCCTTGTCTATCCTACGACATGCGTCGCTGGTCTCTGACGGCTTCTCAAGGGATACAATAGATGAGTTCTGGCATCCACAAGCCCTGTTCGACAATACGCAGGCGGAAGAGTACCTCAGCAGCGAACATCAGATATGCTTCACGCAAGAGTTCGTCGAGTCGATTGGCAAGTGGATAGACTGCTTTGACGGCCAGTCGGAGTTCAGCCACTCTCTGCCATTCAGGGCTCTTGACTGTCCTATGCTGCTGAATGCTATGTACGCATGTGGTGCAAGGCGTAAACTAGGCGAGGTGAAGAAAGGCCAATATGATTGGTCCTGTTTCTACTACAGCACGGCTACCACCAAGCTCTTGCATGCCTTGTCACGCCCTGATACAGACATGGCAAACTGTGCGATAACCTCGGTCATACTCCACGTCTACGAGATCATGGCAGATAGAATCCATGCACGAGCACACCACAGCAAAGGGTCCCGGGCAATCATCAACTTTTGCCACTGGAATGCCAGCAGCGGCGGTATCGCAAGCGCCAGCTTCTGGCTGAGTGTCGGCATGGAGACACTGAACTGCCTCACCTCGCACTCCCAGGTCACATGGGACCCAAGAAACTGGGGCTTTACGTTGACTTTCCCAGCCGAGCAGTCTACAGACACCAGCCCGGCCGAGGAGGCGGTGTGGCTGCACCGCGTCCTGTACATTGCTGCCATGACCGTCAACTTTCGAGCGCGCGGCTTCCACGTCGACCCCAACAATGAGATGGTGCAGATGGGGGAACGACTGCCGCAGTGGCAGGAGTTGAAGACTCTGTGCGACTCCTGGAGTGATTTGTGCCCTAGGTCAATGGCTCCGATAGGGTACACCGATCCCAAACCAGGAACGTCCGTTTTCCCCTACATTTGGTGAGCCTCTTGATGATCACTCAAGGCTCTGCAGCCTGGATGTTGCTAACCGGTGTCGCAGGCTGATCCACCCTTCTGCCGTGATGGCCCGTCTCTTCTATCACGTCATCCAGTACTTGCTTGCGGAGATCAACCCGGTCATGCCGATTGAGTCTTCGTCTGGCATGCGCGACGTGCGACTGCACCACGCGCGCCAGGTTTGCGGGATTGCCGTGAGATGCAAGGAGCACATCGTGCCGGGGATTCTCATCCAGTCTCTGGCCCTGGTTGGGGTCTGTCTTGTCAGGGAAGATGAAAGAAATGAGGCGATGAGCCTTTTGGAGGCGATACGTCAGAGGAGCGGCTGGGGCATCAAGCAGGCCGAGATGAGGCTGAAGCTCGTCTGGGGGTGGGGGTCGGTCTTCAACGTGCCCCCGCCTGTCAAGAAGGAGCCCCCAAGCCCGGCCAGGCCTCCCCGTGGGCCTCATCTGCTTCTTGGGCGTGGGATATAAGGCGAGATGTATTTAATACTCGCTGAGGCCGGAAATGAAAGCGATCAAGGAGGGCACCAAGGGCTCACTGCCAGCCATCATAGAACGCTTTGCATTCTTTGATGCTAGTGAGGCCAGGGATGTTGACTGAACTGCAGTTGCAGTCAGCAACTAATCCTAGTGTTGCAATTTCCTTCTAAGTAGTAGTTCTTGATGAGATGCGCAAAAATTGGTGAGAGATGGGAAGGTTTGAGTGAGGTTAGGAAATAGGTTTGAACGAATTTGAATAGCAGCAACAACTAGGCTTGAAGTAGAAAAACAAAAAGCAGAACAAAAAAGGTATGGAGTTAACGAGATAACGATGATTGGGATCGGAGCGAGCGAGCAAGTGGCTTTTCAATATTTTGTCTGTATGTTCGAGTCTATCTAGTATTGTCAATTTCCCTTGTCCAGATTTTTAACTTGCCCCCCCCCAGTGAAGCCAATGTAAGCTTCCCACCATGGGAGCGCATCTCCTCACGACTTGGAGCCATTACCCTGGTTGAAATTCATGCTGTACCCGCCCGTCTTCTCATCCTTGACCATCTGGAAGTTGTCCGTGCTCAGCCCAAACGGCTTCAGCAGCCCGTTGCCGAGATCTTTCAGCTTCCCCCACATCTCGGCCGTCTCTCTCTCCTGGGCCTCCTTGACCCGCGGCGGCAGCTCCCTTAGCTGGGACCTGACGGTCCTCGCGTCGGCCGGCGTGAGGGACCCCGACGGCAGCTTCTCGAGCTCGCGGTAGTCGGCCTCGGCGGCGGCCAGGGACGACCACGTCCCCGACTGGGCGTGGGCGCGGGCGCGGCGCAGCAGGGCCTTGATCCGGATGCGCTGGATGTCGGAGGGCTGGGCGGATGGGTCGTGGGCCTTTGCGGCGCCGGCGCTGACGATCTCCTCGACCTCTTCTTCTTCTCCTTGATCATCATCCTTGGGTTGGGGGGCGGGCGGCTGCTCCAGGGCCTCGAGGGCGGTGAGGGAGGCGGTGGCAGACTTGACGGCCTCCTTCCACTGCTCGAGCTTGAGATGGCAGGCGGCGACGTTGGAGTGCAGGACGGCGCGGGGGAAGTAGGCGCTCCTGGGGAGGGGGAGGAGGGCGTCCTCGTAGCGGGAGATTGCATTTTCAAAGTCGTTTGATGAGAAGAGAGTATTTGCGTCTGCCTTGATGGTCTGCGACTCTTGCAGGGCGGCCTGGCGGGATGGACAAGTTAGCGATTCATAGAGGATGGGATGGGATATGTTGGATGGATTGATGGCTTACTGCTTCCTCTTCTGGTGTGAGCTTCACCTCGTCCTCTTCATCTTCCTCTGCAGGCGGCGGTGATTTCTGGCGCGAGTGCTGCTTTGGGCGCGGGATGGGCGCATCCGGCTTTTCGTCTTTATCTTCCGCGGTAGCCATAATAGACTCTGTTCTGTGCTATGCGTCGCAGGGAATGCGATGTGCGGATAGAGAAGAGGTGAACTGATGATGGTTGATTGATTGAATCATCGTTAGTGGTTGTGAGCGGGGCTGTTTGTAGGGCCCATCAACCATCAACGATCGATCATCATCAAGTACCAGAATGAAAAATTAAATTTCGAACAGGATACGCCATGAATAGATACTGAAAATCAGATCTAGTTGGCACAATTTTCCGTTACTATCATAGACTATGCTGTCAGTTTTTAGGGAGGCAAGTGTGTGACAGAAGAAATGAGAGCTTAAGGTGCACGGAACAGTGAGAAGCAGACCAGTTTCTATGGTAGTAAAACCAAGCAGAATAAAATGTCTATTATCACCATTGATGGTCTGATGAAATTTTCACAGACTCAAGAATCACCAGAATAATGTTTGAATGCCTCATATCCGATGTCATTTAGTTGTGAGGGGAGGTTCACCCATCTTTCGTTGGCACATATTACGAGAGATCCTTCCGACTTTTCTCAACCATTATCATCTGATAATCACGAGGATTGAACTTGAAAGCATCGACGCATTGGGAAGTTATGCGCGATTTAAAACAACAACAACAACAACAACAACAACAACAACAGGAAACAACATCATTGTCAACAGGGCAAGAAATGGTGGTTTCATTCACACGTAAGACAGGCTGTGCCAGTGGCAGGAAACTTGGACACATCATCATCACCATTCCTCATAGAGAACATCCTACATGATAAGACACCACTAGCCTCTAATAAGATGTTCGAGGTTAGGTCAGATCTCAGCTATATGTCGGGGGCCAACCGTTTCAATGTGTTAGCTCGCCAATCTTTCAAATGCCGGTTCAGTGAATGGCGCCCAACCGAGTCCACTGGCAGCACTACTGTGCTCAGACGAAAATCATCAAGCTCACGGAAGAAGTCCATCATGTTGTTTTGTCACTGGTACATTGGCTTTTGTTGGGGGTGACGACAGTGATGGCGTTACTTGCGACACGGCAGCAATCAGCCCGCTCAACAGTCTCTGGACCAAGAAAAAGCGGATAGCGATAGACTAACATACGTTTTATGGCTCCCGTTACTTCTGTATTGTAAGCTGGCTGTATTCTTTTCTTACCATGTCTTGCCTCTTCTACCAGAGAGATTGGCTCCTGGGAGTTATGCCTCTAGGGCTCATTGTGATGTTGAACATCCATGCTCATTTCGCACCATAAAACCACAAGAAGTTCTAAAATATTCTACTTTGAGCAAGGCAGAGTTGATATTCAGCCCATTCTGATATGTGACGGCCACACCGACGCTTCATTGCCATGCTGGCTGGGGTGACTCATCCCACAATCAACAGGCAGGGATGCCCATATTGCTGAATCGCCCAACAAGTAGCAGACGTTGATAAAAAGCCTCTGAATTTCTTCCATTACATTCTTGCTGTGCCTCTTGTGGGGGCCACCGGCATGTCTTAGACGGCGATGCAGGAGGCCAACCTTTTTACAAAGCTACTAGGGCCCGTTGATCACGCCCCGGATGTAGGTAAAGTCCAGAACAAGCCATGAAGTAAGAGGAATGGGGACAGAAGGTAATCAAAGATTAGAATGATGTATAAATCTCTTGCCTCTGTCCTGACTGCCTTTGAAAATCCCCAGTTGGTTGAGTTGTTCAAACTCACATTGCAACTACTTTCTTGAACTAATCTTACATCGCTTCTTCTCCTCGTTTCTCGACGGAACTATTCGCAACAATGTCATCATCGACTGAAACCAAGCCAGTAACTTCCAACGAGGAGGTTGTAGACTTCTTGGCAAGTTTCCTTGACCGTACCACGATAAAGGCTGACGAGCCCGCGGCAACAAAATCCAAGCCACTCGAGTCTAAGTCGCAGTATACCTTCGTCGACACCCTGGAGACTTTGTCTGATGTAATTGATGATCTTGTTGATCTCCCGACCAGCCCGCCATCTCTCTATGTCGACCTGGAGGGTAACAACCTCTCCCGCCATGGGACCATCTCGATCCTTCAGGTTCACGTCCGCACCACTGGGCACACCTACTTGATCGACGTTCTCACCCTTGGCTCCCTCGCATTCTCTACCTCGGGCATCCTCCACGCCGAGACCACCCTCAAGTCTATCCTTGAGAGTGACCAGATACCAAAGGTCTTCTTCGACGTCCGCAATGACTCGGACGCCCTCTACTCCCACTACAATATTAGCCTCTCAGGCATCCACGACCTCCAACTCATGGCCCTCGCTACCCGCAACCCTGGGCAGCGAAGAGTCATCTCCGGTCTAGCCAGGTGCATCGAAAAGGACGCGCCCCTCTCCCTTGCGGAGAGATCACGGCTGGCCGCTGTAAAGGCAAAGGGGTCGGCGCTGTTCAGCCCTGAGAAGGGGGGCAGCTACGCCGTCTTCGACGCGAGGCCCCTGTCCAAGGAGATTGCGGACTACTGCGTGCAGGACACGGCGATCCTTCCCAGGCTGTGGTCGCACTACGACGGGCAGCTGAGCAGGGAGTGGGACGGGAGGGTGCGGGACATGTCGAGGAGGCGGGTGAAGGAGTCTCAGTCGCCCGCGTTCAACGGCAAGGGGCGGCATATGGCGCTGGGTCCCGTGGAGTGGGCCATGTTGAGAAAGTGAATGCCAGTAGGGCGATGAATTCTTTGGGATGCCTGTGACTTTGGTTGATTATTCTTGTATACGCATGCTGTGATGGACCAGGCAGTTGAAATATAGATCCCCGAGCTTGTTGTTGGTTCGACGGGGCAGGCCAAGCGGTTCAAACACCGGGACTGATTACTCCACTGTAGGGTGATAGGTGAATACAATCTCCTTGTAGATTTGAGTCTCGGAACTGCCGTCAACACGAATGGGAAGAGAAATCACCTCACCAGCGATGAGGCCATTCTTCTTGTAGAAAGCGGCCGCCTCCTCGGTGCTCTCTAGATACAATGGTGAGCCGCTCTTGTTGGACTGCTGCACACCCCAGTGGAGCAAAAGGGATCCAGCTCCGCGGCCACCATGGGAGGGATCGGTGCCGATGAAGGAGAGACCTAGATGTTCATCAGTCCGCCAGCATACAACCTCATATTGAATGAGAAGGGTCGTGATTCGCTGCTTGGCGTGGGGAAACATACGGTAGCAGGGAATACTCCCGACGGCACGACTCTCAGCCTCAGCAGCCAGGGCGGTCCAAGCGGCCAGGGTGTCCAGGTCGGTGCCTTCTGGCCATATCCAGGGCGGCTCAACGTAGTCCTCACCGGGGTCTACGGGGTGTGACCATTTAGCAAACGAGATGACGTTGTCGAGGCTCTTCTCCGAATCTGTTGACACGGAAGGGTGTATCAGCCTCCATCGAACTTTGGCGTAACAGCAGTGCTTACCATCGGAACCAGCAGTTACCACAAGCACAGTTATTTTAGGGTCGTCAATGTCGGCGAGGGCCTTGTTCTCGATGGATGTCTGGAGCGCTTGGCGAACAGCGGGGGTTGGAAACTGGGCACGGAGCATGGCATTGGGGCCAAAAGCCGCCATGTGAATCTCCGCGATGCGAGGTGCGTCTTGGCGTGCCGCAAGACGCATGAGAAGTGGTTTTACAGACGTCGCATCCATGGCTTATGTGTATTTGTTGGACGGCAGTTGCCTTTCTGCCGGCTGGTGCCGATAATGAAACTTTAGCGAGGCCGGGAGCTTCAAGGGCACTAGTGCCCAGACCTCATTATTCGCAGACAACCGCATGATATTGTTATCCTTGAATGAATGAATAACTTGAGGTTACCCGTTGGTGTATCGTTTACCTAGTTACTGAACTGGCCCGGTGCAGGTAGGGGTACTGAATAACCCGTCCGTGGTGGCCGCCCAAGCGACTGATGTAAAACATAGCACATCTAGACAGTTTACCGTTGAATTTCAAAACAATATCAGAATAATTGACCTAGTAATAAACACTATACCAAGTTAAATATCGTAGAATAGTTTATTATTATTATTTTATTGTGTTTAATTCAAAATGAAGTCCCTGCCGTGCGCGAAAAGAGCTTCGGTCTTTAAACTACTTCAAGCCGTACAATCCGAATCTGACAAATTCTCACAACGGGCATTGGAATAAAAGTCCTCCATCTGCTCATGTTGATCTTTGGCCTGGCATCTGCAGGGAGTCCGATCTACTCCATCAGAATGGGCCACTCACCTCACCAGGGATGTCTCTGTTGTGTGTCTTTAGCATAGTTCGAAAACAGGGGGGTGTAATACTTACCATGCCGTTCCAACACCAGAAAGTCCCCGTATCGGCTTCCCCCTTCTCCGCGATCACGCCCAGCATGCCGGACACACTCTCCGCGGGGCTGATGGAGCCCTTCACCTCCCAACTAAGTTGAATGTCGGCCATGTCACTGTGCCAGGTGTTAGCCAGTGTCAGGTATGTAACAAAATCACCCACGAGACTACACTTGAGTGGTATAGAGTTGGGTATGTAGGCACTCACGTCGCCACCTCCCCGGGATGAAGCGCCAAAACCACCGTCTCGCGCTTCTTCGTCTCCGACCTCCCCAGCTCGGCCGCCATGTGCCGCATCATCTGGTTCAGCGCGCTCTTGCTGGCCGCGTACGCGCCGAACCCGTCCTCGAACTCTGGGAACTGAGACGCCGACCCAGAGTCGGACGAGATGAAGATGATCTTGGGCGGCGGGGCGTCGATGCTTATATTGAGCAGCTTCTGCGCGCAGATGATGGGCCCGATGGTATTGGTGTGAAGATGAAGGGCGAAATCCGCAAAGGAGAGCTCGGTGGCCCGGTTGGGATACTGCAGCACGCCCGCGTTGAGGACGACGTTGCCCAGCGTCATGCGCTTGGTGTTGACGGCGTCGCTGATCTTGCCGACGAATCTCTATATCACTCTGATGGTTAGTTGTCGTTCCAGGGCTGGTCTCGGTACAGAGGCAGAATAAAATAAGACACGACGTACGCTTATGCTTTCATCGCTCGCGATATCACATTGCTCAACCGTGCATCTGTCCCGAGCCCTCTGCGACTCGATCAACTCGAACAGCTTGGGAGCGGCAGATAACTTGCGCACGGCCGCGACGACCTGCTCCCCGCGCTCCAACAGTTGCTTGACGAGCTCCAGGCCAATTCCTCGAGAAGCACCTACAATGACCCATGTCCTGGGATTCGTTTCCATCTCGGTATACTTCACAAGAATGAGGGGGAGTAAAAAGCCAATTTGGCGACAATGGTAGGCAGAAAAACGGCTGGGCCTTTCAGTGTATGGCTTAGCGAGCTACTCAAGATGAACAGCAGCGATCTGAGATGGCGTGACTGGCGGTGTGTGTGTGTGCACTGTAGTATCGGGAAATAGAATCAGTTCGGAACCGTGTGTGTATCGGCGTTGGCTGTCATCTGGTAGATCCCATGACCATCTGCAGTCCTACTACTGCATGTATGTTTGTGGGGAGGGGTAAAGCGGAACAGGATACGGTGTTTAAAATTTTAGTCCAAAGATAGAGTAAAGTAACATCATAATACACGTTGGTAATCCTCTTAACAAGTATCAAAGTAGCTCCTCTCTTATCTATATTTTAGTTCTACTTAGCGGTATGCACACTTACTGTTTAATCTTCAACTACATTGGAGTAGGCCGCGGTACATAAGAACGTTTCTTCTTCGGTTTGGTAATCGCCAACTCCTCGTCGTCCCTACCATGCAAGGCCCAATCCACTAGATGGCCCGGTTTCTGCTGGATCTCTTCCCTGGCAGCTTTCAGCCAGAACCAGTAATCGACAATATCCTGAAATCTTTCGACCCAGACGTCCAGGCTCGCCTCCCTGATCAAGCTCCGCGAAGTATCACGCGCGCGAGCTTCATCCCACATCTTCTTGACCTGAGGATACCGGGTTATCCAGCCGTTGACTACCTCGTCAACCTTGGCCGCATCTACGTCCAGTTCCAGATGAACACCCTGCAGAATTTTCTTCACTTCTTGCACTCGTATTGCAGGTCTCTCCCTGTTTGCTTTCAGCCTCCTGTACCCCCAACTAAGGGCGAGAAGATGTCGACGGAGCTGTTCGTCGATGACCTCGCCTGCCCAACGTATAAGCTCCTGCCCAAGCTTCTCAGTCCCATTCTCCTTGGCAAAGCAGGTGTGGCAACGGGCCCCGTCCAGCTGCACAGAGCCCTGTGTATGTCTATTCAGCGCTGTTCTGGTCTTTGTGGGTGACCATCGCGCCCCGCATACGGAGAGCCGAAAAGTTCGCAGCTCTTTCCATTGCTCGCACCCTGAACAGCGCACCATGTAAAGCGTCCAAGGCTCCGAAAAGGGCACCGGGCCGCTCTCGAGCAATCTTGGGATCCGCACCTGTGGCCGCTTGTGCTCCAGTCCGTCTGAGAACCCCGGCAGCCAACGGTCCAGAGCACTGTAGTAGTAGACGCGCCTGCTCGGCTGCATCGGGGTCAGGGCCAACCCAGCCCGCCCCTTCTTGATGCTCTGCAGCTGAGCAGCCTGGAACAGGCACTCGTTGCACAGCCGCTTGAGGCGCGCAAAGCCATGGTTCCGCGAGTCGTCCAAGTACTTGTGGTATTCCTGGAGGGAGGGCATGCCACCCCAATACCTCGCTATGCCCCTGAACTCGCCCAGGTCCATGTCCTGCATGTCCCTGCCTGCTACCCTCTCGGTCCCGTTGCGCCGCAGCCAATGATACCACTCTTCGATGGTCTCATCAGTGTACGATCTCGAATAGAGACCTCTGTATTGCCGGAGACTTCTCTCTTCCGGCTGGGCTGAAAATCTGTGCTTTTGCGCAGACTTTACGCCCCTCGTCAGAGACATCCAGCTAGTGATAGCGAGAGACTCAGTACTGCTTGTGTTGGGGGTGGGTTTCTTGTATCTGAGCCGATACAGGGCCTTGTTGTTGAAATGTCGGTGGGAGCGAAGCTTCAAGCAGCCTGCGCAGGCCCAGCGCATGTCCTTCAGCTCATCGCTAGCGGACGGATGGAGGCTGAAATTCCGCTGCCTGACATCCAGATAAGGGCCGCCGTGGGCTTCGAGGCACTCTAGGACGAGAAGCCTCTCTATGAAGTGCCTTTTGGTTGGCTGGATCAGGTGCCTCAAGCGGCGGTTGGTCTGGCTGAGTGAGATGAGGGCGATTGGGTCCACGAACGGGATGATGAGGACCAGCAATTCGTCTGGGAAATCTTGGAGAGACATCTTGAGGCGGCTTCTCAGTCTGCAGTGAATAATGAAGGTCAAGATTGGATGGAGAATCAAAGATCTCGAGGAGTAAAGTGGGAGGACATGTCAGCGTGGGGCAGTGGGACGGGTTGTCCGAGGGGCGCAGTGGCCCTACCTTTGTGAACAGAGAGGCCAAGGTTCTGGGGTCCAGGGATCAGGGGATTGATGTAAGCCCAGCTCAATGCTTTGGGCAGCCTTAAATGGAGGGGTAGAGTGTGGTAGCATTAGCTCATGAGAGTTGACAGATCATCCTCCAAGGTAGGTTAGTCGATTGCACTTTCAACTACCATCGCACAAACTCCGTTGTAGTCGTTCCAGATTTGACAAACGGGATACGATACTGCCAGAGGGACATGGCCGTAGCTCGAATAATTTGAAGTTCCGTTAAGTAGGTTCTTGAAGATGTAGGAAGAAAATCAAGGCACACGACGGATCAAGAATGAGGGGTAAAGCTGGCGTGTGGCTGAGGCAGGCAGCAAGTGGCTGATCAGAGCATTCAAAGTTTTTAAGAGGCAAGCGCAATTGGAGGCAAGAGGAGCATCGACAATGGTGTTGATGAGGCTACTAGGAATCTATCTAATCTCTATCTAGCAGGAAATTCAATTGCTCCCTCCATCTACTCGAAATGACAGACCCAAGAATCGCGTGCTCAAAGCCCATTCGATCTCAACACACAATCAACCGCTCCAAAACTCCGCGCAGGGAACAAACTAGATTTTACAGGCAGAAAGGGAAAAAAAGAGGGAAAAAAGCAAAAACAAGGTTTTCAAAACATGGCTTAAAAGATAGGATGCGTGATTTCGTTATCAAAGCTCAAGACGCCCAAGAGCGTGGGGGCCTTAGTAGCAGTGACGGTGGTGATGCTCGCGGACGACATCGCGCTCGACGAACTTGACGAGTGAGGGGTCCTCGACGAACTGGATCCTGCGCTGCTTCTTGCGGGGGATGACGGCGAGGTTGTAGAACTTCTCCAGGAAGGAGGACTCGGACATGAGGTGCTTGGGGCACCTGTTCCGGGAGTCGACGACGTAGATCTTGGGCTCGTCGCAGCGCGTCTTCTCGTTTCTCTTGTAGAGGCGAGAGCACTGGCTGAACTCGCGGGGCTTCTTGCAGCCGCACTGGTACTGGACGTATTCGTAGGAGCACATTGTGGTGGTGGTGGTTAATAATATGTGGTGGTGGGTGGTGTTTAACTGGCCGGTTGGGCAGCAAGAGGATTTAGAGCAGATAGGTAGAAGAGAGTAGTTTAGAAGTGGCTATTGGTAGTAGTATTCTGCTGCTTAGGGTTGTTTGTGTGTGTGTGAGTGAGTCTGATGAAGAAGAAGAACGAGAGGAAAGCGTCTGAGACAGGAACCAGACCGCCGCTTATATGCTCCTCGAGTGACGGCATGGGGATCGGACGGTGTGACATGGGAAGCCAATTCCTCTCCCACTTTCATCCCATGTCACTCGCCTGCAGTCTGTGGCATGGGCCAGGAATGACATGCGTAGACGCCTTGGGATCGGCCTTGTTAGCCACGAGGGATCGTGCGCGACCCAGAAGCAGGCTGTTCCCCTCCAAGAAGCACTTACAGCCACTATTAGGTGCCCACTAATCAGCGCCCACCAGTCCGGTAATAGCCCACCTTTAGCGGCCCGTTGTGCGACCGGATAGGGCCACAATCAGCGCAGCCAATTACAGCGCCTTTGCCAGCGGTCCTCAGCGGACTCAGCGCCAAACCACCCACTGGCACCGGCCATCTCAGCGCCTGGAGCAAAACCGGGCATTTTGCATACCCACTGCTCAGAGTTTCCAGAGACCCAAATGAGGCCCAGGAGATGATATTGTATTCTCCAAGCGCGCAGTATTCAGGTCGATGTTTCAAAATTGATGAAACTTGCCTTGACAGCCAACCGTTTATCTCTGTCCAGACTCTGGGGACCAACCTCTGCATCAAACTCGACTTAGCCCGAGATATCTTTCCTCTCTAGCAGTCATCTAGTTGTTTGTCTGAAATGGCGGCCAACAGCTGAGATGGCGAATGCTGTTGGTAGGCAGCAGCCAGTAAGAGGACAGACGGGCTGGCTGCCTGTTCCACATCTTACCACCATTACCGACGGTATGATGGAAACATGCATACATTCTTACTCGCCTCCAGGCTGCTGCGAGGGCTGGACCAGCAAACAGCCACGCCAATATTCCGATGAGGTAGCTCTGGTCAAGTCCGTGTTCCCTGGTGTGACACGAGACAAATGACTTGCAGGCTGGCCGGTAAGACTAAGCCGATCGATCGGACCAAGCCTCAGCCTGACAACGAGGGATGGTGGGAAGGGAACCCCAGCTGCCCAGCCTGCCATGGTGCGGCTCAATGTCCCTCGATTCCGTCATCTGACCTCCTTGCTGGGAGGCCAGGGTCCTGCTCTGGGGACATGAGCTTAGTCGCTGCGATGGCCTCCGATATCCCCCCAAAGGAAATATCTGGTGGTCAGGAAGGCCGCCGTTGGGGCTGTGTCTATTTAGGGCTGGGCGGCTGTGCTGGCGGCTATGCTTCAGATTCTGGCGATTGATTTGCGAATTGCCTCCTCCTTCCTTCCAGGGCAGTCATTGGCCATCCAGACCGCTTCATGGCGGGGGGCTTTTTCTTCCGGTTTGGTTCTGATATGCATCAAGCCTCGCAAAATTCCAAGTTTTGGGTTCCCAGTATGCGAATTTGGCTGGTGCTGCATAACCCCTCGTCACCTGCGGGCAATGCTTACTTACTCTTCCCAGGACACGCTGCATCGCATCTGACCACCGTGTTGGCCGCGATGGTTTTTTTTTGTGAAACCAATTGACTCTCGCGTTTAGCTTGACAAGCTGCAACCTGGAAGCAATTCACCAAACAAGATTTTGTTTCTATAGAGGTAGTGTCAATCGAATAACTGATCTTTCCGTCTGCGCTTCAGGCTTATCGTGAAAAAATGTCCGTGACTGGCGTTTGGCCCCGCACTTGCTCGTCTCTGAGTCAAGCGGCCTGCAGAAGTGCGAGAGCTTCGCGTTCTCTCAACTCTCTCCTCCGGAGCCATCCAATTTCTCCCTCCCAACCTCACATCCTCCAAACCACCCAGAGGATTTCCTCCCTAATTCTTCTAATCTCTATCAACCTTCCATTCCGCGAACATGGCTCCCCGTACAGAGTAAGTACCCCTCATTGCTACCCCTCCATCCCGCTCTACCCCGCGATTGAAATGTGCAAATCACGAACATGGCACTGACTGGTTCGTTTTCTGGCCGCAGCTTCCCTCGCATTCGCGCCTGTCTCTTTGACATGGACGGCCTGCTCCTCGACACCGAAGACATCTACACCAAGTGCACCAACATCATCCTCGAGCGCTACGGGAAGCCCAACCTGCCGTGGCCCATCAAGGCCCGCCTCCAGGGTCGCCCCGGTCCGGCCGCCACCAAGATCTTCTTCGACTGGGCCGACCTGCCCATCGACCAGGACGAGTACACCCGACAGAACACCATCCTCCAGGCGCAAGAGTTCCCCAGCACGCGGCCCCTCCCCGGCGTCGCCGACCTGCTCGCGAGCCTCGGCCGCACCCGATACTACAACCTCAAGGAGGGCGAGGACCCGACCAAGCGCGTCCACATCGCCCTCGCCACCAGCTCTCACGAGGCCAACTTCCGCGTCAAGACCAACCACCTGACTGACCTCTTCTCCGTCTTCCCCACCAACCGCCGCGTCCTCGGCGACGACACCCGCCTCCAGGCCGGTCGGGGAAAGCCCCTCCCCGACATCTTCCTCCTCGCCCTCAAGACCATCAACGACTCCCTCCCTGCCGGAGAGGAACCCATCAAGCCGGAGGAGTGCCTCGTCTTCGAGGACTCTGTCCCCGGTGTCGAAGCTGGTCGACGCGCCGGCATGCGTGTCATCTGGTGCCCCCACCCCGAGCTGAAGAAGGTGTACGCCGGTCGCGAGGGGGAGATCCTCGCCGGCCGCATGGGCGAGGCTGGCGAGATCGACATGCACCAGGTCGGCGAGCTGGACGACGGCTGGGCCGAGTACCTCCCCGCGCTCGAGGACTTTCCCTACGCCAAGTTTGGCATCGAGATCCCTCCTGCTTCCGTCGAGGAGGAGGACGTCATGAAGAACGACAACGGCCTCACTGCCGTCTAAGCTTGCTCGAAAGTGGTAGCTTGATAGCCGTAGTGAATGGCTTCCCACAGTAATACGATTGCGAAAGACCAGGGGACGCTTGAATAAGATAGTAGAGCAAGATGGAAACACAAATTGCGACACATGGGTTTGGAGTCTAGATCAATTTGAATTTTCAATCGATAGAATAGAGGCATAGAGAGCCGTTCTTGATACACACAAAAGCACAGATGAATTTACCGTTGAACGACTTAAATTGCCGGACTATGAAATACTGATATCTAAACAAGAGAGGAATCTGTTCCCATGATACCCAAGAACCCCAAGTGAAACCCTAGCAATCTTCCCAAAAACTCCAACCCAAATTTGTATCATACGCGTAAAGCAACCCCAACTCAGTCAAACACATCCACCACATACCGCACATTCCTCAGCGAGTTGAACCACTCCTGCAGCTTCTCCTCGTCCTGCTCCCCCTCGGGCACCATCTCCTTGCGCATCCGAATCATCACCCCCTTGACCGACTCGCCGACCGCCTTGGACCCGCAGACGTACACCTTAGCCCCTTGCTTCCACAGCGCCATCAGCTCCTCCCTGTCGTGCCACGCCCTGTCCTGCACGTACTTGCACCCTTTGCTCTCCGCCGCGTTGGTGTCGCGACTGTACGCCCTGCGCACGTCCACGGCGCCGAGGCGCTGCCACTCATCCAGCTCCTCGCGGTACAGGTCGTCTGTCGCGGGGGAGCGGCACCCGAAGAAGAGGACCGCGGGGGCAAGGCGGCGCCCCGCGGCGATCACGTTGGCGCGCTCCTGGATGAAGCCGCGGAAGGGGGCGATTCCGGCGCCAGCTGCCATGCAAAGTAGAGGGGTCCTCTCCGGGTCGGAGGGGAGGTGGAAGGCCTGGTGGGACTGGCGGACAGCGACGTGGAGGGTGTCGCCGGGCTGGAGGGTGGAGAGGTAGGAGGTCGCAACGCCGATGTGGGTGCCCGTGCCGGCGAGGGAGGGCTCGTGGAGGACGGCGAAGGAGATTGTGGCGTGGCCTGGGTTAGAGAGGGGGGACGAGGAGATTGAGCTGTTGTAGAGTGTTAGGGAGAAGTAGAGATGAGGGAAGGGGAGGTTGGACTTACTATTGGCGGACTCGGAGCGGAGGGAGCATGGAGAGGAAGACGCCGACTGGGATGTTGAGGCAGGGGAATTGCTCTAGGATATCCAAGACGGAGGCCTTCTTGGCGGTGATTTCGGTTGCGTAGCCGTCGTTCGCTAGGTGGCCGAGTGATACGATTGTCTTCTCATCTGGAGCGAATTCGATAATCTCGCGGAGGTTCTGGGTGATTTGCATCGTTAGTCTCATGTTTCAATCACAATATATGGAAGGGGGAAGGGATAATCGATGCTTACCCTCTTGGTTGCCGGCTGGGAGAGCTCGACATACAAGCTGAGGACATCACTCGCAGAGACATGTGTGTTGACGGGGAGTGCCACGGGGACATCTGATGTGATCTCCAGGTGCGCATCCCACGAGAGCCCCAGTACTCTCATCGCACGCTGGACAGTCTCCTTCGGATTGACAGGCAATACAGCGAGGTAGTCTCCGGCCCTGTACTTCATACCGGTCGGCAGCTTAATCTCGACATGCTTCTTGGCCAACTTCTCATCGGCATACTTGGTGAGAGTCTTGGTCTCCACCACCACAGCAGGCTGCACATCCTGTCGAAGCGTCTCATTTCGTGGGTTCGACACGACAACCTTGACACCCCCAGTCCTATTCTCCTCCGTGGAGGCGTCGGAGCCACCAAATTGCTTCTTGAGAGCCGGCCACAGAAGCCCATCCTCCCAACCTTCGAAATCCGTAAATGTCGCACCAGTCGACACATCAGTCGCGCCCAGTGGAGTAAGCTGTTTAGCACCCAGGGCCGCCAGCCTGCTGTTGACGAGCTTAGGAATACGCTGGTAGGTGCTGACCCAATCACTGTGGCCACACCCAAAGACGGCATAGGAAACGCCCTTGAGAGCCTGCTCCTCGTCCTTGAGGGACTGGATCCAGGAGACAAAGTGGCCCGCGTTGTCGGGGGGCTCGCCTTCGAATGATGCTGTGACGATCACGACCGGGTGGTCGGTGGGGAGTGACCCCTTGACACTGTCGAGACAGTCCATCTTGACTGTGCGGAATCCGTGTGCGGCGCCGTCTACGACTACCTGCTGCGCCAGTGACTTGCATGTTCCGCTGTTGGAGCCATACAATACAGTCAGAGGAACGCCCTTGGTAGTATCCTCAGCGGCGAGATTGGCCTCAGCCTTGGGGTCGTTGGTCTCGGGGAGCGATCCAGCGAGACGTCGCTCAAGAGTGGTGGGCGTGAGACCGTCGCGAAGGATAGGACGCATCGTGAAGCCGTTCGGCTTGACGGTCAAATTCTGCTTGTGGGAAAGGGTGTATCCCGGCTTCATGACGAAGTTGAAGTTCTGCAGCAGCATCGCCATGATCAGCAGTGCCTCCTGCCAGGCGAACCCGCGGCCGATGCAGGAGCGCTTGCCGTTGCCAAAGGGCTTCCAGCAGTTGGGGAACTCCTTGTTTAGCCGGTTGAAGTTCTCATCCATCATGCGCTCGGGGTGGAACTCCATGGCGTCGTCGCCGTACACGCTCGCGTCCTGGTGCAGCTTGGACACCAGGGTGAGCATGGGCTGGCCCTTCTTGACAAAGTACTTGTTTCCTACTACGGTGTCCTCGATGGGTGTCACGGCAAAGATGCCGATTGTAGAGGTGAGCCGGAGAGTCTCGCGGAGGACGCCGTTGATATAGGGGAGCTTGTTGAGGTGGTCGACGGTGATGGGGCCCTTTCCGCAGACGGCGTCGACCTCCTGCTGGGCCTTGGTAAAGGTCTCGGGATGGGTCAGCATCTGGTAGAAGGAATAGGAGAGCATGCCGGATGTGGTCTCGTGGCCGGCGATGAGGAAGGTGATGAGGTTGTCCATGATGCTCTGATCGGTCATCTTCTTGCCCGTCTTGGGGTCCACGCCGTCGAGCATAGCCGTCAACAAGTCGTTGTGGCTCTCGGACTTGGTGCCATTCTTGCGCGCCATGACGATCGCCTCGGCGGTGCTCCGCATGATCTCAATATCCTGCATCAACTTCTGATCCTTGGCGCGGTAGAACATGCCCGGCAGAGGCCGCCTGTCAATCTCGCCGCATTCGGTGAGGAAGTCGGCCATTGCTTGGACGAAAGGGTGCATGTCCTCGGAGTAGAAGCTGTTGAAGCGGTACCCCATTGAGCAGAGGGCGATGGTGTCCAAGGTCAAGCGAGTGAAATCGTCAGATACCTCTACATGGGTGTCTGAGCCGACACGCGCCCACTTGAGGGTCAGCTGGCTTGCAAGGTCGTGCATCTCGTCAAACATGTTGCGGATCTTGAGGGGTCCGAAAGCCGGCATAAGGACGCGGTGTGCAATCCCCCAGGGCTCTTCTCCATCGTGTGCCTAGAGCTGTGTTAGCCGTGACTCTCTGCAACGGAGATAAGAGGCAACTTACTGTGAAGAGGCCATTGTGTACGCCGCGGCGGATATGCTGTGGGTGACGGGTCAGCATCTGTTTCGGATTTCCAGGGCAAAGTCGAAGACACATACATTGAGAGGACCAGCGACGACCTTCTTGAACCGCTTCTCGTCACAGACCTCATTTACGAGTGCTTGGGTTGTGACAACAACGTTGTTGGAGCCTGGAAATCTCATGCGGAAAATCTCGCCTGGTTACAACAAAGTTATTAGTAAATCGAATGAACCAGTCCAGGCAAGAGCAGGAGATGAACTCACCATATTTGTCGGCAAATCCCTGGATTGAACCAAGAGGATAGCTGGGGTCAATGAGAGCGGCATGGCCAATGATGGGGTATGCAGGAGGCTCGGGAATATCCACGGTAGCCATGGTGAAGAAGGGAGGAAAGAGTTGGATGGAGACGATGCTATGCAGAGGAAGAATCGAGGGCTGGTATTAGTGGGAGATGAGATATGAAAAATCCAAGAAAGGCTAAACCGATGCTATGCTTGCTCGCTTGTGAGGAATGTGAAGTCAATGATCTGTCTATTAGTCTCTTCTTGCAGGCTCTTGCCCTGTCTATATATACCTATGAATATACCGAGATTCGTATCGCCCATCGTGTTCAAGTCGCCCCGAGCCCGGTTCGGGGGTTTCTTAGCCCCGATGGCGAGTAACCGCAGGCATAATTCTGCGACGAGATAGGGAGGCATTGGGGACACCTCCATAGAAAAATGCAGGCAGATGCGCCGTATTCCGTTCTGACCCTCCACTGGGAAAGAAGTCTTGTTTGGCGATCTGCAGCACGGCGGGAAAGTGGAAGCGGTGTATTATGTCAGCGGAAGTTGTGGCCAATCAGCAGGGGCCCAACAAACGGCTATGTCATCTGCCCGCTGACGCCGTTTGCTTCATTTGGCTTGGGAAGGAATTCATCGGAATGAGCTGCAGGCCCTGGCTCGAATCCCGTGCACTAGCATCGTGTTCGAAACCCTCCGACGAATCTGCCCGCGCCCAAATATGCCACTTCTGGAGAGCCCACGAACCCTCCGCCCTGGCCCGTCCTCTCAAGGCCTGGCATCACCCCGCCACGTACATCTGTCAATCTATCCGATGTAGATGACGACTGCGTGCTATACAACCAAGGCCGGCCTGTTTCATGTCGTACCGAGTCCGCTATTCCAATTCGCTAAGCCTGCCAGTGACGGGGGTCCCGGCGGAGGTTTTTGGTGGGCGCCGGTCATTTCGCCTACCTACCTAATGTAAGGGGGTCCCGGCCAGACAGTCCAAGGCCAGATGCGAGACAAAGTGAGGGAGCAAAAGAGGCTGGAGATGTCTGCCGTCTTCCCTCCTCTAGGTCTGACCTAGATCTGGGCCTTCTAGGCAGAGAGGATGCTGCCCGTATCTTGCCTCCCCCCTCGTGGATAATATACCTCGACCCTAGTGATGCGGAGATGAAGTCCATTGGCCTGACTCCTCTCTCCTCTTCGCGGAGTCCGTTCTCCACGTGCCATTGCGTTAAAGTTACGCGCCATTCGCTATGCGTCGGGATTTACGATTACTGCCGTGCCGATCCCGCCGCAATGAGCCAAAGTGCCATCCGTTTGCTCTCGGCTCGACCATGGTCATTTTCGCTTCTTGAGTCAAGAAGCCCAAAGGTACACTGGAATGTCCCAGACTCTGCCTGTCTAGTGCCAACCCATCTCGAGACATTACTCATCGCCTAGAATTTCAGCTTCTCGCGAACCATTGCTCGCTTAATCATTAACCGGTGCATTCGCCAATCTGTTGCCTCTACCGACAACCAGTTCTCGCTTAATCAGTATCCGATGTCTTCGCCAGCCTGTTGCCACGGATCGCTTCGCTCACATTTCACAATGAAGAGCACAAGAACATGCGGTGGTAATCATGCCACCTTCGCCAAGCGGACGGATGCGGAAATATCCTAAATTCAAATGCCATGTCTCACACAAGAACTTGACGAAGATGGCAATATCGAACATACTTATAATCTCTGGGAATTCCCACCGTCCGAATTGGGGCATCCTGGAGATCTCATGGGCTTCTTCTTGTCTCTGTCGCGCAGTTCATTCAATCGACCAACTTGGAGCAGCAAAATAGCCATACAGATTCCTTCCATCTCAGGATCATGTTGGCGAAGCTCATCGTAGCGGCGCTTACCCTGGGCGTCTCCCACGTCCTGGGAGCAGCCGTGAGCATCAACCAGGCTCCTGACGCCTCCGACTGCGACTACGATGCTATCGTCGTGGGAGGAGGTCCGTCCGGTCTCAGTGCTCTCAGCGGCCTGGCACGTGTGAGGAGGAATGTCCTCCTCATCGACTCGGGAGTGTACCGCAACGGACCGACCCGGCATTTACACGATTTGATCGGCCTGGACGGTATGTGTTTCACTTGGACGACTCTCGGTGACTGGAATTCTCGTTATTGTTACTAACCGGAGGACCACCAGGTATCACCCCGGCGTACTATCGCTGGCTCGCACGAGAGCAGCTGTCCCATTACGACACCGTCCAGATGGCCAATGGCACAGTGACCAAGATTGAGCCCCAGGCCAACAACACATTCTTCCGTGTCACAACCGACGGCAAACAGCTCACCGCCCGCAAGATCGTCCTCGCCACAGGCCTCCGCGACGTCCTCCCGGCCACCCCGGGGGTCCGTGAAAACTGGGGCAAGGGCATCTACTGGTGCCCCTGGTGCGACGGCAAAGAGCACGCCGACCAGGGCCTCGGCCTACTGGCCCCCATGGGCAAAGTCCCGGCCATGGTGCGGGAGATGGCCACGCTCAACCAGGATATCGTGGCCTTTGTCAACGGCACCGACGTCCCCGGCATGGGTGCCGTCGCCGACGACGACTTCGGGCCCGGATGGGAGACGTACCTGGAGCTCAGGAAGATCAAGATCTACAACGAGACCATCGAGAGCATTGAGCGTCTGAGTACGGCTTCCGCCGGCGATGCGAGTCTGCCGACGTACCCTGAGTATGACCTATTCCGTGTGCACTTGGCAGGCGGGGAAGTAGTCGAGCGTGGCGCACTCTTCGCCAAATTCACGGATGAACTGGCGAGCTCTGTTGGTCCAGATATGGGTGTGCAATTGGACGATGGACGACTGACTGCAGACTATGCCAAAGGTCTCCTCACCAATATCCCTGGTGTTTATGCGGTTGGCGATGCAAACACGGACCGTGCGACCAATATCCCCCATGCGCTGTTCTCGGGCAAGCGCGCGGCGATCTATCTACATGGTATGACACGACTGCCAGTCCAATTACTTGTTTGGAGTTGAGAAGCTAACAACGACGCAGTGCAACTGGAACGTGAGACTGCGAATGCCCAGATCGCGGCCTACAAACAGGAAAGGGATGTTGTTGAGGATGAGGATGTACGCGCTCTCTGGGAGCGGATGAACGGCGAGCCCGGCGATCTGCTGTATGCGGGCGAGTATCGCGAGTAAGCTGTACTATTTAGCGACCAAAATATCATGTATATCCTGTATTTTTGACCAGATCGAGGGAGATATATAGAACAAGAAGCGAATACTACAATAGAATATAATGGTAATATATCTTTGTGCCTTTTCATCGCAGCCTCTACTTCGATCCCAACAACGGTACCGTCTGTCACATACGACCATACCCAGAAGAGAACTCGGGATCCCGTCCGCTCTCCCATAGATAAGCTTCTGAGGGGTGGATTAGTAGTTGGGTCGGTGACGACCAGCGAATACCCGCTGTTGTATGTTCTTTTTGGCTGGGAAAGCTTTGTGTTTTTATCATTTTGTGTGATAGTGGAGACTAGGGCATATAGGTCCCACGATAGCTTCAACCACCACATACGACCATACCCATTCGAAAACACGCGATCCCGTCCGCTCTCGCCTAGTTAAACGGATGAGGGGCGGATTAGTAGTTGGGTCGGTGACGACCAGCGAATACCTGCTGTTGTATGTTTCTCTTTTTGCCTTTTTGCTGGTCTTGCACTGCGCGTTGTAAGTCCGGAGTACAGATCTTGGAAGCAAGTGTGCCGTGAATCAAGGTTCTTACCGATCAGAGTGGCATCAAGAATTAAGGACCAAAGTTCCAGCTCTATGTTGTTGAGTGACATCATTTTGTTGTTAAATCATTCTGATCAATGTAGATTGTGCTCTACTTATAATTACCTGGCTACCTTGCATCAATTTGTTCCCGTTTATTCTACCCTACCCTACACACCCTTCAACCATAGTACCAACATTGCAACTATCAGAGTTTAGAGCTACATGATGGTACGGTGGCTCGGGAAATAGCTAGGTTCGTTTGTTTGTCTACTAGGAGAGTCATATATGGTTTGATCATTGTGTTACCATGGGCTCCATTTGACTCATTACTTAAGTCACTCACCAACCTTTGCAAGCTGAGCACCTCCTTGAGCCAGCCACACAGGCACAACTAGTAGCTGTGGCTGACACGTATCAGCCACCACACGCATCACACAACCGCGTGTTCCGTGGCAATTGCAAGACGCAGCATCACAGCTCAACCATCCGTGATGCGGTGTTCTACCCGCGGGATGTGGCTTGGAGGCCTGCGAACGGCTGACCGCCACCTTCCGACGATCCTTCCACTCGGAAATGGTGACATCCAACGTCCCGTCCCTCCCAGCGACACAGTACAGCTGCTGCGCCACCGTCCTGCTCCATACTCGCAGCTGAGCTGACACTCTGAAACCCCCTCTTCCCGAGCTTAGTCTGCAGTCCGCCGTGTCGGCCGTCATCCTTGCTCATAAAAGCCATCTGTCCACCAAAGGATGACCCCATCCATCCGCCCATCCAAACTGCACCTCCCGTCGCATCGGCATCTGTCCTCGATCTTCCCTTTCACATCCGCCTTCCTCATCCACGCATAGCCTACCCTACTCCCTCAGAATGTCCAACAACGATTACTACGGCGGCGGCGGCGGCGGCGGCTACGGGCAGCAGCCCCCACAAGGCTACGGGCAGCCGCAGCAGCAGTACGGCCAGCAGTATCCCCCACAACAGCAGTACCCAGGCCAGCAGCAGTACCCTCCACAGGGCCAGTATCCTCCCCAGCAGCAATATCCCCAGCAGGTTCGTCCATCATCACCGCAACCGCAATTCCCATCGTCAAAACAGCCATCATCCGCCTCCTCAAACTAACATCTAGTAACCAGCACCAGCAACACTACGGCGGCCAGCCCCAGGGCCCCCCGCCAAGCTACGGCCAACACCAGCAAGGCTACGGCCAGCAGCAGGGCTACCCTCAGCAAGGCTACAACCCTCACCAGCAGCAGCAAGGCTACGACCAGCGCAACCAGCACCCCGGCGGCGCGCCCAGCTACTACGGCGGCCAGCAGCAGCCAGGTCCCTACCCGGGCGGCCCAGGTGGACCCCCGGGCCAGGACGAGCGAGGTCTTGGCGCAACCCTCGTCGGCGGCGCCGCGGGAGCCTTTGGCGCCCACGCGATGGGCGGCGGCGCCATGGGCAAGATCGCCGGCGGGGCGGTCGGTGCCGTGGGCGCAAACATGATCGAGCACGCCTTCAAGTGAGTGTCCAGACTGTGATCATCAGCTGGGGGGAGGCCCTCCTCGGACGAGGTTCCCCCCCTCAAGTGTTAGTATATGTCGCTAATAGCTGGACCTGCAGGGATAAGAAGCATAAAAAGGACAAGAAGCACAAGAAGGACAAGAAAGACAAGAAGAAGCACAAGCGCTCGTCGAGCAGCAGCAGCTCGTCGTCCTCCAGCTCCTCCGACTAAGCGGCATCTGTTCTGTCGCCGTGGATGGCTTCATTGTGTTTAGCGTGTAAAAGTGTATCTTATATTACTTTACCTACTTACTTGGCTGCCCTTCCGCGGTTTCTGTATTACCTAAGTTTCTCTTCATGGTTCCATCGTAATTGGGGCAGTCATTATTTGAGACGCTGCAACCAACTCCATTTCACCGTAGGTCGGGGATGTAAGCCATCCAGAGTGATTACAAGGTTTCGAAACCTCAAGCCTCGTTGAAGTGAATTATTTTCTCTACCTGTACCATGAACTCCCCGCTGACAGACGGGCCTCAAAAAATCCCAAGCCTCAAAAATCAAACTGATCATTCGAGTGACCGAGAATGCCATGCCTAAAAAGAAAAATAAGAAATAAAAATAAAAACACACATCGCGCCGAAACTCCTTCCTGTCAAAGGAAGGAGGGCACGACACATGGGCCCATCGCCCCAAGTAGGTTCCGACCAAATCGGACGATTCATGGAGATGTCCCCCGTCTCATCAATATCATTTCCCATCTCCCTTTGGGACCGGTGGGATCAAGATCATCTAAATCCCGTACCCCCCCAAAACGCCCATCCCATCCAAGGTATCGCTAATCCCACTCCTGAAGTTGTTGCTAGTCCTACAAACAAAGCTTCAAACAAAGCTTATTGATCTGGCTGCCAAGACCATAAGATAAAAAAGAAATTCAAAAACAAAACAGATCCATCCGCCCCCTTAGGCGTGTGAAAAGCTGATATGAAGGGTAATCACAAAGGGAGGAGGAAAGAATAGAGAGGAATAATTCGTTAATGGGCGGGTCTTTCACCTGCCCTTGGCTTTTGCCCGGAGTTGCCCTTCCTAGGATTCTTATCCGAATGGTAGAGCATATCGGCAGGTTGCCATCCCTGAGAGAGCCAAGACTCGGTCGACAAGAAATGTCACTCTCGTTATCAGACACCGCCACCCATAAATGCGGCCAGATCATCCATTTCTAGAAGTTGGCGCTCAAAGACTGTGCAGAGCTCAGGAGCTGTCATGTCCTGGCTTGTAGTGTGTGCCTCTGGCGGGGGACCGACTGTGCCATTTGGAGGCACATCCGGGCTCTGCTGTTTGCCCTCAGATCCGTACAATGGATACTGGCCTGCAGAATTGGGTGGGGGAGGCGAGACAGTTGCACCGGCCCCGACGCCTGCATTGCCATTAATAGTGGTGATTCCGGGGCGGCGGGGAATGGAAACAGGTGGCTCGCTACCAGCACGTGCTGAGTCAGGGCCGGCAAGAGGTACCGTGGGAGGGGCGTGCTGAGGGGGAACACTGCCACTCTGCCCGTGAGGGTCGTAGTCCATGGCATCGGCCGAGGTGTCGGCGTTTGATGCAACCTCTTCCTTGATGCTGCTGTGGCCGCCGAGAGAGTTGTGGCCAGCAGAATTGTGCCGAGCTGCGGTCATGGCTGCAGCGTCATTGTTCAGCACGCGCTGCATGACAGTGAGGTGACGTAGCCAGCTTGCCATAAGTGGCCAGTTATCTGTGCCCTCGGTCATGAAACGAAGGCCGTCCTCGACAATGTGGCTGGCTGTCTCAACCGCATTGGATGGTGTCAAACCCTTGAGGGACAGATAAGCGACCGTAGCACCGGCGGTAAAGGCTGAGAACAGCATGAAGATGGGGAAGCAGGTGAGGTGGTCCTTCTCCGCTCCCGTCTCCACGGCGTTCAACAGGGAGATGATGGTGTGGCATGAGGTGAAGAGCCGGTCAACAATATCGTGGCACTTGGAGGACATGCGGAATCCCTCAATGTTGAAGTTGGGTGCTGTGACCTCCTGCAGTAGTCGCCGCCGGTGGACAAAGATGCTGGAGCAGTGCAGCAGGCAGTGGAGCATGGCAAATGTGTAGCCCGATCCCATAGTCATGTGCAAGTTAATCTGGCCAGGCTTATCCACAAACTGCATGGGGAGCGACGCCCTCACCATCTCAATCTTGTCGATGAGATCAGAGCACGTCTCCTCTCGGAAGTTCTGAAGGGTGGTGCCTGTGAGCATGGTGACGACATCGCGCCAGATGGTGGATGCCAACACGATGTACCCAAACTCGCCGACCTCGCCGGTGGGAGGCTGGGTGACGGGGTTGCGAACTGGGTCGAGCTGCTGAGCGAGGGTCTTGACGTAGACTGCATTACCAAATGCAAAGTTGATATCAGAGCAAGGCAAAGAGACGTCAGCTGTGTCGCGAAGGTTGAGAGCAGGGTAGCGCCCAGGAGTGCTGGTCAGGAAGCAGTCCAGGATGTAGATGAGCCACAGGGTGCGTCGGAAGGACTCATCGCGCAGGAACTGGTCGGGGTCAGTTCGGTGGCTGTTGAGAATGCTGTACATCTGGAGCATACGCGCAGCCTGGCCTAGGAAGATGTAGGCACGGACCGCGTTCCGAGAGCCCCATTCGTGGATCACAAGAAGGCATAACGCCTGAATGTCCGCAAGGTTGGGGTGGTCTAGGTTCTGGGTGACAAGGCCAATGGCCTTGGCCGCGAAGTTCTCGGCAGCTGTAGTTGGATTGCCAAACCGCCGGATCAAAGCATGGGAGCTCCTGTAGACGAGAGAATTAGCGCATTGGTCGACTTTAGACCGATTTTCTACAACCGTCCTGATGCCGGGCGGATCCTGTTTTGTTTCCTCTGATGAACGCATCACCAACAGACGAGGAGCTAAGGAGCTAGCAGCAGCTGGTTCCACCGGCGACAGCTACACAAGAAAAGCCTAGACGGCCACGGAAGGGGCCTCTAGGGCCAATTGGGGAGTCATACCGAGCGGCGCATGCCAGCAAGCCGAAGACGAGAGATGGCTCCAAGGAGGCACTCTTGAGCTGCTGTACAAAGGAAGGCTTGTGGAAGGCTACACAAGCCGGGAACGTCTTGGACACGACGCGCTCGCACTCAGCGATCAGCTCCGGGGTGAGCCTGAGGTAACGAGGTTAGCAGGAGATAACCGAGGGCCGGGGGGGTTCAGATCTGCGTGACAGAAACAAGGGGTACGAGAGGGGGCGCGATATTTGCAGCTGGGCTGCAGGTGGCATGCGGACATCTCGGAGCAACACTAGCAAACCAACAGCCAGTGCCCCAGACTGGGGTGGCTGTGTGCGTGGGAATGAATGTGCGCTTGCGGGGCGGGGAAGGGGAGGAGATGGGGACGAAATACACCAGTGACAGCCAAGGGGCAGGGAGCAGGAAAGCAAAAAGTGTGACCAAAATCCTCGGCACGGACTTTCAGCCGGTGGAAATTGTGGAGGGGCTTCGGGGGGTGAGATGAAAAAAATTGGAAACTTGGTTGCGGCGGTGCCCTAATGCAACCCGGCCCAGGAGCAGCCAACCCGGAGACGGGGAAACTGGATTGGTGGATGCGCCAGGCTGATATGGACTCAACCAACAGCTAGCCAATGTGACGAGAAGAGGGAATGGGGTAGTGATGTGGCGAGGGATGGGCAGCCGAGCCGCTGCAAGTCCCGTCACACATTGGGGGCGGCAAGGCGAGGTGATGCTCGAGTTGGTGATCATGTCGCTTGTTGGCGCAGGGCTGGATAAAGGGGGATTGGGGATGGGTGGAAAAAGGCAATGGGATAAAAAACAGTGGTGGTGCAGGGGTGGATGTGAGGGCTGTTGGGCTGGGACAGTGGGTGAAGTGAGGCAGCGAGAAGGAGACTCGGCCATGAAGATGGGGCGAGGGAATGAGGGAAAGAAGGGCATTGGCGCTACTCACTTGTCTGCGGCGGCGGTCTGGACGTGCCTGTTGGCGCTGGTGCCGCCTGAGCCCACTGTAGGCTGCCTGGCCTCTGAGGCAGCGCCGGCCCCGGAAGCCGGGAGCGATTCTCGAGGGGCTCTGTGGGCGTTGGAATGGCGAGCTGGACTCTGGCCGTGGTGATGAGCCATGCTCTCGGAGGGAAGATAGCATTCGTGCATGCCCTTTGCGCAGTTCTTGCACGGGGCGCGGCCGTTCTCGTAGACGCACTTGGTCTTTCCCTTGCGGCAGCGCACACACGCGCCGCCGGCCCTGAGGGCTGTAGACCGCACGACGCCGGACGACATGCTAGGAAATCAGTTTGAGGGCGCGCAACGTCGGAGGCGGGGGAGAGGAAAAATTAAATTCGCGGGGATAGTGCAATTCAGCGACGCGACGCGATGCGAGGCGGTAGGATATCCTCCTCTTTCTCAGGCGGAGGAGGGTGATGAGCGTGGGAGGAGGAAAAAACCGAGCCTGGGTGGTAGAGGAGGTGGAAGAGGGAGCTGAATGGTGATAGGTGGTGGGTGGTTGGGGGGCCGGAGGTTGTTCGCTACCAACCGTGGGTTCCGGAGTGAGATTCAGGGTACCGTGGCTTGCGGCCAGGGACGCGGCGGTCAGCTACGGCCAACGCAGAACGCAAAAAGAAAAAATACGCCTCGGCCACAAAAAAAAACAAGGAATTGGGGCAGTAGAGACCCGGCCAGAAGCAGAAAGGATCCCGTCAATCCTGCTTCGGGATCTCACACAACGCGTCCTGGGCGAGCCGTCTGCGTACGTCCACACTTGAGAGATTCGTTTGGGATGTGTCGAGTGATGCTGGGCAGATGGGGTCTGTCTGAGCGAGGAGATGAGGAGAGGAGGTGGAAGGGATGGATGGGGTGGACGGAGATTGGGAGGCCTGCTTGCCTTGGGGAAGCTACGCCAGGCTGAGGCCAAAGGGGAAGAAACGGAGTTGTGGGACGGGCGGCGGAGGCGGCGACGGCGGTACTGTGGACTCGTGAGAAAGGGCTTGGAGGTGTGGGAGCCTGAAGCATGGAGAAGGAGGTCGCAAGAATAGACTGAGGGTAGCGTTGCCGGCCTGGATTTTTTGCTGGCGACGCGCAGGTGCCTCCCGTTTGGCAACGACTACCTATTAAATTCTCACCCGCCCCAAGGCAGGAACCGATGAACGTTTCCCCAGCCCAACAGCCCGCCTCTTCAGTGATGTCCGCTGGGGCAACTCTCTGCCTCAGGCTCCCTACGGCAGCTGGCAGGCCGTGCCGGCATTCCCCATCCCCTCTGTAGGCGCATCCTCCCTCCCTGTAGCCACACGCTAGTCGCGTTGCACGCACCGACCCGCCTGCCAGATGAACACCCGACCGACCTACCTAACTCAGCCAGAGAGGGTGGTGCATACGAGCGATGGCCGGATCATGAGAAAGATGCTCATCTCTCGCGCCCACCGGGCTAAGAGGGCGTCGCTGGGCGCACCAGACACTGACGGGGCGTGAAAGGAGGTCCGTGTGCTCGCTCTGCTCCGTCTCTCTATGTAAATCTGCACTCACCGATCAGGTTATGCACAGGGTGTGGTCATTTGTGGTGTGCTCAGTGTCAGCATCAGCCGAGTCGTCACGACACAACACGTTACGCTCCGGTCCGAAGTGTCTCTACTGGGTGGGCGGTGGAAGAGCTTTGTCTTTCCCCTCCTCCAGTCTTAGCTGCTCGGATCCCGCATATCCACCCCGACCGTCTTATACGGTTTGTTTGCAACATGCTGGAGATTCTGCTCCTTCGCCACGGCACTTGCCCGGCCGGCCTCTGCCGCACGCCGTCGATGCGTACCACTGATCTGATGGGGGCAGCTTAGCAAACAGAATTGTGTATCAGAAATACCAAAGAACCCACCACGTACACCACGTACGCGTGGGTTCCTCAGGCGCCATGAGCAGAAAAAAAATGTCTCGGACTCAAGGCCCACACGGTGAAAATCCCAGAGTGGGGGCAGCCTCCCTACCAGCCAATCATAATTAAGGGCCAGGTGAGGACGGGCGGCGCCTCCGGAAGCTGCAATCGGCCGATGCAGCGTTTCTGGGCAGTGGGAGCACGCAGGGAGGGACAGGGAGGAGGGTGGGGAGAATAATTCGTTGGCCGTATCCGACGGTGCTCCCCTGCTTCAGCTGCTCCGAGACCAAGCCATCACTGTCTGGGCTACATGACAGGTACGCTGCAGCGCACGCGCGCGCTGCAGGCGATAGCTAACGCCCCCAATCTCAGGTGTACACAGATCGAGGGCCTGGCGCTCCAGCTGTCCGATCAACGGCCGTTTCTACGACCGCCCCCCCTGCTATCTCCTCCAGCTGGCCGTGTCGTGCAACTCTGCGGCTTGCATCCATCCCAGGATCGTCCACCATTATCCGGGGTTGGCTGGCTCGCGCTATCCCGCTTACCATTCGCCTTGCAGCGCCTGGAGGTGCCCGTGTGATACGGAATTGTTCCGAGCTGAGAGGCCAGGCATGCCTTTCATTCGCAACCGCCATCGTCCATCTTAGCCCACGGTTGGTGCGGCCTGCTCCGACGGCCCACGCAGGCTGAGCCTGGGAACCCGCAGCTTTCTCGGTTGTCACTTTGCCCGGCAGACGCGATATGAAGGAGGGGGGCCAATGGCGAGGCTCCAATTTGGGGAGAGCGCCACACCGGGGAAGAAATTAGCGACAGGCTGCACAGGGTACTTGTTGGTACATGAATCGATGTGACAATGGACGGGCCCGAGGGGGATGCAGGGATTGGACCCGGCGGTTGCCATCATCATGCTCCCTTGAAGCCTCAGCCTGGCCGTTTCCTGGACCGGGAGGCTTGATGACGTGACTTCCCGAGTCCAGCAGCTGCAATCCGTCCGTCTTGGGTGTCACAGCTTGGCGACCTGCCGACCTCAGCTGTGCTGGATGCTACCTCCAGCCAGGTCGCAAATTACCATCACATCTGGTTGGGTTGGCAACAATGTTGGCTGTTCCCCGGGCCAATGGCGGGACCCGTGAAGTAATTCCAGATACGGCCGTCCGCCCTGCAAATCCAGCTGAGTCAAGCCTTTGCTGCTCTCCCCACAACCACATTTCTTACGCGCATGCCATACGTAGGGCAATCTCCGAACACACCAAAGCAAGGCCGGTTCGGGCCTCGGTGGGCTAGGCCTCTCCCATTCTCGTGCCAGCGACAATCGGGTCCCCATCTGGCTTGGATGCTACACAACCAACTCTGAAACTCCGAACACCTCCCGCTCCACGAACACCCGTAGTCCATGCAAAGGGACGCAGCACGCACCCAAACCCACAGGGACACTGCGCTGCGAGACCAGACGCCTAGTGTCCTCGCAGCCATGATGGTGGTTTCCCCCTAATGCCGATCGGCCGACCACATTGTTTCGGAACCTACGGGCGCTCTTCTCCACAGCGCGCATGAATTCCTTCCCGACGCTAGCTGTAAGATACCCCTATTCTGATGTTGATACGGGGAAGCAATGGAGCCCATTCTGTTCCCCACAACAGGAGAGAGGACGCCTGAATCCTGATGGTTCTGCCAGCGCCAACGGGACCATCCCGGGGCTGGTCAGAGCTCCGTGCCTTCTGGACGCCTTGACCAATCGATCGTCGCGAGGCGGCCGTCTAGACACTCAGTACGGCGGAACGACACCTGGTCATATTAAGCGCTTCATTTTTGCCAGACCCGGCATCTGCCGCGGCGTCGAATCTCACCCGCTTACGCGATGAACCTTGATATCGTCGGGTCCCGTAATTGGCCTGAGCAGTCCATCCGCCTGTAATCACAATTGGTGGTGTACGTCGTCAGGAAATATGGTTTCCCGGACACATCTTTATTTTTAGCAGGCCCGGCCGCCTTCTGATATGGGTTTGACCAGGTTGTTTGATCCACCCAGCAGCGAAGGGGATGCCACGATTTGACTGCTGGTGCCGGAATATCGGGGAGCCACTGTGGATTCGTCAGTCTTCCTTACCGCCGACTCGAGTCACTTGACGTTGAATCTGCGGACTTGGTATCTGGCTACCATGTGGAAAGAACAAATAAACGCGGAGGGTGGGATATTTCCCCACATGACTTTCGGGAGTGCAACCTCAGACCCGACTTGGCAGAGCGTATTGAACGTTCACCAGTGGCCTATTGATGATATGGAACTTGACGATTTCCATGTCATATAAGTCGAAATTTTCTGAAAAAATCTTGGATCATACCTTAAGCTGAATGTTGTCAACGTGGGGGTCCAATGTGACCACATTATTCCAAAGTTCGGACGATCTCTTGAAGACATCTGAAGGCAGTTCGCATGAGGATGCAAGCGAATGGTCGTGCACGGAGCATCATCCTCCGGCCTTTCGTTGTCAACGCTCCGTCAAGCCGTATCGGTCATGGTCACCAGGAATCTGGATAGAATCTGACCAAAAATGTAACTTGGTCGAGAGTTTATTTCACCGATCAGCATTCGGATCATGCCTATTGCTCCCGTGGCTGCCGTTGGATGGGCTAGGGGTCGAACCTTGAGGGAACTACGAACCTACCTACTTATACTCAAGTAGATCCGCGAGATAGCTCATCTCATGTTAGTCAAGCGAACAGACCTTCTTGAGCTGAATCTGCAAACTAGAATTTCGCCGCCTCCTTCTTGAAATCGCAACAATGAAGGCCTTCCTTGGTCTCCTCGCCGCAAGTGCCTGCAGCGCACACACAATCTTCTCCTCCCTCACGGTAGGAGGGACCAACTACGGCATCGGCAACGGCGTCCGCGTCCCCTCCTACAACGGGCCCATCGAGGACGTCACCTCGGACTCGCTGGCGTGCAACGGGCCCCCCAACCCGACCACGTCGACCCCCCTCGTCATCAACGTCAACGCGGGAGACACCGTCACGGCCGTCTGGCGCTACATGCTCAGCACGACCGGCTCGGCGCCCAACGACATCATGGACTCGACCCACAAGGGCCCCGTCTCCGCGTACCTCAAGAAGGTGGACAACGCGGCGACGGCGCCGGGGGCCGGCGGCGGCTGGTTCAAGATCCAGGAGGACGGGCTCGACTCCAGCGGCGAGTGGGCGACGACCAAGGTCATCAACGGCCAGGGCCTGCACAAGATCACCATCCCCAAGTGCATCGAGTCCGGGCAGTACCTCCTCCGCGCGGAGATGCTGGCCCTTCACTCGGCCACGGGGTACCCTGGCGCGCAGTTCTACCAGGAGTGCGCCCAGATCAACGTGATTGGGGGCACTGGCACCGGCAAGCCGTCGACTGTTAGCATTCCCGGCGCGTACAAGGTATGAAACACTAAACCATTTATTTTATTTATGATTAGTTGCTGACTTGTTGGACAGTCGACTGACCCCGGCGTCACGATCAATATCTACTGGCCCCCCGTGACCAGCTACACGATCCCGGGACCTAGGCCGTTCACCTGCTAAAGGATCAAGACGTGAACAATCTCTGACAGCTTGGCCTTATGGAAATCTTACTCCCGGTTTGGTTTGGGAGGGATGGTCTGATAGGTTGAATTGCAGGTGGCAGCAAGGCGTTGAGAGTGGCGGTAGCGAGCTTAGACTGAAACTGCTGTGGTGTCTTTTCACACTCTTCTCAATGGCTGCATTAAAATGCGTCATGATCAGTAAATTAAACCGTAAATATAGTGCAATTCGCTCTAGTTGAGCTATCTGAGTTGTCTGTTGCCATGAGAATGTATTGTGAACATCGTAACACTGACCCTCTATTAGCTTGGATTACAAACCTAGGTGTGCCAAGTGCTTTGCAATTATCACGCTCCAATGACGAGACGACACAAATAGGTGGTGAGATGGAAATTAGTAGTACTGCCATCGCATAAAAGGATTCTCTGAGTTAGTGCGTGGTTAAGCTTGGATTGGAGTGTATGGAATGGCCTATGAAACCTTTGAGGTCAGTTGAGATGGGATGAAGAGGGCTGTAACCCCGCTTGGCCGTTGAACCCACTTCCCGCATGTTTAGTGGATTAAACCCTTGATGATCGGTGGTCCTCCCACCTCTCAGGTCGCGTCACCGCACCATGAGCCCTGTATTTATGCAGCTTCTTATGTAAACAATGGATATGCTCCTAGTGGTGCATCGGACCACCGAATCGCATGCACCATCGTCATCAGTTAGTGGCGGCTCAACCCGCCGTGCCGCCCTTCTGCTTCTCCCAGCCACCGAATAATTCTGTCCAACGTGACCGACCAACATCGCTGCGTCGCCCATTCTTGTGTTCGTGCATGGTCCACACCTGTCCTGTCCTGTTCTTTCAAGAGCCCGCGGGATAGAGAACTGTAATCTCTTCATTCAGGCGCCCTGCCTGCTCCTCTTTCCCCGTGCTGCCGCCTTCTTTCCCCATCGCCCTCCTCCCGCGCAATCCGCCCACCATGAGCAGCATCGGCAACGTGCCTCTGGCCAAGATGGACCCTCGTCCCATGTCCTCGCCGTCTCTCGCGAACCTGGACGACCCCTCCAAGCCCACGCGCACGAGCTCCGTGCCAAACATCGCCCTCAAGCTCGGCCCCGAGTCCCAGATCCCTGACCACCCCCATAGCATGAATGAGGTGCCGCGGGCCTCCAACAACTATGCCACCAGCCCTGGATATCGGGGCCCCGGCCCTCACGACGGCGTCTACGACAGTGGCTACGGGGGCGGCGGCGGCTACGGACCGGTGGCGAACGCTGGCTATGCCCCCGCGCCCATGATGACCTCCGTCTCCCAATTGCCCTCCGACGTCCCGTCCCTCAAGAGCCGCTGTCAGTTCCAGCTGCAGGAGTACCTCAGCCTCCAGCGCAAGCGCCAGCGCGCCGAGAACTCGAGCAAGGTGGCCCTGGACCTGGAGTCGAGGATCCGGTCGCAGCAGGGGATGGTGCTCAATGATCTCGTAGCGCTGCAGGCCGAGGTCAAGGCCATGGTCAAATCCGCGGAGAATCACCGCTGGCGCAAATGGCTTCTTGGCGGAGCGATGTAAGTTACCTTCGGACCTCCTGGGGAAAGCCTAGAGCTGGGAGACTTCTCAGTAGTGGGCAAACAGCCATGGCTCGACGGATTGGACTGACGAATTGATCAACAGTGCATCATTCATCCCTCTGGTGAGACGCATCTTCCGCCGTGGTGATGACGAAGCGTCCCTGGCAGCCTCCAACGACACCGAGTACGCGTTCAATAAATCCAAGGGCCTGCTCGACTACATCAAGGAGGGCGTCCTGGGCAACGGGAGCTTCGCCAAGATCGCCTTCTTCGTCTTCGCCGTCCTCTACGTCTTCCAGAACGAGGTCTCGCTGCGGGTCGCGAGGACGATGCACAAGAGGATCAAGAGGCTTGTTGCGCGCGTGGAAATGGGAGACACTGAGCTTGACGAGAGGGACATCAAGATCTTGGATGGCTGGCGATGGCGAATCCTGCTGTGGTAGGATGCCGTCAAGAGCGAGCGGAAGGGATGGATTTCCTCAACGAGTATATGATAATAACGAAGCATTTCTTTCTTTGGTTGCGTAAGTAGGTATTTAGGATCAGATACAGCTAAACAGTGAATTTCACCTCTCAATCGCTCAATCGAATAGGTATTTGGCCATTCTTTGATCTACCTATTAATTGTCTTACGGCCTGTCGCACATATTCCTCTTTGGTGTCAAGGTGTTTGGTGTAATGTTGTGTTTTAGGGTGGCAATTGACGAACAGCAGCAGGTTTAAGCTGTTGGAAGTTCCAGCTTTGGTGCTCCACCTCTCACGTCACTGACTTACAGCGCACCCATTCGGCTACAGCTTCCAATCTTCCCGCCTACACATAAACACAAAGGTCGGGTGACGAAAGAAAGATTTGCCAAAAAATGGCGACCGACCAGGAATCCAAGGACCGCCATTTCAAGGACCTATACGCAAATCCTCCGGATTTCAAGGTTCTCGGGCGCCTTGACCCTGACCTCGCCGCAGTGTAGGCAAAGCTCCCTCCAATTCTCGTCTCTAGACCAGGCAGCTCAATGTGATTCCAGACTAAAGGGGCGAGAGCTCGACTTTGACGACCCGGCGTCGGTAATGCAATTGACGAAAACACTTCTGAAGCTCGACTTTGATCTTAATATCGAGCTGCCTGATGATCGTCTCTGTCCACCTGTGAGTAATTGACCTCCCTTGACCTGAAATTGGCTTCAGCTGAACACGCTGCAGGTGGCCAACAGGCACAACTACATATTATGGCTGAAATACCTACTCGATACAAGCTCGTACGAGAAACCGGGACGCAAGGCCGTCGGGATAGACATTGGCACGGGCGCGAGCTGCATCTACCCTCTGCTCGGTTGCACGCAGCGACCTTGGTCCTTTGTCGCTACAGGTAAGCACATGAATTACACAGCCCATCATCAATCGGGCCAACATCATCTAACGAGCGTCCGGAGAATAGACATTGATGCCAAAAGCTTGGAATACGCAAGGGAGAATGTGAAGAGGAATGGGCTGACACACCGCATCAACGTCCTCGCCAGAACGCAAGACGATCCCATGATTCCTCTCCAAGATGCAAAGCTCTCGGCTGCAGATTTCACCATGACGAACCCGCCCTTCTACGCGTCGAATGACGAGCTCCTCGAGAGCGCGGCGCAGAAGTCCAGGAAGCCATTCACGGCATGCACCGGCTCGGAGACGGAAATGGTCACCACCGGCGGCGAGGTCGCCTTCGTCGGCAGGATCCTGGATGAGTCGCTGGAGCTCCGCGAGCGCGTGCAGTGGTACACATGCATGGTGGGATTCCTCTCGAGCGCGACGAAGCTGGTTGAGAGGCTGAAGAAAGAAGGGATCGATAACTACGCCGTGACGGAGCTCGTGCAGGGGAGCAAGACGAGGCGGTGGGCTGTCGGGTGGAGTTTCCAGGCGATGCGGCCGGAGCAGAGCGTCGCGAGGGGTGTCACGTCCAAGGCGGGGGCGGCGAAGATCGACCTCCCCCCGGCTACAGAGCAGCAGGTACTGAAGATTGCCCTCCCGGAGAAGATTGGGGAGTTTGCTGATGAGTTACGGCGACACATCGGAGGCTTGGAGCTCGCGAGCTGGGAGTGGGATCAAGAGAGGCTCGAGGGTATCGGCCGGGCAGAGGCCAATGTATGGAACCGTGCGTGGAGGAGGAAGAGAAAGAGGGAAATGGAGGTTGAAGAACAGGAGGGCAAAGAAGAAGTCAAGAAAGAGCCGTCGGCGATTGTTTTCGGTTTCCAGGTTCGAGTACGGGTGACGAAGGATGACCTCTCTGTTGGGTGCCGGTGGATGGAAGGTCACGATGCGGTCATCTTTGAAAGCTTCCAGGGCTACATCAAGGCGACTGTGAATAGCATAAGTGGCACAGCAAAAGGAATAAAAAAGTAGCTTTGTATTGGGGTCTAACGGAGATCATTATTTCTAATAAGAATCGGAGCGTCTATCTAGGTAAATGCTTATCATAACCTGCTGCAACCAGCCTGTTCCTAGCCTCCCACACCTCGGCAGGGATTTCCTGCTTAATCTGGAACCCCTTGGCGGGATACTCGCGGATCCGATCCAGATCGCCCACCATGATGCTGATCACCAGCTCGCGGGGGTTGTCCGCGTCAAAGTACTCCTCAAACTCGTACTGCGGGGACGTCACGGTGATGCTCACCCCTTCGTCGGGCCACTGCTTGCAGAAGGTCGCGTACGTCCTGCGCTCCATGTACGGCTTCTGCACCAGGATGAGTGACCTGAGCGGCGGGAACCCTCGCTCGCGCAGGAGGGCGTGGGTGAAGCGGACGTTCTCGCCCGTGTTCGTCGAGGCCGGCTCGACGAGGATGGCCGAATCCGGGACGCCGCGCTGGCGGGCGAGGCGGGCGAAGATGACCGCCTCCGGTTCGTCGAAGCGGCTGGCCGTGAGGGCGCCGGAGCCGCCAGAGATGATGAGTAGGGGCGCGAGGCCGGCGAGGTAGAGGTCCGCGGCGCGGATGGCGACGCGGGTGTCCAGGCTGCAGAGGCAGAAGATGGCGTCGGCGGGCGAGGGGGTGTGGGAGAGGCGGTGGTAGTTGTAGATGAGGGCTGCATCCTTGGATACCTGGTCTGACATGGTGGGCTCTCGCCGTATCGATGAGCCACCCGTGCCGTTTACTCAAGGGCTTGGATGGATTTAAGAGGAAGAGGCTTGGACGAGAGGATTGTAGAAGTTGGGGGCTCTGAGCCGGAATACGAGAGTGTTCCCGGGATGTGGTGGGGGCCAAGAAGTAGCATCGTCAGCTTGGTATACCAACCTGCCGACGAGTCTGCAACTAACTCTGTCGTATACATGCAATGCAAATCTAGGTAGGAGAAAAACTGAGCATATCATGGATATCGTGAAGAGTAGAAGCAATCCTGTGGAGATTACCCAGCCAATTAAATCAGGTCCCATGGCGATAAAAATTAACATCTTGGGTTCTCGTTGCGATGAGAGGTTTCAGGTTCATACCAAATCTATTTTTGACAGGCCGTATTTGTTGCTGCTACATAGTTGTGGCCTCGCTCAGTATTCTGGTAGCCAGAACCAACTCCTTAGCTCACTGACATAGCCTTACGAGACTTGAAAGACGGACAACGTCAAGATGTGCCTTCCGAGGCCTTGACCTGAGCCCGACAATAGACCGGCGTCGGGGATGCCCAGTCTACCCCGTCTAATCGCGTCTCCATCACGTTGCCGCCGCTTAGGAACACGCACCTGGTTAGGTCCGATGCTGGTTCAAGCAGCCTATCAGAATCCCTCACCTCGTTTGGCTTCTCATCAGGTGTCAACCCATTCATCCATGCTGGGCCTGTGACGCACGCTATGCTCGTTAATGGGTCGGCATATTTGAAGGCACCAGGTGTGGACAACTGCCAGTCGTTTTCTGCCCCTTCTCGCCGTAGTTGTTGAATTTTGTCATCCCGGCCATAATACAACACGAATGTGTGTATTTTACTGTCTGCGTCATCACTCGACGCTGCCACTGCGAGTGCTGCGATCGGCGACCCATATAGCTTAATGTCAGGGAATGCTAACGAATACGTGGTCAGCGATTATCCATGCTATGGCAAGTTTAGTGGTGTCGAAGGGAATGGCGTACATGAGTTCCACGCGGTTTGATTCGCAAACTTTGTACCTTGGCCCATGCCCAGAGGGTCTTCCCACACACTCAACTTCATGTCCTGGTCTTCGTAAAACACTGCTATTCGTCCCGCAGTTGAAACCTCCGTGTAGTTCCTGGACGTGGGGACGACGGCGATCGCGGATCGGTCCCTTGCTCTTATTGATGATATCTGTGTGGTCCAGCCGGAGGCATATTTGATTACCTGGAGGAGCCCGAGGCGGGATTGGAACAAGACATAGGGCCAGTACGCGGCCAAACTGCTTCCCTCCAAGGCTTGATAGGCTTTGTAATTGATGCTGTCGCTGATGTATTGGAAGGAACGGCCGTAATCTACAGCATTGACGAAGTTTGTGGTATTGAGGTAAAATGCCACAACTTGAAGCTGAGGTCAGCCTTGATAGTTAGCACATCTCGATATCACGACATCCCGTGGAGCATGCATTACTGACAGCTTTCCCATTCCCATTGCCGTTGGAATCTTGAATCGTCAGGCCTGTGGCGAACCCCGACATATTTTGTGCTCGGTAGTCGGGACTGAGGTTTGCCGCCTGCTCCCACGAACTGTCCACAGAATCCAAGTCAAGGGACACGCCAGTGGACATGCACGACCGGAGTGTCCCGTTCGCCTCTTGGTAGAATACGTGTCTCACGAACCCCTTTGAATCATGCCACGAAGAGAATGCAAGGCGAGAGTAGCGTGGTACCTTTGCAATCGAGGTTGTATAATACACTTCTGTCTGAGCTATCTTTCTCAAGCCAAGAAATCCGCCTAAGACAGCTCCAAGAATAATGAGGACGACGGCGACGGCGCCGATGATGTAGTATCGTCGCCGCCGTGGCTTCTTTTGCGCTTCGCTGATATTCTCCTCAGTTGGCACGAGCGTGGCGGACTGGGGCTGCCCTTCTGGCTTCATAAGCCCTCCAGAGCTGACGGGAATCATTCCATCATCAGGTGGTGTTACTTCGAGGGTTGGGTCGAGTACAGCCTGAAGTCCCGACGACTCGGGCTGCGATCTAGCAACTGAACTCCGGGTTTCCATGGCCGCCTTCAGACTTGCATGATGGGTTAATGAATGTTGTTTTCTTAGCACACCGGGTTTTCTTTGGATAAGTGTAAGTCGTTGTTGGGAGTTTTCCTAGAACCGAGAGGAGGTCGGGCAACATTTGGTAGGTAGGCGTTACATCAATGCACAGACAGACACCTCGCCGCGGCTGGAAAATGTGACTTGAAAAATACGACGCACCCGCAGATAATCCTCCCCTACGAAACCAATATGAGTTTGTGATTAAGGCGTTATTGGCTGAGAAGCGGTACTTTGGGGAGGATTCAACACCGCCCCCCTTCTCTATGTCAATGTACAGGTGGGCATCTCGTCACGGCTAGACAAATAAGAACTCTCCACGGCTAACCCTCCCTTCCAGCGCCGATGTTCATTCATGATCAAGGCATTATCAGCTGGAGCAAGAGGTAGGAGGAGCTTCGGTCGTGTCAAGGGAAGTGTGTAGCTTCTGGAGGTGTAAGTATTCAACCGACTCTGACGCAATTCATCAGATATCCTCTTTATCTCGAGGCCACTGTCGCGCAACCTGGTTTAGGCACCTATTAAGATTAGAGTAGTACCGAGGAGCAAGCCAACTGTACGGGCCAGGTGGTCCACACCATTGAGTGGTATCGGGTCCTCAAGTGGCTCGCCATTACGGCCCGGCCCCCAAATTATTCGATGGATGGATGCCATTCGCACAGGACCGGACACAAACTGCATTGCCTCTCCCGTAAAACTGATCTATCATTTGAGAGGGTGGATGACACGTATCGAAGATGTTTCCACCCTCGTTTTTAAGCACAACTGATTTCCGTTGCCCTCATGAAGCATGAGCGCGGCGCGTGGCAGAGCGTCTCTTTGGCGTACGCCGCTCATTGTTCCTCTGCGCACCGTCGCAGATACTCTAATCACAAGGAAAAGACGCGAGAAACTATGGATATCATAAATTAGTGTACTATCGAGAGCCACCTTTTGATTCCCAGGTTATGCGAGTGTCGGAATTCGCGCGTGTGCGGTTGGCTCAGTGTAGCTATGATCAGCTTATACACAAGCCAAAGGCTATTCAATCAATGTCTTGTTCAGTAATATTCTGTTAGTCTGAAATTCACCATGTATGTGTGTTGTTCAGTATGCTAACAGTCCTCACGACAATGCGCGACGAATACTCATAGCCGCATCTGTTGGTTACGTGGGAGGTCAACAAGCAGTACACGTGCGACGTAATTCTGGATAACCTCAGAGCAGCATGGTACGGCCTTGCCACCCTTTTCACCTTTCTCAGGACCGAGCAGTGAGGATCACTGCCTTAATTTGTCCTGTTGGCCTGCCAAGTGGGTGACTGGAGAAATGGGACATTTAATGGAAGAGCAGCGGTAAACAGACCACTGTCTACGATAAATAGAATGATTTACTAGTACAAACCGAGATCAATTGATAATATGTATTGTATTATCTCTTATACATATACATTGTTCATCGCTCAATAATCTGGAGATCCCCGTCGCAAACTCGAAAATAAGCATCCCTATGTCGGAGTGTCTCGATTCCAATGTCACCTTGCTTGCATTGCCACCTTCAGCCAATGTTCAATTTAAGCTTGTTGATAGGTATGAATTAGGACCACACTAAAGCGATCGCGGATACTGCCTAGAATGTTCATATTTAAACCTCCTCAGTCCGCTATTGGATTTTGTTTTGTTTTTCTTCCCTTCTTTGAGCTGGCATCGTGCTACTGGTGAGAACCGGCTGCTCTTGGTGAATGAGAACCTCTTTGTGGTACTTCATGGACGAGAAATCTCAGATTGAAAGGCAAGGAGCGCTGGAAATTCTTGTGATGTGGCTTGGCGGCTTCTGACTCAGGCGCAGGAGACTGATGGCGGTGTTTCATGCCCTTGTCCCCTCAGCTCCTTCCCACATTGGCTGTTAGGTACCTTCCGTAGTCAGCGCATATTCAAGAAGCTTCCCTCTCTTCATCTCCCGTGGCCTTCTTTCAATTCTCTCACGATAAACACTGTCTGCCTTGATCAAGAACGTCTTATTCTCGCCAGCATGCCTCTCAGAGACCTTCTTCCTCTCTTAGTCTTCTTCGCGCCCCCACTCATCCTCTACGGTCTTTACGGCTACTGTATCCGCTCGAGGTTGAGACAGAGGAGCGAGGCTGCTCAAGCGGACGGCCAGTTTCGCCTGAGGGACCCGGGGCCGCCAATTATGCGATACTTTACCTTTTATCGAAACCTGGGCATGATCTTTGAATCAAGACGAGATTATGTCCCGGTGCAGGACGATCACCAGTCGCCTGTGCGACTGGAGCCACAGACTCAACCCCCACAGCAGCGCGACGAGAGGTCATACTCATCGCATGCCTCATCGCAGCGGACCGAGGACCCGGGCGCCGTTGTTTGATGCGATTTGATCCGAAGCCAGCCCCGTCGCGGCCACGTTCCAGCCAGACGCCGAACGCAGGATTATGCTTCAACAATCCCCGCCTTGCGCACTGGAATGCGCTCGGCACGGATCCTAAAGCACTTCTCCACTGGCCCCAGAACTCTGTTCGAGTTTTCAAGTGAGGCCCAGGATGTAACATGCCCCGCCTGGTTGCCCCGGCCTCGCGATATGGGCAGACAGGGTGTTCTGCAGCACTGCATCGCCACCCTCCTTCCCCGAGCTTAGATGATCCAGACAAGCAGGCTCGTTGGTCTTGGTATTGCGAGAAGGACCGTTTCAAGGAGCGCATGCGCCATTTAAAACTTCCATACGCTTCAAGGCAATTGGCAATTGTGGATTATTTCGTGATGGCCGGCAGCAATTTGCCGAACGATCTTCTGCTAGTCATCCCATCCTGGAGAACTACCCAGTTTTCCTGCATGGGGAGATGGTCAGCCGTTTGCTGAACTCGTTTCGTACGGTGCTATCAGCCAAGTCGAGTCAAGATACGTCCCACGTTGCAGTCTGTGCTGGGATGGAGGGTCTAGATGCATGCCATATTACCATCTGCCCATCTCTGTCGTCAGCGAGAAATCTCTGGCATTGAGGCTACCGTAGTATATAGCAGCCGCCCCTCCCACCTTTACGTTAAGCTTTTGTTTCAGTACTACCTTGTTGCGCTGATTGATCAATCAGTGAGCTCGGCTTTTAATTCTATCACATTTGTAGAACGCGTGTGATTGAGACCAATCAACCATGCCGCCTCCCCAAGATTCCTCCGCCGTACCCCGTCCGGAGGCTGAAGTCAAGGATGCCCCGATCAAGGCGGCCGAGGCCCCGACCGATCTTGAGGAGCCGGTCAAGGCAGACGACGGACGCCGTCATGTCATACTTCCGGCACTAACGTCGGGCGATTCGCCCACCACCACCAAGTACGAGATCTGGTCCTGGTACAGCTACTACATCGGCGCCAACGGCCTGGCCCTCTTCAACTTTGGCCCGACCGCCTTCCAGAATCTCCTGTCTCAGGCCGCGCCGGAAGATACGGGGCTGCTGATGTTTGCCGGCCATGAACGAAATGTCAACAGTATTGTCCTCGTGGCAAACGGCATCTCCTTTGCTCTGCAGGCTGTTCTGTTTCTCTTCATCGGCGCTTACGCTGATTTTGGTACTGGTCGCCGGTGGGTGTTAATCGTTTGGTCTGTTCTCGCCTATGCTATTGGCTTCGCCTGGCTCGGTGTTCACGACCCGGAGAAGTGGAAGACTGGTGCTGGTCTGTATATTGTCGGCCTCATCTGCTACCAACTCACCTTGACCTACTGGACGGCTGCCTTCCCAACCCTTGCGCGCAACACCGAAACGCTCAAAGAGTCAGCGCGACAGTATGAAGAAGGGACCATCACCCAGCAGGAACTGGACCACCGGGATGAGATGGAGCGGAGCAGGCTGAGCAATGTGGCCTTCTACGTCCAGTCCGTCAGCGAGATTGTCATTCTCGCCATTATCGTCGGCATCATGTTCGGCGTCAATGTCGATGCCAGCGCGGCCAACAACAATTGGGGGCTCTCGGTTCTCGTCGCATTCGCCACCGCGGTCTGGGTTGTCGTCTCGCTGCCGTGGTTCTTCATGGAGAAGACAAGGCCGGGTATGATGGTGCCTGCCGGCCTGAACATGTTCACCGTCGGCTTCTGGCAGATCTACGAGGCCATGGCCCAAATGTGGCGGTTGAAGCAGAGCATGATCTTCCTCGCTGGGTATTTCCTGTTGGGTGATTCTCTCAATACAACCGTCACCGCGATTGCCACGCTGCAGAACGAGGTGGTCAGCTTCAACACATTGACGCTGACCTACCTGCTTATTGTTGGCATTGCCACGCAGGCGATTGGTATTGGCGGCTTCTGGTGGATCCAGAAGAGATTCAACCTCACGGCCAAGACCATGTTCAACGTCGTCATGATAGGCATCATTCTCCTCGACGGCTGGGGCATGATCGGCAACTGGACCGACCGATTTGGCTTCCACAACGAGTGGGAGTTTTGGCTGTACCAGGCGTTCTACGGGATCCTCGTCTGTCCATGGTACAGCTACTCGCAGATCATGATCAGCTCCGTCACGCCCCGCGGCCACGAGTTCTTCTTCTTCTCCATCTTCAACATCATCGGCAAGGCCTCGAGTTTCATTGGTCCCTTCATCAGCAGCGCCATCATCGACGCGTCGCCCGGGGGCACCAACAACAGCGCTCCATTCTACTTCCTCTTCGCCCTGAGCGTGGTAAGTACGGCGGGAATCTGGACATTCCTCGATTTGGAGAAGAGCGCGAGGGAGCAAGAGGTATTTTTGGCGCAGGAGAAGGCTCGGATTTGTGGCGAGTCGACCGACGACGATGCGAATGTGTGATGAATTTATATGGAAATATGCGATTACGGGATGGAACTGTTTTCCTCGAGTGTTTCTTTTTGTCTTCACCGGATTCTTCTCGCTGAGGCCTCGTTTTTTACTCTGCTCTAGTAACACCAATTGGCCATTTCCCTGGCGACTCCCCTTCCGGACAAGCCTTGCGGAATGCCTTCTACTTGTCGATGAATGCTGCTACCGCATATCCTGAGAAACCCAGTCCTTGGTTCGTAAGTTATACACGCGGCTCAGCCAATTGCTCCATGCTTTCGAGAAGGACAACTTGATATACTAGAGTAACCGCTGGCTGCGTTGACTTCCCAACATGACATGTCAACTAACTAATTACATTGAGGTAAGAATTCTACAAAGACTTTGAAGGTAATGACAGATCGAAGAAATAGAAAACAATCACTGTTATTTTGTGTGCTGTCTTCTCTTTTACCTACTGTCCTGTCGGTTCACAAATTGGGATGAGGAGCGGGTTGGCATTGCACGCAACCGTCCATGAACCGTCATCCCAGAGGCGGCGCACGCACCGTGACGACACGCCAGCGCTCAACCAATGCGGCGAGGGTGATGCCTTATATACAAACAAGTCCTCCAAGCATCTTTTTCAACAAGAGCCCCTGTGGTGCAGTGGTCAGCGCGCTCTGATGACTGCCTCTGTGATGAACTTGTCCTGCGCGAGCTGTTGAACGCCCGAAGTTTCCTCATATCTTTGAATGTAGTGGAGAGAACGGGTACATTATGGGGGTTAGGGTCTTCGAATCCGAGCAGAAGCATAATTTTTTCCCTTTCCCTTTCCATCCTTTCATCTTTTTGCTTCCCCAGACGTCGGCTTTCAAAGTGCCCATGTGCAAAAAGCGACCCGTCTTGCAACACTCAATGCCACCCCAGCAGAGGCCTTGTCGATCTGTTCTATCGACTACCCCGTACGCTTGAGGCGTGAGTAGGTATGAAGCAATCATTAGAAAGGATCTCAGTTACTTTGCTGAACAGGTGCTTGAAATTGTGTGCCTTTAGTGAATGTAGATGTCGCTCAAAGGTGTTTCCTGGATTTCGTTCACAAGTTGTGCATCAACGGCCGCACCTTTGAGCCCTTCAACAAAGGCCCAATCAACTATAGAATAGTGGTTGGATTCACCTGAGGGATCAGGGCGTGTGGGACGATCAAATTCAGATGTAATGACCACAGTGTCGCCCTCTTGCAGTCTGTCCGAACAGGCTCCGAAGAGCCCCGTATCCGTCCAGAAAAAGTCTCTGTTGGCGAAATCTCTTGCAGCAATTTCGGCTTCAGGGAGATTGCTTCTCTGCTCTGCGGTGAACGGAATATCATCAAGCTTCATAATGCCCTCGTGTCGTGCGATCGTTCTAAAAATGGAAAGCAGCGCTCGGACATGCTCTCGAGTTCGCCATCTTGAACTGGGGGTCCATGCCCATAATGCGTCGAATATCCGTCCGGCATGATTTCCATTCCTTCTCATTCCAATTTTTGAGCCTGCAAAGCATTGTAGATCTTCTCCATCAGCGTACATGAGTCTAGCAATGCGTCGTAGAATTTCCTCCGGCTCGCTGCCTAATCTTGTTCGTGATGGATGACATTTTCCAATGAAGCGAGCTCCTATAGTTAAGACTAGGAAGTCTTCAGAGATTCGCAACGTGATGGTTGCACCTGGGGACGGCGTCGCAACTCGGGAATCTACCGCAGTGATGTCTGGAATCCATGAAGGGCCTGAAGCATCTTGCACACTGGAAGCTCGGAGTGGCCATAAGGCCATGAAGCGGTGTATCATCCCTGGACTACGCTGATAAATTTTCGAAAGGGTTTCCAAAAGAACGTCATCCAGAGACCTCCTGTAGTCCGGCTCAGAAACTACCGGGACCGGTTGTTGGATAAACGGCACAAGCGCAAAAATCTTGTCCCGCGGATCGAAGCAATCCCGATGTTTGGTCATGTAAAATACAACCAATATGCTGAACTCCCTTGGCCTTGACAAAATGCTGTCCATAATCAGCATTCGGTTACATAGATTGAAGTCCAGGAAAAGCGGTGCCAATCTTGCATCAACCAGGCGCAGTAACTCTTGGGCCTCGGGTTCATTTGCTCCCAACAGCCGCTCACCCGCATTTTCTAACGCCTTCAAGTGTCTATGGTACAGATTCTGCAAAGAAGTGTGATCAACTTGAAATGACTTCTTGCCCAAAACAAATATTGGCCTGCGACGTGGGAGGAGAAACTCCTGAAAAGTCCACATCCTGCTGAAATATGGATGGAAAACGAATTCAGACAGACCGAAGAATGTTTTTAAGTTCAAAATGTCCTTTTCTCTCACACGTTTCTGTGTGATCCAAGACCGCAGTGTCATCCCTATCCAGCGCCAGGAGCTGAGCAACGGCCATTTGCGAGCATACACATGTGACCAGGCTCCAAAGTACTAAGGTACGGGTTCGAATGCCCCAAGTAAGCGACAACCCTAGATGCCCTCTGATAGATACTGCACATCAAAGGGAGCTGCTGGTTTTTTTCCATCGAGATCCGCCTGGTTGATGCAGATCGCATCCGCCCAAATCGCTCTGCTCCTTGACGGGTATCGTAAATCGCGGAGTGCCGATTTGAGATTGACGGTAATAGGGTGAGGAGCTCCGTCTACTTTGACCTCTTTCGCGGTTAAGGGATCGCCCCAAACGTACGATAGAGCCTCGTATTGCGGACAGCTGCGGCTACGGAGAGGCACCACACTAAGGGAGCAGCATATCTCATCGTCGTAGTCCTCAGGGGCAATAGCGAGGAGTCTGATCTCGGCATTATCCGCATCTAGTGCAGAATAAATAAGCATCCCTATGTCGGAGTGTCTCGATTCCAATGTCACCTTGCTTGCATTGCCACCTAACATCCTCTGATAGAACCCTAACAGGACCGGCATCCTTATCCGCGTTTAACAGCTTCATGTTCTGGAGTTCAATCTGGTCACTGTAGCCTCATGGAATCTCGGCGCCGCGCTATGTCTCGCTTACAGACCCGGCTTCCTGAATAATCTTATTAACAGCAGCGGGAAGCTGGTGGGGGTCTGCTCCCTTGACTGTATCCTCCAATTTGCCGTTTTTGAAGATAAGAAATGTGGGAAAACCTGTGACGCCATATCCCTTGAGCTCGGGTTGCTCATCGCCATTGATCTTGACAAAAGTCACGGCGTTGGGGCGGGACAGAGACTTGGCAAGTTGTTCGTAGAGAGGCGCAATTACTTTACAAGAAGCACACCAGTCGGTCTCAACTAACGGCATTGATAAGAGGAATATTAGCTATGTTTAACCTTCCTTAATAAAGGAGTTGGGGTTTGCAGATAAGGCATAAGGCGGGGAGGGGCCTGCTGGACACGAGATGAGGCAGCTGGTGCTTCTGAGGCTCGGTTATAGTGAGGTAGGATAGGCAGCTTACAGTCGGCGATAACAATGTTTGAGGATTTTAAAAGGCTGTTAAACTGCTCTGTAGAGCCAATAGAGATAGGACCGTTAGACATACTGCTGGCGATAGTAGGGATGCTGTATAGAATGTTGGTGGTAGCTTTTGATAGTCAGGCGATGTTTTGGTGAAGAAGACCATGGTGCTGAATCTACTCCGTAGCTAACAAAGTTATATGGAGAGCTGCCGAGGTTCACCCGTATAAAGCTAAATATAGCCTCACGAAGCGAGCGATAATACGAAAATACCAACCAACACGTCACCCACTCGAAGCGGCTTCTCCTGCATATGACGGGTCTAGCCAGGGAGACTGTATATAAACAGTTAGCTTCGGGACTTACTTCTACAATTGAATAACTCTCTGCCATCATTACCAAAGTCATCATCTTATTTGATATGATTTAGTTGGGTCCATGTCAACTGTGTATAGACAGTTAACTTCGGGACTTATTTCTATAATTAGACAACTCTCTGCCATCATTACCAGGGTCGTCATCTTACATGAGTTAATTAGGTCCACGTCAACTGTGTACAAGGCCGTTGATGCTGGCAGGCTATCATAGGCGTAGACGAAGCTGACGAAGCCGGGGTTTTATGTGCTTAGGAACTAACTTACCTGCTCGAGGCTGCTCGAGGCAGCAGGTGTTGATCGTATCTGTCATCATTGCGGCAAACAGGATCTGACTAACCCGCTCGAAGCAGCCCGAGGCTACAGCCGCTGATTGCATTCATCTGGATCGCGGTCAGCGGGATAAAGGAGGGGTCTGACTGGCCTGCCCGAGGCTGTAGCTGTTGATCGTATCCATCAGTATCACGGCGGACAGGGTCAAACTCACCTGCTCGAGGCTGTAGCTATTGATTGTATTCATAGGGTTCATAACATACGCGCGTACAAAGCACACTTCCGTACCACACCACGAAACACCTTCCTCGCAAGCTCATGATAGCATCATCGAAGACGGGATAACCCGAGAGCTAATTTTCTCTCGACCAGTCGCTGATTGTTTGAGAATCCAGCAGCCAATAACCGTCGACGTGTGGAGTGACCTACCGTCAATTGAATAAGGTATGTAAAGCTGGAAGCTGCATCCAACCAACACCTTCTCTTTTTCAAACTTTGTCTAACAAACAGTCGGCTTCGGGACTTATTCCTATAATTTGATAGCTCTCTGCCATCATTACCAGGGTCATCATCTTACATAGCCTCTTGATTGATTTATATAGATAGAAGCAGTATTAAAATAAATGCATACTGTACTTATTAAATCCAGGAGATGAGATAATAGTAATAAAAGAAATAATATAAAGGGGCTACAATTTCCCAGTATTTTAAACTTCATTTTGTAGATATTATTAAGCTATTGTATAGTATCAATTATTAACTATCAGCATAATTTTATCAACCTCTACAACCTCTACTACTACTTACTTTTCCAAAATGAAGGTCTCTACAGTCCTCATCCTCGCAACCTCAATTATGGGTGCTGCCGCCTAATACGGCGACTCGGGCTTTGACCTGGAGCAGAGGGAGATTGATCTGGAACGTCGAGAGATCAAATTCAAACGCATGGCCCGAGCCTGGCTTGCGGCTAGGGATGCTCAAGACGGTCTTAGTCCCCGGTCAAGCCCTTGCGAGAGACCATGCCCCCCTGGCACGTACTGCGACGACTACTCAAAAGAATGTCTTTCTCTCAACCCCCCCGCCCCTCCACCATCCCCCAAAGTGGCATCAACAGAGCCCCCAACAAAAAACCCATGGCAGCCAAGAAGGGAGGAGGCAAGAAGGGAGGAAGGAAATAAGAGGCCAGGTTAAAGCAGTAACGCTTAGGGGCTAGATTTGAATTAGATCTTTTGAAAATGAAGATTTGACATATGGTAATCCTGTTACACCGTATGGCGGGGCGAGCGTTGATTATTAACTCTGCTATCGGTATAATATTGGATATATACTATAGTGGATCGCAGGTCTAGGATAGTTTATCTAGTATACCTAGATAATCCTTAACTATTATTTTATACCCATCCAAAACCGGCAATCAACAAAATAGGCATCGCTATCAGTTGAAACTCCAGCCGAGCCTAGCGCTTACAAATCTTCCACTGCGACGACCAAGTTGACCGAGTGGTGTTGAGGATCGATGCCGGCCAACTTGGCCGATGATGATCCACTCACAATCTCTTGCTGACTCGGTGGACTTTGTATCATATGAAGTCTCAAACAAAACTAAGGTTGGATAGAACTCAAACTATACATCGGACAACTTGGTCAGTAGAATGATGATTATCAATATGCGAATGTGTAATATAGAAATTATCCAAGTATATAAGGCAGTGAGCCCAGATCCAAAGGGCAAGATATCTACAACACAACAAACATTCAGACCAATATTACACAGGAGAAACAACTCGACTTCTTTGAAACAAACACAGGAGACATACTCTACTATCCCTAATACCACACTTTGATCCCTTACCATCCACCATGAGCTCTGCTCCAAGCCAAATCGCCTTCATCACCGGAGCCAACCAGGGCATCGGGCTGGCCACAGCCAAGAGCCTGGCCCGCGATCACGGCTACCATGTGATTATCGGCTCCCGAAACCTCGAGGCTGGCGAGAAGGCCGCAGCGGATATCCGCGCTGCTGGTCACAAGGCCTCTGCGGTCCAACTCGATCTGAACAAGCCCGAGTCCATTGAGAGCGCCGTCGCGACAATCAAAAAGGACTTTGGCTACCTGGACGTCCTGATCAACAATGCGGGCATCTTGATCGACACCAAGCCCGAGCAATTCAAGGACACGTGGGATCTCTACAGCAAGACCCTGGAAACCAACGTTACCGGCCCCGCCGTCCTCACCGAGGCTTTGCTCCCCTTGCTCAAGGAGGCCAAGGCAAAGCCCGCCCGCTTGGTGTTTGTCTCAACCACCATGGCGAGCATCACCATGTCCCTCGACAAGACGACGCCTTGGTACCCTATTGACTATACGGCCTACGATGTGAGCAAGGCTGCAGTGAACATGCTCATGTCCAACTTTGACCGTAAGCTGCAAGGCACAGGGACCAAGGTCAATGCTGTCTGCCCCGGGCTTGTGTCGAGCAATCTGACGCAGCACAAGTTTGGCACGACCACGGAGGAGGGAGCTATCCAGCTGGTGAAGATGGCCACTCTGGGCGAGGATGGTCCAACGGGGACCTTTACCCGCGCGGACCAAGCTCTTCCCTGGTAGGGGGTTGTTTGGATAAAGATTGGGATTTTATGTAGACCATGTTCATATACTCTTCAGAATAGAGGCACAAGCATAGAGTGAAACGTTCAATGATTGATTGACTTCCAATTAATTGCTTAGATCACATTTGAAAACTTCCCTGTGGCTGTAGCGGACTTTAGGGAGATAATACAGGGGCAGCCAGCCAGCCTGCTGGTTAGATGTATATGTACATAATAGAACCAAGAATTAACCGGTTCCTGCTGTATCGCTACTTTTTGGAGTTTGTCAGCAGCCAACGGGTGTTCGCTGGAACTGGAGACTTTACAGCGCCTTCATCCCACTAGCCTCACTGGACTTGATCAACCCACCTCATCCATCACCATCTACGACCTCATGAGACCAAATGATACCGGCTTCATGGGGCCGTCAGCTTCTTCGGCGAGGCAATGCCCCATCTGCGACAAGGAGTTCGGTCTAGGTAAGCCACCAATTCTTTTGTAGTGCAGCGCGATAAATACTCCTGGCTGACCATTCACCCAGAAACCGCCTACAAGCGCCATGTGTCATATTGTCGGCGTGCCCAGGCCAAGCGCAAAGGCCGGCCGGTCTCATGCGCTGCTTGCAGTGCTTCAAAAATAAAATGCTCCTTCACGAAGCCCAGATGCGCGCGATGCGAGTCCAGGGGCATTGAGTGCGTCTACAATGAGGCGGCGCGCAAAATTGCCCCTGGCCGCGCCCAGCAGCAGCTCACCACCGCTCTGCCTGCCGAGGAGGAGGATCCTCAGACGTCTTCGCCGGACCCAGCTAACAGCTTGGTCCTGGCCTCGGGAATCGCCTCGGAAAGTCCAGATATAACTATCTTTGATGCCGACAACAGTGTTCTAGATCTGGCCGACGTCGATCTGGAACTGGCAGGCCTGCAGCTCGACCTTCAAAAACCCGACGTGGGCGAGTGGTTCAACCTTGCCATGTCACACAACATGAGTCCAACCGTCCAGCACGTTCTGTCTGGTCCTCAAAACCAGCTTGGGCCTCTGCGATACAGCCTGCATCAAGTGTGCCACACCGTCGAGCTCGCGTTCGACATCATGTCCTGTTTTCCGCAGATGATGCTCCGCAACCAGACGCTTCCACCGTTCATGCACATCCCATCATACAGTGCTTTCATGCCTGAAAGAATCTCAACATGTCGAGGGATTGCACAGGTTTTTGAGACTCGGACCGACGAGACTGCCTCCTTCCTCTGGCGTACCGTTGATGCTGAAGTTACCCGCATCGAGTCTGAGGTAATATTTCTCAGCCTGCCCTTCTACCACCCACGTTTGACCAATGACTAATGTCCAAATAGCTGAGCAGGATGGACATATATTCAGTCCAGCATGCTATACAGTGCGTTCTCATCTATTCCGTGATGCTCAAAATCGACTATGAGCCAGCGATGGTCAGTCGTGGATTACGTCTGGTCCAGACATACTGGGTGCGCAGTTTTCTCAATCAGTAGAAGCCTCAAGCTCGAACTAATTGCCTCTGCAGAATCTCACGGTGCGATGCCTTGAGCTCACTAGCCAACTAGAGTTTTTCTCCACGGAGAAGACGAATCCAAGCCCGACCTGGGAGGACTGGATCGTTGCCGAGACCCGACGCCGGTAAGAAAGAACCTGGATTTCTGAACAACCCAATGCCTCACACAATGGCTGACCTGCGACCATAGAATCATTGCCTTTTGGTTCATCATGCGCCAGGTCATGGCCTCGCGACTACAAGTGGCATGCGGCATTCACGAACACTTTGATCACCTGCCCCTCATCTCACCCAAGTCCTTGTGGGAAGCGCGGACACGGGAGGAATGGGAAATTGAGAGGGCCTTCCATGCCAAAGGTAATCCCATCTCGACATATGGTGAACTAGCCCGAGCCAAGCTGGCGCCAGACAATCCTGCCAACCGGCAACGCCTCAAGTATTGGGAAGCCGGTACTGACAAACTCGGCACACTCGTCAATCTGTCCATCACACTACTGTAAACACAACAAAGAGTTCTCTATTTTCTATAAGATCTATGGGTAATTAGGTATTAGAGTCTATCATTTAGGCTGCCCACCATTGTCGGCTCATATGCTGGTATCTTCAAAGCCGCCGGAGGGTTCTTCTGCGCGAGGTTCGACATCGCCCACCTCAACCAACCGCCATACGTCCCCGGACCGTAGTCACTCCCATCGTTCGCCCTCCAATGCATGCCCAATGTGGGCGCACCGAACAGCTTGGCGGAGAACCCGTGCGCCAGCTTCAAACACCAGCTCTGCGCGATGCTTTTCTCCACAATCTCCCTCGCGAGCTTCTGGTCCGCCGTCTCCTCCTCCCCGCTCCTCGGCATATCCAGCGCAAACAGCTCAAACTGCCGCTTGCTGTCCCAGTCCGTCAGGTTCTCGTTCACATAGGCCATCTCCAGCATGTTGTACAGCCAGCACTTGTCGCGGACGTACTCGGGCCCGTTCCACCCATCCGCCTCGTCGAGCCAGCGCTGCGCAGAGCCCATCGCCTGGATCTGGATGGCGTAATCCGTCATGCTCTCGTCATTAATGTCCATGTTCCCCTTTCCCTCCGAAACGGACGGCGGAACCCGCATGAGCGGCACATGCGACACGAGCGGGTGGCTGTGCGCGCCCACGGTGCTCGTCTTCCCCTCCCACAGCTTGATGAGGATCCGGTGCGCGCGGAGAACCAGCGGGCAGTCGGCGACGGACATGAGGGCGAAGTTGACGATGGAGACGTGCTCGGGCGGCTCCCCCATCGTGTACCCCGCGAACTCGTACGGCGAGTCCGGGTTGGCGAGGTGCTCCTCCCACAGCCAGTTCAGGTCGCCGAACTGGAGGATACCCACGTCCAGGTAGACGCCACCATAATGGATCAGCAGAGGGTACCGCACGAGGTCGGACGTGTGCTGGGAGGCGTATCCACCGCCGAGAGTGCCGTCGATGAGGGCCTGCGGGATCACGGACGGCGAGGCGGCGTCAATATACAGGGAGAAGTGGAGGGGGGAGTCCGCAACGCAATCGAGGACGTAGATGTTCCATCCCAGAGGCGCGAACCGCCTGTACCAGGACAGAACATTCCTCTTCAGGTACGGGGGCAGCGTGGCGATGCCCGAGTGCCAGAACGCAAAGATGTGCTTGCCGCCCTTCTTGGGGAACGGCGGGGACGTGAGCGCGGGGATTGAAGTCAAAGCGTCGGCGGTGACATCGTACTGGGGACCCGGCTGACGGATCAGCTCGGTGCCGGGGATTATTGGGTAGTCCATGGTGCTAGATAGATATCAAGTGTGGTTTCTAATTGATGGTGTTCGATGTTTTTTTTTTCCCCCAATGGCTGATTGATCGCGACTCAGGGTGTTAATAAAGCCAATTGAGGTCGAATAATCACAATGAGTCATGTGGGGTCACCATGATCACTGAGACCAGTTTGTGGGCTTATCATGCAGGTGAGAAGGGCACGATGAGATTGATTGCATATGTTCTCACAAAGATGCATTGTTACTCATTCATCATCATCAGCACTCAGGGGATCTAAGCCACAATATCATCATCGTCATATGTGTTGGTACGGTGCATTCCTCGGACGTTGAAAGCGAAAGTAGGTAGAAGCAAGATAAATTAATCATTATCATTATTTTTATCTAATTACGCAGGTTGCTTGTGCTATGCTCGTCTTAGTGCCGAAGCTGTACTGTACAGAAACAAAAAGAAAAAGAGTCGCCATGTGTGTCATCAGTCATAAGGTAAGGAAGGTGGGTTGCCTGCCGCTGAAGGGCTATTTATCCGACTTGGTCCCCCAGCTTGGGGCATTTTTCCGTCTCTTGAATTGAAACTTGGTCTCTCCGGACGGGAACATGAACTCGAGGATCCATCGGCTGGGTGGCCGCTGGTTCTGATGCTCATCTGCCAGTTTGACGTCGTAGTTGAGGACGAGATACGCGAGGAGCATCTTCATTTGGTAGTCCATCAGGTAGCGCCCGGGGCAGGAGTTTTTCCCACGGCCAAAGGCCAGGAGCTTTGCCGTCGAGAGGAAACTGTTGGGATCTCCTTCTCCCCCTATCTCGCGAGCTGGTCCGTCCTTCTCCTTTGATGTCTCCTCCTCGCGCAAGCGGTTAAAGCGAAAGGGGTCCAGATGCAGTGGGTTGACGTATTGGTCTGGGTCGGTGTGCATGGGTTGGGCGACGAAGGAAATGATTGTGCCTTTGGGGAGTGGAACGCCGGCATCCGTGACCACTCCATCAACCATCACTTGTCGGGCTAGGGCTCTCGTCGGAACCGAGTTGAGACGCAAGGTTTCCTTCATCAAGCTGTCGGCATGGACTAATCTGTTGGTGTTTTCCCGGCGCCATAGTTTCCTAGGGTCGGGTTCTGTAGCTAGAAATTGGGCCGCTTCTTCTCTGAGAACGGCGACTGTATCGTATTGAGGGTCGGAAGCTAACAAATTCGAAAATAGGTTGGTAGTAGTGAAACTTGCAAGGTAAATAAAGGCGAGGTTGGACATGCACACGCGCCTGGTCATCTGCTCGACGGCCAGCTCTTCGGGGCGGTGTTTCCGTGCGTGCCGAAGCATCTTCTGGACGAGATCCAACTTTTGGTCGGGGTTGTCGCTTGAGATGTCCTGGAGACGGCTCTTGAACTCCATGTCATAGAATTTCTTTGCAAGGTGATCGATTTTACGGTGTGTAGGCCAGCAGACAATGGGGCCAAGAAAGGAACGGATGGGTGCCGGGAAGAAGCCCGTAGCACCCGCATTGATGACGATACTGTCAACAGTATCCTTGATAGTGTGGAGATATGATTGATCACGGCCTTGCGAGCGTTAGCATTCTCACTGTCATCATAATGAGGGTCTTGACATACAAAAAGGCATTCCCAAGGTAAAGCGGGTGCCCGTCTGTGCGATAATCATTCTCACGGTTTGGAGCAGGTTCAGCGTCTTCCAGTTCTCGGTGTCATGGCCCAGATATGTATCTATAGCAACCTTGACCTCTTCATGGATGTCCATCAGATGGTCATCCATCTCGTGAGTGAGGGTATGCCTTGACAGAAGATGAGGCCAGGTGTCAGTCATGTATTTCTCATCACCGAGACTGTGCACCAGTTGAAAGTGCTCGTTGAAGGCCTCCCACATGCCTAGGACACGGAGAGGTTGGGACAGCGCCCATGGCAACGAGCTGTGAGGCAGGAAGACCTCATTGCGCAAGCCAAGGGTTGGTACTGCAACTGCTTTTCCCTTCTTTGAGAACTGGAGACGATTAAATTAGTGGGGATTCAACGGGGCCGATGCGCGCGGGATGATAAAGTTGTTCCGACATACTTTGTGCCAAATTTCACTGTAAAGTGACGAACAGTTCAAATGAAAAGCGATACGGGTCCAGATGCTGAAATGCTGAGCGTCGGGCTTCTCGCGGATGAGAGGAATATGGATAGGAAACGGTCTAGGCTGGAGATGCCGGTAGAGAATGGCGGCGAAGGCGGATACAAGAAGGAGAAGGCCAAAATGATGGACATGCAGTGCGTCTGCAACCTGAGCCAGAAACATCGTGGCGGCGGTCGGATAAGATCATAGTCGGATCCAAAGAGCCAGGGTGTCGACGCAGGCTGGAGGCTACTCGTGCAGAGCCATCTGGAGCCGGGGAAATGATCGACAAACGGCGGCGATGGAGCGGTGCGATGGCTGCACGCGGATGCAGATGGGAAAAAGTCGCAGGACTCGATGGATGTTTTGGTGAATGGGTGAGGAGTGCCCTGGGTGACGAAATTAGCGACGAGGACAAGCTTGAATGATCGCCTCTCAGGTTTCTGGCCTAGCTCGAGACCCCGAAGGGGCCGAAGAAAATAAAATGAGGGCGAGAAGGTCGTGGTATTTAGTCTTTGCCGGGCTAGTTCCTCATCCCATCCATCCACATCCACCTTCACCTGGACTATTAACAAATTGGCCTGAGGTGCGGCCCGATCGAGAAGAAGGCCCTGGTCGCTCGTCAAAAAATCCCATCCGCCAGGTCTCGAGAGCGCAGCGACGGGCCAATAACGTGGCAGCCTGGGGACACCATTCCTTGCACCAGACGAGGCTTACATGCGATAATAGGTGCTAATTTGCACCGGGGGTTGCCGTGTGGTGTGCCCTGCGTCTCGAATCTGAGTCAGTGCGCGGACACACACTCGGATTGAACTTTTGTCTTTGACAGCACCGTCTCACCTCAACGTCGGCCGCCACAGCACCAAGAGGGCCTTGGATCGCCCAGGGCCTCGGATCAGATCAAAGACCCCTTACCCGTGCGACCTGATCGCCGTATACACCGCGGCGGGCTTGATCTGGCCGAGTCCGAAGGCAAGCTGCAAAGCAACCAGCCAGGCATCGATAAGGCTAGATTCTTTCAGGCCAGTGATCTTCCATCCTGAGCAGCGCCCAGACCGAAAAGGAGAAACTTGTCCGGTGGCGGTTGGGACGTTTTCGGCCAAGATTCCTGTTCTGTTCGGGCTGAGGTTCAGGTTCAGGTTAAGCGTCTGGATGGCGCCATGTCCGTTCTCACCCAATCCACCCACTCGCTCTTTCCCTGTGGCTGTCGCACAGCCCGCTCATCACGTGCATCACCTCAAACAGCAGCAGAGGAAGGAGCAGCATCGATTTTCGACAATCTCCGTTCCATCTCAGTTTCCGATCACTCTAGTCTGGCGTCGTCGGATCCTGTGGGAGCTTGAAACAGGGATGCGCAGAGTAATATAAAGGGGTCGAGATAACGAACCCACACAAGCCTTCAGCCCTCGTCAGCCGGACGAAGCAAAGGACATTACACCACCAGCTTCGTGTGCCTCGGCGCGCTTGGATCACTCCTTGGCAGCCCACCCAGCGTTTGCGGACTTTCACCTTCCAACGGCGGAATTCTGTTGTTGTCCTCGACACTCTTGATGTCCCGGAGTCCTGGAACTCTCCGAACGGAGCATGCCATTGTGGGGAGTGAGGGGTGCTCAACATCCAGGTGGAGAGTGCCGGATATTATGGATGACACTGCCAACTCTGGTCTAGCGACATCCCAGTGGCGTGGGAGCTTGCTCTGCTCACGAACCAACAGACTGGAGTCTATTTTCATCCTCGCACGTGCGATCGTTCCAAGGCAGCTTCTCCCGTTTCCATCTCTTGAACTAATAAGGTACTGATCAACAACAGCGCCTTGGAGTCACAGTTTCATACTGGCGATCCTCCAGATATGCATTTCCCCTTCAGCTTTAGCGGGACTTGGTTTCAGCATTAGAGGCTGCCAAGGCTGCTGCAGCAACTGGTACAAACATTGTGCATTCTGCACAGCACATCCGTTCAACATGAGTAATCCTACCGGCGTACGCGACATCAGAAGTTCTGTCAACACCGGCACATGCCGCATCATGTGAATTGCAAACGTATTCAACAAGTGACAAGACGGCTAACACTTCACCTGGGGGGGGATTGTTGTCGCCGCTTATTCTATGATTGCTTTGGCAACAGCATCTTACAACTTTAAGATGTGGAGGCCCCTAAGTCCGGCCTTGGAGCAATGGGGATATGGCTGAGAGAAAAACCCACAGCGTAATAAAACAGTCTCGCAAATCCACAGGCACTCATTGGATTGACTAATCTCCACGATCAAGCTGCTCAAATGACCCTCCAACATGCCAATGACCCATGTACGAGGTGTAAGCTTGCCCGTGTGAGATGGGCGGCTCGTTTCCGATGACACTAACCCCGAGAATATGAATCTTCAATCACCATGTTCTCATTTATTAATCACTTATTCATACCACAATTGTTTGTGTCGTGGATATTGGGCGACACGCAGGTCGCATTTCCAATATTAGGTCACAACACGATGGACAAAATGGATCCACCTCAAGTTACCATTCCCAGCTCCCAGCATTGATCAGAGGAGGGAATTTGTGGCCACATACCAGTGAGCAATGCGCCGCACATAGAGGCGGTTTTCCTTCGTGTGGTACTCCATATTTACTTGGCAAAGCGCTCTGTCTAGGTGATAAAGTTTTGGGGGCTGGTCTTGCATTCTTCACTGCTGACATTCATCCTCAACAGGTAGTCATTGATGCCATGCCTCGGAACAAGTGATTGGAAGGGCCATCCCATTGAAGATCGTCTGTCCAAGATCTCATTGCGCCTAAGCTCGACAATTGGAGCTATCCGAAGCATCCAAGGGGAACAGCCCGTCCTAAAGTGTGTCGAGCTCCGATGGGCTTCACAGTATGTCACCTCCCCGGCACAGTCGATTCCGCAATGGTGTGCCCTCAAATCAACATATCAGGCAGCAATGCGCCTCCTAACATCTCTGAATGGCTCCCAGTCAAGGGTATTATCAATTAGAACGGTGAATATGCGGGCACATTATCGACATAGGCAAGGTGCGTTGGGCCGAAGCATCACGAGGTCAAAAAATTGAAACGCTGTAACGGGAAACCCGATCAAGGGACCGCTCTAGCCGCTCATATAACCCCGCGGTCGGCCCTCGGAGCCCTCGATTCCCAAAAGTAGAAGGATCTCGTTTGCTCTTCTCTCATTCAACCCATCAATCAGCCGCCCCCGAATGAACATGACCGTGATCGGCTCCGGGGCCGGGTCCACGTGGGGCTTCTCATTGGCCTGTGAACTCAGCCAGAGCACCACCACGGCTCCAGAGAATGCTCAAACTGGGGTGGTCTCGAATCCTCATTCGATGAGGGCAGGTCCCTGATGAACATGAGGCATGCCGTTCGAGTTTTGGCTCTCTCCGCCTCCACGAATCAGCGGGCCCACGTGCAGAGGGTCTTGGCTTATCATGGCATTTGCAATTGCATGATCTAGAGACGCGAATTCCAAAATGGCAGCAGCAGATGCCCCTCGCGTCTTTATGGACCACCATCTGCCGTGTCAAAGAGCCGTGGTTGGGCAGTCGATGAGGGGCTTATCAACCACCTTTCGTATACCGGGATGTTTGGTGGAGCATTTGGGCATCACGGAGGGGTAGGTTGGATGTGATAGTAGCATATACATGACCGAGTCCTGCCTTTATATTAAACCCTCGTGGTCAGGTCGTGGGGTGAGGCCCTTTTCTATGTGAAAGGTAACTAGAAGATCTTGGTTTCTTGGTTGGCAAAACACTACCTCCTACTCGTTGAAAGAAAGGCAGCCATGGACAAGGTCACTCTCCTCACAGTCTCGCGCGTGGACCGCCAGGTCGCCGTGATGGCTCCCGTCTCCAACATCTTGAGCCAGGCAACTCCAGCATTCATCCTCGACGAGCGATTCCAGAAAGCAATCAGCGCTTTGACGGTTACGCTCTACTTCCAAACCCGGTTCCTCGCAGCCACGACATTGTACGCAAGCCGAATCTTGGCTGTCCAGGCCTACTTTGCGACCACCTTTGGCGTAGCGATGTCGAGGAAGCTCCTCGCTGGTGTCTGGGACTCTGCAGCGGTGCAGCGGCTGCGCAAAAAGATGTTTGAGGACTTTGCCAAGTGGATTCTGGGCAGCGGAAATACCATCTTTTGTGCCCTGTTCTGGCCAGGCTGGTGGGTCATTGGCTGTGCAGTGCTGGCTGTAGCCCAGTTTGGCGGTTGAAGGCGTTCCATGATGTCCAGGATTATCAGATCAATTTAAATCACAGGACATAGGATATCGATCGCCACAACGGCTGGACGCTGCATTGACTGGATTGGCCTTGTACTCCTCAGTTGGAGAGCCACATGTTGCATGCGGAATCACCGTGAGAAAAAGAGCGTGTTGCCACCAGCATCACGTCGGACCTCAGATGTATAGTCCTTCTCTGGATCGAAGTCCTGCCACGTACTGGCTGGGTATATGTGCTTATTGCGCTCGTACCATCGGCGATCAACGACTTTGGTCAACGTGGGATCATCATTCGCTCCCTCAAGTGTGCTGATATCGGCAAGCCTCTTGGCAGCTGCCGCCTTGATCTCGGCCGCGGTCATGAGACCAGCATCGACAGCTTCTTCCCGTGGTACATTTTTCGGTGCTTCGGCGCTATAGTTGAATATCCGTTGGCCGCCAGGGCCAAGACTTTTGTTGACGAGAAAATAGTAGAAGTCATAGTGCTAGAAAATGTCAGTCGAACATATAGACACATAAGGTAGAAAAAAGAAGGTAGACAAGATAGAAGATAGAGTAGTCAGACTTACGTGAGGAAGAATAACAGTTCCACGAACTAGTATCAGATCATCCACACCCACTCTTGCCCATGTCCTCGTCGCATTCGCCTTCTCGCCCACCCCGAGCTCGGCACCGACCTTGCGGCTCTTGTCGAGGAAGAACCAGACAAAGTCGCCCTTCTTCACCCGGACGGTCCCTCCAGGGATGTTAGCCCCGTCGTAGAAAATGAAAGGGATCGCAATCTCCGTAGCCTTGACAGCGTCGCGCTGCGCAATGAACTCCTGCCGCAGCGCCTCCCGCTCCGCCGCCTCCTTCCGCAGCGCCGACTTGGTCACGGCCTTGGGCACCACGCCAACCGAGGCATTGGCCTTGAACTTGCTCTTTGTCTTCTTCTCTTCACTCTCGCCGTCCTCGTCTTCTCCCTCCTCTTCATCATCCCCAAAGGATAGGAGCTTCTTCTTGCCCTGCTTCTTGTTCTTCACCTTCTTCCTCGGTGGCGCGCGGCCCGACTGCTGCTGCTGGTCGTCGTCGCCGCCGCCCTCGGACACGTCTGGCGTGCTGTTGCGCGTGGAGACGGTCCCCGAGCGCAGGGCGGAGGAGGCCTCGCGCGACTCGCGCTCCTGCTGCTCGAGGACCTCGGCGCGGCGCTTGCGGAAGTCGGAGAGCTTGACGAGGCCGACTGTATTGCTGGAGAGGCGCTCGTTGGTGGTCTTGTTTTGGACGGTCTGGGAGGTGAAGCGGGAGGGGTTAAAGGGTTGGTCGGACATTGTGTTGCGGGAGGTTGCGCGTGCGTACGCGGGCGAGGAGGGGGAGAGGTTGAGTTCTTTGCCCGTTGGCTTTGAGGATGGGAATGCTGAGGCCCAGGCAAGGATTGTTGTGTTGTTGAACCTCTGGCGAATGGGAGAATTACAGTGGGACTTCGGTGAGTCGTTGGAGTTATCGATAAGTTGAGCTCTTATCGATATGTCTTTGGACAGTTTCAAGTTGGGAACCCCAATGCGGTAACCGCCGCCGCTTATTCCAGATGCATGGGTGACAATAAAGATAGCAATGCGGCCGGCCATGGCCTTGATATTCTTTCTTTTCCCTTATAACTACAAAATACTTCAATTAATCTTCTATCAAGTGGTATATTTTCTTAATTTGAGGTTGCTTGTAGTGTTCATCTTTGTCGGACATTCATGTTGGTGGCAAGCTGTTCTCTTTTTTTGCAGCACTCGCTTGTATGACCACGGCTGAATCTATTATTGGGATTGACAGCTTTTACTTGAGGATTGCACATCACGGAAATGGATACCAATTATTGATATTACTCCCCCTCTGCACATCTTCGGCTTTTAATGACCCTCTTTTGAATTTTGTTTCACGACTGACCATGTTTGCCTAGCTGCAACCGACAGCCCGGGTGGCATAGGGTAGCAGGGATGGGAATTGCACCAAGAGACCAGTCTTGCTGCCTCATGAGCCTCATGAAGCGACAAACAAGTTTGTGTGTAGTTCGTGCTCCTTTGACGCTCTGGGAATTAAATTTATGCTTGCGAATCGCCAAGACTAGTGATACTGTGCACTATCAAGCCTCACGGCAGCCCCGACCCAGCTCTCGTAGCTTGTCCCACCAGCGAGTTGGTCGTGTTGTCCGCGTATCTCTTGTACGCGGCAAGGTATCGCTCATCGTCACTCCACGTCTCCTTGACGCTGGGCCTTTCCGTCACCGCTTTGAACCACGCCCTCCATCTCCCCCAGACTTCATCGTCGCCGTCTTGGCCTTCCTGGGGAATCCCCACACCCCCATTCTTGTAGTGGTCAATCAGCCACAGTCGCTTCGCCCACGGCGCCAACGAAATGTCCACCAAACTGAACGTCTCACCCAGGAAGAACGGCCCGCTGCTTGCCATCTCCTTCACCAATGTCCGGACGTGCCCCAGAAACTCCTTGCGCGTCTCCTCAATGCTCAGCGCGCTCTTCCCGTCGGTATGCTGCAGCAGCTTGTAGAACCCGGGTATGACCCTCGTAGATACATGGTCAATCCACAGTCTCGCCCGCGCCCGCTCATACGCACTCCCGGGCAGCAGCGGCCTCCCGTGCACCGCCTCGTCCGCGTACCTCTCGTCCAGGTACTCGCAAACAACGCTGCTCTCGTACAGCACGGCCCTTGGCGGGTCCGGCAGCCCCAGCGCCGGGACGAGCCCCCGCGGGTTCAGGGCCAGGAACTCGGGCTCCTTCTTGTACGGGTTGATCTCGACGTACTGGTGCTCGATCTTCTTCTCCACGAGGGCGATCCAGGCGCGCTGGACAAAGGGGCAGAACCAGCCGCCGTACAGCTTGAGGGGGTGCTCGGCGCTGTGGCGGGCTGCGAGATCGGCTGCTGCGCCGGTGGTCTGGGGGGGTATTGAGGTGTCGACGTTGGCCATGGTGTTTGCTTTGATGTTTCAGTGATGGGGATGAGGCGGGAATCGGGGTGAGGGGAGAGAGTAGGGAGGGAATAATAGCAAATGCAGAGGTTCCCCGCGGCAATCATGACGTGATGGTGGGTTGCCTCCGATATGGATTTTAAAATGCCATCCTCGTTTATGGGTGCACCTTGACTGTGGATGGATAATTCCGTTTATTTGATTGAAGATGGTATGATCTATCAATGATGTCAAAAAATCGCCAGTCGCCATCACCTTTACCTTCCGTCTATGCCCTCATACATGACGAACGTTTGGTCGATGCGTTGGTGTTTGGCAATCAGGCAAGCATTTAGCAAGGGACTGTGCCATTTGGCCATCTACCGTTATGTCATACGGGAGGAAGCAATGCACGGTTTCATGACCAGTTATCCACTGGCGGGGCCTGCCGGAGGCCCGACACAGTCGTGGCCGATATGGCGAATGTCTCCTCCCGAGCTGGCCGCTCGGTACACTCTGCGGTAGTTATCTGGCAGCCAATCTGCATGAGAAAGATACATATGGAATTAGATATTATCTAGGATCATCTGGTCGCTGAAATGGGCATCAGACGGGGCTGGATCCGAGACCGCTTGCACTTCGTATATGTGGGCAAGCGTATTTGACAAAAGCAAAAATTACCGTCGGGAAGTAGAGCAGAGAAGTGAATGGAAGGGAATAATGTACGGTCACCTGCAGCCGATCACTAAAACGAGGTTTAATTGCACTTTCAGACACTCCACAGCTGCAATTGTGTAACTCTGTTCTTGCGTGTCCAGCCGGTAACAACTGCGATCCCTTCGGCTCCTGACGCGATGGTTTGAAGTGACGGCTGCGCGTTGATCAGCGTGTGATTGTTTAGGGCCGTTGGATGGCCTCCTGCAGCTTCTGCCGTTTGCTTGACGCAGATTTCCTTTTTATTGTTGAGGCACAATCAGTTGATTTAATAGCAAAACGAGCTCCCCCACTTTCTCGTCTTCACCGACCTTCTTCCATCTCAACTCCATCATCTCCTCTGCACACTCCTGTTGCTTGTTCTTTCGCATCAAGATATACGACCTGCTGTATTCGCGTTCAGGCTGTTTTTCTTTTGCATACACCATCAGATCGTCCGCCTTGCTATGGCGCCTGTCACTCCCACTTCCTCCTCCTCCGCCGGGACGGGAATCCCGGAAGCTCATCTGGCCCTCTTGCATGATAATGTTGATGATAGCTTCATGACTGACTTCGCCACAGCGCCCTTGTTCACAGAGAATGTACGCCTAGCCGTTGATTATGAATCACCTGGCCCTGACGACGAGCCAATATTCTCTCAGTACGGGCTGCTTGGCGGTGATGTTACCGCTGGTAAGCTCGACCGCCTTCGAAGCGGAGGTCTGGATCCCCGTGTGTTCTACAACACTGCAGCGCCCTCGAGTACTTTCATCTGTGGCAGCCAAGGTTCCGGAAAGAGCCACACCCTGTCTGTCCTGCTGGAGAATTCGCTCGCCCAGTCTGTCGCCAATGTGCTGCCGCGACCCTTGACCGGCCTGCTCTTCCACAGAGATAGCTTCGTGTCTGAGACGGCCGGCGCACCATGCGAGGCCGCGTATCTGTCGTCCAACCCTGATATCAGCGTCCGGGTTCTGTGTGCACCGTCGAATATTATGAATATCCGCGTATGAACACCGTTCCCCATACCCAAGAGAGCCTGAGCGATGAAACTGACACTTCAACCTGCGCAGCGGATCTACAGTAGCCTCCCGAACGTGACCGTGGAGGAGCTTCGTATTAACCAATCCGACTTGAACACGAGCCGCATGCTCGGTCTTATGGCCGTTCACACCGGAAGGGACGGGGGAATGCCTCTGTACCTGTATGTGCTCAACCGAATTCTCCGAGACTTGCGCATTGAGCAGCAGCGAAGCGGACTGGCATTCAACTATGGCAAGTTCAAGGACACTATCAGCAGGGAGGCCATGCTTGACAGCCAACTGCTTCCGCTTCAACAAAGGCTGGAGACGCTGGAAAGTTTCATGGTTCAGGACCAGGCACCACAGTATAAACTCGGTATGAAGAATCAGCAGTCACAGAAGCAATCACCCAAGGCAAAAAAATCATCCATGGTTTGGCAAGATATTGCGAAAGGCAACATCTGGTTTCCCAAGGTATAAGAAATCCATATTCCCTCTGAGTATTGATCATCGACAACGTTACTAATGAAGCGTTTTTGCGAAATAGTCGGGTCAGCTGACGATTGTCGACCTCTCCTGCCCATGCATCACTGCCGAAATTGCCTGCTCCCTCTTTGGAATTTGTCTCAGTCTGTTCCTTGAGCAATCTCCAGACGTCGGTCGGATTGTCGCCCTGGACGAAGCACACAAGTTCATGAATGACAGCGCAGAATGTGCGTCCCTCACGGATGGACTCTTGCACACGATTCGCATGCAGCGGCACATGGCCGTCCGGGTCATCATCTCCACCCAGGAGCCGACCATTTCGACCAAGCTCCTAGATCTTTGCTCGGTGACCATTGTCCATCGGTTCACGTCCCCAGACTGGCTCCTTGCCCTCAAGAAGCATCTTGCTGGCGCATCCAAGCACACCAAGGCCGATGCGGACGGTCTCTTGGCAGCAACTAGCTCCAGTGACGCGGGAGTTCGCCCTCTGGTTTTGAAGGGCGACGACTACATGTCTACTTTGTTTTCCCAAATCGTCTCACTTCGGACTGGCGAGGCCCTCGTCTTTGCACCGAGCGCCGTAATCGATGTCGACTACAATGCCTGTGATGAGACAGTGGACGATGATGGGGTTGTCGATGAGGGCAGCCAGGAAGTGCTTGAACCTGCTGACGGTACCGGAGCCAAACTTTATGCAGAATCCGACATCGTCCCCAGCCCCAAGAGCAGTGTTGGAGATGCTTGCTCTACGTCGGATGACGCGGCGTATGACAGTGACGAGTCCGAGTACTTTCCAAGTCCCAAGAAACTTGGAGATGGTGTTCTGAAGCTGCGTATCCGCATGCGAGTGACAGCCGACGGCGGAAGAAGCGTCATGGCTCACTGAGGGGGAGTAACGTTTAAGCTTCTGGGGCCAAGGGGCAAAGGAGCTAGCCGGATGCTTGAAGGGGGTTCCAAAGGGATGGAACAGTAATGGTGGAAATGGTTATGGGCTATTTCCGTAATGAGTACTAATGCTGCAGAGCCTCACCTAAACCGACGCTTGGCAGCACTTGGCTATGTCTAATGGCTATGAAATGTGTTTATTTTGACTTGTGTTAACAAATTAGCCGCCTACTTCTGCAGGATACCTTCGGCGTATCTAGAATAGCAGGCGGTCTGGATTTGACCTGATAGATTTCATCTAGAGCTAGAGTAATTACTCAAGTTTTGTCTAATGTTAGCTGTCCATTTATTCTGCGTGAGATGCTACGATTTGTATCATAAGGTTGACCTATAACAGGGAGAGTATCATTATGGAATTTCTTCTCGACCTCTTCTAAGCCCTGTCATGACAGACTTGTCTCCGTCCAGGGTGACGCGTAAGTAGCCGAGGGAGAAGTGAAGAGAAAGGAAGGAGAATCGAATAAGGCAGCAGGATCAGGTAACGCCGTTTTAGAAAATGGCAGCTGCCGTATCCAGCGACTCGTTTACCATTGCCGAAACTGTCACCGTGTGCGGTATCAACATAATCGGGCGTCATCGGCATGCAGCCCGCGGAAAGCACTGGTTATATACCGGATATACGGGGAATTTCAAAGACGCTGTCTACTGTGGAGAGAAAAGATCCGATATGAGGCGGATCAAGGATGACATAGAGTGCACTGATTGTGGAAGGTAGACGGAATGCTGGCAGCTCAAGTAGTCTACCAGGACCTCGTAAAGTTGCTTACGCGTGGATGATACATCAAACAGGGGCGCATGGTATCCCGCGCAGGGGCATGGCATGGGGAAGAGTTGATGTTTGAGAAGACTGGTAATAAGGCAGCTTACCTATATAAAGATTTAGACGGCGCTCATCTAACTAGCTGAATTGCTACTCAGAAATATCTCAGACCAGTCCCCGGCATATATCAACCCCAACACACCAGCCAACTGCTTCAAGATGTTCTTCTCCAAAGCCATCGTTGCTGCTTTCGCCCTGGCCACCTCGGTCTCAGCCGTTCCCCAGAGTGGTAGCCGGCCACTTGGCTGGATCTACGGATACTCCCAGACTGGCTGCGCTGGAGATGTCCAGGCCACCTACGAAGTCCACTCCTTGGCTGACTGCTTCGGCTTCACCTCTGAGGGCCACACGTCCATCAAGTATGTCCGCAGCGCCTGGAAGGACGATGACCCGAAGCGTATGTATACCCCGTAAATTTGCCTCGGATGATGCATCTCTCTCTTATTATATTTGGTGCTAACTTCCATGATTTGTAGTTGTCGGTATCACCGACGGTGGCTGCATTGGAGCTGCTCACGCCAAGGTCAACTCTGCCTCATGCGCCTCTGGAAGTCAACCTCTCAAGTCCGGACGATTCGAGTAAACCTGCCTCGTCTACGCATCGCCTTGGCTAATTATTTGGACAACCATCTTGATGGTTTGAAAAGTAGAACCGTTGGATTTTGGTTCGAGATTCTATACGAGTGGTTGCTCAAACACGATGATTTCCCTCGTGACTTGCAGGGTCCTGGAGCTGTGGCTTGGCTGGCAGCCTATAATAGATGTATTCCCCAGAGTAGTAGAGCGGAAAAAAAAAAGATAGTATCCAGACCTAACCGGAAATTTTCAGTTTGCTCTGTATGATTGACGATGGATTCGGTGTTGAAAGACGAGGTAAACAGAGTGTAGTGCCCTCATTACCAACTGGTGAGCTCACACTCTTCCCTCAATGGTTGAACCCATAGCACTGAGTGTAATGGCCGGGAGTATTCACCGCGAAGCAATTCCTTTTTAGAAAAATGTCCAAAACGGATGGTGGTGTTGAAGGCGCAAAATGAGTCCTGTTCTGTCGTGGAACTGCCGGCGCCTTTCGCAAGTGCCTCGGCCGGCAGTTCACCTTCTCGTAAATTAGCCAATGGGATTCTATCTTTCTTTTGATTGTTACTCATTCCAGTTTCCGGGTACAAACACCTCCTCCTTCGAGACATAAATCTTATCCATCCGCTGATGCTCGGCAGGGATCTGTTACGGAAGTGCTGGAGCCTCATGCAGGGGCCGCGACGGGCGGCCGACCTGCCCCTTCGAGGGATAAGCTTATTCGCCTGGCCATGCTCGTCCAACTTCGTACGTCTTGAAGGACTGGCTCCTTGCTATTTATCCTAATACCGCATGGCGGGGGTACATTGTAAAACATCTCGCTGGATGGACGTGTCTGGTGCGCGGCGATGCGCAAGGTAACTTATCTGTTTGGAATTACTTTGGAGTGATATAATGCCCGCTCTAGAATCGTATTCTATCCAAAAAACAGAATATACAAAAGACGAAGAAAAACAAAGGGAACCAAAAGAGCCAAACACAAAAAGAATACACCCAGGAAAATTTCGCCTGGCCCACAAGGACGCCTTTCCTCGGTCGTGTCAAGGAGTTCAACGCTCTCTTCGGGAGAGCCAACCTGTTCAGCATTGGTACTGAAGCTTGTATCAATGTTCGACTCGGCCGAATTTGATCCCATACCGAAGCCGGTCTCGAGCGAATCGAGTCTCTTCTCAAACTTATCGGAGTTTGCCTCGATTCGACGGAGCGCTTCCATCAACTCTGGCACGAGCTTCTGAAGCCCTGAGAATTCCATTTGTGTCATGGCTACTGCCCTTGTTTTTTTTGGTGATAGGAGGGCGGATAACTACGTTTTAGTCAGATCTGGAAGCTTTTTATTCTCTTTTAGATTGAGTAGGCCTACGGTTCTTGATAGAAACTTACAAGATTACTATCGCTTAGCTGTAGGATTGGCCAGATGACTGATCTGCTGCCCCCGATAGCTGGAACTGGCACCTTCGGTGTGCTTTTGGATATCTCGTGGGTTATTGCCCCGCGAGTGAGATGTTGGTGTGTTCTGTTGTTGATTCAGTTGATCGAGCGAGAGGCAGGCTCGGTCAGAGGTTTGAGACTTGGGTTGTGTGCAGCGATGTGCGAACGAAATGTGGGATACAGCTTGGACTTGAGCTGTGCGGTTTAGTTATTGAAAGGACCAGGCCGGGGATGGCGGGCCTTCAAATAGGAGGGAAAATAGGATCAGGACTTTAGGTTTATGAGGGCATTTACGTTGATGAAGGACTCATTATGCTGGGCGTAAGATATTGTTGGTACCTATTGAACCTTGTGTGTGGGGCTGCGCTTAAGCCTCGTCGCTGGGCAAATAGACTGAACTTTGACATATTAACTGTGTTGTGTGATGTTGGGTATATAATTAACTTGTCGATTTCTGTGTGCAGAGACTCCCCTCATTTGATGGACGCTGATGGCTCTCGTTGAGGGTGGCAAGCCCGATATTTACGATGTGGTACGATGGCTTCTCTTACGGATGTCGAAGACAAGACTGCAAAAGCATGCAGATTCAAACGAAAGCATGTTGATCCCAATAACTAGGTTACCGGGGTATTTTGGTGATGCCGCATCGTAAGAGTCACCCACGGGTTCACGGTAAGTCACCATACTAACTACCCACCTACTAAAATAGGAATTGCACAAGAGCAGATCAGGTCTGTCCCTTGGTGAAGCTCACCCATCGTTCTAGAAAAGAATCAATCTACATACCCGTAAGCCCGGAGTTTACGGGAAGCATAACTGTGTGATCTCGTTTGGGACGAAATGAGGTAGAAGAGATACTTTGGGTTTGAACCGCCAGTCGAGTCCTTTACGTACATTTAGGCATCCATAGGGTTATACTAGGTAGGTAGGGTTCCTTCTTCTTATTCTTTATTTCATCTATGGCTAGAAAGTTGCATGCTCTCGCCTTGCGCGGGTAGGTGGCTGGGCATCAGATGGCTGGAATCAACTTTTCGGCGTGGCAAGGATCACGGCCATCTTTATTAACCATCGTCTTGCCTCTAAACCCACAAGAAGAGCACCCCTGGTTCAGATGGCACCAAGCCAGCCCCTCGCTGGAGTTGGAGGCATTTCTTTAAGAGATGCATGCTAGCTTCAACAAGCAATACGCGATGATCGGTGGAAGCATCCGTCAAATAGAGGCGAGCTCTAGAATTAGCCATTCGCACTCGATTTGTGCACTCTGGTCACTTGATTTGCATGGTAATACTTGTTGAGAACAAAGTAGAACACAAAAGTATCTGAGGTAGGCGATAAACCGAGCATGGTAATTTTCCATCCTCTCCTTACCACAAGGACCATGGCAACGAACACAGTTCCCCAAGAACCCCGAGTCCTCACTCGCTTGAGTGGTTAGTCTGGCTTCCTCTAATCTTCCTAGAACTCTGCTGACTAGGTAGCTCACTGGTGTCTGGACTCGCTCGCATTCTTGGAGCCCTTGGGGCCGACAGTGGATTTCTAAGCAGGAAGGTGTCAGAAAACAAAGGCGGTAGAGGCATCCCCATGTCTTGACGTTTTGATGATAATGGTCACGATGTTTATGGAAAATATCAATTTGTTTAGTTGAGGATCATTATTATATAGTATTAATTATTAGACATTAGGAAGTGTTGTTATCCACTGAGTATTATCATTACCGTAGCACAGTTACTCGCTGGCTAGGTTGTCTTCAAATCCAGCTTTTCAAAGGAGATCAGATCCTCCTCCACCTTGTCTTTCTTGCTCCGAGCATTGTCCAGAGACTTCTTGACAAGGGGCTGTTTGAAACCTCCATCTGCCTTCTTGGGCAGGCTACCGTCCTGAAAGAAATCCAGATCCTGGTTTGACACGAGATTTGTCAGTGATCGAGGACATGTATCGTCTCAACTAGCAAAAGACACTTACAATCAACCAGGCCGGGTCCACGGCCGTTACGGTCTGCAGATATGGAGTGCCGCTGGAGACAAACTCGCTGTACATTACCCACTGCTCCCTCCCGCCGGAGAGCACACTCTCTGGGTGGATGCCCGCTGTGTGGCCGTCGTGCACCGTCGTGTAAAACGAATCTGGACTTTTGAGAGCGCACTGGTAGAAGAAACTCCGGGCGAGCGTCTTCCGGATATTTGTATCATATTCTACATCCTCGTATTTGCAAAGTACTTTCGTAGTGGCCAACTGGCTCTGCATCTTATTGACCAATTGGTCTCTGATCCTGACGACCTCGCTCAGGGCACGACGGTTGAGAAAAGCGTCGAAGCACCATTGGTTGATCGATAGTCGGTTCTCCGTCTTCGTGGCGGACTCGTAGGCGTGTAGGGCGTTTGACTGGCTGATGTGGTCGGACCGTGGACAAGTGAACCGCTGATGAGCGATATCGGCCGCGAATCGTGCCGGAGGAGGTCGCGAGAAGATTGGGTGCTGTGTGCTAGCAATGGCCGCCAGGTCAATCATTTCCCGGAGGCAGCCGTTGTTCAATCCTTCCACAAAGGCATTGAACCATTTCGGATGGACGGAGAACTGTGATGCGATGCGGCCACACAGCGTAATCGTGCCTTTGTCGTCAATGTATTTCCTGTTCTATGTCAGTGTCCATGGATTTGCAAGAAGAGAAGGAACAGATTAGTCTCTGCGGCATCTGGGCTCTTACATCGCGCGAAGATCTTGCAAACCGCGGAGATAGACTTCTGGGTGCGGCGGATCGACAAAGTCAAAGGTGCCGACTGATTCGAAACCCATCACCTTCAAGAGAAGGATTTGTGACGCGAGCTCGTCTTCCAAAATACCGGGAGGGGCAGAAGGAATGAAACAAACATCGTGAGTTTGCTCTGTGTACAGGCGGAAGCAGATTCCAGGTTGGGTTCGCCCAGCACGACCAGCTCTCTGCTTGGCAGACGCTTTGGATATGGGGGAGGTGAGTACTGTGGACATCCTGAGGCGGGGGTTGTAAACGGGACGGATCTCCAGACCCGAATCTGTTGCAAGTTCGTCAGTTCTTCCCACTCACCCACTCAAGGGAACTCGGATGAAGATCCTTACCGATAACGTAAACGATTCCATCGATAGTAATGCTAGTTTCTGCCACATTTGTGGCAACAATGCATTTTCGATGTTCCGAGTCATCGAATATTTCCTGCTGTCTGGCTCGTGAGAGTGCAGAGTACAGAGGCAGAACCGTAAGATTTTCATACTCGTCCCGAAGTATGGAGCAAACCATCTCAATATCGCCTGAAGTAGGTAAGAATAGCAGAATATCCCCCTCGTCCATATTCTCGTGGATGTGCTTGACCACGGTGACTGCACAGTAGCAATATCGAGGTGTCGAGTGTGAGAGGTAGTGGATTTGGATTGGGTGAACTTTTCCAGTTATTTCGAAAGTTGCGGCGCCCGGAAAGTAACTTTGGATCTTCTCTACGTTGAGAGTAGCGGACATGATGACGACCTTTAAGCATGTCCGATGCGAAGTTGCTATTTTTAGCAGAGCCATCAGGAGATCCGTGTTCAAGGTTCTTTCGTGGGCTTCATCGATTATGACGCAGCTCTAGTCAACTCTGTTTAGTACGATTCGGAAAAGACCAAATGGGATCTAGAGGATTGAGGAAGATAAAGGGAATAAGAGAGCCAGGGGCAGCGATCTGTGGGAAACATACGTATGCTGAAAAATTGCGGTCCGCCGAGGCCTCACTCAGAAGGAGCCCGTCAGTCATATACTTTAATCGTGTCATTTCGTTCGTTTTCTTGTCAAAGCGGACGCTATATCCCACTTCCTCTCCAAGTGGTACATCGAGCTCAGCGGCTGTGCGAGTAGCCACAGCTGTTGTAGCAAGTCTGCGAGGCTGCGTGCATGCTACCTTTTTCCCACTTGCCCATTCGTCGAAGAGGATGAACTGCGGGATTTGAGTCGTCTTTCCAGATCCGGTCTCGCCAGACACTAAAATTATCTGTCCATGTTTAGTTTTGGAATCGCTCTAGGGCGTAACTGGAGGGCTCCGAGGGTTACTCACCTGCGAGTTATGATAGATGTTCAGGAACTCCTGGCGTCTCAAGGAGACAGGGAGCTTTCGGCGTGATTTGAGGAGTTGAAAATATTTGGAAGAATGAGATTCGTGGGGACGCAGAGGATTGACTCTCGAGTCCTCCAGACTCTCAGCCTGCTGTGCTGTTGTTTGGTTCCGCTGAAGGTCGTCCATGATGTCCAGTGGGCTGCTGAGGGTTTTTGCGATAGAAATAGGCGTAAGATTAGAATACAACAAGGGAACTAAAGCTGAGGCCGCGATATGCGGTCAAAACTTGAGATATGATGGGTGAAGAGAATGTGAGTTGTGCCTGAACACAGGAGAAGAGAGGTGCACGTGGTGGAGAGGCAGCGGGCCAAAGGCGCGTTTGGCACAATAACCCTTTCAGTGCCGCATATATCAGGCACAACAATCCATTTTGCACCGCGTTTCCTCTGCGCACTGCTTTGATAAGGAACATTTACCCATCCTTTGTTATGCTTAACTTACTCCTGCTCATCTCTCCTCTACAGCTGGTTTCTCTGTTGACAGCCTTGTCACTCTGAGGTTAGTGTTTCATCCTTCATTACTTTGCTAATTAATGAATCCTGGCTAACGATTTAGTCTTTACTCATATCCACAGCTAGATCCTCGAATTCTAGATACACAGAGCTTGCTCAAGGAGCCAACAATACTAGGGTGCCTTGTTTCCCCGTCTCGTCAAGTCCGCCTCCTGTCAGGTAGTTCAGCTCATGCACACGCCATCTATGTTTTCCTCATCTAATTATCTCTCTAGAGTGATTGAAATTCCCCAGTGACGGTATTTTCCAGACAACGTCGAACGATGAATCTCTCGGCATCTGAAAGGGAGTTATACCCCGTCAAACCCGGAAGGTATCCAGACTCATGGAAACCCAGAGACAAAGATGACACAAGATGGAAACGGGCCTACGTTTCACACCTGAATATGATGCAACAGGACTATATGAACAGGGGAGTTCTTCAGGCTCCGCTGGTCCAAGGCGAATCTTGGCTCGTTCCGATACAAGTACCTTCGCCTTCACACAAAGGCATTGACACCAAGAAGAAAATCGTATACGTGCAGAAGAAAGAAGGGAAGAAGATACTGCCTCTCGAGAGAATTGATCTCGCTTCTTTTGACACATACAAAGCTGATGGCTGGAAGCTATGGGAGCCTCCTTGGAGACCAACCGAGATACCCACCGACAGAGATCTTCGAGGCCGTCTTCCTGTGCTCACAGAGTCATACCCAGTATCCAAAAGCCTCAAGGAAACAGCGCTCCTTTTCCCAGAGGGCATACAGATCTCGACCATATGCGATGGCCTCGATTGGCACCCAGGGCAACTGCTGGGAACCAACCCGAACGCCGAGGCTCCGATCTCCAAAACAACAGTCTTCATGCTCCCCTCCGAGTCTGGGAAGAACCTTGCATCGGCTACCTCGCGTGGCCATATCCACGAATACGATCGGCCAAAGTTTGTGGGGGCAGGCTGGGGCGACTACGATCTCTTTTTTGAGTGGCAACTTCACGGTCGCGTGCTGGATGTGAAGGAACTGGAGGCGAAAGATTGGAAGCGTAGGGATGGGGAAACAATCAAATTTGTTCCTGCTTCTGTTCCTGCTTCTGTTCCTGCTCGTGTGTTGGAGGATGGAGAGGAAGTAATCATGTCTTCTTATATGCCTTATCGCGACTTCTACACGCCTCCACCCCTCTACCTGAAAGCAACAGGGGAGGAGCAGGAATGGAAACAGGGAGAACTTTTCAATGTGCGTGGGAGGAGGCGGCTACACCGATGAGCTTGGCGTCGACTACGCCGGGTATTCATATGGTATCACCATCCGTAGATACCACCTGATGTGGAATCTTCACGAATAACTTCAATTCCTGTAACGGGTTTAGAGATATCTTACACCTAATGGCGGTTTACTGGTTCTTATTCGTGGCACGTTATCTGGAAACGTACCGAGATTAATGATAATACAAGATGTTCTACCGATGTATAGGGTTCAAAGCTCAGATTCACTGCTACGTTGAATATATATCCGTTGATGTACCTACCTAGGAATAAAGATACGAGGGTAAATTTTGCTGACTTGCTTCAAATATGCACGTTCCTCGAATGAATGATTATAGTCGAGGAAAGGGCGCGGGTATAGATCACCCGATAGCACCATGAGTCATTTCGTATTTCGGCTCCATGTTAATGAACACTGAGCTCTCAAGCCATAGTCTTTCGAAGGGCGCAAGGGTCGCAGGTTACATACAGAATGTGTGCATGTTACATATGGATGCAACGCTAGATTGACGGACATAGACAGTCCCCTGTTTCGTCTGAAGAGAAGATTTGTAACAAGGAAATAACCCATCTACAAAAAACTCAAGCTTTCCCATTCTCTTGCAGCCATCCCATGCACTTCTAGCACTGTTCTGTTCTGGGAAACCTCCGGTGCAGTTCTACGCTGACTAATTTGCAGAGCACGCAAGATGAAGCTACTGCACTGCAACCTCGCTCCCCACATCTAAAATGGCTCAAAAACTTTCCCATTTTATTCTCCATCCTGCTGATAATAAGGGCAGAGTTCTGACTACCAATTCCACGACTCCCCAAGAGAATTGGCAAGCGAACGAACCCATGGATCCTCGGACGGTTGAAGAAACGGCGCCTTTGCTGGGGGCTGAGGTTATCACCACCGATCCCCGCACTATTGAGGAGCGCGAGTTTGCCAAGGGCGACCCTGAAAATCCTTTGGAATGGCCACTGAAATTCAAATGGCTTTTCATTAGCATCTTGTTCTTTATGGGTGCCACGGTGTAAGCACCTAATTGCAATTTGCCCTGTGCGCGTGCACGCTCGCACTCCCTTCTCCAGATGACTTCGCTTTCATTGATTCACATCGCTGACCACTCTCTTGTAGCACGTTTACCTGTATTTCTCCAGTCCCCATCGCGGGGAGGATAGTCCAGGACCTCTCCAACGGCGAGAAAAACAAGTACGCCAGCGTGCTGCTCGTGACCATCTGGGAGCTGGGCGAGGCAGCCGGCCCCCTCCTCATCGCCCCCCTCTCCGAGACCTTTGGTCGGTATCCCGTCCTCAATGTCTGCAGCGTCTTCTTCACCGCCGCGGCCGTATTGGCTGCGACGGCACAGACCACGCCGCAGTTTATCCTTTCCCGAGTCCTATCAGGCCTGTTCGTCACGTCAAACGTCCTCGGACCCGCGATTGTCGGCGACATCTTCGAGCCCGACATGCGAGGATCCGCCATGAGCTTCGTGATGCTTGCGCCGAACATCGGCGGCGCGGTTGGGCCTGCTATTGGAGGATATGTGGCCGATGCCTTGAGCTGGAGGTGGGTTGTTTGGATGAGCGTCTTGCTGTGCGCTACGTGCCAAATTCTGGTCCTGCTCTGTTTCCGGGAAACCTACGGGCCGACCATTCTTGCACGCAAGGTGCTTCGATTGAGGAAACTGAGCGGCTCGGCGAGTGCCGAAAGCGCAGCCCAGAACAACTCCAAGTCTCGTGGGGCCGAGGCGGCTTTGGAGTCCATCATCCGACCCTTCCTCATCTTCAAGAGCTCGATTGTCCTCGTTGCGATCTCCCTCTTCGGTTCCCTCACATTTTCTCACTATTTCAACATGACCACAACCCTGCCAGATATTCTGGAAGATGTGTACGGCTTAAAGTCATCACAGACGGGCATGTCGATGTTGAGCTTTTGTGAGTGTGGTTTCCTTCGATAGCATGTAGATTTTACTAACAATCGCCGCAGCCATTGGATCTTTCATCGGCCTGTTCATTTGTAACAGGTCCGTGGACAGAATCTACGTCCATCTAACCAAAGCAAATGGCGGGGTTGGGCAGCCCGAGTACCGTCTCCCACTTATGATACTGGCTGCAGTCTTGGCCCCGTTTGGCCTGCTCCTCTATGGGTGGAGTGCTGAGTTCGGCCTGCCTCTATGGGTCTTTTTGTTCTCATTTTCTTCCATGGGGATGATACTCCTAATGGCCTTCCTCCCCTTGTCGGCATACGTCGTTGACGCCTTTGGGCCGTACGCCGCCTCGGCCATGACTGGGCTCATCGTGCTCAGATGTCTCATGGGGTCGTTGTTGCCGTTGTCGACGACGCCGCTGGTTGAAAACTATGGGTTTGGGAGGGCATTCTCTGTTATATCGCTGGTCAGCGCCGCCCTGGCGCCGATACCCGTCGTCATCATGATATACGGTCAAAAGCTACGACAGCTCTCCAAGTACACAAGAAACGACGCAGCGGAATGATGGACATCATCTGATGGAGCATGGGAAGGGTAAACAGAGCGGTATCATAATGAAATATCTTCAACGCCATGTCGCCACAGCAAGAACTCAATGCGGTACGGGATGATTGGATAGAGAGACCACCGCGTGGTGTTTATTCATGACAGCGATTTTCCTGGGATTCGGCAAGGGGGTTAGACAAAGCGTGTGGTACATCAAGACCACCACATGAAGTTCAACATAGAATTCACAACGGATAAACTAATAGTGAATTAATCATTTGCACAAATTTTATAAAGTGATTTATTGTGCACCTTTGATTTAGATTATCACGAATAGAACCATGGCGCAGCTCTGTCCCGCGTGAAGTATGCGATATGGAATGTCCAACTTGGCTCGGAAGAGTCCGTGCAAGGGCATTGACCTATCTCGCAAGTTGCTCAGATGATTTCCCGCCAACCCGTGAAGTAATTATAACCGTGAGAAGATCAACGGGCCTGTTGAAATAACTCGCCGTGCCTTCATCAAATTCGATTTGTTCACACGCGTCGTTGACATTCAGATCAAGGTCCCGAGGACTTACTATGCTGGGTGATTACTTGGAGATCAGTGGCGACATGCTCAGCTCAGCCGCCTGCTCGTGGAGATCACGATCTCCCCTGGAGTTGCAGGCGACAGAGATTGCTTCCATAGCGTCTTCGTAGAACCGAAAGAGTGTGACGGCGCTAGAGGATTCGGATGGCGAGGACGAAGACTCAGATGACGAAGAGGGCAAATAACCAAGCATGCATGTGTTTGCTCTATCTATGAGGGAGTCCAGCCCTCATCAGTAGTGTACTTCCCATGGCCATATGTAGTATAATGTATCCAGTATCCTCGGCCCGCCTTGATCCCTTCACCAAGTTCCAGGCTATTAGGCGAAGTATCTTCCTGCGCGCTGGAGTTGGGAGCAGGTATCTCACGCCAGAACTCTGGCCCTTCAAATTGGGATTCCCGATCTCGAATTGCATCGATCCCCCGACTCCTTATGTGATTCGACCTCACCGTTTCGAACCACAGGTAATCTTCAGCATAAGTAACAGTGACATTTGTTGTAGCTGGTGCAGCTCTGAGAACCAGCGTATCTATACTTAGCGGCATGTTTTCCGCCAAATCTTCCATGGTTCGGATCTGCATCCCATCACCTTGGCCCACACCAATGGTTACATATTCCAGGCTCGTCAGACATATGTGAAGGTGAGTCAACGAGGGGAAGATTGGCGGCATTTGGCGTGTTGGCTGTTTTTCAGGCTCGAGGCCTTCGAAGACTTTGACAATGTGCAGCAGTCTCGGGTTCCAGACGAGTTCGAGTGAGGTGATGCTCGAGAGCACTGTGGGTGTAAGCACTTCGTGCAGGCCGCGAAGGAGAACTTCGGATGAAATTTGAATGGTGTTGGTCTTGTAAAGTACCTCCATTCCTTCCATATATCTTTGTGGAAGCATAAAATGTGAGAAAAATAACATGAGAAGAGATGTATGGCTACAAGGGAAGCAATAACTTACGCTTGACGGCAGCTCAACAGCCAGCCTAGAGCTCCCACCTGGCATTTCGCAGGCCACTCACCCGGCCAATGAGCACATTCGCCTTCGCCTACCATGCAGCCCTCTCTATAGCCCTCCCTTGCGCAGCTCCCGGGATCGCTTCGAAGCCTGCCCAGGGAGAGTGGCTGCTCCTCTGGCTTGGAACGATGGCAAACACAGCCGAGCCACCTCCAATCAACCTGGCGAAAGTCAAGATCAGTCGAACGCCTTCTATTAATCTTTGCATGTCCTGTTTCCCGGCTGCTCTGTAGCTCATCCAAGACAAGATGCGGCCGCACGAATGCAAGGTCCATGTGCAGCGTGCGCTGGCCAAAGGCGTGCTCCAGAATACAGCGACGGATCTCGGCTGGGAAGCGACCGAAGAAACGATCGGCATTCGATGCACCTGAACTTGTTTTGTACACGCGAATGGGGCCAGCTGATGCTGATCGGTGGACGAGCTTGGCAAAGGAGTCCTCGCGTTGTTTGTTGTAGCGCTTACAGGCTCGAGCTCGGCGATTGTCCCAGGACCACGGTAGGCGGCCCCAGACATGGGCGAGGGGCCTGCCGATGAAGAGCATGATTTTGATGATCAGCCAGACCACACGGCTAAGCAGGACAAGAAGTAGGATCCGTATCCCGCGCTTGTCGTGGCGGGTGGCCCAGGCCTCGCTGACCGTGGGAATATCCCAATCCTGCGACGGCACGTTTGATCGTTAGATAATAAAGTACGAAACACAGGGGGATCATCACTTACGTCGTCCATTCTGGAGCTGGTGGTTCGCCTAGAGATAGGGTGAGGAAATGAAAATTAGCTCGACTAGTGAGGAGGGAAATTTAGACTTGGTTCGAACCATTCAGCCTCACCACCAGCTGAAACTGCCTATTCAGGAACAAGCAGTGCGCCTTGCAAAAGCAGCCACCGGCACTTGTATATGAGGCATCCATCAAATAAGCTTTTCCCAAATATTAATCAAGTCTCTGTAGAGAACAGTCATTCAAAGGATCTCTTTCCTTGGTGCCTTGGGATGAAACTTGACTGCATGATGCATTACCCGTGACTACATGTATATTTCCTTGAGCTCGCCCATGTCTCTTGACTAGCTACTTGGTGAGACGGTTCTTTCTCCTTACATCAGCTAGCTCTACTGGCCAGGAGGGCGGGACAGGGGTATATTGTAAGCAAACAAATAGTCCAGACTCCGAACAGCTGCAGATTGAAAGATATACTATCTGCCATGTTAATATTACCCTTGATCGCTTGTTTGAAATATGCTTTTGTGTAACCCAGCTGGTGGAGTAGCAAATATCGGCGGACGAAACAGATTGTGAAGCGAGTTCCGTGCAAACGGCTCGCTTATTCCTAAAACCGGAGGATGATCTCCGAGTCATGGGGAACCGGGGATCATTGCCCCTTCCCATGAGCTGGGGCATGCATATCCTGGCGGTCCCCTTTTCTCAAGGAGGGCCCTGGAAGACTGTCGCAGAAATAGAGGATCCATGATCTGATTCTAATGGCAAGATGGTAGTCATTTCTCGGTTAGAGTTCCAGGATCCTGTCGTTAACCTAGTACGACGCTCCAATTTCTGTCCAAAGAGCGCCCGCACTCTGGTGAGAATTACGGTCAACCCTATGGCCCTGTCTGCCCCTAGCGGACATCTTGAGCCCAAACCCAATCAAAGCGGAAAGAGATTAACAAGGAGGAATGCTGACCACCAAGCCATCTCATGTTGGTATATATACCTTGCAGTGGATCCCCGCGTCTCCAGCTGTTTGATCCCCGAAGGTCTTTCGAAATGTAGATCACCATACCGTCGCCAGAGAACATGACAGGCATCATATGTGAGTTTGATCCCCTTTGTCTCGCCAAACCCGACACTAGAACCATCAGGACTATCGAAAACCCATTGGCTAATCATCAAATGGCAATGAACAGACCTGGCAGAGCCTCCTGCGGGAGAAGATCGGTTCGCTGATACCTTCACAATGGTCCCAAATATCCTGGCTGCTGGTATCATCACCAACGCCATCGCTCTTGCAGCTGTCGTGATCCGCACCTACACGAAGCTCCGTGAGCAGAGACAGCCCTTCCAGGGTGATGACTGTAAGAGACGGAAATGATTCACCAGGAAGCGAAGAAGGCGCAATTTCTGACCTAAAGATTTAGTTTGGATCATTGTTGCTATGATTGGTTGCATAGTTTGGTTTTGCTTCATCGCAGTTGGTGAGTTATTGAGACCCTTGCTCCACTTCAGACTGATATGCCTTTGTTCTAAACAAGTCTGTGAGACAGGAACTTCTTACGGATTTGGACATCGTCGTTGGCAAGTGCCGAGATCAGACTTCAACGATTATCAACGGGTAAGCTTGTCTTTCAAATGTGTCTGGCATGGTCAAACCTGACATGATAATCCCGTATTTATCTCTAGTTCCAAACTACTGGCATGTTCTTCTCGACAGCGGCGACAACCGGCCCAAAGATCTCGCTCCTTCTGGTGTACAGGCGACTCACGCCGAGCTATGGCGTTCACATAGCAACAACTGCCATCATAGGCTTCACGGCCATCTACACGGCTCTTAACGTGGGTGGCGGAATACTAGGCTGTGTCCCCGTCAGTGCTGTATTCAAAGAACCCTTACCTGAGGGAACCAAGTGTGGCCCACGGCGCGCCTTCTTCATTTTATTTGGCTTCGGGAATGCGGCCGTGGACATTGCCATTGTAATACTCGCCGTGATCATATTTGCGCCACTGCGTCTCCCCAGAGCGAAGAAGATTTCTACCCTCTTGCTATTTAGTGGCGGTCTATTGTAAGTATCAAAGAACCCAACAGTCCAAGCGGGAGGATTCCTTGCTGACCTTGAGTCCCCTCAGTATTTGTGGCATTGCGTGCGCAAGAGCGTTGCTCATCTTCCAACCCCGCGACTTCTGGGGAGAAATACCCATCTTCTTCCTCAACGTTGTCGAGTGCACAGGCAGCATCATCATTGCCTCCACTCCCGTGCTGAGCGCCTTCGTTAAGAAATACATCAGGGCCTTTGGAACCCAAGGCAGCTCCAACCAGTCTCGTGGGCTGCGGCAAGATTATATTCGGCAGCCGGATCACCACAAGAGGCCGGCCGCGCCATTTTCGTCAGAGAGCGCGGATGCCATTGTGCTGCGAAGCATAGATAATGACGAGGCGAAATTGAGAGGGAACAAGGCGGGGATGTTGGATGTGCAGCACAACTTGCCGCGGAGGTCAAAGGAGACTGATGTCGTTACAGATGTTGAGGTTGGGTCGACTTCCTCAGGTAAGCAGATCGCTTGCCAGGAGAATCTTTACAGGTAAATGAGGGAATGACATTCTTTGGGTATTTGTTTTTCGGATGTCTCGACTTGCCAATCAGGACTATCTTATGTAAAAGGAATGGTTTGAAATGTTGGACAATTGCTATTGATACTGGATCGCCTTGTTGAAAAGGTATCTTCATTGTTTCGAGAACAAGAATTGTTCTGTATAATCTAAGACTCATGCTAGAGTTCTTCGCCGTGTAGGTGCTTACTGGTGTCTACTTTTCCGACAGCCCTTCGCCCAGTTGTAAGCCCCCCTTAATTTTCAGATTACTTGACAATATATCTCTAGGTAACAGAGCACAATAGGGCTGGAAGGCTTATAAGAAGACAGCTATAGCTACGGGGGGCACCAGTAATGTGCATTATCCCATGAGCATGTGAGGCGAGGAGAAAAGCGAGGATTACCCAAAGAGCTACAACGACCACTTTTCGTACCACGTGATACTAAGCCACCTAGCACAGTTATAATAAGAAGATCAAGACTCATTTCAAAACCTTAATCGAAAGTTCGCGCCTCAAACTTCAGTCACAAAGCTACCTCGCGGCCGTGACTCACTTCCCGTGAATATATAGCTTTACGATACGAGATACCAGGTGTCAGCAATCCGATCTGAACAGCCCAATACAGACCATATTTGCTAGAATGTAAGTATTGAGCTATTGCTATTTCTAACTAGCTCATTAACATATGAGAAAATCATGAGATCACAGGAAATCAAGACAACAGTCACATATCACTATAACAAAACAAAGTGTTAAACTTTATAAACTTTAGCCTAAGGTCTTTGAGATTGTACATTTAGCCCTTGTACAATTAGCTAACATATTTTATTAGTCCATATTTACGAATGAGTAATATGTTCAAGACAAGTATACGAAAGATATAAACCTGCTGGTAAAGACCACACACATTCTTCCAAACATCCCATCAAATTTATCCAGATCGGAATATTCTCTTAATCTAATCATGGTATGCTGGCCCCCAGTTTCGGGTTTTCAAAATGCTTACGAAGTCAACAGTCCGGCAACAGCACGAGCGGGGGCAAAAGAAGCCTAGAGAGTTCTAGCACCGAGATACTAGAGTGCATCGTTGTTGATTTGTCTGGCAGTAAAAGAATGAAGAAAAATTCGCTTAAAAGCTCATTATGCAGCAAAAATAAGAAACCAGTAAGTCATCTTTGCAATAACATGTTCCAAATGTGCCGATTACTGACTATACGGCTTCAGCATAAATTTGGTTACCGCACGCCTCGTGGCCAGTGTCAAAGGTGCATCCCACAAGGATGTGAGTGCTTAAAGCCCACAGAGGCTTACACTCATGAGAGAACCTTTTCTGCTACGGGCTTGGCCACACCAGAGGCTGAAGAGGAGATTCTGTCGAACGTGCCTAGTCAGCCACTCACTACAGTGTCATATGCCCCGAGTACTTTTGATACAGCTTCATCTTTGAAACCCCGGCCGATGTCAGTGGGGAATCCATCTTCTATGGGGACTACGAGCAGTGCCACCAGGGCTCCTGGATTGTCTGGCTGTGAGTCAAGCTCGCGCCCTCAATCAGGTATCCAGAAACCCACAAGGTACTCCCTCATACCCGTGAGTTTCCTTCTAAATAAAGAAGAGCCCAACGAATACCGGCCTTTTTAAATTTCGGAACATGTTGATTTTCGTTCGTTGTTCAAGTTTTTGATGAATTTGGTATGCCTTAGCCTGTCAAAAATCATAACCTACAAGCGACCGCTTGCCTGCTTTTTCAGCTGATTGCTTCATTGAGTGTAAACTCGTATACAAGATTTTCAATAAGTCTTATCAATTCATGGCGCCTGACACAATGCCAGGGATGCAAAGATTGAACACGTCAGATAGTCCGCTTAGTCCCTCCCTCAACTTCCTGTTTAGCCAAAGTACCAAAATGCTACAGTCATCCATGCCCCTTACTAGAACCAAATAGAATAACCACCCGAATCTACAGGCGTTTCATTCCTTCAGATAATGTCAGTTTAATTGGAGATGCTCTATTTATCAAGAAGAGGGGTAAAGAATAACCGAGGCCAAAGTGGCTGGTGTGAGAGATTTCAGACGTGACTCCTGCACCCATGACCATGCTTGTTCTCATCCTATAAGTATTGCACCCTCGCCGTAGAGTCCATCTAACTCTTTGACATCTTATTCAATTATACTCTCCTCCTTACTTTGATCTTGGTAAAACTGCTACCATTGCCTCAAAAAGAAAATGGCTGAAACTAACCAGACAATTATTCTCATCACGGGGGCAAATACCGGCATCGGCTGGGAGACTGTAAAGACTCTCCTTCAGTCAAATCGCTCCTACCATGTTCTCATGGGGACCCGAGATCTACAGAAGGGACAGGAGGCTTTAGCGTCACTAAAGGATATCATTTTCAACACTAAGAGCACTACTGAGCTGCTCCAGATTGATGTCTCGAGTGATGAGTCGATATCAAAGGCTTTCGATTTGGTTCAAGCTACTCACGGACACGTCGATGTGCTATTGAACAATGCAGGTTAGTTAAGCACTCGAAATATCGCATCCTAGCTCTGGAACTTCGCTAACAGCAGACAAGGAATCGCATTGGATGCTGAGCTTGTGTTTGGCGACATCACTATGCGTGAGGCCTGGAACAAGTCCTATGACGTTAATGTGTCCGGACCAAATATCTTAACCCATGCTTTTGCTCCTCTCCTGCTCAAATCCTCTGACCCTCGACTGATCTTTGTCAGTAGCGGGTTGGCCAGTCTTGGGCGGATGAGCGAGGCGCATTATCCGGCACCCCCGCCTATTCCGGCCGGCTGGCCGAAGAAAGGTGCATATCTCCCAAGCTCTTACCGGGCCAGCAAGACCGCTCTGAATATGGCGATGCTATCGTGGCACTGGATATTGAAGGAGGACGGGGTCAAGGTGTGGTGTGTGGAACCAGGTTTCCTCGCGACGGGGCTTGGAGGAGAGAGAGCGGCAAAATCCAGGAGTGGCGCTGGACATCCATCGAGTGGTGGGAAGCTCCTTGTGACTGTTATTGAAGGCGATAGAGATGCTGAAGTTGGCAAGGTCGTCAACAGGGGAGGTATCCAGCCATTTTAAGGCTAATGGACCTGGAGTATAAAAGCAAGAAGGTCTCTCAGAACATGGGACGCTGTAGACCGCTATAATAACTTCTGTATGAGAGTTTCATGGTATCCAATTGGGCCTGCAATCGTGAAAGAGACATGCAGTTAAATATTTTTAGAGCCGGGCTTGCCTTGGCCTTGTGTTGGGGTGTTATCAAGATTCTCATTCGTTACTCAAGAGGTTCTTCGATTCCAGTGCAAGCTTTCAAAGCCACTCATCTCCTGCGGAACACCAAGGTTTCCGCAAACTCTCACTATCAAGCGATGTTGCTAAGGCCTACGTATATATACTCTTACTCGATGCTATAGGCATGTTAGACGATTTAGAAGCCTCCCCATCCGATTTTTGCGCGATATGAGATCTTGGCTCTTTGGATATTTTACTCATACGAAAAGACAGCCTAGAAAGCGAGTCACCGGGGATAATGAGATGTAATTCGTGGCGCTCATACCTGGTCAAATCCTCGCAGTCACCCCCTCCATGATACAATAGGTCTATCTTGACGGGCGCCATGCCTAGGGATGGTTTACTACGAGTGACTAAGTACTGGTCCAGTGAATCCTTCGGTGGGTAGAGGGTTGAAAACTGCACGAAAATTTCAATGTTAGGGCCGCAGGTTGGCTATTGCGTAGGGAAGGGCGCGTTTCTCAGTGAATGGCAGTGAGCCAGTGACATCATATTTCAGGCTCGGATTGAATTGTGAAGATCAAAGTTTCCGGAAACTTGATGTTCGTAGCCTAGCCAATAAATTCTCCCTCTTCTATTGGAAGAATCAGCATGTTAAAATTGTCCCCGGACGATGTGGTAAGTGACGGCGACTTTTCGGCGACAATTAATTAGATATATATCATCATAGGTAAGTAGTCATCATGATGATACTCGAGAAGAAGAGAAACATTTACATCTTGATAAAACATAATCTAAGCCCAGGATGAGACTGTCTACAATTAGGCAAGTTATATTCTTGGCGTCAGCTATAGACGCCGCAGCAGGCTCTTGGGCCACTCTCCCCTCGTCTGCCACAATCCCTGTCGAAGAAATCCAAGTAACAATCCCTCCTGAATCCCTTCGATCTTTACAGCAGGATCTCTCACGAGTGCCGAATTTCCCTCTAACTTACGAGAATACCCAAACGGACTTGCGATATGGTGTTAATGCAAGTTGGGTCGCACACTCCACCGCCTACTGGCGAGAGTCGTTTGACTGGCCAAAGTTTCAAGAACGGATGAACAAACATCCCAATTTCATTGCAAATTTGACTACTCCGGCCGGCGATTCGATTGGAGTGCATTTCATGGGGCTTTTCTCGCAGAAGGCTGAGGCAATCCCAGTCGCATTTTTCCATGGCTGGCCTGGAGCTTTCCTCGAGTTCATCGACCTTCTCGACGTGATTAAAACACAGTTTAACGCCTCGTCCAGTCCGTATCATATCATTGTGCCATCACTACCTGGCTTCACTTTATCTTCAGCGCCATCCCCGGAGAGCAGCTGGGGAACTGCAAATACGTCTGCTTTGATGGATGACTTGCTATTGGGGCTTGGGTTCAAAAGTGGCTACATCGCACAGGGCGGTGATATCGGTTCGTTTGTTGCCCGAACATTGGCGATGACCTCGGAGAGCTGCAAAGGTGAGATATCTTGTAGAAACTCACGCCTGGAAGATTGCTAACAAGCGACAGGGATTCACTTGAACATGATCCCAAGCATCAAGCCAGATTCCGCTCCGCCAGTCACCAATGATAGCACCATCACCCCACAAGACCGTGAGGTTCTTGCTCGGTCCCAAGAATTTTTCGAAACGCAACAGGCATATGCCATTCTTCAAGGGACCAAACCCTCCACTCTGGGTTTCGCCCTTCATAATAACCCAGTTGGTCTTCTTGCCTGGACCGGCGAGAAGTTCATGGCATGGACTGACCCGTCTCATCCTATCGGGCTAGACCAGATCCTCCAGTTCGTGTCCATGTACCACCTCACGCAAACAATCTCACGGAGCTTCTATTCGTACCGCGAGACCTCCAACACAATCACGCCCGTTTTTACCCCTTCCCCATATATCAGCAAGCCGATGGGATACAGCAGATTCCCATATGACAATACCGGGGTGCCGGAACGTTGGGCTAGAGATCTTGGAAATTTAACGTTTTACAGAGCTCATACGGGTGGCGGCCATTTCGCTGCTCTGGAGCGACCGGAGCAGCTCTGGGACGATGTTACAAATTTTATAAAGGGAGCATTCCCTCAGGGACACTTTTGAGGGTGCAAATACGAGGATTTCCTGGAGGAAAGCTTGCAGCCGTGCTTATAAGTCAGCGACAATACAAATGATCTCTACTATGAAAAGAAGACATTAGTGCTTAGATTTAACAGATGTTGTGTTCATAAGTGAATTTCGTGACAGCGAGTCCCAATGGTCGTCAAAAAATCCTTTATTCAATACTGACTATGCCATGACCCGACACTGAGCAGGACCAAAATGTATCCCACTCAGAGATCTTCATCTTCGGAATCACTGAATACAAATTCAACGTCCACATGGTCCATTGTATATTCAATGACAAACCAATACATGTAAAACAAATGCCTTTCTGACGCCAAATCAAGTAGTTCCCGGATTAGAACCATAGAAATATTTGCCCCGGCATCCAAGTGATCCAGTAGAAGTTCCAACATAGGGACGTTTTCCACGACGAGCGCACCACAAGGTGCCTCTCCTTTGAAATTTCCTCCTTTGCTCAGCAGGTTCTTCACAAGGCTGGTATTGCCCGAGCGTACCGCAGCACCCACCGTACTGCAGTAGAGGACGGTAGACCGGTTGACATCTGCTCCATATTCTAGCAGGAGGTCTACTATGTCCTCGTATCCCTGCCTCGCCGCAATCCAGAGCGGATGCATACCTAATTGCCATTCATGGCCCCGAGCATGAGCACCAGCATCAAGGAGACCCTTGGCAATCTCAAAATTTCCGACGTCGGCAAAATGCAGTAGAAGTTCACTGCCGTGGGGCTCGGTAGACTTTTCTCTCCTCTCAAGGAAATCAGGAGGTAAGAAAGACAGAAGTTTCAAGAAAACTTCCCATGTTTTAGCGAAGCGTAAGATCTCAAATGAGACTCCTCTATGGGCTGGCATATCCTCTGCAGTGCTATCGAGACGTAGAGCTATATCTAGAACGTCCATGTCCCCTCTTGAGGCAGCGCCAGCAATTGCGAAAGGAAATGTTCCCTTGATGCGAGGGACTTCCTCCAACATCGGGTGATAAAAAAGATACTTGTCCTGTCTCGACGGAACGTTGGCTTGGCAAAGCTGCAGTGTAGCAACTTGTCCCGCCAGAGCAGCTGCTTCCATGGGGCACGGGAAGAGCATGTCATGCTCTGTTGGATCGTTTCCACGTTCGAGCAGGCGTCTTGTCAAAGATACACAGCCAAGATAAGCTGCAGCGCTAAGTAGGCTCACATCAGGACTGTTGTTTTTCAACGGACGTGATCTCGGTGTGAGTGCATCTGGCCCTCGCAAGACTCGCCTGTGCGGAACCGGCCAAGCGTTCCCTAATTGTTGTGGAAGACCTAACCAACAGAGCTCTTTGATTGTTTCAAGAAGGTCCGCTCCATTCTCAGAGCAGATGGCACTCGCTATGCTCCGGACCTCAACGTATCGCTTCACGTTGGGATCGACTTCGTTAAGCACCCTATACACTAGGTATGAATGCCACAGTTTATGAGTGGCTGCCTTGCGCTTGCGGGTTAAAGGCCAGTACTCCAGAGTACCTGCTCTTGCAAGGGAAGTGCCATATGGTCGTATGTCATCCATAAGTCTTGTTTCGAAGAGTGCAGTTTGAAACAACGCATCAAATCCCTCTGTAGAACGTCAATTGTTCTCTCATTTCTCGTTTCTTACAGAAAGGGTTGGCAAACTTACTGCAGACAAGTCGGAGGTTCAGGACCCTGGAGGTTCCACGTACAGACTCCTCGTCATAATTATCCTTGTCATACTTCAAGCGGAAGATAATGGCGAAGAATAAAATCCTTTGCAAGATCTCACTAGGAAATTCGAATATGAAATTGGGTAGATAATAATCTTCCATTGTGTCTGAATGAACAAGGATCGGTTGAAACGTATGAGGGGAACAGATGTAAACAAACGAGGGAGGGTCGGACATATTTGTTGGTGGTGAGCCCAATTTAATTTTTGCCACGTCAGCATCGCTCGGTATATTACCTACCGGTAGGTTCCAGGCTTTGTGTATTATTTTTAACATGTCTAAGCTCTCCACTGTTGGGGGCCACGCTCTGCAGCGGCGCTCGCCAACCGAGCTGCCTCGTACAGCTTAATGGATACTTTGTTGGTCAAACTTCTTGAAGGAGCATCAAAAATGGAAAGATGGTTTTTTTAGGCCCGGCCCGCAGGTGTTGCCCGCCAACGTGCGGTAATGTTGGTCCTGTAGCCACCCAGGGTACGAGGAGTTTGTCGGAATCCGAGGCGTCCACCAACAAAAGGAAGACTTCCTGAGCTTGAGACGGCTTTCAATGCGACAGAGACGTTGGAAATAGAGCGACCGGGGGCGGGAGAATCCCTTCTTTGATAACAGCGCACCGCCAACACAAGGCAGTTGCTAACTGCAGAGGGACCACCAACTCAAGGAATGTAACCGTGTTCTATTTTGAAGCCTACATGGCGTTAGCAGAGAATCAAGCCTACCCATCGCTTCACATCGAAAGCTGCATACAACTCCGTAACCTGCCGCTTGGTATGGAATATAAATCCTTGGAGGAAACCTCACGCTGGGTTTCGATCAAGACATATCAGCAGCTACATCAAGAAAACCTCTCAAGCTGGGTTCAGATCCAGACAAATCAGTATCTATATCACGCAATTACCTCCTTTCAGTCACAACGATTATCCTTCTAAGCACCAGAACCACTTCACCAAAATGCGGCTTTCTTATATTCAGACAGCTATTATTCTCTCCCTTTCCGGGCTTCAACAAGCAGCCGGGGCTCCCATAGGCCGGTATTCTATTCAACGTGTAAGCATGCCATTCAAACGTATGAGAAATCAATTTATGGCTGACCTCTAAACCGGTTAAAGCGCGATGAATATGGGACTTCTTCGGCGGCCTACTACATTGATGAGAGAACTCCTCAAGTTGCTAGTATCAAAGCACGTGCGGACAAAGATCAGAAGCAAAATCAGTTGAGCAATAAGCCATCGAGTGGCACCCCATCAAACGACAAACCCCCTGCTTCAGCTGCGAAGCCAGCATCACCAGCTACGAAGCCAGCACCACCAGCTGCGAAGCCAGCACCACCAGCTGCGAAGCCAGCATCACCAGCTGCGAAGCCAGCATCACCAGCTGCGAAGCCAGCATCACCAGCTGGGAAACCAATAGCTCCAGCTGCAAAGCCAGCAGGTGGTCAATCAGCAGAATCCAGCAGTACGAGACCAGACTACGGGACTAAGCCATTGAACTTCGTAAGTATCATCAGTTCACCCCCAGTCATGAATGGTTAGATTAGAAACTAATATTGATATTTATAGAATCCATTCAATTCTCAAGATCCAGATTATCCTTATACGTTGAAGCAACCCGAACATAATCCAACCGCAGATTATGATGGGACACTTTATCAAATGTGGGATATCACTAAGAAAGTTGGGCCCGAAAACACAAAGCCACAATGTGTTGACCAGTTTGGGTTTGCTCACGACGGCAAAAACCTTGTCATCAAATCGGCGATGAACCACGCTGACTTGCCAATCAAAGGAAAAAAGGCCACTCTCGCAGAACTCCTAATGGCCACCTATAAATATGCTCCCAAAGGAGGCTTTGATTCAGCAAACCTACAAGCTATCCGCATTCAGGACGTAGAGGAAAAGGCAACCGCAGACTTGTTGGCTGAGATTGACAAGGCAATGAATCCTGAGCTGCAAAAACCCGCAAAAGATGTCGTGACACGCCCGGAGGGTATGTCAAAAGCTATCTGGAACCTCAAGAAAAATAAATTAAGGAATGAAGCCAACCGGCGTGTGGCGAAGGAAGCGGCAAGTCAGGAAAGGCCCCCGCGGATAACCAAGTTCGATTTCAGCGACACAAGCAACCCAAAACTTTACCAAGATCTGAAAAATTCCGAATGGGGCAAATCAGTTCAACGAATCTGCGACAAGTTCACCAAGCGGATCGTTCGTATTCATGTTAACATGGCGGAAACACAAAGTTACATCATCTTCTATCTAGGATAGAAAAAAGAACTAGATATTATTGGTGGAAGGCGGGAACGGTAGGCTTGAGATACTGCCTATGGGGATGCTGTCGGGAATTGGGGAAATCAAGAAGAATAGGGCTGCGAACTGGTGCATGGTGTGGAGTTTAGTTGTTATTATGGAGTGTTGAAGACAAGCTTTGTTGAAAACTCTGAGGGTTGTGGTTGATTTTTAGGTTAGGTTTGCATACTTATTTGCTCGGCTTTTATCAATAGCTGGCTGGAGTTTAATTGCGAAATATAACATGTTCATGTTTTTACTATCTTCCCTGTCTTCTTGTTCAATCTCTTGTTTGAAAGATTAATCTTTCTATGATCATTGCGTCTTACTGACTTTAGACTTGAGTGTTGATCCCGATAAGATAACTTCATGAACCCAAACTTCTGCTCTCTACGGCTCACGAGATATAATCTATAGGTTTTGTAATAAACCTTACTACGATAAACAATCCTGAGGGATATCTTGTCCCTTGCCCCGGAATAATTATAGTTCTACCAAATCTGAAGTATCAAACCCTTTCAACTAGCGCTAAAACAGTTATTGATCTAGGCACAGAGTATAAGATATATAAAAGTTTTGTTTTTATTCTTATAGTCTATATATTTAAATAGTCGTATTATTCCGAAATAGTTTAAAGTTTGAAATTTATAAAGATTTTACGCATCGCCGAATTGATTGTCTAGATCGACTGGGGTCTTTATCATGTTGTGGCTGCCATTAAAGAAGCTCCAGGGTAGGAGAGGAGGATGAGTTGTGCGGGGCGGAAGGTAATAACCCCTCATTCTCTAATACCACCCTCAATCTAGTTTCATGTTGCCGTTAGTTGGATAAATTGAGAGCCCCTAGGCCTCCAGGCATGCTCATATCTCACTCCAGATAAATTTATCATATTTCATAAAGAGGGAGCTGGATTTTTTCATTAAATTGTCTATTGAAAAACTTGAAATGGCTGCCGACACTAACAATCAATTTCATCAGGTCTACAAGACCACCTTGATCCGTGCCAAGGATATGGAAACGCGCTTCATACGTATATATCCCGGATCAGAAAATGGTGAACTCAAAGCCGAACTATTCACAGAATCCCTCAAAACATTCAACGACTATGTCGCATTGTCATACACCTGGGGCAACACCTCATCATCCCAGGTCCCCCACAAAATTTACCTGAATTCTCACCCATTTGAGATCACGGAAAACTTGTGGGATGGACTAAACAGACTGCAACGCCACTTCTGTACCTCCAAACCGATATCAGTTTGGGCTGATGCAATCTCTATCAACCAGGACGATACAAACGAAAAGAACTTGGTAGTACCCATGATGAAGGACGTCTACTCCACCGCACGTCTGGTCATTATATGGCTCGGCGATGGGGATGAGCTTATTGATAAAACTTTCCAGGCTTTGGAGAAAATCTCAGAGCAGGTCGAGCATCTGCCAAAGTTCATGCAAAGCCAAGATGACATACGAACAATTGCTGAAACAGCCGAGGTTGACATTGAAACGGTTGCTCAGGGATTCGTGGACGTCAGCAATCGATCCTGGTTTCGAAGAACGTGGATTCTGCAAGAGGTTGCTTTGCCAACCACTTCACCACTGGTGATTTGTGGCAATAGTGTCCTCCAATGGGACCGATTTATCGAGGCCTTGGGGTATCTTCACCAGTTCTTCGTCGATGAGGACGAAGGCAAAGGACGAGTCATGCCACAGAATCTGCGCACTAAGATTCAGGGCGCTGATGGCTTGAATCCGCGCACGCCTAATGTCACATATCACATCAGAGAACATTATCATCACTGGAAGGGCATCATCGGTGGTATTCCGTTCATGCCCTTGCTCGAGGACACGGCACTTTGTCTTTGCTCCGAACCGAGGGACAAGATCTATGGCTTCTTGGCGCTGGCAGACGATGAATCGAGAAAGCGAATCGAGGTCGACTACAACAAGCCTATCCAGCAGGTCTATGCTGAGGCATTTGAATTATCGGTGGAAGGGCTTCAAGGCTTCCAGACCTTGTCAAAAGCTGGGTTGCAGTTCCATACTGACCCGGACACAGCGTGGCCGTCTTGGCTTCCCAACTTTGACCGATGCGGGGAGCCTAGTTTCCTAAAGCTTTTTGCTCAAGAGCAGAGGGGGCGCGGAAGTATATACAACGCGTCATTGGGACTTCCTCCAGTTATGAAAAGAGACAAGAACGAGTTATACGTATTTGGTCTCTTTGTTGGCGAGGTCGAGTCAGCAACGCCGGCATATTCCCAGCAAGCAGTACCGCAGTCAGGTTCAGCGAACCGGCCAACACCCCATAATCAAACATCAAGCTGGGTGCGACTGGAAAAGACCAAGTCATTGTTGCTTCTAGAGCAAGCAGGCTTGGAATCAGACGAGTGTTATACGGAAAATGGGCATGCGATACCAAATGACGATTCTTTGGTATGCTCTGGGTGTATCTATGAGCCAGCTCTTGACTCAGCTCCACGGACTGGCCAACAGCTTAACGTATCTGTTAGTTATCAAGGAAATCCTGCAGAATGGGACTGGAAATTTGTTGAATCGACAGACAAAGATCATGAAATTACACCTATAGTGCCTTGTATCGAAGGTAAACCACTCAAAGAGGCCATTTGGAGAACGATGATTGCCGACCACTTTGCCTATTTGCCGTGGATGGAAGAAGGGGTTCCAGCGCCCGAATCCTGTTCTAGAGCTGTTCTAAAGTACGCATCCCATCAGTCAGGAAGGCATGATGAGTCGGTGGATAAGGAGACAACGGTGGACGAGGACAGAGTGGCGCAGAATGCCATGGTAGTTGCACTTTCCGGACGGTGTGTCTTGAGAACAACAAATGACTGGATTGGCCTTGGGACAGTCAATACGCTGCCGGGGGACGTGGTTGTAGTTATTGCGGGAGCTGATGTGCCTTTTATTCTTCGGCCGTCCGGGGATCGGTATCGTCTGGTGGGTGAGGCATTCGTGGAGGGCTTGATGTTTGGAGAATTATTTGAGGGCGATCCGGTATTCACGGGCGATCCGGATTCAGATCTTCAATTGGAGGGCTTTCTCTTGTTTTAGTATTAAAGAGGATAAGAATACGGGATCTAGTCCACATACTATCCTGCGAAATGCAACTTTGAGTAGTTTCATCATTTACATAGCGAACTACCTCGGACTTTACAAGCTATTAAGACCAGAAATTGGACTCTGGAGTTACATTACCTAGGTAATTTATATGAACAACATATGTCAGAGCTAGAAAAATCAAAAGACTATCTTAATATCTCAATGACTTTGAGCTGTGTAGTTCGCTGCGAATAATCCATGGAAGTGGAATCAGTACTTCCAACTGAGGTCGAACCACCCTCATTTATCTCGACATCCTGTTCTCTTTCTATTCTAAGCGTTTCCTGGTTATTGAGTGAGCCCTGGAACATGAATTTATCATTATTTTTGGCTTCTCTGTCCTGGAACTTGGCCAAGAACATGCATCCACCCACACCGAGGTTGGAATGCTACCAAAATTGTGATGTGTTAAGCTGGCTCTTTCAGCCCTCTAGGTTGGGGCTGGAAACAGCTACCCAATTGCAACAAAGTGATCTCGTTATAAGCAAAAGGTTCCTAAGAGCCTTTATTAATTCTTAGTTCTCTACACAGCTATGTAGCCTACTTATTCCTGAGTAAGTCCGAAGCGAAAAGATTTTGCGCATCGTCTTGAAGCGACGTCATGCCACCCCATAATCGGAATGCCTAGTGTTTCGCCTAAGAGACTGGTGTGCTCGAAATTTTCCAGACGGCGAGTCAGAGTAACACAATATTGCGAGAGAAGAAGTTAACACCAAAGATGAAAAGCAGTCTTGAGAATGAAAAGAAGAAAGAGGCATGCCTATCAAATGATACATATTGACAGTTATTTGTACACCATATGTGCTATTGGCTCTCAAAACTATGTAACGCTTCAACGCCTGTCACCCGTTTGACGGGGCCACGCCAAGGAAACCCCTGAATATAATGGGGCATCGGAGCACTAGAATAGGGCAGGGGTTAAGTGCGCTTGAAGAGGCTGAGTCCAGTCCAGATCTGCCCATTCTACTGACTTGCGCAATGATCGTCCGTCGCCTTGAAAATGTGATGTCGGTCGAAAACCCTCCTTTCCTTGCGCCATCCCATCTAGCAGCAGCGATTGTCCTCCTTCTTGTGGTCGTTCCGTATCATCCACTATGCACCATGGCCAGCTACTATGGCTGCTCCTCCACGCGATAGCCGTTTCTCACAGCCTGGGCGCCTACGTTGAATCCCGACCATGCGCCAATATACGCAGCAAGAAAAGCCTGTCGACCAGCGTCACCGCGGCACTGCGGCCCCTTATACACGGACAGACACTCAGCATCGAAGGCGCAAGCTTGGTTAGGGCGACTGAATGCGATGGACTGGCAGCCGTCACGGTGAATCTGACTACCGAGGGTCTGGGATGGAGAGTCTCGGATCAATTGACGACAAACACGACTTGCGAATCTGTGCCGTGGGCAAGAGACGGCATGCGTCTCCTCCGAACGAATGTTTCCCAGAACATCGAACGAACCCCCCTCTCGACCTTCCATACGCGCATCGAAATAGCCAATAGCAAAACCGCGGGCGAGTTTGCCTGTGCCCAGGTCGAAATAGCGACGGAGATCGACCTCGTCATATCTCGCGTCCTACGATGGGTGCCCTGCGCGATCCTTATATTTGTCTTCGTGTACGGCGCGATTGACTCATTATACGATCACGAGCCGACCGAACACATCATAGACGGCGTGAGACTGCTGCGGACAGAGACTCGACCAATACTTCCCCTGTTTGGCGATTGTCTGCACTATCTGCAGTTTGTCTTCCTCTCTGGAGGCCTCAGCATCTCCTACCCCGGCTTCTATCGCCCTGCTGTTAGCAAGCTGAGTTGGTTCTCTCTATTCCATAGCGGGCCAATTACACACAGGCTCGCCTATAACGGTGTTCGCGATGGCATCTACGAGGTCAACGGCACGTATGGCGGCACCTACGGGCTTGAGATCATGCATCAGATTGCTGCCACGCCTGGAACGATTGATACCTGGTTCAATATGCTGGTCACCATCCTCATTATCACCGTATGCGCTGGCGTCATCCTGGAATGTCTTCGTCTCCTTCGCAAACCGCAGCGCACTTCGCTGGATCAGGCGACACCTGATGTTCGCAGCAGCCTCCGCCATCGATTTGCCTCTCTGCTTCGCGTGGTTTTCTCATACTTCACCATGCCGCTGATAGCCATGTCGTTCTATCAGCTTGCCAACGCCATGTGGCTTCCTCGGACTCACACCGTCTACGCCGTCTTCCTGATCGTCTACATGGCTGCGCTGTTTTCCTGGCTTCTGTACCAGGTCCCGCCCCGGAGTCTTGGGCGTCTCCTCTTGAATAAATCTACCCGTTACGAGAGCCTGCTCCTAGGCGATGCCCCGGCGCCAACCCCATCTGATGACATCTTCGTTCTGGTGCTTTTCACATTGCTGTTCATCAGAGGAATGGTGGTTGGCGGCCTTCAGAAATGGGGCGCTGCTCAATTGGTAGTTCTTTGCACTTGCGAAGTGGTTTTACTGGGCTGTAACTACTTGCTCAAGTCACACCCGCTTGGATCCGTCGTCGCCATCGGGGCTATTGTGAGGCTCATTGCCACGGGACTCATGGTCGCCTTTCTGCCTGGTGCTTCGAGCATGACTACGAAAACGACTATCGGGCGCGCGATTCTGGTTCTGCACGCCGGAATGCTGCTTGGAGGCTTCTTCGTCCCATCTGCGATAAGACTTGTCAGGCTACTTGTAACGAGGTGGAACGCCCCAAAGGCGGACGTTTACAGCCTCCGGCAGCTTCGAAGACGACAAACAGCAAGAACGAACCTTTCTCCAACACCTCAAGGCGTATCGTTGGTTGTGCCTGGCCGCGAGGGAGAGGAGTGGGGGCCTGGAGCTCAATCTTCTCAAAGCGACACTCCCATTCCTTCAAGGTTCTACTTTCGCCCGCCGCGCTCAGTCTCTTCACGTGGTGGCTCGCCCGTATCAGTGGCTTCTCCTTGCGTCACACCAACACATAAACGTGGTGCAGCTTCAATCTTGGTGTCTCCGATAGAGAAAGGCCTCCCGCTGGATTGGACACAACCCGACCAGAAGGCGTCGGGAGCGTTCCACTACCATAGCACATCCCGGTCGTCTGGGTCTTCTCGGTCGTCCGCAGATAGCCAGTCCTCACCTAGTCAATCAGTTGGCGACGGCGGAGCGGAGTCTCCCGAGGACGTCCTTCTTGTTCTGCCATTCAACGACTATACCACCAGAGAATCAGATGCGTATCATCTGGGGCCGGGTGGAAGAAGAGTTCATGAATGGGGCACTCCTGCGGGAGCCCCAAGCGGCGAGGTGTCGCAGTGGCCCCTCTTCGCCAATGTTCAGCAACTCATTGCAAGGGTGTCGTTCAAGTTTCGCAATCCCTTTGAACGAAAGACAGACGCAGATTGAACTGCCTCTGTAGTGTTATAGTACCAAAACGACAATCGGAGCCATGGCAGTTTCCCCTGCTTCCCTGCAAAAGGGTGGGCGTGGGAGGAGACAAAAAGGACACGAAAGCTAAAGCCAGACTTTGCTCGCGTGAGTCCTCAGCGTTCTTTCTATATAACAGAAGGGAACTGGCCCGAACTTTTGCATGATAGGATTCGTGATCGGTCAGCTCAAACTAGACTGAAATGTCCCCCAATGCCTGTGCCCGCTTCTCAGGAACCAAAAGACGTCACTGAGGCAGTGAGACTTCTTCCATATGTAGTCAGTACCTCGGAAATCTAGTCAAGTGCGGACAACAGGGAGCACCCCCATTTCAAGGAGAGCATATCATTGCCAAGGTGGCTACCGATTTGCTTTGAGGAACGTGCTGGTCAGGCCGCCAGCTAATCATGCCTCCAAGCCAACATGTGTAGCATTTCGTAACATTATATTTCACTCCGAGTCTCGACTTCCGACACATTTAGGCGTGGATCGCTTGCGAGGAACTCATGGGATGCCGGATGAGAAACTCATAAAATCTTTGAATAGCTAGCTAAGCAATTCTACTCAGTAAAAAAAAAAAAAAAAGAGGCTATGGATCTTCCTCAATGCTCAATGCCAAATTGAAGTCGCGTGCGCATCCATCCCAACCTCCTGCTCGTGCAACTTTAGCCCGTCCGGTTTGTCCTAGCGAGGTCACTCATGCACCTCCCACCATTTCCACCCGTGATTTCAGGTTAGTACTTGCGAGTAGTGAAATCACAGCGAAAGTCATCCGTCCGTCAATCCAAGCCCTGTTGGCAGTATTCTCCACACCAATAGAAAGAGAGAGAGATTAGGAATACACCGCGGTGCATTGCAACCACTCTCTATCAAACTTTGTGTGCAAGGTTCGTGGCTTCACATGCGGCGCATGGAAGTTGCACGGAACTGATCGAAGGTCATGTCGTTAGCCTCGAGGTAGGCATCAAAGTCAACAACTTCCGACTTGTCCTCCTCAAGGAAGACGTGGCTATGATCTTTGAGCCAAGAGCCGTGAATCTCAGGTGCCCGTTTAGGATACCGGTTGTGCAACCGGACGATGTTGTTGAAGACTTGCCCCGCCTCCTTCCACTGGTGAAGCTGGGGGCTGGAGATGTAGAACTTTGCCACGAGGTCGCGGTAAATCTCGATGAGCATTTTGAGATCCCCATGGTCGTCAGAGGCAACAAGGGGTGTAAGGTAGTAGTCGTCTAAAGTCCGGCGATCATTGGGCAGCAGATCTCGGTTAACGGCGTCGACGAGGTTTTGGGCTGTCGTGATTTCGGTCGGCACGCACTTGTGCTTGCCCTTCTCCATGCTCAGCTCGCAACACCCGGGTGAGCAGAATTCGCCGGTACCGCAAAAGAAGCATAGGAATGAGGCTTCTCGATTCTTGCAATGCTCACACTGGCCGTAGGGTGATCCCAAAGGTTTAGATCGAGTTGCGTCGAAGTCGAGCTCAACAAGCCTGCTGTCCAGAGAACAGTCGGAACCGTTGGAACCATCGCTTGACCATTCTGCCTCGCAAACATCCATCGATCCGTTGTTGGATTTGTTGTCAGACTGGCAGTCCAGGTCGAGCGCCTTGCAGGAGGCCAGAGCGTCGTTGTCGAGGGCTGTGTTCGAAACGTCGTTAATGATGTGGCCTGAACTGTTATCGATACGTTCAAAGGCAGACGGGCTAGTTTGGGGATCTTACTTGAAGCTTTGCTTGGCTCAGGTGAGCAGTCCCGGGATTTTTGTCTGGGTCAGACAAGCTCGCAGATTCTCAGTCGGGTAGTGCGATGAAAGGTTGATGAAGTGCTTGGTTCAAATAGCTGCAGTGTTTGGAGCAACTGCCTGGGGCAGAGGAAGTTGGGAGATATTGGTGTGATCGTGTGGAGTGAAAAATGTGTGGAGAGAAGTGCGTTGATGGAGAAAAGAAGAAAAGGCTTCTCTGACTTTGCGTTCACTTACTGGGAGTTTTTAGGCGGATGACCTCAAAGAGTGCCCAGTCAAAAGCAAACTGTCGCGTCGAACGGAATCAAACGTGTGTTCACACGCGCATCTATGAGTTGGCAAACACAACACACGTTCTAACCTGCTGCTCACTTTCACAAACTCCATGCTCGCATCCATTGGGGTGATGTCGTGGGCTATACTATTAAAGAAACTTATTTATAGGTAGAATCTCCTAATATTCAAGTCTACCCCAGTTATTGACAACCCTTGGGATATTTCACTTCTACAGTTGCAAGCTCGGTGCCGCTCGTAGTCAGCTGTTTTTACATATGAGATCGATCATTACGACATGAGGTGGCATCGACATTAAAGGTGCCAAGAAAACGTGGCCAGCAAGGAATAGAGTGAAGACAGTGCATCCCTGCCCCTGTCCTCCGGTGCCGCTCTACTCTGCTCGTCGGCCGAGGGATCAATTGAAAGCATTTCATTTCTACTCCCCGGCCTCTTGCTATCTCTTATCATCGATTGTCGTCAGCATCGGCGCAGTCCGCACGCGACCACTTGCCCTATTCGGCTGCGCTTGCAAAGGATCTTGTGGATCTGCGATAACCAAGCCCAACCGAACCAGGAAAGAGGTTTGGATCGCACGGAACGATTTTTCTTGGCTCATAGCCTTGTAAAGATGCTTAAATTCCTGGCGGCTCGCCTGTCATGTTAGCATTAGTTGCTCACCTCCCTCAACTATCCCCAGTTCCAATCCGCCCATCATGCGTCTGAGCAGCCTCCTCGCCGGTGCCACTCTCGCCTTTGCCACCTCCTCGCAGGCTCTGAACATCCTGTTGAATAACGATGATGGCTTTGGCTCAGCAAATCTGCGCGAGGTCTACCGACTTCTGAAGAAGGATGGCCATGATGGTAAGGAGACCAATCCATTGCTTTGGTTTGCCATGCTTCCTTGCTCATTGCTAACTGCGTCTTTTGGCAGTGTGGATTGTCGCCCCAGCTCTGCCCCAGAGCGGACAGGGAGGCCGGTCAGAGTTTACCCAGTATGCCAACCTCACAGGCCCATCTCAGTATAACATTATTCCCGCGGGAGAACCATCGGTGAGTGAATCTGGCAGCTAAGCACGACTCAAGCAGAACAATCTTACTAAACCAATGGCTTCGTTCAAGGTTGGCCCGGATCCGATTGATAGCCATATCTGGTACTACAACGGAACACCCGCTGCCTGCACTTTTGTTGCCCTAGATTACGTTCTCCCACGCTTCGCCGACTTCAAGGTGCCCGATCTTGTGGTCACCGGCCCCAACTATGGAACAAACCTCGGTCCTTTTGTCTGGACTCTCTCCGGAACAGCTGGCGCTGCGTGAGTGCATAATCCGCCCCTCTCCCCATGCTGCTCTGTAATTTAACCAGAGAGACAGATATGCCGCGACCCACCGCAGCATCCCTGCCATCGCCCTCTCAGCCAGCAACAAGGCCACGCCGTACTTTGACATTCACAACGAGACTAACCCCGCCACGTGGGCCGCCGAGGTGGGCGTCAAGGTCGTCAACACCGTCATCAACAGTGCACCCAAGGGCGGGCCTCTTTTGCCACTCGGATACGGCCTCAATGTTAACATCCCCGAGCTGAAGGGCAACCACTCTGATCTCAAGTACGTCCAGACGCGCATGACGGGCAATGCTCACGTCAACGAAGCTGTGCTGGACGCTGAGAAGGGAACCTTTGATTGGGCCAACATCAAGCCGTATGCCGCGGGTGTCAACACCTGTGTGAATGGCGACTGCTCGCTCGAGGGAGAGACGTATGTCGTTGAGAACGGTGCTGTTTCCATTTCCATCTACATCGTCGACTATACGGCCCCGAGCAGTAGAAGCACTCAGAGCATTATGCAGCGCATCAAGCCCTTGGCTCCTTTGGAGTAGCTGCGATGGTGAAGCCGAGGATACATGGGGTCTGGTGGGAAATTTTATGTTAATGAGCTATGGAGCCGAATAATGTATCAACCAGCCGTAATTGATAAATAATGATTCACTCAACCATGAGAAACAATTAAAGGTATCAGTGAGACTCACGTTAATCAATCTTCAAAAATATTATGAGAAGCAGTCATGTATTGTTCTGTCGTCCGGCTGAACCTGACGCAAACTCTTTATTGAAGTATTTTATGACAAGATCAAATTCTGTCATTGTGCTTTTTAATGTTTGTCTCATCTCAAGTTCGCGCGCAAATTCAACTTTTCTTGCCAATAGGCCATGTGGGCATCATGAAGTTGGGGTCTTGCCAGGCCGTTCAGTGCTGTGGCGCAAGTTTCCATCACTCTTTGCGCATTACTTTCAGCCGGTTGCTCAAACAAGCGCACGGATTTATTAACCTCCGAATTTTTTTTTATTTAAGGGAAGAAATACAGACCCATCAAAGTGATTGGGTTGATCGCCAGCCCTCTTGAGTTGTCAGGTACCTGAAGGAGAAAGCAAAATGGCAGAGTGGAGATGTCAGATCGCCTCTTGTGTCATCTTCCTATACAAGAATACCTACACATCAAGACGGGCCTCCAGATAGCTTAAATTCCCTCCTCTAGTTCTCTCTTCTTATTCTAATTACCCAAGCTCGGTTAGTAGCTCGAGGGTTGAGTCCGATTTCTTAATATTGGTCAGATCCAGCTTGACTCAGGGAACTGGCCATAAAAAGGTCTCTCCTCTGCTCACGGAAGCGGACGATATTCCGAGTCTACCTTTAGAACATTTCACGGAGATGGGGGCCTCAGAATTCCTCATTCTCCAACTCCCTTAGAGAAAGAAATCTCACCATTTTTCTTGCTGTAAAGGTTGATAGTCTTCCACTCATTCACATGATCTGTCCCTCCCGACGCTCCCGCAGTCTGCCTCGTGACCTCTAGGCATACGTGAGCTCGTAATTTTCATGTTTGCCATTTGCTTGAAAGAGCGATTCGTAACTCATAAGGAGACCGCTTTGGTCATAAATAAAATACAACAGTGCCGCTTACCCGACTGCGTCTATGTGATCCAGTCAGCCGCGATTCATTGAAGTGCGGTCAACCCAGACTGCAGCTCTGCCAAGCTGTTACGCCAACAAACGCATAAAATTCGCGGAACGGCCCAGTCAAATCGAAGAAATTCCCTAGCCGATTATCCGGAACGTCATGCTTGCATTTGGGGCTGAAGGATCTACAAACGCTAATGTATAAAGAATGCAAGCCTCTTTTGAATACGAGGTTTCGACATCCAAACCATGAATATGACGAGTATTACCGCTCATTCACAAGATCAGTGACACGCGCACTGTTGATATTATAAAATGGTAAGTATGTCTGACTGAATAGAATACCTGCAGCAAGAAAAAACCAGGAATTCAGTCGTCTTCCAGAAACTATGCAAGATGCGCCTCGCCACAACTTCTGTTCTTGCGGCTTTAATTGCCACGTCTCAGGCATATATACAAGCCATCTCTGTGCCCGAGACTATCAAGCCTGGAGATACAGTCAACCTCAGGCTCATTAGCGCAACCAATATGATGACCGTCGATGATATTGCTGTCGCCTTTGGATATGCCACAGGAAACGGCCACGCCGGTGCACTTGGAACCAATCTTGGTTCGTTCTATCTCGGGCCAAGTACGTTATTGTCCAGTAATCATTCTAGAGACAATCAATATTTAACCAGCAGCAGGTGAATCCAACTTAGGGTCAACTGTTATAACCAAGACCGTGACTTTCTCTTCCGACATTCCTAAAGGCAACGGCGTTGTTTCGGCTGGTCTGTTTAGCTTATTCGGTGCTGCCAAGTCTCCGGGCCTCACCAACTGGAACGTCACCATCACTTTTGGTGATACTACCTCAAGCACTTATAAAAATAGTAATTAAGTGACAAATAACATGTGGTCGTAAGAGAGGATTGCTATAAACTTGAATAAGATTCTCGCGTGTATCTTTCTTTCTTGTTGTTCCTGCTTAGTATTTCAGTTGATGTGTTTCATTTTGAGGCCGATGCCGTCTCGATGTTACCCCAATGTAAACCCTTCCAGCATTGAAACTATTCTTGGAATTTACTTCATAAATAAAATGAATCTGAACGTAGGTATGTCTATCTTCCATGCCACTCTTCAGTATGAATTGAATTTTAAGGATTTAAGGACGTTTTATACTCCAGCTCTTTATTACACGGCTGGCAGCTAACCAAAAACAATGGTAAAGCCCATCTCCTGCTCTACCATCTCCCAAGACCTAAACGGATCGCTCCACGTCTTTAGTATAATTTCCGAGGCGTGATCAATATTGACCATTCCCTGTCGCTGCTGAAGACAGTTAAATGTCTGCGTGGCCATCAATCTATCCTCTTTCGTGACAGCCTCACTTGCCGCAATGAAGAGAGGCCAAAGCAGTGCGCTAACTGGGCCATTTGAGGAGGTTACCTCCATGCAGTGGCTCAATGTAAGGTGAACGTTCTCCTGGATGCAGGGGTGGTGGCGAGGTCGTCCGTAAGCAGCTTTGTGAAGCTGCAAGAGAGCAGCATAACGGTAGGCGAGAGCATTGTGGAACATGGCGCGAATGGTGAGGCAGTCAGGCGTGATTTGGCCATCTTGACGGCTAATATTGCCGTCAGATAGGACGTAACCTTGAGGGATAACAGGCACCCAGGTCTCAAGTGTTTCTTTCAGAGTAGCTGCCGAGGTCTGGATGGCAATATAAAGGATGTCGGAATCAAAAGCATCACCGGCCTCTACCGCCATCTTCCACTCCTCAAGACGAGAGAGGAGGACGCCAAGGCGATATAGTAAGGGCCACAGTGTCTCTGATAGCCCGAGTAAAGGATCAATTGCACCGGAATGTGAATTGCCTTTTGGGTAACCCCTATTATTGTCAATGTCGCCTGGTGGGGTAAGCAGTGGCTTGGCTCTCGTCGATAAGGAATGTATCACATCATAGAATCCCAGTGCCTATGTAACATAGTATTAGTTTAATTCTTGATCACATACAATTAGCGATCATACTTTATGCAGAAAATCATATTCAAACTGTTTGGATGCTTCGATCTTTCGAAGTAAGCGCGAGGAGTCTTGCAGATGCGCCTTCATATTTGGAGATGACTTGCTCCGGACGAGCTAAGGGCTGAAGTCAGTATCGTCCAATAATTCTAATCAATGTTTTCACTTCAACTTACTGCCTCGAAGTATACGAGTAGGATGATAGCAATTAGGGTTTCTTGGGGGCTCACTTCATTAGACATCGAGTGAGATATCCCCTCCAAGCTTCGGTTGTAGAAATCAACAGAACTCTCCTCAAGGTGTTTCCCGGTATTCTCGAGGTGAGCAGCAGAGAAAGCTAAAACAGCATATAAGACAGGCGAGTCCTGAGATTCGTATATGATTGGCATGATACAATTTCGGAAAGGGTTGATTGGTTCCTCGCTCAAGACGATCAGATGCGATAGCACCTCGGAGTAATGATGTAGCAACTCTTGATGACTTGTGCTCCACGATGGCCGCCAATCACACGGCGGCGTGAGATCTTGCCACGGGTTGGCATACTGAAGCGAGGGAGAATCAGCTTCAAGCTGATCTACTTGGCCTGACATGTACTGGAACAGATCATTATCGTTCCAGATGGTATCCAAGTCGCCTTCGTTGCCAAATGATGCCCACATGTCAGTCGAGTACACCTCAGACTCGGGTGTCACCATGCCCAAGTCATGGGCCGCTGGACTGTCATATGCGTCATTCATTCTCAGGGTGTTCAACCGAGAATCGCCATTGGCTGACATTGATCCGTTCTGGTTGCTCGAGGCTGTTGTCTGATAAACACACTCCAATTGTCGCTTGACGCATCGGTCGCATGTTGGTTTCGTCTCGCAGCATTTCTTCCTCTTTATTTAACACTAGTCAGCATCCAGATTGCGTAAAGCATCAGAGATTACTTACGGCTTCTTTACTATATCCCAGCAATCGGCAATTAGTTCGGGCATTTCACAATGGAACAGGTAAACATACCATGCAATACATCCTTCACTGGCAAATTAGCTTGAACTCCCTTATTTTTATTAAATGGCATGAATCTCTTCCACTTACCAGCACGAGATCTTCTCCCTTTTGGCTTAGGAACGCCAACCCTGACCCAGAGTACTCTGGTACGGTTGCCATTGGGCGTGCTGTGAGAGGTCATTGACAGGCTGGAGGGTGTCGACATCTTGTCCAACAGGGAACGCAATAGGTCAATAGCAATCGCTAAGGTCGACGAGCTGGCAGAAGAAAAGACAGAGTCCAAACCAGGTTCCAACAAGAGGAGATTTGCAGATAGTGGTTTCTTATGCTTGCCGCACCATCCCCTACCGTGCCCAACTTAAATTAACTCAGATGGGTGGATCAAGGTCAGGTCTGATCATCATCGAAGAAGGCTTCTAGAAACAGTTGCATCTACCTGCAGCCCACCGGAACCGTCACAGATCCTCCACAATATCAGTTGCCCGGCGTCAATGGTCCTTGGCAAACCTTCAAGGTCCTGGAGCATGGTAGATCTACCATGCATGGAAGACTATCGCTGCATGGACGTTTTCGCGAACATTACTCCCTATAGAATGCTCACCTCGGGCATTTTCGTGGTTGCCCATTGGCTTATAGTCAGGTAAGCTGGCAAGGATGGCTTTTAGCCGCCATTCATCTGACTGGTGCGGTTCCCTCGCGCAGGATGGGCTGCTCACGCCAACAGCCCCGTCTCCCCGCTCATTGTAAGCTACCCAAGGGAGCTCGAAGCTTCAAATGGTTAGCCACCGCTCCCGAAACATTACAAGAGCAACATAGTTTACACGTGCCCCGAGTTTGTCACATTGATCGGTCTTAGGATTGGCCCCCCAGGTTCAGGCTATGTTAGCGCCCGTCACATCGAGTAAGTTGGCTCGCAAGGATTCATTATGGAACACGCAACTAGCCTCCATATAGGAGTCAAAACGTACAAGATTTGCTGCCTTTTTACCAACCAGCAGCCGCTTTGGGATCAACTGCCATGACTCTTTCCGATCTACGGTTCCGATTCTCACGTCTCCCGCGGAATCCGGCAGTAGTTGGTTCCTCACTTGTTAAAGACCACATGAGCAGTAAGTACACTCACTTCCTGACAATGATTCACTCCATTCTGGTCGCAAAGATGCCCCTGAGTCAAGCTGAGACTGTTTTCGCTGGTAAAGCATACAAACTGGATTCGGAAGATCAGCCTGATGCCATCTCTAATCTATCTGCAGGTCTTGGAAACATGATGGCAGTCTTGCCATCTCAAGCATGCATCACAGCTTGTGTTACCTCTGGCGAACCGGCAATTACCGCAAACGTGAATCGTGCGGGGGAGAGGAGACCCTTTAAATTGCAACGTCAGCTGGCTTCATCTGATCTCCTTCTCCTCAGTTCTCCTTGGCCGGCCCCCTTGCATCCCTCCTAATCCATCTTTGCTAGCTCAGCGTTCCCCATCCCCCCTCATTTCCAGGTCTCGCCCCCTCAGTTTCATAGCCGGCCCAACCCCAAGTGTTCGCTTCTCTGGATCACACCCTCTTTCCTCTGCTGATCACTTGAGCAAGCTCCTGTGGGGGATCAATCCTCAAAGCGTGACATTGTGGTCTTCCGCAACGCATTTGCTCACATGCGATGGTTTCAAACCCATTTCGCCATCCCCATTTCTGACTCGCGGCACACTCTAGCCGTGCGATCTTCTTCAGGGAAGCGATTTTCAGCCCTCCTGCCACATTATCTCCTCTGCATATTTCCATACCCTGTCCTAACCAGGAGACCGGCCTCGAATTGGTAAAGCCGACTCCGCTGGGCTTGGCGAAGCTTACGAGACGGCTGCTGGCTCATTTCAGCAGGGTCTGGGGAACCCCTTAACCCCCCTTGGCCAACCCCCTCTCAGTTACTCCGGAGCAGACCACTCGTCTATGCAGCGCCTTCAGGCTGACCAATCCCGCCCTGGCCGTCATTTCGCAATGCTACCATTGCCTCCCAAGTGTGTCTGCTTCTTCCGCTGGGCCAATTGTACTGGTCCACACCGCTGTTGCCCTCTCCGCAATCCCCAGATTGATCACCCCTGCGTAACCACAAGAATGCCCTAGATCCCATGTCAGCCTTTCCCTGGTGACTTCCCTGGTCATTGTGGCACAGAAATCTTTCGACTCGGGTGGGGATTTAACAATGGCAGACCCGGTTATCGCCATGCCATCGTGTTCCGCAAGCTTTTGCCAGTCTTATCGCCAAATGAGCGGATTTGCAGCGTCAATTGCTGAAGCGTCATCGCAGCCATGGCGGAGGCGCTCTTCCTCGAACTCAGCTGGGGCGTGCTCAGCTCCATCGGGATCGCGTGCTTGCTCTTTGGATTCCTGATCATCGGCATTACGGGATGGAGCGCTGCTGCGTCGGTCCCAATCATCTCCTCGGTCGCGGGTTGCTTGGCAAACGCCCTCTGCTACTACGCCTACTATCAGACTCACCCACCGGTTAACACTGCGGTTGCATCTGCATTTGCAGATGTGATGTGGATGGTAAGTCGCTGTTCATAACTTTATTTGATCACGCAATTTCCCAAGGTCGTAGCGAGCTCTCGGATTGACGCTGGTCGCTGGAATAGGTTCAAGAAGCCAGCCTGTCTTTTTACAGCTACATCATTCTCACGCGCGTCCTCATCCGAAGGTCGAGGCGCGTTTTCCTCATCCTCTTTTGGGGCATCCTCGTCCTAATTATCGGTGCAAGACTTGCCATTCTTGTGATGAGGGTCAAGGTAACCATTCTCGAAAGAGATAACCTGCAATCCGTCATCAACAGAGCGCATATTGCTTATTTTGTTTGCATCGCATCTATTGAGATTCTTTGCTCCTTTTTCCTGCTGCAGAAATTCGCATCCGCGAAGAAAGTCTCCCGGGAAGCTTCACTGAATTCAAAGTTTTTCCGGTACCTTTTCCAGAGTACCGAAGTCCGAATGACCACGTTGGCGGTCATCGGGACGACACGAGCAGTGACCTATTCCTTCCAGCCTTCGATGCAGCAGTCAACGAACACAGTCAGCCAGGTTGATAGGTTTATCTACACTTTTGAGTGTTTATTCCCAATGATGATATAGTAAGCCCTCAGTTGCCGATGAGGTGGATGTGCATGACAAGAGCTAACTCATTCAGTATTGACCTTCTTGCATCGAGAGTCAAGTTCACGATCTCACAGCATGAACGATCTGTGACTATAATGAGACCTTTGTCCACGCGATCTCTTGCAAACACTCGACCTATCCGCAAGGCATCAGTCTCTTCGCGCCATTACTTGGAAGGCAATGCGTCCGAGTGTGAGCTAAGACCACTCAGCGAAACGACGTTCGCAGCAGGAGTGGCCAATCTACATGTAGTAGAAAGGCCAGAAAAGGCCAAATGCACATAATCAAACGACTTGAAATGATCAACCACGACATGCAACTTTTATAGCATATAATAACATAATAAGATACCATAATCTCAGCAATAAAATTCCCATCTTCTATTCCACTACAATGTTTGCTCAAATTGCCAAATGTCAGTTAATGTTAAAATGTGCGAGGCAAGGTTGTGCTAATCTGTCATCCTTTGTCCCAATGTTGAAACTGCTTTTATCAACCCTCGAGTTGATAATCAGGTCTACGCCACGAATCAAGAGCACTTTTATAAAACAGTACGATTTCATGACTAGGGGAATTGCACAGCTTTAGTACTAGAAAAAATTTGATTCTACAATGAGTTTAGATTGCTCAGATCTTGTTTTTGCTCTTCTCCTTTGCCCTGTCATGGAGCTATAGGTTAAACTGCTACATGAAAGGTCACCTGAGAACGCGTTTTTAGATGTGGATCAGAGGAAGAGGAGAGGCAATCGGGAGGCTGTCAGAAAAACAAGGAGGACAGAGTCACCTTGACAAAATTATTTTGGCAGTTAGTCACATAATAATGCTTCCTATTATGAAATAGTAAGCAGATGACATTGTTAAATAATTTCATTATAATTACCATTCACTATTGTCTGTCAATATTGTGGCCTGTCTTGGAAAGTTGGGATTGAGACACCTCTGTAGTCCCTGTTATTCTGGCGCCGACTTGGCAATTTACTCTGAGGTAGGTTGATAAACACCCATGTCTCCTTCATAGCCCATTTATCAGTAGATGAAGGAAGAACAGAGTGTCTCGCATTTATTTCATCACGCGCTGCTATTCGTGCGTCTTCTCCTCAGGTTGACTAAACGCGATCCGGCGATCGGTCCTGGAGTTGGCTTACCTTGTTTTCGCCTAGCCAATCCGAGATGTTGTTTCATTGGACTACGTAAGACAGTCGGATGGTGGTGCCGTGAGGTGTCCAACATCATCTTTCCAAACGTTTCGGTAGAGTTGGTCGAAATTGATTGCCAATGAGAGTTTGCCGCTCTTAAGAGACAATCCTGTTCGTTTTCAGACCCATTAACCTCGCGATGGCGATCTATCTCCAGGATAATCAAACCTCACCACCGAAAGACCTCATTCAAGAATTCGCTACCTCTAATCCCCCGCCAAAGTTACCATCGGAGCCAAGCTTTGGACTGGACTCCATATTTGGCTTATGCTTATCGTCTTTCGCTGCCCCTTTGTATCTCTATGCGTCCCTTAAGGGGAAATTCCAGGTCTGGGACGATGTCTTAGCTACAATACCCGACGAGGTGTTCCATGGCCCTGCGCTAGATGTTGGGTGTGGCCGCGGGCTCGTGCTTCTCAAGGTGGCTAAACGCAAACAGAAGCTCGCCCGTGATGCTTCAGATGGATGCGTATGTCCGGCCTATGGTATCGACATATTCAGCAAGGCGGATCAGACGGGAAACTCGCCGCTTGCAACATATCAGAACGCGGCAGCCTTGGGAGTTTCCGCAAATACTGTGCTGCACAGAGCGAGTTTTACTGAACAGCTTCCATTCGCCGATGGTGTATTTTCCCTTGTTACATCAAACCTGGCAATACACAACGTCAATCGTGAAGGGCAAACCGTTGCCATCAAGGAGATGGCTCGAGTCTGTAAGCCAGGCGGTCGGATAGTGATGATAGACCTGTACGGGCATTTTAAGGACCATAAGGCTGTTCTCCTTGAGCTTGGGTGGAGGGAGGTCAGGATTGTGTTGGTTGGGTTTAAGATGCTGTATGGCGTTTTACCATGCCAGATCTTGACAACAATGAAGCCGTCACAATGACGGGATACTAGCTTCATATTTTTACTTTATTTGTAATTATTCCAACCGCTGCAGGTCTCCCGTCTTTTCTATGCTCTGGAGCTTCAACATGGTATTCTTGGAATGAGATATTGTCTCAGGTAGTTGCTAGCTTATGACATGATCCTCGTCTTCTACTTTGAGCCGAGCAATTATGCGTCACGCAGTGATGTGAAGACTGGGCACATCTTGCTCACACTCACACAAATAATAGAGTTGGTCAACGGATACTTTGGCTGGTTCTAAACGAAAAGTCACAAGAGTCAATTAAACTCTCGAAAAAAAAGTTATGCAGCTCAGCCACCTCGTATTTTGGTTCTAGATTATTTAGCTGGTGAATAAGATTTTGCGCCACCCGAACCTCCAGGTATAACCTTTATAAATGAAAACATAGCCCCGGCATCTTATGCTTGATTTGATTCCTTGATAAAGAAACAAAAAACTTCTTCTTACAATGGCGTCTAAATCCACCCTCCCGTATCATACTCGGGCTGCTTCTCATCAACATCCTGTTGCCCAGAAGCTGTTTCGTATTGCAGAACAGAAAAAGTCGAATTTGATCATTTCTGCAGATTTCTCTGACACAGAGAGCCTTCTGGAACGTGCCGACGGTAAGCATGAATGTGTAATTCACTACCTGGTCAAGAACTTACTTATTTAACACCTTGTCCCTCAAACAGAACTCGGACCTTATATTGCTGTGTTCAAGACCCACGTCGACATTATCCACGACTTCGGCGAGAAGACAGTAGTCGAATTGAAGAAGCTTGCGGCGAAACATAATTTCATGATTTTCGAGGATCGGAAGTTTGTGGATATTGGATCGACAGTCCAGAAGCAGTACCATGGCGGCGCGCTCCGGATATCTGAGTGGGCAGATATTGTGAATGTGAGTCCTCTTGGAGGTGGGGGCGTCGTGGAGGCGTTGGAACAAGTCATTTCCAATGAGACGTTCCCATACCGCGATGAGAGAGCCGTTCTTTTGCTTGCCGAGATGACCACTGCTGGCAGCCTTGCTACTGGTCAATACACTCAAAAATGTATTGACATTGCAAAACAGAGTGGCGATGTTATTGGCTTCGTGGCTACCGGAGCACTTGGCACTGCTACTCCTGATTTAAACACATCTGCACAAGAGGATTTTATTATATTCACTACTGGTGTTAACAGCTGTCAATCTGGGAACATCCTGGGACAGCAATATCAAACCCCGGAGGCAGCTATTAAGGGAGGTTCTGATTTTATCATTGTTGGTCGAGGTATCTACACATCAGAGAATCGTGTCGACACTGCTAAGCAGTATCAGAGGGAAGGTTGGAATGCCTATGAAGCTCGCATTGCGTCGTAGAGACTATGACTGGGCGTCAACATCAAGGAATAAGGTGATTAGGTAGTTTTTTCTGCTCTGTCTGTACGAGATCCTAGAAAGCTCTATTACTTAGGATTATAGGCATGCTTCTATAACAATCAAGTAATAAAGCTAAGTTAATAGAAGCCAGCGCGATCCTTGTTATGAATGGATTATTTTAGCACTGCCTTTTTATCGAAAAAAAATACAAAATGAGCATGGCTGAGCCACGATCTTGTGATTTAAGTCTTTATGACAAGGTGTTTAAACTTGTATATATATAATATTCAAAAGAATAAGATCAGGCCTTATAAGTACTCGACCAGCCACAGCGAAAGCCTGCGCGTGCCTCATGGCCAACCGGCTGCACACTCTACCAACAATATAAGGCTCTATGGAATGACTGGTTTTAACGTGGTTTCGTTCGATTGCCTCATTGTTCGCCTCACCAAAGAAGGACTAAGCAGAACCAATACCAGGATGACACATCCAAAGTATGTCAACAGCGAATCATTGATTGGCTCTCATCTAAACCTCCTCCACCAACGCAAAGATGCCCAACGTTGTTGCCTTGGGTTTCTATGCCTTGGTTATAAAGAGGGCAGCCTAAGGACCGTATCTTACCTCTGCTTGGCCGCTTCATCCATGAGATACCTGTTCGTCTCCTCTTTCATCATCACTTTTTCGCCTTGAGAACTATTTGCCCGCTTGTCCTCGACCCAACTAGGTACGATTTGACCTGAACTTGTAGCAACATGAGTAAAGACATGAACGAAACCTGCATGATCTTCGTGGATGACTCAAATGTCTGGATCGAAGCCCAAAAGTTCGCTGCCTCGGGTAAAGGCCGCTTACCCAAGCTCGAAGACTGCGACCAGGATCCGCGCTGTAGAGTCAACATCGGCGAGCTTGTCAGCACTATCTCGAATGGTCGCTCGGTGGAAGGTGCATTCCTTTACGCCTCGCGCCCGCCGCCCAACGACGCAGTATGGAACTCCTATGAGAGGTTCGGATTCAAAGTCAATGTGTATAACCGCGCCAATAATGGAAAGGAGAAACAGGTGGACAACTCTATGGCAACGGATATTAGCCGCCAAGCAACCAGGCTCGAAGTTGGCGCTCTATATAACGAGAAGATCAAAGAGGAACTGGACAACATGACATTTATCGTGATTTCCGGAGATCGCGACATGCTCCCGCCAATCAATGCAGCGATAAAATGTGGCATCCCCGTAGAGGTCTGGGCCTGGGAGTCAGGCATCTCCAATGAGCATAAGAAAAGAGACGGTGACAAACTGCGGGTGTATCTCCTGAACCAGATAGCCGATCGAGTATGTTTTACGAACACCAGCTCCACACGAAAGAACAAGAAAATCGAGGCGGACAAGACTGTTGTCCTTTGCGACTCTAATGACAAGGACAATAGTATGGATTTTCTCGAAGGTTCTGTCTCTGATTGCCTCCTAGGAAACTGCCGTTTTATATTCTACATTACCCGGTCGCCAACAGACACGGAACTCTTTGTCGAGTTTCCAAATCTCAAGAATGTTGAGCGCATCATCTTTGATGCACGAGAGCTATTCAAAAAGACGACTGGACAGTAGAATCGTGGCCTGAGCATGCATCCCGTCTTAACAAGAAGACATTGATTACTCGTGAAAAAGGAACCATGTTTTGCCCATTGGACGAGAATGACGTCAAGATCAATTCTCCTCTTGTCACTGAACAAGCTAAATCCGTCGATGTCCAAGCTAAGCCTTGGCCAGGGTGGAATCTTCCCAAACCATCAATCGAGCAAAGCGGGAATGAGGATATTGATAGGGGAGCATTCGACGACTGGGAAACAGTCGGTTCTCGAAACGGTCCAAGGCGAGCCCATCGTCGCGCTATGGAAAGAACGCAAGCATGCCCCTATGGCCTGCACTGCAGGAAAGCAGCTGAATGTGGCAATCGCCATACTAACGAGGAGGAGAAACTGTTTCGAAAATTCCCGAACCAGAATTTCACGAAGTGGAAGACTTCCCGGTGCCGTGATTACCCCTACTGTCCCAAGGGGACACAATGTGGGTTTGCCCACTCCGATACTGATGCATGGTGCTCGAAGTGTCATAAACAGGGCCATCTTGAAGACGGATGTCGGTTTGGAATTCGGAAAGAGATCTAATCAGTATACTTGCATTCCACATATCGTGGCCAGCGATGTCTAGTCTGGGTTGCCCACAAAATTATTACAGCAGTCAGTCCGTATCAATGTTAGTCCAACCATTAGGGAAAGGATGGCAGACTTGGATGTTTAATGCCATCTTTTGGTTGAGACTAACGGGGTTGTTCTGACGATAGCCAAGAATTTCTTCTATATTTACTTTATATCTCTTCTTATTCTAGGAACAGTATCTCTTTATGATCATTTGCTATTTAATCTAGGTACATCAGGCCCTCCTAGACCTAGCCCTCGTGTTAGCACTTTATTTGAATCGTTGTAGTGTCGGGGTCAGCCAAAATTAGGCATTTCCGATGCTAAAGTTCCCTTGGATCGTGGCGCAGCGGCCTGCCGTACTCACAATAAACTCACCGCATCTGTACATCAGGGGCTCACCTTTTCTCTCTTCCGTGTACTTCCCTTCCTCGTGTTATTCGGCGGCGAACCTCCCCCTGATGTCTAAATCCAAGGAAACGCTCTCCGATAGAGCAGCCTTCGAGCGATTCATGTCTGGGTTCTCTCAAAATCTTCTCCGATCCGGTTCCTCGACAAAGTCTCAACATATCTTCAGCAAGACCTCTCCCCTTCTCTTCGGCTCGCAGCGATTCTTACAGTGTCCACTGTTAGTCTTTCATTCGCGGGTTTTTTCTTTAACTATGAGTCTAGAGGATCAAGACTTCGTCCCAAAATCCTCCCGAGTTAGGTGGATTCCAGTATTCTGCGCTTTCCGTTTCTGGGATCACATGTTCAAGCGCCGTCTTGTCAAAAGCTCCTATGGCGGCCTGGGGGTAATACAATGTATTGGCGACTTGGTTCGCTATACTGATGGCAGGATTCTGAAGCACACGGTGTATTTACACATGATGAGTCTCGATCCGACGAACTTGATCCTACTGCTCGATGATTTTGATAGCAAGTGGAATGATGTCAGGCCGCGATACAAAGATCTGCTGGCAAAGCGTGGGATGTTTGACATAAGTGCGATGTCGGTGTTGGATATTCTAATGTCTATCATATCTCAGCTGTCAGTCTATGCCTGGATGATTTATCGGGCGGTTGAGGTGTGGCGCTATTTTCCTGATGTTCGGAAGGGCCAACTCGAGAGCGAGCAGGAAATACAGACATACCAATGGTGGGCGAGTGGTGGCGCGGCGATTCATTTAATTCTTTCTAGCGGGATATTCATGATGGAAACTTGCTCTGTTACTGGGAGTATTACGGACAAACCAATCTTTCTGTCTGATGTAGGTTTTACTGTCTCTCTATGATGTTAACTCTGGTTGACGGAATATAGGATCCTAGAGAAGTAGCCACTATGATATGGCTTTCCCAGATGTTGCGGCACATTTTCAACATTGCTTTGGTCACATATTTGATTATGTTCTCAACAAAGGCAAACAACTCTTACTTCTTCCTTGTTGTAGCATTCTTATTCTCTGGTTGGCTCTTCAACTCTATGCTGGTAGTCAAGCCCAGAAACAAGAATGATCAGGGCAAGAAAGCTCAAGCCGCAGACGGAGAGAAGTCCTCTTTGTCTTCTAGCTGATCAGAGCTGTCAAATGATGAAGTTTCTGTGGCATCAATCCCATTTCGAGACTCGTCAAACGCGTGGGAAACAATAACTTTCCTATGCAAACAAAAACATCACATCCGCCATAGAACTTTCACTCTCAAGCCGTAGAAACTCACCACACCGTAGATGGATCTTCAATCTCTTCCCTCAATTTTTATGCACTGAGGATTCATTTCATGCAAATTCATTTCATGCAGAGCGTCCCTGCGCGATGCAGTTTGCCTTAATCTTTTTTTGACGCATGATAGGACTCTCGATATGTATTTAATGCTAGCGTCGTTAAGAAAATCGTAATTCAGAAAAGGGTTTGTTTCCAATAGTCCGTTTTAAGATGAAGTTTGAAGGAAGAATGACTTGAAATTTAGGGGTGGAAGTAAAGTGGTGAGATGACTGAAGAGTCGGGAGGTCTAGTGATAAATATCATTCAATGTTATTAAGATCATTGCTCAAGTATGGCTAAGATCAAACTGGTTGGAAGGATGAGACTCTTACACCAGAGAAGCATGTGCTAGACCTTGTCCGACTCGCGCGGTCACTCCTCATTTACGGTCCTAATTAATATAAAGGAACGCAGGATTCGGACCCTGTCTAGTGATATTGCCGCGCGTTGTTGAACACGCACAGAAGTTCTTCAGTTCCTGCAAAGAGTCTTCACAAACGTTAGTTGTGGCAGCTGGAAATGCTGAGTATATTGGCATCAATGCAGGCACAGCTTGCTATTCATCCTGATGGGCTTAGACCATCGCACAGGGCTGGTTGTTTGTGATCGAGTTTCAAGATTGTGGTGAAACGATCAAGCTGCGACCACTGTAGCAATGCAGCATCATGCACGCACTGCCGCATTTCTTTCCAGAAGACCTTGGCCTGAATAACCATCTCCTTGATATTTTGTTGGGACCGCACCGGGCGACTCGGCGAGGACATCACGTCGTCATATCCGAGTACAAGGACATCTTCGCCACTGCGTAGCGCTCAATTACACCGACATGCAAATCTCATGGCCCCTGTTTGCCTCCTCCAAAGCATTACCCTGTAAGATGACCGTGCAGACCGAGTCATGTGGCATTGACTGCCGCCTGCACGCACCCCAGCACTTGAGACGACGTGTTTCATCACCATGTACGAGCCGCAGAGAAATTAGTCGGACTGCTCGCCTCTCCCTCTTCACGCTCTAATCCCCTTCAACGCGTCCAATTGTCTCGCCAGACCGCACAGCATTTGTGATACGTCATACATCAACAAGATCCAAGACATTTGTGATTCAGATGAGCTGACGGGGGTAATTTAGTCATAGCTCCCTAAGTGAAGACGAGAGGCGGCTCCCTATATAAGACTCGCCTCGTAGCCCACATTTGATGAACAACAGCCAGACGTTACTAGCAAGACAAAGAACTGACACTCAACCAATTTACCTGGTGCTTCGGTCCACAACATCTTCCTTTCAACTCACCCCATTTCCAGTTGGTTGCCATTCGACTACTTGCCTATCTTCGCATTCGAACACCGCTCACTCGCCAAAACAACTGCCGTCTTTGGAACTTGGACCACTGAGTCTGAAGAAAAACGAGTTAATATGAACGCCATTCTAGGCTCTCTCCTCTTTCTTGGCTCCGCGCTCGCCGCTCCTGCCTCCGTCGAGCTCACCGCCGAAGAGCTCTCCTGCAGAAACGCATCCCGCTCCATCCTGAGCTGGAACATCATCGACTTCGACTTCCACTCCTCCTACACCTTCTCGACGCCGTCCCACCAGATCGCCGGCGGCTACGTCAACTTCACCCTGGAGAACGCCGCCCTCGAGTACAGGCCCGTCTGCGCCGCGTCCTCCAGCCAGCTCCAGGACTTCTTCTACGGCAACGTCGTCTACGACTGCCAGCTGCCCCCCAGCGCCCCGCGCGACGCGGCCTCCTTCAGCTTCAACCGCGCCACGGGGGAAGTGCTCGTCAACCAGACGTGGGTCTGCGGGGACGGCGGCGGCAAGTTCACGGCGAGGGGTGGGACTGCCTTCAATCTGACCTGCTCCGATGAGACCTGGCAGAACCCGGACTGGAAGGATGGCGAGCTGTACTCTACGCGGAATGTGTCGTGTGCCAAGGTGAATGGGACGGCGTCGATTAACCAGATATCCGGCTCGACGAGAGTGTTGTCGTAGGTGACGACGCTGGTGATGGGTTGTGTATCTCGATTTATGTCGCGTGAAGATGGGCCAAGAGGAATGGCTTAGGTGCTTGTGGGTAGCGGTAGTCTTAGGGGACTCGGCATTCGTTCCAGCAGGAAACTCATAAACAGGTTAAAATCCAAGAAATATGGCAGAACACCCGTCGCTAATTCTCACTCCCGGCTCGTAACCGTGACAGGGTGTGATCAACAACCACGTGTGATTCCGTTAACGTACCGTACCACCGGGGGGCCGCAATGCGGACCCAAAAGCCGGCTCAACATCTAGTGTCTTATGGAAAAGGACCACGGGGTGGGTAATCGGGACATGTGTTGTAAAGCGTGAATTTACTGCCTTGAGGGGAAACCAGGGTGGTTTGGTCGGCGCCGATGCCGGAGTCGGTGCCAGGGGGAGGTGGAGTAACTCCTCGACTTCATACCGGCGCCGACATCATGTTAAGATGCCGATTAGGTCCGGTTGATGGGAGATAGTACTGGCGTTTGCTTATGGTCTGAGTTTATCAGTAATATGACTAGAAAGGTTCACCTTTGGCCTTGTAGAAACAAGTAACTGTGGCTAGTTAGTGCAACTGAGGCTTTCATGTACCGAGAAGGTAAAATCCGATCCTGCCGATTGAGTGACAGGTATTGCTGTCCTTGCTCAATTTCAAGTCACATGAATGCTATCTGCATAGAGAGTAATACAAGTATTGGGGTGCGGATATCCGATTTGTGGCATGGTAGCATTGTTGTCACCACCACATCCTTGTATTATTGCCTGTAATATAGCCACGCTTCTTAGTAGTGGAAGCCTTAGCAGTAGACACATTTAGATCTATGTAGATATATGTGCATATAGAAACAGACGAGACGCACTATCAGATCTGCTAGCAAGAATCAAGGTGTGACTGCCGCGGATGGGGAGACGTCTGAAGGTACGTCTTTGAACATCAAGAGCGAGTCGCCTTTACAAATTACGGATGGAGTATACTTGCCGATTAATCAAATGCCACGTGTAATAGCCAAATCCAACACCAAAATCTCGGAAGTCACCCATGTCGCCTTAGTCAAGCAAACATCTTGTAGGCGGCCGCCTCACGGCTTGTGAAAGGCTTCACGGCTTGACTAGGACATAATTAACACAAAGGAAATTAGTAATTTTTGAAAATCTTGAAAGAAAATACCGGGCACAAAATCTCGTCATCGCTTGGCAGTATGAGTGTCCTGCCTTCCGAGGCCTGGGCACCTGTGCTAAGACGAACTTTTGTCTTTGCGCCAATGCCAAGGCTTTCTCAAAAGGAGAAAACAAGCCCGAAGTTTAGTAAGTGATATAGACCTATTTCCATTGGTGAGGTGCCTAGGGCATCTTGGCTTTACCAGTAACCTCCAACATATCATACGGTAGGTGAGAAACGCGTGATGGGTTGCAGCTCTCGCCTGCGGCTGAAGGGGTCAGTAGACCGAAGAATTTTTCCCAAGGTCACTCAATAAGGTCATTGGTAACACCACCTTGCTGTAAAGCCTTCCCGTCGACCTGGATCATTGGGGGAGGGCGGGAGATCTCGCAGGCAAGGGTGGTGTGCTCATCGTGGGCACACACGGCAAGAGCCGGGGAATCCGGATATCGAGGCAAACACATGTTACACATGCACGATGAAGAGTGGCATAATGATCCGAGTCAAGCTCTTCCCAGCCGATGCATCGGTGCTGGGCCCCCAAGAAGGCTAATACTCCTGCCGGGTATGAACGAGGTGTGAGACCCCATGCAAAAAAACATGTGTTATGGACATGCTCACGGGGATGAGACACCTCAATCTTCTTTCCATAGGGTGTCTTGGAAAATTCAGTTATGTATCTGTGCACTCTTAAGTCGATATCGCGAATACGGGTAACTATGGCGCAACCGCATAGCGCTGATCATTTTGGTCGCTTACTCCGCCACTAAGCCACAGAAAATCATGTATTGTTTCAAATGCGGGAGGACTTGTGCTAGTTGGTCCTGCAGGAAGAAAGCTATTATCAATCGATGGCTTGGGCCGAAACTCAGGTCGTATAGCAACGAAGGTGTCAATTAATTACGCCTCGGACGATGGGCCTCGCCGGGTCCAATAGACGGAATCGAAAGACCAGCTCTTCTTGGTATCTCGCTCATCCATCAGGAGGCCATAATACGCCCGAACGAGCCGCAATCACGCTTCTCGTCCTCTTCGCCGTCTGCGTACAGGGATGGGCGGCCCTTTTGCAAGTGATCGAGGTCAAGCAACAGCCAATCTCGAGGGTGTTCGCAGATGTCCGCTAAGAAAGACCCGCAGTGTTACCATGTCGGTGGATTCTCATTGGATTTCCACCTCGATGGAAGCCGATCGCGTCATCGTCCCGGTCGTCCACAAACCGCAAAGCATGACACATAGACTCTCGATCCTCTGCCACGGATCCCTGGATTTGAACAGCTGGTTTGAAGCGCTTACCTTCGGCGCCTGGACTGAAAGCACTCAATTCTGGTAAACGCGATTTCGTCGTCTGATTTCTGCTGACGGGGACCAGCTCAGACGGCATACGGCATGGTGACCCGGCGAGGAACATGAAAACTCAGTCATCTAGCAAGACAAACCGCGACTGCATTCCAGTGTCTTCGCTCCTCTTGAACCTGAGGCATATCATCTCCCCTATTCAAATCAATAGCAATAAGCCGCCACGTATTGACGGTATTGTACCTACAGAAGCTGCCTCATTACAGGGGCGAAGGAGCAAAAAGAAACGTAAAAAATCTGCCAAAAACAACCCTGAGGCATGTCACCATCCACTTGGCGTCGGCTGGACCCGCCCTGCTCACACACACTGGCGCCCTGGCCGAGCTTCCACGGCCCTTCTACGCATGCACGAATCTTTCCGTCGACGAGCCGGGACCCAGAGACCCACGCCACCAGCCCGTGGAGGAAGTTTCTGTTAGTCGCGAAGAGCCTGCTCCACCGCGGGAACTTTGATTTGAATCAGTCACGCCAGTCAAGCACGGGCGAGGGGCAAAACAGCTGTCATTATGTATAAAGCTTCGACACTTCCTCCACCGTCTCCAGGTGGGATCTGCTCATCCACTCTTGCCTACGAGGGGAAGACTGTCATTGTTTAATCGTCAAGTGGTTTGCTTCCCTTAGCAGGTATCCACCATGAGTCTCGTCGAGAGAGTATTCCAGTCCAAGAAGGATGACAAAGAGGACTCGCCTGGCCCTCGCCAGGCCGGCTTCGACTCCGAAGAGGGTAGCTATTGAATCCAGGCCATCGAGTTGGTTGACATTTCTAACGATTGCTATCTAGGCCACCTGGAGCAGGCCCGTGAGAACAAGCGCACAATTGGCATCGCCGGCGCAAGCTTCCTCATCCTGAACCGCATGGTGGGCACGGGTATTTTCGCTACGCCCAGTGCCATTTTCTCCCTGAGCGGCTCGGCTGGTCTGTCCATGATCATGTGGTTGATCGGCACCATTGTTGCCGCAGCGGGTACTGCCGTGTACATTGAATTCGGAACTGGTATGTCCCATGGAGATGATGCCATTCTCTGCAGGCCTAACGAATCTTCATACAGGTATCCCTCGTAACGGTGGTGAAAAGAACATCCTCGAATACGTCTTCCGCAAGCCCAAGTTTCTCACTACCTGTCTCTACGGAAGTTACTGCGTCTTGCTGGGTTGGTGCGCCGGCAACAGTATCGTCTTTGGAGAATACATCCTTCTCGCTGCCCGTGTTGAGCCCACCACCTGGAACCAGCGAGGCATCGGTCTGGGTGTCGTTACCGCCGCCTTCCTGATCCACGGAACGGCCCTGAAATGGGGAATCCGTCTCCAGAATCTCCTCGGATCCATCAAGATCATCATTCTCCTCATCATCATCATCGCTCCTCTCGTTCGCCTAGACAAGACAACCGACACCCTGTCAAGACACAAGGCCTTTGAGGGCACCACCGGAAGCGCGTACGGAATCGTCACCTCCCTCAACAACGTCATCTGGAGCTATGTCGGCTACAGCAACGCCAACTACGCCCTGAGCGAGATGAAGAACCCCATCCGCACCCTCAAGATCTCGGCCCCGCTCGCCATCCTGGGTGTTGGAATCCTGTACATCCTCGCCAACATCTCTTACTTCGTCGGCGTCCCCAAGGAGGAGATCCTGACCAGCGAGCGCCTTGTCGCCGCCTCTCTCTTCCGCAACATGTTTGGCGAGTCGGCCGAGCGTGCCCTCTGTGTCTTTGTCGCTCTCTCTGCTTTCGGAAACGTCCTTAGTGTCATCTTCTCCCAGGGCCGTCTCATCCAGGAGCTCGGCCGCGAGGGCGTCCTCCCCTTTTCTCGGTTCTGGGCCAGCAACCGTCCCTTCAACGCCCCTCTGCCTGGCCTGATGGAGCACTGGCTCGTCACCGTCATCACCATCATTGCCCCTCCTACCGGTGATGCTTACAATTTCGTTATCAAGTAAGTTGTCACTGTTGCGTGTCATTGTTTTCAGAACATGTAACTAACAGAGTCTAGCCTCATCTCCTACCCCCTCGCCATCGTCAACACCTTCGTCGCCATCGGCCTCATCTACCTCTACGTCAACCGCGCCAAATGGGGCTGGAACCCGCCCGTCAGCGCCACGCTCCCCGTCGTGGCCTTCTTCCTCATCAGTAACCTGTTCCTCGTCTTCGCCCCCTACGCACCGCCCGAGGACGGCCAGAACATCTACAAGAGCATGCCGTACTGGACCCACAACGTGGTCGCCTGGGGCGTCATCGGCCTCGGCGGCGTCTACTGGGTCATCTGGACCAAGCTCATGCCGTACTTTGGCAAGTACAGGCTGGAGCAGGAGATGGTGGTGGACGACATCGACGGGTGGGAGAGGAGGGTGTTTGTGCGCAAGCCGCTGGTGGAGTAGAGCTACCTAATTGAAGAGATGGGGGGACGAGGAGTTTAGTTCTATGGATAGAGAGGGAGAGCCTGTCTGTATAGAGAATATCTGTTTCTTGGAATATTCCATTAATACATATTGATTGATATCTGACAATATTAAAATCTCGGTCACCGGATGTGATGGCAGCGGGTGTCGGAGCGACCGGCTCAGCTGCCGGCCGGAGGCGCTGGTTCCCGAAGGCGTGCTGCAAGTCTAAAAGCACGTCATGCCGAGGGTTTGGCCAGGCGGCGAGGCCAAGTGGGCTTCAGTACGTAATGAGTATTGCGCTCCCAGGCAGCAAAAACATCTGATTTATGCGGTCGGGAAGTTAATCATCTGGCCGTCAGCATACGATCGTATCCTTGAAACGAAGAATGAGAAATTGAGTGGTCTTCTAGATCCAAGACAGGACAGTCTTGCGCGGTGGGATGGAAACTTTCTACTCTGGCGCCAAACACCAAGCCAATGCGGCTCTGCGATGATTCAATTGCAGTTCATTTGGCGGGTGGATTAGCGGGTGGGGGCACTAACGCAGGTCCCTAGAAGCGCTCAAATTGCACCAAATGCTCTGTTGAGCTTGACAGTCTGTCCGAACGATCCATTGAACTGAGCTTCGGCTTTACTCCCCTACAGCAAGAGACATTCCTCGCCTGGGAACCGCAGACTGTCTGTAGCTATGGCCAATTCACCTTGGGGAACATGACGTGTACCGACTGGCTGTGTCTTTCTTCAATGGATTCCCTAGATGTAACAATAATTAATAAATCTGATGTGTTTCTCGCCGCTACCGTTGTGTTAACTTACCAAGCTTGCAACTTGCAACGACATTTCAATTCCCAAAATCGAAACATAGCATAAGCCCTTTTGGCAACAGTCGAGATGAAATATCAGAAATAATTATTCGAGAACCCTGAACTACAATAAATTATTTATACTATTATAAATGAAGATGTTTACATGGTTAGCAAAAGTAAATGTTAGTGCCAGCAGCTGAGCTGTTATCTATCGCCAAGAGGTACAGAAAGGGCAACCTTTATTTGCAATTGCTGGAGCCAATCCTGTTTCAAGGGTGCCGCAGCCTTCTCACGAACATAATGGTAAGCTTCCATTTCGCGGGCATGGCGAGCACGATCAATTCGACCGATCAGGACCGCGAGCATCAAACAGGCTCGATCCGATTGATGCTTTCAACAGCGATGAGGGCTTGTTATTTCCTGTAGATTAATCAGACGCGATCTCTTGAAATCTTGTCAGGTATTGCGAGATGGCGCTACTAAGTTGGCTTTCTATACTTGGTGTGACGATACTGCCCGAGAATATCACTAGTTCGGATCCCTGGGTTGTTACGGCCTTTATATACCTAATTAATATCATGTATGGCCAAGCGAATTCAATAATAGTGTGAAGACCTGCTGCTATTCAGCTGCTATACTTGTTGGAGACTGTCAAGCAAGTCGTTGACTCGGACTGTCGACAAGGGCAGGTCCAGTTGAAGCGTGACTATGGCGTTTCGAACATTGTCATGAAAATCTACATAAGAGCAAAAGATCAGCTAATGCCGATAGGCGTGCTCTATGAGCTTATACGATTTGCCAGGCGTCTGAGGGAGCTTGCAGTAGAACCGCCATTCTTTCTCATACTCTCATTCTCTATTCAAACGCGGCCGAGTCGCTCGTGCGCGTACAATACGTTCTAACGACTGGTCGAGGATCACAGAGATAGATCACCGGGCTTCGGTATGCTAATTCTGGGATGATAGTATCCCACATCGAGTATGTTGCCCCTTCTAAGCTTACCAATACCTGTGATGACCTTGCGCAAGTGGCGCAGTCGGCAATCAAATATGGGCAAGCTTGGGACACCAGTAACATGCCGTTAGAAGTAGAGGAGCTTATAGCGGTGGGTGGATTAGCGTGCAGCTCTCTGTTTTATTGTGTGGGGGGGATTGCAGATGTTGCAGTATCAGCGATTCCACATGGTTTCTGTACTGTGATATATACCTACAACTCTTTAGTGCTCTATGTTTATTCTTCTTTATGCTTACTTTCTGCGCTTATCGTTGCACATTCCTTATATACTCCTTATATATTCTTTGCTTTCTTTATATATATATTGTCTTTCGACTATTTCTTACTGCTATATTTATAATTCCTTTGTGCTCTATTTATATCTCCTTTCCGCTGTATTTGCAGCCACCAGGCTCAGTAGAGGCAGTGCCTATCGTTGCTTGTAGCATCATCAACTAAGGTAGTGTTAACGGGATCGTACGGCAATGTTTTAGTCCTGTGGAGTACTTAAATAACTAGCGAGTGTGAGTGGCAAGGAACCGCCATGGAAGTCACTGCATATAACTGGCATGACCTTCAAAGTATGGTGAGGGTTAAGCCTGATAGGATTATTTTGGTAAGGCCTAAGTCTCTCACGCAGTATTCTCATGTCCGACCATGGCCTGGTATCCAATTCTTGCCTGTTTCTGACTCTTGATATCTGATTTCCAACTGCACGCCCAAGCCATAAGTGCAATAATTTCGAGTCAATTTTCATAAGATCCCATCAATCATCGCGTGAGAAGCCTCCTCGGAGTATGTGCATGTTATTGGGTAGTCCTCGACAGCTACATACAACGAAAGAAGGTACAGGCTGGTGATGATCACACGCTGCATAACAGTCATTCATTAGAAGATTAAACACGCTTCTAAAAACTTAGCCTAGATTTCACATATACGTCAGCGAGTCTATTGACCATCAATTTATTCATTTCCCTAAGCGAGCGGTGTACTTGAACGGTTCATTTTGCACATTAGGTATTCACCGCTTCAAAAATCATATAAAATACTTTGAATAAATATAATAAAATTATAAAAAAAACATAATTTATTATTTTATATTATTATATACTGTATAATACTTTTAAAAACATTTATTTTTTATTCTTATCTTTCCTACTAATTTCATAGATTTTGCTGTTTACTATAGGGTAGGCCAAGATGTAAGCTTATCCTTGTTCATGCCCAGTATATCAAATTAACCCCGGACCTGTGAGAATCATATTTGTTAATCCTATTCAAACTAATTTGCCCCACCAAGATTAGGTATTTACAGTCCGATCATCCGGAAGGCTTCTAGTACATACAATATATACAATACGTCAGAAGCCAATTGACAGCTAGATCATCTACGCATCAATCGCTTAGCTTGACAGCAGACAGGTCCGTTAGGGCTCCAGCAACCGCTCGTCGCGGCAGAAGACAGGCCGGCCAGGGCTGCAGCGATTGTTCGTTTCGTCAGTAGATAGGCTAGTCAGGGGCACAGCCATCGTTTGTCTGAATAGTAGACGCGTCACGCGTAGGTCACATGGTCGCAACAACAACAATTACTCCTTTTGACAGAAGACAGCTAGAGCACCTTCACAGCATTCACTTGTCGTTATAGCAGGCAGCTAGGTCGGCTTTACAGTGATTACTCGTTTTGACGGCAGACGCGGAGGTCAGCTGTACAGTGGTCACTTGTCTTGACGGTAGGCAGCCTAATCAGCCATACAGCGATCACTTGTCTTAACGGCAGACGTGTTGGTCAGTTCATTGTTGAAGATTGTACTGAGAAGTACCTTTCTTGGCAGGCTGACTGTATTGAATGTTGGTGGCGATGACCTGTCCGAAAACATGGCACGAACTGGTGTGAAACTGATAGACCGGGGGTCAATCTGACTGCACTGACCCCCCGTTCATCCCATTGACCCATGGCTAATTGAAAAATGACGAGTTGGCAGTGATCTTTGCTGTATACCACCCTACTCGCTAGATCCCAGCACCGTAAAGGAATGCATTCCTCACACAAGCAGGGACAGGCTTAGGGATGCAACAAATTTGGTGCTTGACACCCTGTGACCGCCTAATTTCTCACTCTGTCTGATACTGAGGCATCACATCTAGGAAAATACGAAAAGGAGGTTTTGCTGCATGATTCTGCAAACCCACAACTTTGCATCGCTCGCTCACATACCTACTTCACCGTCTAAGCCAACCATTGGGAATGGACTCAAACCCCCCAGCTAGCGTCTGTTGTAGACATGAGAGTATTCCGACGCATAACGCCGGGCTGCTTTAAGCGATCCGTGCAAACCTGTTGCCGCACCGGCAGCACCGCGAGAGTCTACTGGGCGACTTCTAAATGCTGTCAATCCTAAGCTTTGGTCGCGTTCGGCGCCATGCCACAAGTCACCTTTCCATAAGACAGCCTACCCATATGTTAGAAGCCCCAGGGGGTCGAACCATTGTCCGGCTTAGCAGGTCTTCAAGTCAAGGCCACGTATTATCTCATGGGAACAGCCAAGGCACCTACCTGTACATTAGAAGGTAAAGATCGGTGTGATAATCGCCCGTTAATAGATACTTACAAAGTGGGTTAGGACATACTAACGCAAGAAGTGGCGATGATGCCTAGATCAACCTCACCCCAACTGATAATCGCATATGAAACTCGAGTCTTAAATCACCTGCGAAGTACATAAGTGTTTCTGCTACACTCGGTATACAAGTGGAAATAATACCGGTTTGATGTCTTGGTTGTTCCCAGGAGAGACATGGGTGCAAGTTGGAGGTCTTGGGAAGTGGGATCTTCAAGGGCAACGTGCCTTGAGGATGAGCATCGCTGCAGCTTTGTGCAAAGAAACCTTCGCGTGCTAATAATAAAATCGTCTGCTGATCAGAGATAGCCGAACTCCCTGCCTGCGTGCCTGCGCTGCTTAATGACGTGCTAGGATGCCATATTCGGAGTTTGATTGTGAAACGCTCAGTAAAACCAAGCCAAGTGGTACTTTGTGTATAGCCTATCTAACGTGGAGGTTGATGTATTATTGATGAATAGTTTACTAGGGCAGTCTTCGCCACTCGCTAGAATTGCACCTGGAATACGATATTCTAGGGCTTCATTTGGTCTATTCCAGCATCCCTTGTACAGCATAAGCAAGTGGAGAAAATACCTTGCTATAGATTTCGAAGCTTCAAGGAAATGGTTTCGTCTTACATCACCTGTGTAGAGGGCCAGAAGAGGAAGTATAATGAAAGACGCCTGCTTATCCCGCTTATTAATGCTGCATACCACTGCCGTGCTAGAATGCCGAGTCAGAATGCCGAGCCAGAATGCCGTGCTAGGATGCCATGTTTTGGATTCCCATTGTAAACTATGGACGAGCTTCATTTTAGAACCCATGTGAAGGATTAAAAAAATCTGACTCAGATAGCGTTGGATGATAGTGTTAGATGCAGATTCGTAGTAGGGAAAACTATTTAATACAGCTCCTACTCCATCTTTAACACTTAATCTGATCTAAATACAACAGTCTTTAGACAAAACAACAATCACTCTTTACCTTTCCTTTGCTGTTTTCCTTTTCACTTTCCATTTTCTTCTTCTTTGGCTGAGAGTTGATCTCAAAGCCTCAGAATGGTTGCCCTTAAGCACTTTGGGGCAACTGCTGTCCTATTTCTCGGCCTTGTCAATAGCGGACTTGCCCAGTTGGATACTACATCCGACGACCTTGCTCCACGAGACAATAATTATGAGCAGATTCTTGCCCGAGGTGTCGATGTTGGTGCTGAGAAAAGAGGAGAAGATGAGGAGTTAGATGCCCGTGACATCGAGGATGAGCTCTATGTCCGCAAGGTTGACCCGAATGCTCCTCCCCCACGAAAGAAGCCACCTCCTCGACCTCACACTCCTCCTCCTCCCCCTCCCCCTACTCGTCCACCTCCCCCTCCCCCCACAGGTCGTCGTCGTCGTGGGCTGGATGACCTCCTGGAGCGTCGGGCCTTGTATCTCCGCAAGGTTGACCCGAATGCTCCTCCCCCACGAAAGAAGCCACCTCCTCGACCTCACACTCCTCCCCCTCCCCCTCCCCCTACTCGTCCACCACCTCCTCCTCCTACAGGTCGTCGTCGTCGTGATCTGGATGACTACCTGGAGCGTCGGGCCATATATCTCCGCAAGGTTGACCCAAATGCTCCCCCCCCGCGAAAGAAGCCACCTCCTCGACCTCACACTCCTCCTCCCCCACCTCCTCCCACTCGTCCACCTCCCCCTCCTCCCACAGGTCGTCGCCGTCGTTCACTGGACGACTATTTGGACTATCTTGAAGCACGCGACTACTACGAGTACGATTTCTAGAGGGGTCCCCGTACTTGCCGGATGGAGTATCGCCCTCCCACTCTTCCTGGCCAACCTAGTTCAATCACTCCTACTTGCAGTTCTCTCGGCTGTCCGAGTAGTCGCTGCACGTAGGGAGCTCAAGGTTATCTCGTCAATAAGGGCATCTGAAAGTACTCTGTATGGAGGAAGTTTGAGGCTTGGCCTCTGAAGGATAGAAGTTAGGCGGCCGTGGTTATTTGAGGTGGAGATGGAAAAGCAGTCTTGGAGAAGAACCTGTTTGTACGAATATTATAAGGAGCCGAGCAGTTGGGTGGCAGATGGAGATCTTAATATTTAGAAAATCAATATGTTGTGGAGAATGTCTATGAGTACTTGCAGGTCGTGATGTGGGAGGTGCTCGGTCAACTCGCTGGATGTGGTCATTCCTGCTATTGGTAGAGCCCACCTTTTATGAAGTTATCGAGCCCTCGCTAGGGATCCCAATAGTAGGTTTGTGGCTCTTGCACAGTCGTCAGCGTTGCTGCCAGCCTTGATGGGGCCGAGTTGTTATCTGGGGAACTGGTTCTCACGACGATGATGTCTGTGCCTGCGACGACATTGCATCTGTCTTCCGCTTCATGCCAAGCTTCTCTCAGCGCTCCTGGAGCCTACAACGACATTTCAATCCCTAAAATTAAAAGATAGCATAAGACCTTCTGGCAGGAGTGAAAAATGAGACATCAGGAATCATTACTTCAAAAGCCTAAACTAGGTAGAACTTGTAGATAACATTGTCATACGGGCGCTCTAACTGTTCAATTTAACCAGGTCGGAATAATAAAATCTTAGAATAAGAGACTTCGTACTTAAATTATCTCCCATGAACACGACACGGCTACTCTAAGCGGGCAATATTGATTGGGTAGAAGATGTGGCGTCTTCTCCTAGGCTGGAGTTGGTTTCAGCTCTCTATCTCAAGGACTCCAAAGAGCTGTACAAAAAGAGGAGGAACATCGGCGCCTCTAGTACTGGAAGTAGGCACACCGTGGAGAACGGGGGCGTTTACTCACCGCAGCCAGATCTAGGCTCGGGCTTATCAAATCATTCGACGACCGCCGGCTGGAAAGTTGGAGGGTTGTAACGAACTTAGGACGTATCACAATTGAGCACAGTTGGAGGATTTGGTTGACTTAACACTTCTCAAAGCAATTCTGTATCAGCCAACTCTTCAGTGCGATCCGCACAGTTACTAGACTAGCAGCAGTCGCCATATATCAGCAGACATTCTCTCGTACATAACAGTATTCCTAGAACTCTCCGATTCCTTTTCTAACAAACTCCTCGACTCCGACTAATCGTGTGAACGATTCAAACAACCTTCGCCGTCCGAACGCTTTGCCTCCAATCATCTCCTCTTACGGCTGTCTTAAGTATTCTAGAACTGCAGCCTCCGCGTTGTCTTTAGAGTGACCTTCTAATTGGGTATGATCACCCGCAGTCAGCAGATCGCGGCTGGGTTCACCCTCATTCTCTAGACTTGGGTCCGCACGAGAGTCGTCAGCGTCCACAAAAGAGAGGCCGCTTTCTCCGGCTTCCCCTAGATGTTGAAAGTTGGAGGTTGAGCCTTTGGGCTCAGGCGTGTTCGCCTTCTTTCCCGGCCCCTCGGCCTTCTCGGTGGCTTCGGCTTTCAGCTTCGACTTGGGGAATTTCTTCCCCACGTTGTTCTTCAAATTTTCGCCCTTGCTGGCCTGTGCCGCATAGGGGCTGTTGGCAAGGCGTTGCGACCCTCCATCTCCCAGAGTCAGAAGATCTTTGACGACTTGCTTCGTCGTTCTAAGAACGTTAACTATAGCAAGGATGCGATCCAGGAAGCTTGGATACGACTCCCAGGAGCCATCCTTCCCGGTCCCTGGACGCGCACCCGAACGACCCTGTTGAGCCTCAAAAGCACACTTGAGAAGCCGCCAAGATTCTTCGCTAGCTGTCTCCGTGTTCAGAGTTCTCCCTAGGACTTTTTTTTGCTGATCTGCAAGAGATGGCATATCCTCGACCTCCTCAGGGGTGGGCAGCAGGTCGGCCAGCTCGGGAATCGGCCTATTGACTTCTTCGTGGTCCGCCTCGTCGGCTCGGATTGATCCGCCATCTGAGCTGGAGGCATTGTTGGACTGTCTGGCTTGCAAGATCTCAACACGTCGCTCCCTGCGCCTTCTGTACTCTTCAATGAGGAGTTGCTGCTTTTTGTTGCGAAGCTTCTCAGGCAAGCATTTCATCCATTCCTGGTACGACTCCCAGTTGACCATGGCGTTGTAGATCAGCAGGGCACAGAACCACCACTCCGCATCAGTCCGTGGGAACGTCTCATCGTTGTTTGGATAGGTGCACCTTTCGGGCTTTTTATGGAACAATCTCTTGGATTCCCCCGCCATGAAACGAGCCTCTCCTGGGCCCGAATACTTCAACCCGCCAGGTACTGCTAGCTTCTGGGATTTGCAGTCGTCGACCAGCTGGGGGTCATCGAAATCCTCCGGCGCGTTGATGGGGGGCTTGTTGTCTCGACTGGTCGGCGGCTTATTCGGGTTCGACAGTGTTTCCTTGATTTTACTGTCGAACTTTTGCCATCTCGCAGGTACACCTGCCGTTGTCGGATCGCGGCCGCTTTCATCGGCTCGAGCATGTTCGTAATAGAGTCCACCGCCCCCGACCTGTGCTGCGTTCGGTTGCAAGGACGAGTTTCCAGAGGGGGCGGTGTCATGCTCTGGTAATCCAGTTCGGCAACGCTTTCGCGCTCGCCGAGGGCTTGGTTGATCAGCGCTGTCATAGGCGTTGTTTTGTGCTTGCAGAGCACTTGGTTGAACAACGCCATGACAAAAGTCACTCTGTGCTGGCAGAGGACCTGGCTGGGGAATACCGTGATAAAAGCCGCTCTGTGCTTGCAGAGGATTTGGCTGCGTAACGTCGTGATAGAAGTCGCTTGGTGATGCTTGGTCACCGAGACTCAAGTAGCCTGCATTTGACGTTGGCGGCGGGATAGCGGGGGCATATTCGTAGGATGGATGTTGCAATGCCGGGTCTAGATTGAGGTCCGGGTTCTGCGCAGATTGCAAAGGTGCTGAAGGTGGACCAAGGTTGGCGTTTGGAGCAAGCGGAACAAAGCAATACTGCGTTGCCTGTGGAGCTGGAGGTTCGTTGATAAATCCATTGTAGAATGATTGTTCGACAGGGAACGAGGGTGTGATTGGCACATTGAAAGGACCGGTCATGTAGCTTGGTTGGTGCTGGTAGATGTTTTGAGGTAGGCTCCGTCCGTTCCCCAGTTGCTGGTTAGGCATGTAACTGTAGGTTTTGATGACAAGTTCGTGGTCATTAGCATCGAGCTGGTTAATGTATGTCGACTGCGTGGTTTGCTTTTGTGTGTGTGGCTCAAGACTGTAGTGTGGTGATCCGTAACGGTACTGGCCTGGTCCGGCGATTGGACGTTCCATGACAGCTGAGGCCTTACTCCACTACTCGGTAAGGGGCTTTGCTTTCTGTGAACGAGAATGAAGAAAGTAAACGATCGATAGCCTCGATGATAGGTAGAGGCTTGGCAGCAAGGTGAATACAGGTGACAACTTGTGATGAACGAGTGATGACTTGGGATGAACGAGTGAAGAGTTAGGTCGGAAAAATTGAAGAGTTGGGACGAGGATTCAAGTTGGAATTTATAGTTTGAAGAGAGCTCTTGAGAAGGACAGTGTAGAGAATTGCACTTCACCTTTCGGTTCAAGAACTGCCAATGTAAGCGAGAGCAAACAAAGTCTGAGGCTCTAAGAAGAGCTCTAAGAAGGTAGTTTAGTCACAGTAACCTCCTCAACACCGAGGCAACGCACTCAACCGCGACTGTAATGTGAAGAAGTAAATTTAGAAACAACATATGATTCTATTGTTCAGTCGTAGTGCAACCGACTACCTACGAGAGAAATGTGCTTGGAGACAGGGTTTCATTGAGTATCGTGGGTCTGCAGGTGCAATGTCATGGATGCCACAAGTGGCCAAAATAGATCTGAACAGGTGCCCACAAAGAGATTAAATGCTAGAATATGGAGTAACTATTCATCTAGGTTGGAGCTCGTGTTGCCAGACGACTCTCAGCCGACGAGAACGCATTGTGGCGTAGTAACGCGGCAGTTCTGGCAAGTTGGAGTCGTGTTCGTGCCTCTGCGACTTTGTAGTTAACGGCGGATGAAAGCTCCAGTGAGGGTCTTCTTTTTTAGACAAGCAATAAACTATCGAACGGAAAACGCAAAAACTGTCCAAAGAACAAGGTGATATAAAAAAGTGACATGGTTGCTGGTACATCTTGGGAATCAAGCGAACTACGCGTCTTATTCTTGCGTAATGGAATACTCTTGTTCATTTCATTTCCCGTTTCTCATCTTTGTTTTCGATTGTGCAACGCCAGAAAAAGCAAACATATTCTAGGTCAGTTACGAAATCGGTGGCTGCCTCCGCGCGCTGCACGCGTTGGATTGGCTGAGCCTTCGGCCCTCGCCATTGGCTTGAACAAATTCACGTAATTTCCCCAGTACTCTTTCTGGTCTGAAAGGACGCCCCTTGATTACCGATATACAAAGAAAGTCGTGCTTGAACAGGCGCTACATTGTATTCTACTGGCTGCGCTGAAGAGAACAGACATTTGATATCGTCACTCCTCTCGCAACACAAGCATCCCGGGCCCTCAAACCTCGGCGCATACTGCTGCCTACCGCTCATTTACAATTATAGCACGAAAATAATGTACAAACGCGCTTGTTCAAGTCGATCATGGCGCACGCACGCACGGCCGTGAAGTGATGTATCACACAGTTCAGCACTTGCTTGATCACATTCGCTGATTAGGCACGTTTCAGCTTACGTAGGCCTGATTAGGGAAATTATGCATTATCCCAACACACAATCGCCTTTCTTCTCGCCCTGCAAACTAAGGAGACAAGGAGCGTGCTCGGGAGACCCCAATCTCGACGATCATCGCAACATGAACACAACAGCACAAAGCCCAACGCAGATATGAGGGATTTTCCCTGAGAATTAGATCTTCAGTCAAGGATTATTCCCGGGATCAGGATTTCCTTGTATTCAATTCGACGTTCCCATGGTGGAGAGACGTTTGCTGGGCCTTTGCTAGCCGTACCTTGCCGCCTATGCCGAGATCGATGCAATTTAACTCCACGGCCCCCCAGTTTCTGTCCAACCCAGCAATTCCTTCTCGCTTTTTACTTCTTACGCAACCTGTCTTGGTCCTGAAGCCGTTTGAGCTGCAGAAACGGCGCGTTGTGGCTGCGATTCCGAGCCCCTACGACAATTATACACGGTTCGCGCGCATTGAAGGATTGAGGTCGTCACCAAGTGCGGAGACAGAACAATGCGACGCTACGATTGACTCACACAACCCCTCTTATTCACACATATCTGACTCGTAAGTAATGCCATGCTTTACAAAAATTGACCTGTTTTTTAATGTACGTCTATACTAACTACATTACAGGAGGTAGCGGTATCCCGGCGCCAGATCCCCAAGGTCCTCCTTCTCCTCCTGCGTGAGCCCGTCGTCGCCCGACCGGCTCTTCTGCTTGTTCTGCAGCATGCACGCGGCAGCGTACGCCACCACCGCGATCATGCTGAGCACGGTGAAGGAGATGCAGATGCTGTAGCCGGGGATGTACTTGGGCTTGGCGGCGTCGGTGAAGCTGAAGCTGGCGATGATGCCGCCGATGTTGCCGAAGCCGACCTGCCAGGCGGAGCCGATGGAGCGGCGGTGGTGGCCGCCGAGGTTCATGTTGAACCAGCACACGATGATGGGCATGGCCGTGTAGGCGCCCATCGCGACGAGGAAGAGGGCGGCGTACTGGACCGAGGTGTTGTTGTGGACGGCGATGAGGATGGCGAAGCCGACGATGGCGATGCAGATGGCGAAGATGGCGAAGCCGAAGCGGTGGCGCAGCTTGTCGGAGCAGACGGCGATGGTCATGGAGAAGCCAAAGGCCACGGCCCAGGGGGGCACGCTGTGCAGCTGCGTCTGGATGGAGTCGTATCCGTAGCCTTGGATGATGCCCGGGGCGAAGTACGCATAGCTGTACTGCGGAGGTATGTTAGTCTTGGATGCCGAAGGTTCTTCGCGTGAAGGGCTAATTGAACTTACAGCAGGGACAATCAGGCCAAAGTACATGAAGCCACCCAGAATGATCTTGTAGTCCTTGAAGACATTTCCGACGTCCTTCCACCCGACGCTTCGATCGCGTCCAGAAGAGGACTGGCCCTGGTCGATCCGGAGACGGGTGGTGACGAATTCCTTCTCCTCAGGGTTGAGCCACTTGGTCTCCTCGGGGAAGCAGGGCAGGAGGAAGTACAGAGCGACGGCGACAACGACAGTGAGACCGCCCTCGATGATGAAGATCCACCTCCATCCCTTGTATCCCCGGAGACCGTCCATTTTCCCGATCGCGGCGGCCAGCAGGCCACCGAAGGCACCGGCCAAGGTGGTACTGTTGAAGAAGAAGGAGTAGCGTCTCTGGGCCTCGCTGCGCTTGTACCACATTCCGATCAGGTAGAATGCTGCGACTCTGTCAGTGGAGGCGACCCGGTTTGCCAATCGCTGCTCGACGTACCTCCTGGGAACATGCCGGTCTCGAAGACGCCGAGGAAGAAACGCGTGGCGAGCAGGCCGCTGTAGTTCTTGACGAGGCCCTGCAGCAGGGTGACGAGGCCGAAGCCGAACATGTTGAGGGAGAGCCAGACACTATTTTGGTTTATCGGTTAGCGATTTGCTCGGGGCGGTAAGCAATTGGATGGAGAGTTTGGTGTTCGGCTTACTTTGGGCGCAGCTTCTTCAACAGCAGGTTGGAAGGGATCTCGAAAAGAATGTATGGCACGAAAAAGATGACTAGCGCGGTGTTGAATTGCGTCTTCTCGAGCCCGAGCTCAGCCGACAGGCCAAAGACATTGGCGTTGGAGATGTTGACACGATCTTTTGGAGACTGTCAGTATTACACATGCTCCCGACGACTTCGTCCCGACGGTATAAAGAACGCGCATAGACACTCACCCAGAAAGGCCAGCAGGTACATGATACATAGGTAAGGCACGACGTGGAGATCGATCTTGGTCATGAGGCGGCGCTCGGTGGTGTGCGGCGGGCATTGGACCTCGGCGACGGGAGCAGCGACAGTCGCGCCGACAGCCTCCTCGGACTGGACATCGCCGGACGACTTCTCGTTGGGGAAGGTAGACATGATGGCGAGCAAACAAACAGACGGCCGATAAACACGCCTCGGGCACGAGAGACGCGAGAGGGGGGCTGGAGGGGTTGCGAGGAGGAAGAGAATGTCGCAGAGAAAATCCGGGGAACTAGCAGATTACTGCCCGTGGCCGCTGACACCCTTTATACCTCCTGCTCGTCGGCTGGACTGGTCCCAGAGCAGAAAGATTTACACTCTCACCTGCGTGCCACATGGGCCGACCAGCCAAATAACGCTGCCACTATTACTCACTGGCTCCGCAAGTCCGTCCAAGCCGGAATCGGGGGCACCAATCATACTCATGCTGGGGCAACAGATGCCGGGGGACGAGCTGGGAACCTTGTTTGCCGTGGGCCGTGGATGATCCCTCCCTCGCTGACAGCTTCTTGACTCGAGTCTGGAGCATGTTGAAAGTAGAAGATGCCAAGACGGGCCGAGGAGCGCGAGCCGCTAGACCAGGAGAGGTCTCGCCCATGGAACTTTTTTTTCTTCTTTTCCAATGCTTATTCATTCGGCTTTGCTCAGCGCGACGAACCGGTCCGTCATGTGGCTTGTCCTGCGCTGAAGCAGCTGCTGGAGAATTGGCATTAGTCCCGCTGGAGAATTGCCCTGTAGCCACTCACAGGCGCTGGCCCAGCGGATGGCGCGCTGGAACCGGGAGGGGCCCTGCTGGCGCCCCGCGCTAAACCCCGCAATCTCCTCACAACCCTGCCCGATGCCCTCAGACGCTCCTCGGCTTCTGCCAGCTCCCCGACGCTCTCCTCATGTCATCTTGCCTTCTCCAGGCGGCGACACGAGTCCAGCTGGTTGTGGCACACTTGGCATATCCCACCTTCCTAAACATCGCCAGACTCTATCCCTAGCACGGTCTCAACCCGCGCCGCCTCGTCTCAACCCATCCCTAAACGCCCCTAACAAGGGCAAGGAAGAATTTTTCTGTCAAAGTGGAGAGATTGGCCGACCATCGGACACTTAATTAAACACAACATGCTTCCCCCACCGACTTGCCACTGTGAATGGGCCTCCGATCATCTCCGGTCTCCGGCCTTAACATTGAAATGAGACGAGCCGTGGAAGAATCGAGCCTCATGGCGCCTGGAATCTGGCGAAATCCAATATCCACTAGCTTATTTCTCCAATTTTCTCCAATTCTTCCTGGTCATCGAGTCATGCGTCACCTCCATTCTGGGCTTGGACGACTATGACGCTTGTCCGACCACATCAAGATCGGATCCGATGCAAGGAGAGGGAGACGATCCTTGCTGTCTTCTCTCTTCAAGATCTAATTCTGGTCTCTCGAGGGACCTTAGCCTGCTCGATTGCAGAGCCTCTTCTCTGGAAGCCGGCTAAGCTCCTGGTAGAGATCCGCGACAAGGCGTGCCAACCGCTACTGACTCTTTCCCGCAACGTGGTGGCCATGCTTAGCGCCCCGTCCGGTCTGGTCTTATTGGCGGTGAGTAATCGATTTATAGTTTGGACTCTCTCACTAGAAACCGGATGGCTTTTTGGCCCGTAGTTCCGAGTTCCGAGAAGTTGTTTGCCCATTCAGCTTGTTTCCACCCATGACTCTACCCCAACTGCCTGACCAGTTTGTCCACCCTACAAAAACAGTACGTGAGACTGTGAACTCTGCACTGAAGTATTCAATAGTGCGTCCTATGTGTTAGCTGATATAGTAGAGACAATATGCGGATGGACAAACTTCACCGCCGAAACGAAAACAAGACGCACGCTGCGGCCGTACTTGGCCCACTCGGTCTTCAAACCTCATTTGTCTTGTTGGTTACACAGACACGTTCCGTTCTAAAATTTTGGTGTTGAAATGATATACAACAATGATCGCCGTTACTTATCTTAACTTCAATTGAACTTACAAACTCTGTGGTCTAAAAACTCGAGAAAACTTCAAGTCTAGACAACCTGATGTTACATGAAATAACACTAGAAGTATGATCTCTTATCATGAGTTTTTGATCATTCGTCTGAAAGCTGGCAAACGTCACCACCCGTAAGTGAATCAACGCGTCTCGGCGCGCCGAGCCAGACCGCGACATGAGTGTTGCAGGATGGGAGTGTTTGTTATTCAGAAATTGCACATCCATGACTTCCATCCAATTGATTAAAAACTCTCCTAAGCGATCTCAATAACACCCTCGAGCCTCAGATCCCTGCTGCTTGCTCCGACATTCACTACAATCGTACCCCTGGGGATGGTCCATGATTGATTCTCCACGTCCCATACACTAAGATCCCTACGAAAGAGAGAAAACGCCACGGTCCCCCAGGCATCGGGGCCAAGAAATACCTTGTCAAAGCCACGTAGCTGTCGAGGCGAATCAGTTGATTCCGGAAGGGTGATATATAATTGGACGGCTTCTGCGCCGGCGACCTTTCCGGCGTTGGTAATCTTCGCAGTGACTTTGGCAACCTCGTCCCAAAGATCCCTCTGACCTCCGGGGGCGATATCGCCGCTGGCAGGACCGCTCCTTGCTTGAGAGCTGATCTCAATGTCGGAGTACTCGAACTTGGTGTATGCTAGTTGGTGAGAAGTTAGCCCAAGAAATCACATTTGCAGTTGATGGCGAACACATACATAGTCCAAACCCAGATTCGTACTCTGGCTCAATCCCCTCCCTATCAAAGTGGCGGTAGTCGATGTAGAGACCCTCACTAAAGTCATCATCTGTAGGCACGGATTTCGTGTTATAGTCGGCTGCATCCTTGGCAATAGTATATACCAGCTTGCCGCTAGGATTCACATCACCCCAGACAATATCAACCAGCGCGTTGCCACTCTCCTGCGAAGGGAGCCCACCCCAGACGATCGCCTTGACCGAGGGAAGCTTCAATATGGGTGCGAGAATGATAGGCCCGACGGCATGTACCACGACGATGACATTCTCGCTGGCCTCTGCCACCGCTTGGACGAGGTCGTATCCATTGTCATCCGGTGCCAATGTACTAAACCGATCACGACCTTCTGTTCCGAAGCTTGTGAGAAAGACAATGACCGCATCTTTGCCTTTTGCTGCGATGGCGCCCGCTTCCGGGTCGTCAGTCTCGCTCTGCGTCACCTCGCCCCCGAAAGTCGCCGCCTTTTCTCTGATGGCATCGATTGGGGCAATGAAGTATGGGTATCGGGCTGCTCCAGAGCCCCGCCTATTCCAACCGCGCCGTTGGTTGTGGCTCCGGAGCCAACCACAGCGATACTCTTTGGTGACTTCAAAGGGAGGATGTCGCCTTCATTCTTGAGTAAGAAAGTGCCATCGCGGGCTGTCTTGCGAACGTTTTCGCCGTGGTTACTCTGGACATCGCGGGTAAAGTCAACCGAAGGGTATCCCCCATCTTGCCCTGTTTTGTAGTATCCAGCCAGGATGCGGAGCGCCATATCCGCCACACGCTCCTTCTTTACCTTTCCACACCGGATGGCGCGCTCCAAGTTCGTACCCCATAGGGTGCTCGAGCTATTGTAAGCGGATCCGGGCATGGACATGTCAAGACCAGAGTTGGCGCTCAGCACGGTGGTATGGTGCGCGCCCCAGTCAGACATGACATATCCCGGGAACCCCAGCTCTGTCTTGAGGAGCTTGTTGAGGATATGGTCATTCTCGCATGCCCATACTCCATCGAGCTTATTATAGCTGCACATGACGGAGGTGGCTCCGGCACGAACGGCATCATAGTATGGCCAGAGATAAACCTCATGCATAGTTTGGTCATCGATGTTACTGGACATCGTAGTGCGGTTGAGTTCCTGTTCATTCCCAATGTAGTGCTTGATACAGGCCTGGACGCCAGTCCGTTGCATTTCTTGGATAGCGATGGCAGAATAGACGCCATTGAGATAGGGATCAGAGCCCCACGCCTCCCAGTTGCGACCTGCCTCTGGTATCTTGCCGATCGGGTCAGCCACAGGACCAAGCAGGACCTGGACGCCCAGGGCTTTGGCCTCCTCTCCATGGAATTGGGAGCGCTGACGGACGAGCTCCTTGTCCCAGGTCGAGGCGGCGTGGATACTTGGTGTGAAAGCCGTAGCCACCGTGGCACGGCTCACGCCCAGGGGACTATCATTCAAGCGCAGGGAACGATAACCGATAGAATCGACAGGATAGTTATTTCCTACGCATGTGCCTCGTCCCTGTCCGGTAGCAAGGCCAACTTGGTCTGAGATGGAGATTTTGGCAACGGCTGCCCTTGCTTTAGTATAGGCCTCGTCCCAACTGATTTCCGCTGCTCATTTGTCAGTGTCAATGTCGTAGGTAGAAGGTTAAGGAGCCTGCAAGAAAGTGGACTTTGAAAGGAAGGTATCACATACCTGCCACGAATGGCAGAACCGTAATGGCTACCACTGTAAGAAGTGCCTGATGCATTTCGAAACACGAGAACAAGAACAACAGCAGAAAGACTGACCTTGCAGTGTGCTGAGATGAGAAAGTGTCTAAAAACTAAGAGAGTACCAGTAAGTGGGCTAGTTGTTATACAATTTAGGACTTAGGAAACTAGGCAAGTCGGGATATTGGTCTGCTCTCTATGTAATGACGGATCAATCGCAAAAATTTATCCTTTATCCTTATCCATTACTATAACTGGGCTGCGTTTTACACAGATGCAAAGGAAGCCCTGAAGCTACCCCAAAATCACCACAAACGTATATGATTGTGAGCAATGTGAATTTACCGTACCAATAGAAGTGCCTCGAAGAAGTCACAGCAAAAGTGGAGTATTTGATTACATGACACTAGAGATACATATCTGCCTTTGCAGGTTCTAGAGTTTCCTAGAGGATGTCTAGATTCGGAGCCTGGCAAAGACAGCAATAGATTCTTTGGACCTCTCTTTGACCTTGTCCCGTGGCTGTGCTGACCCAGGAATCGTAACCCTGTTGTAGTTGGTTCACTTAATGTTGGGTAATGAAAGTGTGGCCCTTTAAATATCACCGGTTCAGGCATGTGATGGACAGAACTACTACGACCCTACCTTACCAAAGACAACATGAGCTTACCACATTACTAAGGAGCACTTTGGGTTGCATTAGGGTTGTTTTGATTTCTGTATTTATTTTCCCCGCACAGAGCCTGGTTCTCGATCATGCGATATTGAGCTGTTATGTTTCACCGAATGACTCGGTCTCCGAACGCCTCACGCACACCTCCGAAACATAAGAGACGTTAATGGTGGCAGAGGTATATTTTCCCCTGGTCTTACATGTGAAATTCCTTCAACTATTTCAGCGAGGCTCTACTCGTGATAACCGAACAAAGATTTAGGCATTCCCACACTCGCCCCAGGGCTCCAGAACCGGAGTATCTTGCGGTACCAACCCGGAACCTTCTTTTGAACAAGAACGATTATTATTCGGAAGACGATAAGTATTCTAGGAGTCCGCCAGTAGCTACGTCAATGAAGCCTCGAGTTCGAGCCCCCCCAGTCAACATCCGAAGGAGATCGAGATCTTTCGGAGATGCTGCCGAGCCTAGTGCGATTATCCCCAACCGTGAGCATGGTTATGAAAGGGAGACAGGGGAGTCCATCAGGAGCAATGAATGGGGGGGTCCATCTCCTCCCAACATTGGCCGACGGGATCAGGCCCTTGAGCAAGTTCATCGAACAGGAGACCCCGGAGAGAAGGGTCGCGGGCAACACGACTATCACCGGACACGGGAAGCGTTTGGGCAGAGCAACCAGCACAATCATGCTAGGATGATTGAAAGATCGGACAATGTCGTTTTGGAACGCGTTGGCACTCTTTGCAACTTAGGAGACTATCTCATGGCTTTTCTATACTGGAGAGCTCTGCTCCTGAGTCGATTTGCTGATGAGGAGGATCAATATATACGAGGGGCGGAGGAAGATTTTGCAATGGCAATATACTTGGAACAGACTCCATATAAATACACGCCTTCGCAGTGGCTACCCGTATGCTACGGATTTTTACTTACCTTCTTCATAAACGGCTACCATACTTTTCTTTGGATCCAACGTTGATGAAATATCTCGAAGCTCCCGTTGATATCGAACCGAAGCATAGAAGGGAATACTTGCAAAAAGTCTTCGGTGATAAGATGATGGGGCGAAGCTTGTGTATTACCAAACATGGCCGGATTGCAATGGGCTCAGGATTTATGCAGCCTGGTGATAAGGTCATCGTGCCCCTGGGCTGTTCAACTCCCATTCTATTGAGGCCTGATGCGGTCCGTAGCACTTATCGGTTTGTGGGTGATGTTTACATTACTAGGTACATGAATGGGAAAGCTATCGAGCATTGGATGGCGGGAGAGCGAAGTGTCATGAAGTATGTGCTTCAATGAATATTGCTTGCCGTTTAGGTATGGGTGAGTGAGGAATCGACGGAATATGATACTGTTAATTTCCTAATCTCAGTAGATTCTTATAATTCTCTATCTTTTGAATAATATGGGCGAGAGCTGAGGGCTGAATTGGGCTTGTAGTCTTGCACTGCCGTGTCCGGCTTACCGACGACTAAGTCACCTCCCCCAAATGATCCAAGAAATAATAATATGCGAAACTTTCCTTGCTTTTTAGATTGCTTTCTCACGCGTTAATAGTGAATATATCACTCTCTAGACAATACTTCCATCACGAGAAACTTCAGAAAACAAACCGAGAGAGTCGATAGAAAAATGAGTCGCAGATGTCATTGAATCCGTTTCAGTCCCCCTCCGAAGACTTGAGCTCCCGCTTCTTAAGCCCGTAGGTTGTAATAGATTACGAATATCTGATGGACTAAACCGTTTCTGTTCAAGGCCATCTTGAGCATGCCTTTGATAATCATCTCTATGATCGACGTTGGCGCCATGATTCCGCAATGCTCTCACAATTCGCTTTGTTGAAATTCGTGTCCCTTTGTTGAAACATGTCAATATCAGCGGAGTCTCGCGATTGTAGTTCTCCGCATTTGGATCGGCACCATAGGCAAGAAGAACCTCCACGATCGGCCAGTCATCTCTCTCACATGCGTGATGAAGTGCTGTCCCAATATACGGGCTCTGCGAGTTGATATCGATGCGCTGTGGGTCTTCTGTACTCTCATTCTGTTGTCGGATTATCGACGGTGCCACACTGGACTCTCGCGATTGGATTTTCTCCAGAAGAAGCCTCATAATCCGTACGTCCTTGCAGACGTGAAGCACAGTTTCGAACATGTCTGTTTCGGGCGTTCGGAGGTCGAGGCTGGCACCTTCTTCAAGCAGCACTTGTACAGCTAAAAGCCGCCCCTTTTCTACTGCCATCAATAATGGGGTCATCTGATTCTTCCCTCTGGCATTGATCACATTCCTATCAGATGCCAGTTGCCTCAACACTTCTGGGCTGACATCTGGATCACATACAGCTTTATGGAGAGGAAAATCGCCATCTGCGTCTTTCTTGTTCAAGCAAGGTGGCGTGCTCATTTCATCAACCTCGAAGTTGTTCTTCCGACACCAAGCAATGGTATCACGGTATTCTTGGGGCTCTACTGTCGGGTCCTCTTTCAAATGGCGAACAAGCATTTCTCTGAAAGCCCCCACCTCGATAAGACGCGAGCTGTGCTTGTACGCCTGAATGATGCCCCAAGCAATAGACTTTGCCTCTTCTTTATTGCTTGGATAGTTTTGCGAAAATGCTGGCTCAAAAATTGCAAGACGAAGGAAGTGTTCCGCATGAGCCCACATCTGCAATTTGAAATAAAGGTCACCGATATCTCGGCGCAGCCGGTGAAGATCAGAAGCGTCAAGTTCGGGCGGATCAGCAGCTTCCAATCTCTTTGCTTCCTCTGCAAGTTCCTTTAAGCGCTCTATTCCCTTCTCACGTCGGCCAGTTTGATGACATTTGATCAGAATACCAATATGATCCGACTCGAGCTTAGTCTTGACGGAAATACTAGGCTCACCAGCCTTGGCGCGCTCCTCATAGCACTTAATGGCTTCAGCATGGTAGTTTGCTGCTGCATCTGGGAACTCCTGGGCCAAAGCTAGCTCTGCCATTTTTTTGGCCTCGCTGAACCTGAGTCCCAGCTCTTCTAGACTGACGTGTGTTTCTGGCGGAGGGGGTTCGAGAAGGGCGTGCTGCTCGCTGACGGGAGATAGGTCCCAACTCTCAGCGGGGGTTTGGCTCCCCGAATGCAAGGTTCGAATAATAACGTCGTTGAACATCTTAAATGCTGAGTCGTTAAATTGTCGAATATCTCTCAGATATTCCTCTGCTCTGTCCTTGGAGTTTGGATCGGAACCATCCAAGCTAGGTGTCATGGCCTCGAAATCTGAACTGAAAGTCGATGCACGGCTGCTAAACTTTTGGCTTAGATTCCGAAGCCCGGTGAAGTAATCCTGGTCGACAGCACTAGGGCTTTCGCTCTCATACCTCCACCTAGATCTTACGGTTAGTAGGCAACCCTACAGATAGGAAGGAGCGTGGTGAGGGAGGGATTCCGCCTACAAATTAGAAGTTGCTATTTGTAAATGGAGAGATGCAGTTTCGATTCGCTTCATGGCATTCTTATTCAAGTTCAGGGCGAGATCAGTGGCCTTGTAGGGTCTTGACCGGAATACTCTTGCAAGCATTTTGGGCTTTGGCAATTTGTCTGGGTGCGGGATACTCCTTCTTACATCCCCAAGATCATTGTCTACTGTTCTTACGACTCGAGCAATTGAGCTGTAGTACTCCATTCGTCTTTCATCCTGATTTGGAGATTTTTGTCGCTGGCGGAGCAGACTCAGAGTCTCACTCAGGTTTTTCTCTACCAGACTGCAGACCGATATTAGATGGTATATTTGTTGATCGACATCTTTGATAGCCTCGTAGGCCTTGTATACTAGTCGGATGGTGTGGACCGCGCCAGTGATGAGCTGTATCGCATTGGCAAGTTCCCCAATACCCGACATTGCTTCGGAGGCACCTTGCGCGGGCTTCTGGATTGCACCCTATGGCTCAGTATGATAGAGTGATCATACCTTCAATATGGCCATTCGTTTGAGAAAGTGTGCGAGTACTTGGAACAGGGCTTCGAACAGACAAACCGCATGAATAGAGGAGGTGAGATGTGGGTGGATGGAGGAAGGAAGTGCTTTCCCCACGTGCAATGTGGAGTAGAGCACTGATTATCGATGGGAGAGGAACGGAAAGACCTTCCAGCAGATTGACTCAGAGGCAGCCAGATGGGAGTTATCGGGGAGGGGTTGGTAGCACATGGCCTGAGGGAGGGTTGGTGACGACAGCGTCATACAACGCGTGGCTCAGCCTCAGCAAACGCACTTTTGTGTAATAATAACAAAGGAGGGGTCATTAGACCTCAATAAACCAACGTCGTAGTGAGGCGTGCTGATGGCCGAAAGTGTTCGGACCCAATCAGAACACTTATCCGTAAGGCTCGCACTCAGCTTGCGGAGGTTTGGACAGGGGTTAGACGCAAGGGAGCGGCTGAAGGAGCTGCCTGTAATCATAATAGAACTTTCGGAAACTCAAATTGGGCGGTCACACATAGTACCAAAACACAGCATCGGCGTGTTACTGAATTCAGGCTTTGGGAAATTGAACCTACGACCTTTTACGCTCGAAAATTGTGGTTTTCAATCCACCCCACCAACTTCAGGAAGAGTAAATACACGAGACCTTGAACATTCAAGACCGCATCGGATCGTTCAATACATGGACCGAGTACATTAGGCCCCCGCGGGGTAAGTGTCCAGGCTGGGGTGTGGTTCCTGGGGAAATGTCTAAGACCACCAGTGAGACCTTGCCCCTGGCGGGATGAGACGAGGCTCTGCAGATGAAATTCGTTTTAGCTACTGGAATTATTGAACGCCACATAATGACCTGATGACGGGAGAATGGCCGCTGTGTAATTACAATTTCATGCGTACTAGACGAGGGTAGCCAGTCACACCGAGTGGTGGCGGCAAGGGAGGTGTGGGATGATGCAGGTGGACAGTTGCCTGGGTGTAACCATATAATGGAGGCGTACGGCTGACAAGTACCCCCCGTGGTGGTGTTTCCATTAGCCAATATTATGGCAGCCTAAAGAATATACTTATATATACATTTGAAGCTGCAGGTCAGGCACCTAAGTCGTGTGAGGCCTTCACTGCTGCGTCACGCGATACATCCCGACCAACCTCTCCAGCCTATACAGCAAACAGTATAGCACAAACATGGAGGATCAGAGTTCAGAAAATACTCCGCACCAAAGAAAGACTTTCGGAGATTTAGCACGCTCGTTTACGGCAAATCGCACGAATCTGGACCGAATTGACATCGCGGACCCCCTACGTAAGCAGCAAGGTCTTCTATTTCTTTTTCATTGACCACAGTCAGGTTGACTATTTCCCAGGTGGTGTATCGAATCCGGACATTCGAGATGACATGAAACAGCTGTTTCCTATCTCGCAAAGCTCCGAGATCAATCAGGAAGAATGGGACAAAGCGATCATTCTTGCCAAATTGGGTTCTCGATCTCCCCCACTAGGTCGCTTCACGCAGGAAGAGTTGGACAGTTTGAAAGCCGAGCAGGAGCAAGTATTCTTTCAATCTGGAATCCTCCCCGTCATCCTTACGGTTGCTCTGGCGGCCTTTCTTCAAGGGCATGTGCAATCGTCCATCAACGCCGGGTCGCTTTTTGAATCGCTCCTGAAGCTAGACGCTGGCAGCAATGAAAATGAGATTGGAACTCGGAAGAAAGACTGGGAAATTGGGGGAATGAATGCCAGCCCTTTCCTGGCTGCTGCGATTATCGGGGCCCCAATATCACTTCCAACGAACTACTACATTGGCAGACGCGGCGCGTTGATTGTATCCGCCTTGCTGATCATTGCGAGCTCTGTATCGTCGGCCTTTTGTCAGGACTGGATTCAGCTTCTTGGTGTTAGAATTATTGGCGGAGTGGGTAAGCTAACTTCTCCTTCTCTTGAATTATTACATGTATCTCTACTTAGGTGAAACTCCTCATTAACCGAAGTCGTTAGGCATGGGGATTAAAGCCGTCAGCGCACCTATCCTAGCTGCAGAAACTGCGACGGGATATTGGAGGGGATCGATATTGATAACCTGGCAGTTGTGGTTCGTTTCAAGATGATTTCGTGCCTCTGATTTAGCAACACTGAGAGCGCTAACCTTTGTTCACTCACAGGGTCGCCTGCGGTATCATGATAGGCTTCGTGGCCAACTTAGTGATCGGAAAAGCTACGAACGTCCTCTTTCTCAAGCAGAACGATATTGAAACGAGCGACAGCAACCACTGGCTGGCCCTTCAACTCATCCTCGGCGCTCCTTTGGTCGCAAGTGTGGCTCTTCTCATCTCAGTGTATTTCTGCTACGAAAGTTCGCGATTTTATATGAGAGAAGAATCGCCGAACTTTGATCCAAACCAGGCTCTGAAAATCTTGTTAAGAATCAGAAAATCCAAAGTGAGAAAGCTTTCATTATATTGGACGCCATTAATGAAAGACGTCAAACTAACACATCAGTAGCTTCAAGCCTTGAGAGATATAATTCTCATACGCTGGTCAGAAAAATTGAAGAGATTATCTGAGTCCAACGGATCGGCGGGTGAATCTTGTAGCCCAGAACAAGGGCTGACATACGCCTCCCAGCTCCGAGTAGTCCTCCGTTTATCATTAACTCAGTACCGCACACTTTTCAAGACACGCAGGCTAAGAAACGCTGTTTGGAGTACTTCAACAGTTGCATTGGCCCAACAACTTTGCGGAAGTCAGTGTAACATCCGCCCCTAAATGAACGTATTGTACAACTTCTGACTGTGAACTAGTCAACGTATTTGCCTTTTACTCCAGTAAGGCTTCTATTCTCAGAATTAAATTCAGAAATTAACTTGATAATTAGATGTGGTTTTCAATGGGACAGACTCGACGATCGATAAGCCTATGCTCTATAGCTTTGGCTTTGGTATGTCTGGCGGTGATCCCCACCTTACGCACTTTCTCTGACATCGTGTGGCTACGCAGGAGCAATAAACTTCTTGTTCTGCCTTCCGGCAATGCGTACAATAGATACGTTTGGTCGGAGAACATGGTTGCTTGCCACTTTACCAATCATGGGTATACTTCTAGCCGGAGCTGCCGGAGCCTTCCCACTTGATGATAGCACTGTGGTTTCGCCGCGTGTGGCTGCAGGAATATCATTGATATTAAGTGAGTCTTTCCTAAGATATTTTATGTTACTCGATTAAACTTACGGATAACAGTTTTTGTTGCTGTGTATTCTCCTGGATTAGGTATGCATATTTTAAATCCCTGAGAGGTCTATTTTAACCCAAGGTCCACTACAGGTCCTATACCATTCACCTTGGCATCTGAAAGGTTAGTCAAAGCCACTCGCATTGTCTCTACCATATAACTGACACGACAACTATCTAGTTTCCCTCTTTCTCATAGAGAGGCCGGCGCTTCAGCAGCAATAGCAACTAATCTATTCTTCGCCGGAATTCTCACGATCATCATCCCCGCGATGAAGCAGGCATTCAAAACACCCGGCTTGCTCGGATTCTTCGCTGGAATGAACTTCGTTGCGCTCATCCTCGTTTTCTTCATCGTTGAGGAGACTCGAATGTTCAGTCTCGAGGAATTGGACGAGGTCTATAATCAACCGAAGAGCAAGTTCGCCAAGTATCAGCTATCCGAGATACTTCCGTATTTTGTCAAGCGATATCTCTTCTTCCAAAGCAGCACTAAACCTCCTCTCAGATATGATGAGTGGATAGCTCGTGAGCAAGACATTCCACTGGAGGGCCTTGATGCTACACGCTGAGGCATAATCCTTTTGCTATTCCGGATGTCGTTGTAGCTGGAGCTCTGGCCTAGCTATCGTAAAGAGAGACAGATAGGACATGCCCGTAGCGATCACTCGTCTTAACAGCAGACAGGTTGGTCGGGTCTACAGCAATAGACAGGTCGGATTTACAGGCAGATAGCTAGGTCAACATAACAGCTGTTGGGGTTCTGAGTTCCATAAAAATAGCTTGTAATATAATTGCTATTGCAATTATAAGACCTTATAGCTACTGTATGATTTATCGAACTAAATATCTATCCTGATAGATATCTAAAATTATTAAACTCCTGTCTGGCTGTAATATCTGGTGTAAATTGGCACCATGTCCAGGAATTTGAACCTCTCAACAGGCCCACCAGCGGTGGCAGATGTCCGCGCTGCACTTGCTGTCCCAGACCTTGTCCAGAAACCACACCCTCCCAATACGGTACTCATCCACTGTCGCGCCGCAATCCGAGTTGAAAGGCTGACCTGCTTACAACCGGCGATATGCTTCAAGCCGTTAAAATTATTGCTTGGTCTTCTTACCGACCACCGACTTCACCCTGTGCCCCGCGACGTTAGTATGATGAGGAAATGTGGGAGGGGAGGTAAACATACGAAGGGAGTTTTCCACCCTGGTTACGCTGATAGTCCGCCCTGCAGAAGCACCCGTCGCCAACCTTCTGCCCCGCCTTGCAAGGACCGCAGTTATCGGTGCTGACTCTGCACTGCAGGGCAGTAGTATGCTTACCGGCACTACGGCAGGTTCCCAAAGAGGGGGCCTGTTGCTATATGTCAGCCACGCCTGAATGGAAATCGGCATTCAAAATTTTTACTTACGCGAAGAAATAGGTCGCGTGCCTCCATGAAGGTGTCACGAGCCTCAAGATAGTCCTCGCGGAGCTCTCGGACGATCATAGCAGGGTCTTCGCCAGAAAGCTCGCGCTCGTAGAGCTCGCGCTCGAAGAGCTCACTGGCAGCCAGAGCGGAGAAGGCAAAGAGGGAGAAGATAGTCTTTGTGAAATGCATATTGGTAGTTTGAAAGAGATGGGAGAAGAGAATAAAGATAAAATTGCGGTTGGGAGGATTGAAGTAATTACTGGAAGAATTGATGATGCTTTGAGAATGAGTTGCAAATGAGAAAGAAATGCGAAAGGAGTCTATTTATCTATATTTTCACCAAGCTGATTCTCTTCCAATAATAGATCATTCTAATCTAATACTACTAGTATCTTATCCCTTCCAGGATACTGGCTTCTGAATCCACAACTAGGAAGCTAGGAAACAGATACTGCCGGGGTAAATTTTTCACCCTGTAGGGCTAGCTAGGATACCAGCGGAAGGCATCAACTACTATGGCATTGCTAGCATTAAGGATATAACAGCTAATTTTTTAGCTAAGATTTCATAGGAGAAGTTTAACGCTGCTGATATCCAGGGACTGCTTCTGTAGTATACGCGTGATTCTTTTAGCTGCTATCTGGGCGGTTACCTCTATGAGTAAAGAGGAGTGCCTGGATGTCCACTACTGTGCCTGCGTTAGCCTAAACAGCTGGCTCGCTTCTCTTTGCTCTCTTAGGCAACCTGCTGCTCATTAGTTCGCTGACTTAAATGCCGTTAATAATATTAACGCACGGATCGCTCCCCATTTCATCTACCGTATCTCCATGGATTGGCAGTCTTGGCAACCCGCCTTTCCACTTTTTCTGCGAGAGAGACTGGATAAGTATCTTTTTATAGGGATTTGTGGCAACCGCCATACTGCTCTCTGGTAAATAAGCGAGGAAAAGTGGGCGGCCAATCCATCGAGATATTACGGTATATCACTACCGATCAAGGATCCTCATCCTACCTAGGCAGAAGGAAACAGTTGCTAACGTAGGAAGCGGCCGAAATTAAACATGGCACACCAGAGCTCTTTTCATGCAAGCTAGAAACCTCGTCTCCTATTATTAATATTTCAAACAAAAACAGAAAAATAATAGATTGTTCTATATCATTTAGCTTGATATTATAGCAATAACTGGATTAATTATTGTGATATTGTATCGAAATATGAGGCTGTATGGAGACTTTGGTGTGCCATGTTTTATTTTAGCCACTTAGTAGGTTGAGGTGGAGTTAGATTGTCAGAAGCCGGACACTCCACTCACTCACTCACTCTATTCCATTAATCCTGTTCCTTACATGAAGAGCCGCCCATATTACCCGGGGGTCAGACCACACCAGGACTGGATTACACAGATGCTCTGCTGGCGGCTGTTCTCTGCTTGGTGTCGCAATCAAGCCTCCTGCCTGATGTGACCTCGATAGTATGGCCGATTACCTCCCCATGTCGAGAGGCGGGAGCCTAATTGCCAACTCACCTATCAAGAAAAAATCACCACTTCACTTTCTCGTGCCCATCAAGAGGAGCATTATGAAATACTGAGCTTGATGGTCCAAGAACAGCCAAAGGGCCAAAGTACCATTAATGGCTTCAGATCCTCTGCTCTCACACTGTGGCCGCTGGCTGCAAATGAGAACGAAGGAAATTATGCCGGCGTACTCATTCGCTGCATCGATGCGGTGGAGATCCCTGGCATTGAAGGCAAGTTCCCCCGGAAACTGCGTGCCAGACACGAAACTAAACCCTCTGTCAGCCTGGAAACGCTTTTTTGACGTCTTCATGGTGGCGATATCGTTCTCACACGAGGACTTTCCCGCCTTTGTCAGCCCGTGCTCGGACAGGTTTGTATTGCCCCTGCCAAGGGTCCCAGCACGCCGGGGCGCAAACGCGTCATCATTGCATGGGCTCGACAAGTCGCCGCGGTGTTGCCGACAGAAATGAAGAGCCGTGCAGATTGGCCCCTGGAGTTGGCTGACCTGCTCGAAACGCTGGACTCTTGTTACTTGTGGAGTCCATGACAGATCATCGAATCCCATTACGGGAACAGGATTTCCTGGGCCTTGGCGACCGCCCGGGGGATGCATCCTGCACTCTTGGAGAATGGAGGTGCCCAGGCCAGATATGATCAGGAGCCCGCGGGCACGAACACAATGCCCTTGGCATCACACTCTGTTGAGCTGGGTGCTCCGGATACCGAAGGAAAAGGCGGTGGTCCAACGAGTTATGTCGCCGCCGCCGAGAGATGACTGTCCGATTTCCCGGTCTCTTGGACAGATTGAATGTCATTTTAGCCTTATTTTCTGATTCGCGAGCTTCAAAACCTTCGTTAAAAGTCAGCGCGCCTCGAGCAAACATGGAGTCTGCCAATTACGCCGATACGACCAGATACCCAAAGGCGCATATGAATATATATCCCTGTGGTGGATTGTATATAGGCTAGTACGTGATCTACAAACAGGTTGAATAGGGGCCTTTTGACCCTCTGAGCTAGTAATACAACTACATTTACCTATCTCACCTGAATCAACTGACTGCTAAGAGCCCCGGGCAAAGCCTGGAGACGTAGGCAGCGACTCCAGAGGGGTAAGAAGGGTCTAGCAGTCGGTGTAACGACAAACTTTTCCTACAGACCTGACCTCTTTGTCTTGCGTCAAGACGAGCGATCGTTAATTATCGGACTCATCAGTCATTTGTAGCAACAGCCAATTCATGGAGGCCTGATAACAATTTGTCCACTTCGTTGAAAATTGGACGAACGCCATCCTTTTCCCAACAGTATAGACGGTAGGAAGGTTCGAAATATAAGTCAAGTACAGATATTCTTAAATAACCTAGGAGAAATGAGAAGATACTATGATGCTGGTGGTATTGTTTAGGGTAAGTAGGCTCTGAGCGTGGAATGATTAGGTAACATTTTGATTAAGACAGGGCTCCACCTTTCATTAACCAATTGAAATCCCTGGGCCAATCTAACCACCCTTATCTTGGACCAGTACATTCAATTCATTCAATTTCAAGCACCTCAAGTTGCGCCGTGATAAAGCTCCTTTGGTATTGTCACAATGGCTACTCATGGCTCCTGCTTCCAATCTGGGGACTGCAACTAGATTCAGACGTATCACGCGCGCTTGTGACTTTTGTCATCGACGTGGTCTCAAATGTCGCGCTGCAGCTGAGAGCCCAGCCAATGGTGGAACTCACTCCTGTCTGACCTGTGCTGAGGTTTGCCTGCCCTCTCCGTCAAGTCTCCGTGAATCCTGCTCACTGTTTCAAACGACAGTACAGACAAGAATGTACATGGAATAGACAGCCGAAGAAGCGAGGCACCAAGTCCCGAATCGCTACTCAGGCGCAGCAACAAGATGATGCCTCCGTCCGCGCTGGGAACGGCCCCTTCAAGATCCTTGACCCGCCTGCAGTCAGCGTCGCTTCCAATTCATCAATTGGAAGTCGAAAGATCATAACTGCTCTGCTGGACGCCTACCTTGACAGCATCCACCCCATGTAAGATCGGTCATCCCATGCCATTTAAACTTCGCAAACATGCCATGTCCATATAGTAACATTTTGGACCTTAGATTCCCATTCTTCTGCGAGCGCGAGATATGGGTTGGTTGGAGAGACGGCACGTTTCCCGCCGACGCCTCTGATTACATGAGCCTCATGTGCATGTGCGCTCTCAGCGCTCAGCACGTCGGGAGCGGCGCCCTTTTCAGCGACGATGTCCCGACCGTAGAGAGCTCTCTTCTCGCCCAGGACTACCTTGCTGAGGCCGTTCGGCTCGTCCCGCTGGATTTCAAAGGCCCCTGCATCAACCAAATCCGCTCCTATGGATATCTGTCGCTTCTTGGAGCCCAGACAGGGAATTACGGCATGGCGCACAAGTACCTCGGCCTCTACCACGGTATGTGCGCGCACTACAACCTGCACGACGAGTCACAATGGCCAGCAGGCATCAGCGAGTGCGAAGTCGAGGTCCGGAGACGTCTCTGGTGGATCATGTACCGTCTCGAGGTGCACACCGCATGCGTTCATGGAAGCGTCGTGCGCTGCTCCGAAGCCCAGTGCTTTGTTGGCTACCCTGCTGGCCTTCATCACCCTCCATTCATTCCAGGGCGGGATGGAAATTTTGAAGACTGGTTCAAGGGATGGAATGCGACTACCGATCTCTATCGTGTATTGGAGCACGTCATTACTGATTTCAGATCTCGCCGACGGCCTCAATCATCCATCCTCGGAGCAAACCACGCGAAGGCGCCAGCAGTGTCCGTGAATGAGAAGCTGACAAAGATCCAAGAGGAAGTTCTACCTCATTTTGGGTCTGCCTCATCACGGTCCTCCGATAGTGGCAGAAACAGATGTGGGTTTCAGGCGTCCAACATTCTCTGCACGATCCATTTGGCGAGAATGATATCAATATCGGGAGAGAGCAATTTCCATTCGGCATGCCAGACTGCACACGACATGGTAGCAAGCGTGAGCACGATCCCGATCGAGTACATCCGGGCTATTGGATCTCCCCTCTTGCAACAGTTGGCGGGCGTGGGCCACATGCTGGCGGGCGTCGCGAGCAGACACCAGTTTTCGCACGCAGATCGCGAACAGTTCAGACTGGTCCTCACATCAATGATACAGTTTCTGTCGCAGCTGAAAGCTCACAACAGCACCGCGGCAACGGAGGAATTGAGACTGGCAGCCCACCTACGCGAGGCAGACAGGAATTGGTCATTGGCTAGCGCTGAAACTCATGCAATGGATGACGGCGCTACCTACGATGACCTTGCGTGGCCGGATCACATGCAGAACTTGGTGGAAGAAATGAGTGCCGATCGACTTTTTTTCTCTATGCACCTGGAAAGAAGCCTCGCATGGCCGTTTGAGCCGCGAGATGAAGACGAACCACAACTCTAAAACAGTTCAAACACAATATGATTCCACTGTACTCTCATGACTTTACTCCCATTTTATCGTTACAAGTATTCGTGTTCTTCTGCTTATTTGTCCGCCAAGCATAGTACTCCCCTCCCGTCATGATCGGATACTTCATCGGGTTCTCCTCACTCACACAAGTTGGAACGGGCTCGAGCAGCTTCTTCCGGTCGAATCCAAAGAAGAAAGGTGCCGAGTACCTTTCATATCCACTCTTATTAATGACCCGGTGGATGGTAGAGACGAAAAAGTTGTTGGTCTGTCTCATGAAGGCATCTGCGATGTTGACCACGAAGGAACCCTCGATCGGCTCCGCCTTGATCCAGTTACCAGATTTGCTCAGCACCTCTAGACCTCCAGACAGGTCTTGAGTGACAATGGTGAAGCACTCAACATCTGTGTGGGCACCGATGCCGTTCTGGTCATCGACCGAGTGTTTCTGCTCTGGGTAGTGAAGTATTCTCATCCCAGCTTCGGGACGGCGGACATATGCGTCAAAGTACTCCTCTGGAAGGTGAAGGGCAAGGGCGAAGATTCTAGTCAGGCGGCGCGAGAGCTCGAGTAGCTTGGTGTGATATGCGTAAAGACCTTCACGGAAGCCCGGTAGGTCAGATGGCCAAATGCTCACTGATGGCTCCGTCTTGTCGACTGCCTCGGGATCTTCTGAAGCATCGTAGGCCCAGTTAAACGCCTCGCTAAGATCTATATCGCACATTAGATGCCGTTTGCGTGAAAATAATGCAAGTTATGGAAGAGATTGAAGGTCAAGACATGCCTTGGTGTTTCCAGCCGTTTCGGTTATAGCACTCCATCGGGTGGAAGCCTACATACTCGTTTGGTACTAGCCCGGTGAATACCTCCATCTTCTTCTCCTCTGGTAAAGCAAAGAATCTCTTGGCTTGACCGATAACCTCAGTGGCATAGTCTTGGTCGATACCCTATCAGGTTACTTTGTTAGCTGGGATGTTGCTGTGGCGCATAGAACAAAGGGCTTACATGATTGACGAGGTAGAAAAACCCAATATTCCGTGATGCATCCCGGATCTCTTCCGCCACAGCCTTTCTGTCTTCTAGTTTGTCACTCCAAATGCGTGAAGCATCGATTACAGGAATCTTCTCCAGCTCCGTGGAAATGTTTGAGTTGAAGCTGAAAACATCGCCATTCTGCAACTTCACTGTCCGGACTTTGGTGTCTGCCTTCGTATCAACGGTAGTCTGAGACATCTTGTGGAGTTTGGCGAGATTGTATTGGCTGTTTGTGAGAAGGTATTTCTTACCAGGAATCGTTGATCCAGTTTGGATACTAGCCATAGAGCATGAGCATACGTACGGAGTAAGAGTATTTATCAACCTACTTTCAACGCATCGGGTGCGTAGCCACAAGTAGAATATCTTATCGATTAAACGGCAGAACTGGTAATCTTAGAATCACTTGGCATACCGTTTCGTGATTCGCCGAGCAAGAGGTGTGTGGATGGTTTAGGACCCATGATAAGAGAGCGTAGCTTATCACAACAGTGACTAAAAACTGATAAACTGGACTGGTAAACTGCTAAACTGCCCATTTCCGCATAACCCCGCAACTCACCGCCAAATCAGCACACGCAGAATTGGTTTGCAATATGCATATCATCGAGCCAAGGTTCTATCTGGGATGCTTATCTGGATTGGGCCCAGCACACCAGATTGCCGGTTCTTATCACTTCAAAGACTTGGTACGCTAAGCTGGCGACTCCAGATTGGCATCCCGCCTCAATGTCAAGTCTCTTGATCCGTTCTCCAAACGCCGGAGAGGCATAAAATCAGACGACTGCACTCCCTAAAAATGGATTGACCATCTGATATTCATCATTCTGCTCTGGCAACATTACAATAGTCACCATGGCGGAGGCTTCAACATCAACCTTCACCAGCCGCCTGCTTCGGCGACTGGAAGTCCAGAGGGACACGGATGCCGACGTGGACATCTACGTTAACAAGGACACTCGTCCATTGCCTCCGTCCCGTCGACCTTATGGACCCTGGGAGTTTGTCGGTCTCTGGATGGTCACTGGATCGTTCAACGTCGGTGGATGGACGACTGGCTCTTCACTCATTTCACTTGGGCTGAATGTCTGGGTACGTATTGTTCGATTGTTCAGGTTTTGGTATACCGTATCTGACATAGGATATAGCAATCAATGCTTGCTATTATCATTGCACACACCTTTGTCGGATTTGTTTGCATTGCGGGCGGTCACCCTGGTGCGAAGTGGCACATTGGATTTCCCTTATGGATGAAGCAGAACTGGGGTATCTGGGGATATTGGTTCCCAATGGTAAATCCGACTCGCAATTTCTCTCTACGGAAGTAGTGTACTGACATTATGCTACCGTATTAGGCTATTCGCGTCTTCCTTTCATTTGTTTGGACAGCCACCAATACATGGTATGGTAGCCAATGCCTCAAGGTCCTTCTGAGCTGCATGTCGCCAGCATTCCTCAAACTTGACACCCCATTAGCAAACGGAGCCATGAAAGCATACGACTTCGTCTCATTCATCGTATACTTCATTCTTTGCCTCCCGTTGATCTGGTTCAGCCCCGAGAGATACAAGAAGCCATTCCTCGTCTCATCAGTGACCGTCGCGACGACTGTCTTCGCGCTGTTGATCTGGGCCACCGTTCGCGCTGATGGTGGAGGAGCCCTTCTGGCAGACACTACCATCAGCGGCGTGAAGCCAGCCAAAGGCGGTGATTTAGGCTGGGCGTTTGTTGCTGCCATCACTGCCAATATTGGAGGCATTGCCACACACATGTGGTCTCAGTCCGACTACACACGATATGCTCGCAAACCAGGTGACCAGGTCCTGGCTCAGCTTGTCATGGTACCGCTTGGCACTATCATCGTGGCATGCATTGGTATCGTGTGCACCTCATGTGCAGCGACTCTTTACCCCGAGGAGAAAAAGCTGCTCTGGCAACCGTATGCCTTCCTTGATGCCATTCGAAAGTACGAAGGTAATAGTGGTGCTAGGGCTGGTGTCGCGTTCGCGAGCATTGCATTCATGTTCTCCCAATTCGGCATGGTGGTAGCATCCAACTGCGTCGTTGCTGGTATTGACTTGGCTGCTCTGTTCCCTCGATGGTTCACTATTCGGCGAGGTGGCTATTTCACAATCGTTTTCGTCTTTGTCATGCAGCCGTGGTCGTTATTGAACAGTGCGACCAACTTCCTGACTGTCGTTGGAAGCTTCAACATCTTCTTGGGGCCTCTCATGGGCATTATGTTTGCCGACTACTTCCTTCTGCGCAAGACCACCATCAAGCTTACAGAACTCTTCTCGAACTCACCGGAGAGCATTTACTGGTATACCAAGGGCTGGAATTGGCGCGCTGCCGTCGCCTGGCCCATGGGCGTCTGGTTTCTCATGCCTGGCCTCGCCCAGCGTGCCGTGGAACCCACTGGGTTCTGGGCCGGGTGGACTAGACTTTATCAACTATCGTGGTTCCTGGGATGCTTGGTTTCAGGTATCGTTTACATGGCTCTGGATTATTTCTGGCCCATGCCCGAGAAGCTTGCTGTTGATGATCTGGACTATTTCGGAACCTTCGGAGATCCGCCTTCCTTTTTAGAAGCGAAGTTACCAGCTCCAGGCGCTACCATTGAAGAGAAAGTATCGGAGAAGGGAGTCAGGGTATAATGCACCGTGCGGAGTGGCTGCTCACAACTTGCTGATTCCGGCTTTGAAAGTATAACTTTGGCCGGATAGATATTAAAATACTTGATTCATAAAGCGGCAACAGGAAGTCTAAGCATCTAAATCACTGTGATTCATTGGCCTTTAGATCATCTTGCGGCCTTCGAGAGAAGGCGGCAAGTTTATTGTGTTGGACATGATTTGTGTCGAAAGCTATGCACGTGTTAGTGTAAGTGCTCTGGTCAAGGGGCTACTGATACTCACTGGGTTGCCTCAAGCTTGGTTGAAGTTTTTGGCTTGGTGCGTAAGTGCCGGCACCAATAATGATGAATGACTCAGCTAATTCCTGCCCTTGTCGACGAAGGACACAAGACGAATGAAGGAAGCCAGGGGGATGAGGGTAGTTTAAATAGCCACTCGACGAGCGGCTCGCCCTGACGGCAAGTGAGTCATCGGAAGTTTACAGATTTTTCCTTCCGCATGACTGCAGCCTTGGTTCTTAACCTTGCGTATTCATTGTGTTGAGATGTCGGGACTGGCATCTGTTTTTTATTTTGTACTCGAACTCTCTCATGCGTCATTGGATGACCCGGCCTGTAATGGATGATATTTGAATTTGGATCTGAGCATATGTGCTGATCATTTGACTTCCCAACGTTGCGTATGATTCTCACCCGCAAGGAAATGTCTATCCATCTCTCCCGGCCACTATACTAGCTTTAAATATATGAACCAACAACCTGAATTCCGCACTTAGTATAAGCAAGGCCCGCATACCGTTTCAGGTTGTATTCAAGGGGATGATTATGAAATAACGAACTGATTCTGTAGGTTTCTGGCATGGAACCATTCCAGTACAAGCTAGACAAGATGAAGACAACACCCCACAATTCAACAACTATTTCAGCAACTCATAGAACCTCAATAGTCAGCCCCGGAAGCACGAGGACTCGTGCTGACATGCACCATGCAGCCTTTAATCGCATCAATACCCCTGTCCTCTAGCGTGTTCAGCTGACTGGGGCCGGAAGCTTCGTTTTGCCGATGCGAGAGTAGGACAACCAACATTGATCCCAAAGTTCCAAGCCACAAAAGTCGAACGTGAGAGTTCAAAACCTCCAGGCCCCCGAAATGCAAGATGAGATGGCCCCATTCTTGTATTCTCCAGTCGACACAGCGGATGGCGAGATCCGTCTTCTCACTCTGCACCCTGCCACGGACAAAGAGGCCCCTATTGTCTGTGACCTCGAGCGCGTCAAGTTGCGTGATAATCCGCAGTTTGAGGCTATATCATATACTTGGGGAGATGAGCACCCGTCCGTCCAGATCGTCTTGAATGATGCCACATTCAAGGTTCGAGAAAATGCAGCGGCGGCACTGCGTCGCCTGCGACGGCGCAAGGGCTCTCGCCGCGTGTGGATCGATGCCGTCTGCATCAACCAAGAGGAGGTTCCTGAGCGCGACCGGCAAATCACGGTGATGCAGCACATCTTTGGGCAAGCCTCACAGGTCATCATATGGCTAGGAGAGCCTACGGAGCAGGGGATCCTCGGGATAAGATACCTGCAGGGGAAGCTCATAAATGTGAGCCTCCGCCAGCTATGGCTTGAAGTGCACGGTGACAATGTCAGGCCATCCTATACAACAAACATGGCTACCGCGTTGGATAGGCTGACGTACACGGATGACCAACTGGTCGGCGAAATCAGAGAACTCCTGGATCGACCATGGTGGAGGCGGACGTGGGTTGTGCAAGAAGCTGTCCTTGCCCAGAAACTTGTTGTCATGTGTGGAGAGGAATTAGTGAGTTGGGATATGATAAAGAAGCTTATTGAAGGGCGGCGCATAAGTCGACCGAACTTCGAGGCTATGGGAATCGTGCTTGATGAGACTACTTTCCCGGACGGATTATTTCGCTTCATTTCGGAGTATCGACAAAAGTGGCATGATTCCGCCTCGGGAATTAATCTCCTTGAGATATTATATCGATGCAGAGCGCTTGAATGCTCCGAGCCGCAAGATAAGATCTTTGGATTTCTAGGAATCGCGCCATCTACCCAAGCGATGGGTGTTGTTCCTGACAGCACAGCCTTCGTCTCTGATGTGTACCGAGAGTTTGCGTACAAGTTCATTCGAGGAAGCCAATCGTTGGATACTCTAAACTACGCTAGGGATTGGCAAGGGGCACCAGGGAGACATTCAAAAGCGCAGGTGTATTCTCTGCTCGAGCAATCGAAGTATCATGATGTGAAGGCACAGATCGACGACGGCCCAGGAAAGAAGCCGAGGCAGTCATGGGCTAGACTCCCTGATGGGTGGGAAAGAATACCTGGGAAGGTTCCAAAATTCCACAACTACAAGACAAATGAGACGTTTCGAAAGAGTCCCTTGGCCGGATCATTATCCCGGGCTGCAATGATCATGGAACGGCGAGAGCTGCCGACAAATTGGCAAAAGAAATGGGACAATTTGGGACGAGCCACAGTATCATACGGACTAGAAGGAGAGAAACCTGCTGCGAAACCAGAAGAGAAGATAACAAAATTACTGGCCGACTTAGCTCAGCTTCCCTCATGGGTTCCTAACTGGTATACTCCAACCGCCTGGGATCCTGAACCCCTCTTGGACTTCACCTTCGGCCACCCTCTCTATTGGGCATCGGGTGATGAGATGCCGCATGTTTCTGTGGGACAATCGGCATGCGTGTTATCATTGAGTGGATTCGTCTTTGATGAAATCGAGTCTATTGCGCCGGCGTGGCATCCGAAAAGTGAAATACCTGCTCTTTCCAGAAAAGGAAACGAAGTTTTGATTGCGTGGGAAGAACAAGCTTTGCAACCGGTACAGGATTGTCCGTACAAAGACTCTAGCCGCGAAGAAGCTCTGTGGCGCACAATGATTGCCGACTGGGCGGGTGCTCACGCCGCGCCAGAGAGTGATAAGCATTACATTGAAGTGTGGTATGATCGGAATGGTTGGGCGAGAGAGGTACCTGATATCACAAATATGGGGTTTTGGGAGGGAGCTATGGAAGAAGTCACACTCACCCTCCACGAGCAGGACATGCTGAATGAATTCGAAAGCTTGCGTCTCCGCGATAACACTGAATATCCTTCGAACAAATTTTCCAGCTATCTCCGGAGTGACGAGGAAAATTTAATTGTAAAGCACTATGGAGCCTATGTGAAACGTATCCAAAGGGCTTGTGCCCATCGGGCGCTCTTTGTGACAAGGAAGGGATATATTGGGTTGGCGCCATGGAATGTAAAAGAGGGTGATGTGGTGGCAGTGTTGGATGGCGGGAAAACACCATATATTTTGCGATCTGTTTCTGTGGACCAGTTCAATTTGGTTGGGGAGTCTTTTGTGTACGGAATCATGGCTGGAGAAGCACTCCAACATCGGGAAGTCCTAGAGAAGCCAGAAAGCCGGATCCAAATTGTATGAAATCTTTCCTCTTCTCGTTGGAATAGTGCAACAGATACAGGTTCCGAGCACCAAAGTATCTAGACTACCAAAAATGATGAACAAAGACATGAATACCACATGATGAGTTTAATTGGATATGAATAGAAATGCTATCGTTACTTGTTGAAGAATATTAGGTTCGCCTATCATAACTTGTGAATGTCAATTTAAAATACTGCCTGGGCTGTCTGATGAACTTCACGCAGCTGAATGCTTGCCAAGATAAGAGACAGCTAGGTCAGGTCTGTAACAATCGCTCGTTATAACAACAGACAGACTGGTCAGGTTCGCAACTATCGTTCGTCTTGACAACAGACAGACTGGTCAGCTTCACAACTAGTGCTTGTCTTGATAGGGGGCAGCTAAGTCATAGTTACAGCTACAGCTCGTTATAATAAGAGACAGTTAGGCAGCTTCACTACTATTGCCAGGAGCTATCTGCCCACCTCTATAACCAATGCTAATTTAGAAGAGATATCTATTAGTAATACTGATAGATATCTTAGGTTGAGATTCTATTAGATAAGGTATCTTATAGCTGTTTGGTAGATAATAAAGCCTTGATATAGTCTGGATATATATCTACCGTAGGTAGAAGCCAGACCTGAGCTCCGGTTGGATAAACTTCATCCACAGTAATATGCTATTTCCATTGACGAAGCCCAGGTTTAAAGCTCTTTGGAGTCCAGGTAGGAAGCTTGGACCATCAATTACTAGACAAAGTCAGCCAAAAGTAAGTTCTCATGTTTCACTTTTGCCTATTGTAGAAGCTCCTTATTACAATCCTTGCTCTCCAGGCTGACCCGTAGGATCGCCGAGCTGTAAACAGAGCGTGAAATTACGATCCACAATTGCAAAACGTGCCTTGATACACACTCCAAGTAGAGAAGGTCGAATGATGGCTGATAGGTACTTCAATGGGGCGTCGTACGTTTGCGCAATATATGAACCCTTCCCCGTTCCGTTCTTCAAACGATACTAGAAGGAAGCCTCTACGCATACCTAAACCCTAGTAGCACCCATTTGCTCACATGTTGATTTTAGGTCTTCTGATTAGCACGGCTCTGGCCGTGCCGAGCAATTGGTGTGGTAACAAACCACCAACCTCAGCGCACCGAGATGCAATCCAAGCGTTGCGCGTTGCAGAAACCGCCGGCATTTCTCTTCTTCGTCGCCAGAGTAGAAACTCCAGTTCTACGATAAATGTCCCCGTGTACATCACCGCAGTTGTCAACACGACGGACTCGGAGGAGATGCTGAGCGAAATAGTGCTCAAGTCGCAGTTTGACGTACTCTCCGACCGCTTTGCTCCGTACAACATCACCTTTACGCTGAAGAGCACGAACCGCATGGTTGATGACAACAATTCCAAGGGCTTTGACTACAACGGCTGGAACTCTTTCAAGGCTGCACAGCGTAAAGGCGATTATGGAACCCTCAATTTGTTCTACGTGACTAACATGGACGATCAGACATGGGGGAGTGGTTCCTGCACCCTACCAGGCGATGCGTCTGGGGGCCCTCTGGTGACTATGCTTGACGGATGTACACTAAATGCCTATACCGTCCCGGGCGGCGTGTCTGGCGGAAAGACCTATAAAGGAGAAATCACGGTCCACGAAGTCGGGCACTGGTTTTCTCTGCTTCACACCTTTGACGGGGATGACTGCACTGGTCCTGGAGTAAGTGAAGCTAGCTTCGGTGGCTGAGTAGGAAGTGGCAAGAACTAATCTCTGGCTAGGATTATGTTGACGATACTCCTCAAGAGGCTGTCTGGGAACTGAACTTGTGCCCAGTCGGCCGGGATTCCTGTCCTGGTCAGCCAGGACTAGATCCAATTGCAAACTACATGGATTACGCCGGTGTAAGTCTTCTTCCTTCTACTATACTCTTGGAGGCACTTTGAATCTCTTCAATCGCGGTCAAAGTACGAGAAGAAATATTTCTATCGAATAATTAAACTAACAGTATTTAGGAAGGATGGTAAGTTTCAAGCTGATGAAATCGGAGAACAGCCATCGCTCACTAGGGACACAGCTGGACAGAATTTACCCTAGGCCAAACAGAAAGAATGCATAACGCATATTGGACATTACGGGCTCCCTCGTCCGTCTCGGAGAGAGGATAAGTATACTTTTTCTGTACTTTGAGAGGTTACGGAATATATCTGTTAGTTGATGAAGCGCGAGAGGAATATCAAACAACATAACGGTGTACCCCGCCCTAACCGTCTGTTATTGAGACAAGTCATCGCTGCGGACCTGACCTCTCTGTCTGCCACTGGAGGAAGTCTCGGACAAATTTGCGATATCGGCTACTGCGCCTCATCCTAGCCACAAAGTGGATTCAAGTGGTGGGTGGTCAAGTTATCCCAAGAATTAAAGCCCGATTGAAATACAGCTGGGAGATGCCGAGACCAAGCAAGCAAGCATGAGTCAGTTCTCTCGGCACACCGTCAGTAGCGTGTCGTAGCGATCAAAGGATAAAACCCCCGTAAAAAGGTTGAATTTAACCATGCCCACGGATTCGGTAAGCATTAAGGCGTCTCAGTTAGACAATAGTGGCAAAGTCCAGGGCTCACACGACTCGAGGCACAGCGAGTCAGCACCCAATAATGGCTGGAGCCTTTAATTAGCAGACGGCCGTGGCGGGATCCGTGGCACGTGCTCTGTGAATTCCAGCATGTGTCATGTTCATGGCTGAGCCTCTCTTCAATTGTCAGCGGGGCAATATTCAATCATTCAGCCACATCACATTCAACGTCGCTTCACCCGTCAGTGATCACTCGCCCGTCCATTGTGCCTGTCATCCCTCGCGATCCGCCACCAAGACCGCTCCTTTGTCCCCCTCCTCCTGGCAGACAGACACGCTCTACCAGCGACTGCCGCCTGAGATGGACTGACCGGCCACGTCACGCCACGGAGATGCCCCCAGGACAGACACTCTCGCCGGCCTCATTCACTGCGAGCTGACCAGAGATGGCCTGCACCGCCGTCATAAGCCACATCCCCAATCGCGCGATGGAGAAGCTCAGACAGGCCGCAATCCTGACCGAAGTCGCCTGGCGCGCCGCGCGCTGCAGCCTCAAGCGTCGCTACAACACCAGCCAGAACATGGTGCGTAAGCGCAGGAGGCAGCACAGGAAGCGGCGGCCTGTCTCGCGAGCGTCTTCAACCGCCAGCACGCCCGGGGAGTGCGCGGACCCCAAGGCCAACCTGTTCTTCACCCAGCTTCCCTGGGAGATCCGCCGGATGATCCAGGTCATCGCCTTTGGGGAGCGGACAGTCCACATGGACCTCAGCTACCGATATCCCCTTATCCTCCGTGATGGCCATTGTAAGCACACAAGTTCTCATGCCAGGATACACGCGGAAAACCCCGCCCAGGGCAGCCGGTACGACACATCCCAGGAGGAGGAATGGAGGTGGTTTGGCTGCGTCTGCCATCGCAACTCGCCGAAAGCCATCCCTCTCCCCTTTGGCAGATGGTGCCACTACCCATGGGAACAGTACTCTGACGCAGACATGGACTACTGCCTCATGGGGTGTGCAAATTGCTACGCCTGGCCGGGAAAGGTGCCGGGCAAGAAGTGCCAGATAGGCATCTTGGGATGGCTTTTGACGTGCAGGAAAGCGTGAGTTCATAGAGCCTCTACTTACTCCCGGAGACTGCCGCGTGATTATCTAACAAAGGTAAATGTCTTACTAGTTATAACGAAGGCACGCACATATTATTCGGCACCAACACGATATACATCAAATCAGCAACGCTTATGCATAGCCTCCACAACTTGATCCCGACGCCCAGGTTGTCGGACATGGTGTCGCTTCACTTCGAGTGGGATCCGCACCAACTGGCCTTGGCGGACTTCCTCACCGATCATGGCCGGAAGTCCGGCGCAGGCGACGATCAACAGCCAGGGCCGCCCATCTTCCCCGCCCTTGCATTTCTGAGAATTACATTAGCCAGACCGACATATGGGGCACACGACGACATGACGGGGCTTGTTTGGCCATATGAGAACAGAGAGGAACTTTCCAGCAGGCTGCTCCACCGATTCCTACCAACAGTTGACGCGCTGGTATGCAGAATTGTGCCGCCGAGCACAGAAGTGACATTTTCGCTGAGCCCCTGGGAGAGATATGCAGCCGTCGACTACCAGCTTGTCGCAATCCAGGGGAAGGAAAGATCGCGGCCCAGGTGGTCCGAATTCGGGGGCGTCAAGTGCTGGAGGGAGATTCCCGCCAAGGAAGGGGCTACGCCACGAGGTTACTGGGTTCATGGATACACAGTCGGGAACGGGCCGTTTCCTGATCAAAGTAAGTCATGCCTCACCTTATCCCAGGCACCACCACAGCTTTCTAACATGAGCCATTATCAAGACCATGGCCCGTTCCGCAACGAAGTTTACAAGACAGGAAAACTGCCCCCTCAGACGTACGAACGGCACCGTGAACTTTCGCAAGATCTCTGGAGGTCTTGGGAGGTTGATGCATCCGAGACCTAAGCCGGGGCGGGGAGACGGATCCCCTCCTGAAGACCAAACCCCCGTTAGAATACTTTACCCCTACTGATCCAAGGCCACTTCTCATGGAAAACTGCATGTAAAAGTGGTAGCAATTCTACCAGGGGTCGGACCGGGTGTCAATCTACGCCCTTTGACCTGCCTACCCTCTACCTCACCTCTCCGACATTTAGACAAGGAGAGCATGATTCGTCTCAAGCGTTGATAGAAACATGGCCCCTCGACATTGCGGGAGCAACGGCAACCTAGGCCCGGCCATTCAAATTTAGAAAGGAAAAAAAAAAGTTGGAGATAACAGCATCTTTTCGATCCATCTTAGCGTTTTTGCATCTCTAGCATACTGCATTATATACTCAAACAGAATACGACATGAGCAATGGCTTTCAAGAATTAGCGCGTGAGTTTTTAGGTACACGTTACGTTACATAGGATATTCACTGAATTTGACGCATTTGGAAAATGAGTTATCTAGCATGGGTCATGAATGTGCTGGGAATCCTCCTCGGTAAGTTCCTTCCGAGGCGGTAAGCTTCTTTTGAGTAAAGGAGGTCCAAATCCAGTATCATTATTCGAGGGTCCGTGCTAGATTTTTCCTAAAGAAGAAAAAGCTTTTAGAAAAGACTTGGCCAAAGCAAGGAGCCGTGAGGAAACATTACGCCGTCATATGATACAGCCACCTTGATACAGTTGATAAAATGAGAAGATTTAGAGAAAAAAAAACTGAAATAAGAACAAGGATCATCCCGAAAGTTCGATAGATTGTTCACGCCCAGATCTCCGGAACTCCAGTAAGCTACAGCAGTGGACCTAGGCCATGAAGTCATCACCTCAACCCTGGGATCTTATCAATATTAAACAGTTAGAAAATAATCGAAACAGCCTCCCCTTCAAGTAACGCAGTGTGTTCGAATATGAACTCGAAGAGGAATTCTACAGGGGTATACTACAACATCCAAGCCTAATTAATCATAAAGTCATCCAGCCGAGGCCCCGTGGTATGAGAGTCATCAACCCCGGAGAGCGGCTGCTGAGAGCCAAGGAATCCCATATCGAGCCAGGCTGCCGTGTCAAGAGAGACGTTGTCTCCCAGTCCCCACCACTCCGCGAATGGGAAGTCTTGATCTGAGGAGCGGCCCAGTTCGTTCTCGCCGGTGTCGCCTTCGAGGAGCTTGTCGAGCTGGCAGGCGAAGAAGCGCGACAGGAATATGTAGAGGTGCGAAACGGAGCAGGCGTGGAAGTTTCGTGCCGTCTTCTCCAGATGGAGCGGAATGGCTCGAACCCGAGCTGCGGCTTCTGCGGCTTCGGCTGATGTTAGGCATCCTCGCCTGACAGCCTGTTGGAGGTTAAAGTCAGTTTCGATATTGCCTAGCTTGAGTAAACACGAGTTGTCAAATCACAAGCTTACGTGGATAACCTCTGTAGACGCATGACAGATCATGATGAATTGGTTGTTGTGAAATCCGAGAGCCATCTCGCGGAACGTCTTGTCCAGTAAAACAAGGTCCAAAACTCTGTTCGCAACAGCAACAGTTCTGTGAGTTATAGTTGAGAACTCGGCAGATCTTACTGAGTCATCAATTGCCGATAAGTCTCTCAGAGCTTGCGCATTCAGCACAAGGAGGTTGTGGTCCATATAAAAGGCCAAAACCGAGTGGAATGTAGCGGACAACGGATCGCTTGGGGTACATCGGCTGCTTCTAGAGGACTCTAAAGCTTCGAAGGCGTGCGTGTGCCAATGGAGGATAGCCGGTGCAGTTCGGTCGATTCGGTTGCGCTGTTCCAGGGCTTCCAACTAAGAGAAGTGTCAATACAGAAAGTAAATAAAGTCGAGGTGAAGACTCACCAGAAGTTCTCGTGCCAACGCAATACCGCTCACCATCTGGTCCAGGTTGGTGGTCATCGGCTTCCTCCACCACTCGGGAGCAGCAGCTGGCAACTCCCTCCAGTGTACGCCTGGGGAACGCCCGGTCGACAAGCCGAAGCTCTTGTCGGCGATAAAGGTATACAACCATGTTCTCTCAAAGTTGCGGGACAGCTGCTCTCGAAACTCGGGGCTCCCGTTTGGAGAAACGGCATTGACTAATTCTGCAACAGTGCTGGGGTTGTTTATCCCAATTTCCCTCGCAAGTTGCGTGGCCTAGCAAATTGAAGCATGTCAGGAGGATTGTTATTGCAGGATGGGGGCTGAGTTCAGGCTCACATGGCTTAAGTAGAGCCAATAGGGGTCATCTGATTGTCTGGCGCGTATAGGTGCCCAGTATTGGAGGTTGATGATCGCTTGGATGGTTTCCACGGTTTTGACAGAGGTGGCAATAGACCATTTCATGGTCCCCTCGGCAATGTTGATCAGGGCAGGGTACAAGACCCGGTCTCGGGGCCGCGATGAAATAGCACACCCCAGAGCACAGACAACCGAGAATAGGGTGAATGATGCTTCATAGACGAACTCGGGGGTG